AAGTTATGGCATGGCGGCGAAATTTGGCGAAAACAAGGTGGTGGCGATGAGTGTGACCTTGCGACATGTCAATAACACCAAAAAGAAGTCTCTGTCGAAGTTTGATGGAAATCGGACGAAAAATGGCGAAGTTATGGCATGGCGACGAAATTTGGCGAAAACAAGGTGGTGGCGATGAGTGTGACCTTGCGACATGTCGACAACACCAATAAGAAGTGTCTGTCTAAATTTGATGGAAATCGGACCAGAAATGGCGAAGTTATGGCATGGCGACGAAATTTGGCGAAAACAAGGTAATGGCGACGGTTGGGACCTTGCGCCATGTCGATAACACCAAAAAGAAGTCTCTGTCGAAGTTTGATGGAAATCGGACGAAAAATGGCGAAGTTATGGCATGGCGACGAAATTTGGCGAAAACAAGGTGGTGGCGATGAGTGTGACCTTGCGACATGTCGATAACACCAAAAAGAAGTCTCTGTCGAAGTTTGATGGAAATCTAACGAAAAATGGCGAAGTTATGGCATGGCGGCGAAATTTGGCGAAAACAAGGTGGTGGCGATGAGTGTGACCTTGCGACATGTCAATAACACCAAAAAGAAGTCTCTGTCGAAGTTTGATGGAAATCGGACGAAAAATGGCGAAGTTATGGCATGGCGACGAAATTTGGCGAAAACAAGGTGGTGGCGATGAGTGTGACCTTGCGACATGTCGACAACACCAATAAGAAGTGTCTGTCTAAATTTGATGGAAATCGGACCAGAAATGGCGAAGTTATGGCATGGCGACGAAATTTGGCGAAAACAAGGTAATGGCGACGGTTGGGACCTTGCGCCATGTCGATAACACCAAAAAGAAGTCTCTGTCGAAGTTTGATGGAAATCGGACGAAAAATGGCGAAGTTATGGCATGGCGACGAAATTTGGCGAAAACAAGGTGGTGGCGATGAGTGTGACCTTGCGACATGTCGATAACACCAAAAAGAAGTCTCTGTCGAAGTTTGATGGAAATCGGACGAAAAATGGCGAAGTTATGGCATGGCGACGGAATTTGGCGAAAACAAGGTGGTGGCGATGAGTGTGACCTTGCGACATGTCGATAACACCAAAAAGAAGTCTCTGTCGAAGTTTGATGGAAATCGGACGAAAAATGGCGAAGTTATGGCATGGCGACGAAATTTGGCGAAAACAAGGTGGTGGCGATGAGTGTGACCTTGCGACATGTCGATAACACCAAAAAGAAGTCTCTGTCGAAGTTTGATGGAAATCGGACGAAAAATGGCGAAGTTGTGGCATGGCGACGAAATTTGGCGAAAGAAAGGTGGTGGCGATGAGTGTGACCTTGCGACATGTCGATAACACCAAAAAGATGTCCCTGTCGAAGTTTGATGGAAATCGGACGAAAAATGGCGAAGTTATGGCATGGCGACGAAATTTGGCGAAAACAAGGTGGTGGTGACGGGTGGACCCGACTCCCCAGAGAGGCAGGCGGCCCAAGGGCGCAGCTGCAATGGGGAGCTCACCCAGGGATTCGTCCGTCCCCCACGAGCTCCTCCCGCAGACTGACAAAAATTTCTGGTGCAGCTCCTTTTATACCCTCCGGAGGGCGGTGAAAGTTCTGCTATAAATAGCACCCGGTGAAAGTTCTGCTATAAATAGCACCCAGTCATACTGTATGACTTGGTGCTATGGAATTTTGAAATTTGACCGTGTGTCCCAGATACATGAATATCATGGATACACGACAAAATCCGTTGAATCCCGTATACACAAATACGTGTATTTCCAAAAAATTACAAATTTGGCGACCGTGGAAACATTGCATGAAATTGAAGGGTTTTGATATGGTGCTCGATTTTTTGCCCGAGTTAGGGCTTATGGAATCGTGATGGTTGTCCGTCTGTCTGTCTGTCCGTGAACAGGATAGAGCCAAAACGACTTACCCGATTCACATGAAATTTTTAGTGTATGCAAATTTGACAAAGTTAGAGAACGAGTTCGCAGATGGGCGAAATTGGTCAAGTGGTTGACCGGTGGGGGTCGTCTGAGTGATGGGGTACTATACACTAAAATTTCAAAATTGTCATAAAAAGCTGAAATTTGGTATAGAGCTTGCTAATGGCTTCTATTGAAAGAATATGAAGTAAAATTGCAAAATCTTACAACTGAGGGGACCCTATGGGGGACCCATACCGGTTTTAAGACATTGTCCTAAAAATATAAAAATCGGCATAGGGATACTGAATGGGTTCTCATGAAAGTATATGAAGTTCAAAGTGGTCAATGTGTAACCTTAGTGACCCTAGAGGGTGACCCATACTGGTTTTTAAAAGTTGCTATTTTCAGGTGGAATTTAGGATAATGACTTCCGAATAGCAAATAAAACTTTGGAAGATTTGAAAGAAGCAAGTCACAGTGGTCCTGAAGGAAGATTTGTAAATACTCCACAAAATAACAAATATTCTGCACACATTCGACCATTCCCAACGCGGGGTGTGGTAATAGCAGTCCGGTCAATTCGGACAAAAATTTAGGAGCGATCCGTCCTAAGGACATTGCATAATTGCAGACAATGTAGGTTTGTGGCTATTTTTGAAAATCGATATGGGTCACCCCCCTCCTCCACCCCATATTGCCCCTCTGGTTAAATATTTTTAGATTTCCCCGAGTCTTTCATTACACGCCATTAGCACTCGATGTGCTGAATTTCAGCTTTCTAACGATATTTTCAAGTTTGGTGTCGATTCCACCCACCTATTTATATGACCTCACTCGACAGATTTGGCTCACTTGCTAACTTGATTATTTTTGGCACCTGCAAAATTTGAAGGCAAACCGTTTTGGGTGTATGGTATCGGTGGACCGACAGACAGACATGGCAAATACATAAGGCCTCACTGGGCTAAAAATTTCTGGTTCGGGCTATGCGAAGCTGTACTAATAGGTTTTTCATCACGGTAAAACTATATGTATATGGGAAGTAGTTTTTGTGGATTATCATTGCATATGATAATACAAATATATTCCGTTGGTTTTTTCTTGAAAATAAAATTCGGGTCGGTGTGGTCGAAAAAGATTCAGCAGCTTGGGTGCGTGAGGACAGATAGCTGACAATTATTTGGGCCTTAAAGGGCATTTAATTGAAGATTAATTAGGGACTTAGTGATACGTTTTTTCGTGACAACAATTTTGAAATGGGATCCTAAAGGTTAATAGCCTATGTATATTAATAGCACCTGAGATAAGCGGCCTCACATATAGTATATAGCACACGCGTGCTATAGGTATACAGCTGTGTATAGCTATATATCACATATATACTATGTATATATATATTTAGTAGTTATATACATACACATATGTTATACATAGCTATACAGGTATACAGGTGGAAGTTGTGCTATATACTATATAACTACTATATATGTATACCTACATTGCCTACATATTTTATAGCGCCTATCTCAAATGTTTACAATTGTTACCAATAATTCAATTAATTATTTCGACGTCGTTAGCATTGGGTCAATGTCGATTCTTATAGTTTTTTGGTCGCTGATTTCGAATCTGAGGTCAGTTTTTCGATTGCGACATCATGGGAAGGGGCACATGCTTAATTATGTTAAAATAACACAAAATCTACAAATATACGGCTACAAATATACAAAGCTACAAATATAAGGCTGGGTTTTGTATTTGTAGTATGAATAAATTAAAAGTTGACAAAATTCATGTAAATTCTTGACAATCAGAGAGTGAAGGAACTTCCCATCATTACTTGTGATAATTTTTGTAATAATCTACATGCCAACTGCAACTTCGTCTCTTCACAGTCTTCATGATGCTTACTTCGACGATGAAAAAACTTCAATTTTCGAAAACCCTGGTACCTTTTGGAACCAGTGTGCACTGACATTTCGTTCCCACGAATTAATTTTTTAACCATGGATACAAGAATCAGTGCAGTTGTAAATGTGAAATCGGCTATTTCGGCGTTCTGTTAGAAATTTTTGTGCTTTAATTACCGTTAGCGACGGCCCAAATAATTAGCACTTCAAAACCTATCAGTACAGCTTTGCTTAGCCCGAACCAGGATTAGTAAACCCATGTTTCTCAGTATATTTAACTTCATATTATTTCACGAGAAAGCAGTAAGGATCTCTGGGCCAAATTTCAGCTTTCTATGTTAATTTCTAAAAATCGATATGGGTCACCCCATAGGGTCGCTCTAGATAAAAATTTTACCAATTTCATGTCATATTCTTCCATTAGGACCCACAAGCAAACTCTCCACCAAATTTCAGTTCGATATGATGATTTTTAAAAATCCGTATGGGTCACCCCCTAGGGTTCCTCAAGATGAAAATTTTTCTAACTTGAACTTATTTTTATCTATTAGGAGCCATTAGCAACCTCTGTGTTAAATTTCAGCTTTCTACGACAATTTTGAAATTTTGGTGCGTAATACCCCACCTACTCCGATGACCCCCACCGGTCCAAAACTTTTCTGATCGAACCCATCTTCGAACTCGGTCGTTGCATTGCCCAGATACATGCCTGTACCAAATTTGGTAAAAATCGGTCAACTCGTTCGAGAGTTATCGAAAGACAGACGGACGGACAGACGGACGGACATGACAATTACATAAGCCCTGGTTCGGGCTAAAAATGGAGGTTTTTGAGGCTATCGAAGCAACTGTCGTAACCTTGTATTATGATAAATTGTCAAGCAATCTTGATTTTTCGTATTATCCAAACTTTAGGAACTTTTATGATCAGAATTTCCCTACGGGGATGTTGTCTAAATAAATTGCCCAGCCAACGCAGGCTACTGGAGTTACTAAAATGCTACATCTCTGTGGGGGTGGATGCAGGAGGGATATGCTTTCCAGATTCTATGATTACTATTTCATGAAATTGTGCATATCGTGTTGCCCAGTTTTGCATAGTTCTCTGGCTCGTATCACTTTCGTGCCGGTTACTCATTTTTCACTATTTTCCTTCTTAAGTCACCTGCATTGAGCTAATTAGATTATTTACATACAAACAAACTTTACCTTTAACAGAAATGTTTGTTTTCAATTTCAATTCACTTTATTTATGTTTTACTTATGATTTGCAATTTTTATAGTTAAAAATTTTTCGATAAAGGTAACATTGGTAAGATTAATCGAACAGACGGGAAAACAAATACGTAACACCAACATTGCAAGTTTTATTAAAAGCCAGATTTTGAAATGTCCCATCGCCTAAATGACCTCAACCCTGCTGACCCGAGATCTAAACTCATCCTCAACATAAAATGGAATAAGAAAACCAAACACCACAAGAATTTGTTGGAATTAGACGAAATTACGGAAGGTAGTACAATCAAGAAGCGAAAACAAGACGACACCGTTAACCATGTGGAGGAAGCGGTGTCGACGACTGAAAGTGGTAATACATATATTACAATCAAATTTCATTATGAAATTACGATTTGTAATTTGTTTGTAAGTACAGAGGCAGGATTTATTTCTGTTGCAGAACCTGTCCCAAGTTGTTCAACAAGTGCTTCTGTTGTCATTCCAGAACAAGAAGGAGGAGTCCGAACGCCATTGTCCTGCAATACCACCACCACCGACGACAATTTTCCAAATTTCTTGACACAGTTTGACTCCACCCTAAATTCACTGTTGAGAAACGACCCTATCCTCTCCGACCTTGCAGATAGTCACCTCACTGTAGAAAGTATCGAATCGCAGTTGGCCTTCGAATGTGGACAAGGGGTCCGAATCAACTTGAAACGTGAGGACGGCTCAATTCTTCCAATTCTTATCAAGAAGAACGAAACAGTGCGAGGACTCATGAAGCGAATTCAAACAGAGACGGAAAGAGAGCTTAAAAATATGTCTGAAAAGCGGAGAAACATTCATTGGAGGTTGATCTGGCGTCAAAATTGGTTGGTCGTAGTGACGAGTGATGGTGAACAATTAAAATTAACGAATGACAAGGCACGCCTGATAGATGTGGGACTAGTTAATAATACAGAGATTAGGTTTTCTAAGAAGTTGAGAGATAAGAAACCGACGAGTCAACTTGTAAAGAAGAAGAAAATAAACCGAAACCGGAAGTGAACTGCTACAGGTAAGCACATATTTTGTGAATTCATTTTACCTAGAATATTTTAAAAAATCTTCTCAATATCGAGCAAATTTTAGCTGGGTTTTATTTGGCTGATACAAGTGAATCTCACGAAACATTTCATCGATTAGAGGATTTGTGACCACAAATGCCACAAGAGGAGGATGGAATGGAGGAAAGAAACGTGAAACTCGCTCGTAGTCTGGAATTAAAAGTCGAAAGCCGATGCCGAGAGGATAATTTTTTATTTAGGCCAGACCAGAGACAGGCCACCTGAGTCCGATTAAGAATTAGCTATCCAATTATGCTGTCCTGTGTCTTGACAAAATCGAGTCAGCAGCGATGTCACGTCGCTGGGTTAAAATTTCACAGGATAACGGACTCCTTTCTTTCTCTGTGGTACTAAAGATAGGAAAGTTATATAGAGGTCTTAATATTGTGACCCCAATTATTGAATTCCTATCAAGTCAAGGTTGTTACTCTATCCAGTTCTGGTGCACTCAATCGAATAATTTATGTGAAGGATGAAACTTGTCATAATCTACACAGGATACAAATCGAACGATTTATGTGGGTTTAACTCGTTAAATCAATTTCACAAATCCATCATCTCATCTTATGATCATTTTATCACTGTGTATGTTAAAAGTGTACCTGAATACAGACCATTTGCCGATGTTGTAATACGAGACAGTTGGTTAATGACGATATCGACTTCTTTGCTACAATATAGGTACTGTGGCTTCTTCTTTACTTTTTAGCCCGAACCAGGGCTTATGTAATCGTCATGTCCATCCTTTCGTCTGCCTGTAAAACTTGACCATTTTTTGACCGGAGAGACCCTAGAGGGGTTCGGGTGACCCCCACCGATTTTCACAAATTATCTCGGAAAGCTAAAATTTTACAGAGATGCAAAATGACTTCTCATGAAAGAATATGAAGTTAAATGTCCAAAAATGGAACCAGGGGGATCTTAGCGGGTGACCTCAAGAAAGACGTTGCTTTTTGAGAAATTTGATATTTAGTCCGAACATGAATTATGAGATGAGGTCGGAATTTCAAAACTTCTACGTGGCAGTCGTGATAGTCAAGAGGAATGTACTTCAAATTAGATGCTACTATTAGATAATAGGAATAATTGGAGCTACTTCATGCAAAAATGAGTGCAAAGTGTTCGAATTATGGAATATAATCAATAATCGGACAATTTGCTGACTTGTGAAAATTTTTACTAATATAAATCCTGATTCGGGCTATGCAAAGCTGTACTAAGAGGTTTTTATTGATTTCTGACGATAAGTTTGCATGTCTGTCCAGTCCATCGCATTTTCAGCAAAGCAACCAAATTAATCTAAATCCCCCAATCCGATCAAGCGACATGGGCTGCACTTATTCTTCTTTTCCTACTCGTGAATAAGTAAAGGATGGGATTTGCACTCTAAATTTTTCAGAGACATGCAAAAATCTTCTTCCCATTCATTTCACCATTGCTCGAGTGCATGTGTACCGGAATTTGGCAGAGTCCGGTTGTGTTTACTTGTGGTTAGTCATTTAGCTTTGGTGCACTTGTACTCGGGTGCTAGCTCAGTACCAGATTTATAGTAGTGCATGCATGAGCTATAAAACTTGTAAATCTCGCTAACTCACCAGTAATATATACGAATTTTCTCTGTGTAGCGTGTCGTTGCTAATCTTATTATATTTTTGCTTGCACTATATATCCACCCATCCATATATATCGAACGAGTCTGAATCCTGCATAATTAAATTTTTTGTGCACTTCGTTGGTGACCGTGGTGTGGTACATGGCATATTTCGTTAATCGTAATCTAAATTAATCCAGCGTTGACTTCATGCCTAGTCAGGAGAGGAGAATAACTTGCAGATCAGATCAGGAGGAGCATCACACAGTATTTTTTAATGAACAATTATAATACAGTATCAAGGCCGGTAATTGTGTTGCATTGCATGCCATAGAATTAACGCTGGTGGTTGGTGTTGTCAGTACTGGATTAGATTGAAATTGAACACTTGCGTGTTCGAGAGAGGAGAAAGGAGAGCGTCATTAATTTTGGATCTGGATATTCTATTGTGTTTTCTTTGAGTAAGTAAAGTCTCATATCGTCTTTCATGTATCCAACTCGCCCCGATTTCACTCTAGTGTGGGAGTAAAAAACAGAGTTTGGTTCATGTTTTAGTTGTGTCAGTTTTTTGTATGTGTCGGTGTGCTGGGAAGAAGAACGTGTTTTTTTAGTTGGTTTTGGTTTTATCGTCTCTGTTCTGATCCAGTTTTGGGACAGGATTCATCACCTCTAAGCATGTCTCTCTACCGGAATGGCAACGGGAACTCTGATGCTGGAGAAATAACCGTATTTTTAGGATCTTTCGTACACGCTGAGAGTGGAAATAATCCCTTTGTCTTGGTCAATAATGGAGTTATTGGGGTACAACATGGGAAGGTGATTTATAGTAATTAATTATAATAATTTGGTATGAAACTGATGATTAATTTGGGCGTGGTTTGTAGATAATTTTTGTGGACGTGGAAGACAATCTGGATGTGCTCAAGGAAAAGTTTTCTTTCAGTGGGGACAATATCCAAGTTATGGGACAAGGGTGGGGGGAAATGTTTTGGTTATAAATAAAATAATGGATACTGGCAGATTTAAACTTTTTGCATTATTTCAGTGAATTCATCATGCCGGGACTGGTGGACACACATATTCACGCTCCGCAATATCCAAACGCCGGACTGGGACTTGACCTTCCACTACTGGAATGGTTGGAAAAATATACGTTTCCTATGGAGAGTCGGTTCGAAGATGTCTCATTTGCTCGTGCCTGTTACAAGAAAGTCGTGGTGAGTTTTGGAAATAGAAACAGGATGAAATTTAACCATTTTAATTTATACTGTTCTTTATTATTTCATTTAGCAACGCACTGTAAACTGTGGTACAACCACTGCCTCATATTTTGCGGTAATTCTAACTAAAAGTCAACCTTCTGCTTGTAATTAATTTACGATTGTTGCAAATAATAAATAGACAATCCATAAGGCTGCAGCGGAAATTTTGGCTGATATTGTGGAGCTCTCGGGTCAGCGAGCATTCATCGGGAAGGTCAATATGGATTGCTATTCGCCTGATAATTATTGTGAAACGACGGCAGACTCACTCAAGTCTACTGAAGAGTTTATTCTGAATATTAACAAGCGAAAGGTATTTCCAATTTGTTTGCAGTAAATATTTAGTAGCGTTGATTGATTAATTGATTGATATGCAATACACCCAGAATTCTCGAGTCCAACCCATCATAACACCACGTTTTGCTCTAACTTGTTCAGAAGAACTTATGACTGGGTTGGGCAACTTGGCCAAAAAGTATGACGTAAACATTCAGGTAGGTCAAATCCATAAATCTATTCTGTATCATGCCCTACCATTAATTTATTAATTGTGCATGTCTTTTGCTAGACTCATCTTTGTGAATCAATTCCTGAAGTGCAGCGTGCTTTGGAGCTCTTTCCAAATTGCAAGAACTATACGGAGATTTACGAAAAAGTAGGATTGTTAACTAACAAGGTACGAATTTATTTCTCCCATTAGTCAGATTGCATAATTACTAGATTATATCGTGTTCTTTCTTGTATTTTACAGTCCATTATGGCTCATTGCGTCCACATGACTGATGAAGAGATAGGTCTCTTGAAGAAGTATTCTACTGGGGTTGCTCACTGTCCTGCATCCAATATGTTAGTTCAAGTTTATTTATACATGATTATAACGGTTATGTTTTAACAAGAGTTATGCTTAGCCATTTTAACATTACGCTGTATGTTTTTTCTTACTAAATAGGTGCCTTCTCAGTGGTCTTTGCCCTATTAGGAAAATACACGACGCCGGGGTTTCAGTTGGGCTTGGAACTGGTATGCAAAATGATATTTATGTTGAGCAAAGCTAGTTGTCGTGATACATTGTCCTATCATTCATTTTAGATGTATCTGGTGGTTATACGGCATCAATCCTGGAACAAATGCGACTTGCAATCATCATGTCGAAATGTTTGAAGATGGAAGATCGCTCATGTCCTCGAGAAGCACTTAATTATAAAGAAGTCTTCTACTTTGCCACTTTGGGGGGAGCGAACGGTAAATATTTTAATCTTCTTTGGCAGTGAAATTAAATGCACTTATATTTTTTTTAAACACAAATTTTGTGATTGGTCCATTCAGCTCTCTCAATTGGGGACAAAATTGGAAATTTTAAAGTTGGCAAGTACTTTGACGCACTCCATATTGACTTAGCCTCTGCTGATTCACCCGTGCATTTGTTCCCTGGAGAAACATTACTCGACATGGTAGAGAAATTTATCATGTTGGGTGATGATCGAAACATCGTACAAGTTTTCGTGGATGGGAAAAACGTTAAAAAATCTGTCCAGCCATTGTTGCTCACTTAATAATTGTTGCCTGCCTATGTACTGAATCAGAGTATAAATGAAAAAAATAAGAAAGACAGACCATGATACAGAAGACAGAAAAGAAATAGTAATAATAATAGTAACCAATACAAATAAGTACAAAAGGCGTTAGGACATGGTTTTGACGAATTCGCGGTTGAATATCTCTGGCGGGGAGTTGAATTTTGAACTGATTTTTGGTCAGTTGCAAGATAATACTCTCAAAAAGATATATTTAAAATTTTGGGCCGATAGCTTTATAAATGCCCCCTCCAGTGCCCCCAGAGTTTGAAGGAGCCAAAAAAACACTTTCCAAACTGAATTACTCATATAGCATGATAACCTAAGAGGTCAGAGGTGAATGATTGTTAATATTACAACCCTAGATAATCATTGCATGTAATAATAAAAGAATCCACAATGAATTACATAACGTTGGGCCTCCATCGTCGCTGATACGTTTTCATGAAAAGTGATCAATCGGACCGTGCACAGGAAAATTGACCTGCTGACCTTTAAAGCGGACCCACTAGGTCAAATGAAGATTGAGGGCAAAGCTCTAAGTGTCTCAAGTAATATTAAATTAAACAGTGAAGATTTTGTGTAAACAGTTTTGGAGAAGGACCCTAGCTAATCAGCTGACGGGGAATAGTAAAAAACTCGTGAACTAATTTAGGAAAATAATGGTCAAATTTTGTTGAAAACAAATTTTAATAACTTTTTTGTGTTCCCTGCTGCAGAACTATTTTACCTACAAGGTACAAGTGACAAAATAATAAAATTACTGCGTTTTGATTAGTTAAAAAAATTTAAAGTTCCGCTTCAATTTCGAGGAGAACTTTTGTAAAAATTTTATAGGGTTTGATGGAAACTCATTTCCTGGGGTGTAACCACTTATCAAAATTTTATCAAAAGTACTTACAATGCAACATACAATTTCTACCTTGGATAAAAACCACGTTAGGGATTTTTAGCATCAAAGTCCTAAAATGTGGGGGCCTTTAAAGTCGAGGAGTTGCGTTCAAGAGAGCATTCCATTAAGACAAGTATGAAGCTAGACTACAAAAGGGACTTATAAGATAAGCATGCGACAAAAGTGGTTTTATATAGTGAAAAGCATGCTAAGTCACATGATAATAGTCGCAAAGACAATTTTTGCACCAGGACCTCAGAAAAAAATATTTTGTTCAACGCCATTTTATAAGAACACTGGTTTGGAAAACTAAAAAAGGACACCTCTCCAAATTTGACCTTTCCTCATTTCGCAGAGTACATAAAATCGGAAGCCAGATATGCTTACCTATAGTTTGAGACATGGGCTTTCACATAAAAAATGTTAGAAATCTCTACAACTAAAAACCATCCCGCAATTAAGGTATGAATTCTTCAAAACCATGTCCTAACGCCTTTTGTAATGCAAAAAAATCTATGCAATTTGCAATAATATCCAACATTCTACTCAAAAATAGACAGATGCCAGAAGAGTTTAGTTTTAAATACTAAATGCGCTACGTACACTACAAAATGATAATATTTGCTCACTATTATTATACTAATCCCACAAAAAATAGAAGGCTTTTAATACGCATTTACATATGTATGTGATTCGAGCCTTATTTTTTGCTGCTACTGCCTGGTACAAATTTTGTCTAATAATAATAATCAAATTTTATTTTTGAGCTTACATATTTTAAACTTTAACAAGAATGGTGCTGCTGTGCAGAAAGAAACGATTTTATGGCGAAATAAACCAAACATAAGTTGCAACTTGTGTTACAATAATGTGCAATCAGTTTAATGGTAAAGATTCATTTCAATATTTACAGAAACTAATTTTAAATCACCATGATATGTATGTACCAAGTATAAATTGGAATGGAATACTGATCCAGTTTCCCTCTTATTGCTCCCTCTCTTCCTCACATCAAATTAAGTAGCTCAGCTCCATTAATTATACAGTTTATCTAAGTAAGAAGAATGATAACTTTGTCCAACGGTGGTGTGAGTATATTGTTTCATGGATACAATTCTGAAGACATTTTGGTAATTGCATAATTTTCAGTTTAGTCATCTCGCATCATCATCCCTGAAGATTCGGATGCGCCATAACCGGAAGTATCTCCTCCGCCACCTCCGCTATTACTTCCCATTCCTCCTCCTCCACCTAAGGCAGATCTGATTGGGTCAGGTTTATTTCCCCAGCCAGGGTCTAAACCTTGGTCACCTCCAAAGTCTGTGAAATCGGGTTGTGCTCCATCATCCCCGTCATCGACAAAGTCTTCGCCTTGACACCTTTTACAACTTCCTTTAAACTTATTGGAACATTTACACTTGTTCCTCGTCGGACCGGCACCATTTTTCTTTCCCACAAAGACGACCGATGTAATGTTCTCGTTCGATCGGTAGTAGTGGCCCCCAGATTCATTTTCGGCACAGAAATGACAATATACTCCGAGTAAAAATCTGCATTCATAAAAGAAATATCAAGATAAATCTGAAAAATTTATATTATTAATCCATTTTTCGAAATATCACTCACAATAATATTACAATCACAATTAACGCCACCAGCACCGCAATTCCTTCCGCTTTTAATGGCATTTTTTTTACTGCTTGTGGTCAAACAAATATTGACACTGGCGTGTTCAAATCGACTATGCCAATTGGGATGACACTTTTATTTACACAGTTGGATAATGGTACGTGGGAATTGTCAGGCACTTATCATTTATTGACATCTTCACACCATTCCAGCACCGATGTGTTTGTATGACGCGTCTCAACTCAACCGTCAACCGTCTTTCTTTCACTTGTATTTATCTTATTTGCTCAATTGGAATCTTTTTTAGAGCATAACATTTCGGGTACAAAAGTGTTAAATGGTTAAAACAAATTTAAGTAACGCACTCGTCAAGTGATGAAAGATGCTCAACTAGTAAAACAAATAAGACATTTGCAATAACAAAATTATACAAATTATTGTGTAAAAACAAGACTGCAACTAATACTTAATTTTGTAATATGTATCTACATGCACATAACACGGACCATTTTATTTTATGCGAGATCACATCACAATATCACATCCTAAAAGGTGGTGAATACTAAAACTATGTGCTTGGGCATAGACCGTGTATAATTTCAGTAATGCAATGTGCATACATACGTCTGCATGCTGGAGGCTGTAATATTTAGGCATGGGCTGAAAATGAAAGGGTTGCTTTTCTCACTTTAGCAGCAGAAGAAGGCTTTAACAGAAAATATATAATCCTAATCCACATAGCATCATGGCATCATGGAATGTTCATTCATCATCTTCTTCACTGTTTTGCTATTGCTGGACTCGTCTGTTAACAGCAGTAACGTACCTTTTCTTCACTGGGTTGGCAGGATTTGGGAGGATTTAGCCAGGGGTCTGCTTATTGGTCACGGGATAAAAATGTTACTTGTACCGCATCTCGCATCTCGAGTTAAGAAGTACGACATTCTGATCGTTATGCATGAGCCGACCTTCCCCAGATTATTCGTTGGCTGGGTTGTGACTTAGGTTGACTTGTCCTTTTATTGTTATGCAACGAGTGAGATACATACCTAATTTTGCTTATAACATAGTTTGTAGAATGCATGCAAACCTCATAACATGTTTTTTGCCTTTGTTGTTGTCACAATTCTTAGGTGATCTTAGGTGATGGGTTACTTGTATCTCTATGTATGGGTGATCTTGATTGAAAAATGCGGTGTGGTCATCAAGTACACGATCCCTTGACTTTTAGGAACGTTCTTGTCCCTAAAGTGTCAAATAATCTTGCATCAAGTATATGAAATACATATGAGTCACACAAATTTTAATTCTTTCTTTATTGACTATATAATAAAAATCAGTTAGACAGAGTAAAAAATAAATAGTATACAATAAATAATATCACATCAGACATAATATCACTTGGTGTCTTAATTCTTAGATCAGTTCTTATTATTCCATTCGTTTACTTGTCACCTCCTTAATCCAGCCCAAATAACTGGAGACCCTGCAATAGACCCCTGGTGCTCTATACGGCGTTCCAAACGAAGTAATACCAGCAATTGTCCATCTTCCATGCTGATAAATTGCGAGAGGACCACCAGAATCACCTGGAAATAACATTAAAAAGTTGACATTACTAAATGTAATATTTTACTAGGTGGCAAAATACGTAACTGGACATTGTAATGATGATGTTCATAAAATAAAAGTTCAAAATTTACCAGAAGCGGTGTCCTCTCTCCACGATTTGTCCACAACCCCGGCACATAGTTGACTGGGGGCAAGCGTCACTCCTTTCCAGTTTGACTTTTGGTGGTAGTACTCGTCACACTCTGAATTTGGGAGAATGGTCAAGTTCAAGGTCTTCAACACGTCGGAATGAATTTTGTATAATTCTTCAAAATCCAGTTCGGTCCGTTCAACCTTCTCCCCCCAAGTTCGACCCCATCCGGACGCCACAGCGGAAATATTCTTGTCCTTGTCTGCCGTTCTGCCAAAAATTTCATCCGCGCTTGGCAAGCAAATCGGGGACACGAAACTGTTCCACAAAATCGGCTCGGCCAATTCAATCAGCGCAATGTCATTCAGGTATTGAAGACCTCCATCGAAATCGGGGTGGTTCGTGACTTGTTTTATGGAAATTCGTTTATATTCAATTTTAGACAAAGCATCTTCTTCCGCTGTTATACGATGTGCCCCCAAAACCACAGAAAGTTGGGCATATTCACTGGAAAAATTATTAAAAAAAATTATAGATAAAAGTAATAAATATAGTGTACCAAGTAAATATGTACAAACGACTTACTCATCGATATGACTAAAACAATGAGCTGCGGACAGGATATAGTGATCCGATATGATCGTACCCCCACAGAAATGTTCACCACCGTTCTGAATGGAAACCTGCCATGGAATTTCTGCCGTATTAGCTTCTCTCCCACCGATTATCCGTCCCTCTCGAAAGCTAAGATTACCACCACAAGAGGATGAAGTTGAAAGAAAATCTGTGAATATTTAGTAAATAATTGAAATTTTTAGTTCAATATTTTCTAAACCATAATTAGTTAAGAATCCGAATTTTAACCAACCTTCCGATTTGTGAATATCATTTTTCTCGTCATCCACAAAATTCAAGGGTGCCCCTAAACTCGTTGTGACTAAAGTGGTTACCACACATGTCAATAGCACTGGAGGAAAGGAAGCCACACTGCTAATGCCACCCATAATATTCATTTTATTACGAAAAACAGGAGAAAAAAGTCGGAAAATTTGGGATGGATTTTATATTGCGGCGTGCCTAAGCGCCTTGTGTCTGACTTTGCGGCAGACCTAAATTCACCCAAATGATGGAATGATGACCTATATTCGTCATATTTATGGGAAATGGATCCAATCTGCAAGGTCACATTTGTTTATCATTTGTAAATTATCATATCGACCTTCGACTAAGGTAGCAGATAAAATAGTTCAAAATCATACTGATCATTGTATTTAGTGACCTTTGCTCCTATCTCGCTTTTAAGTACCACCACCATAAAAACGACGCTTACTTATGTATGTACAACATTGCAATCAATGCTGTTGATGATGAGTAATATGACGATGGCTTGCATTTCCTGCTAATTTCCGCGTGTGCATAATATTATTCATTACATATGACACATTGTGATATGTACTTCGTGGAGCCAATTAATCCACGACGGGTACATTTTTTAAAACAATTTTCTCCTAAATTTATAATTTTACACCTTTTCTACCCATTGAACTTTCACCCACATCAATTTCATCCTCCAACATGCTAAATTAATTCAGACTTAATTAAAAATGGGTCAGATTCCAATGATTTTCAAGTCATTTTAACTTATGAATTATGTAAACATGAAATTTTTATGTCACTTTACTTTCTGCTGGAAATTCTACTGTACTGTAACAGCTATAGGTAGCAGCAGCATTACTATAATTTTATATTAGTCATGAAAATTTATTCATGCATTATTGAAGCGACTCCGCCGTGGCAATGTCAAAGAACAGTTGTGGCATTGTGGATATGCATTGTCGAGTTTTCGAATAGCTCAACAATTCGTGTACATAATATCAAGTAACGATTTTTATTTGGTGGTCTTGGTTCATACTGGTAAAATATAATACATTTAATGATGAAACACTGGCAGGAATTACTTACTAACATGATTTGCAGAGCCCTTTTCTGAATGGAATTGCGTATCGTGTACCAGTCAAATCGAAAGCATAGATTGATTCATTGGCTCAAGGTCGTAGGATTAAAATGCGTCTTATTCCGTGCGTGCCTACTCACCAAATATGTAGCGAAATAGATTTAGAGACTAGTGCGGTACAAAAATATATAACGATTAATTAATTTAAGTAAATAAATAATTTAAATAATTTATATTGGGCCTCCTCAGACACACGAAAATATCGTCGCTTAGAATTTCGCTTCGTTTTTCGCTTACTTCATGATAAGCGAGCTCTCGGATAAGCGACCAAAAACTCCACTCAGAAGTGGGGTTAAGGTCGGTTAGTTGAAGTCTCAACAAAATTTTGCAATTTTCATAATTTTGGCAATGCTATCGATACGCGAAAAACAAAGCGAAATTCGAAGCGACGATTTTTTCGTGTGTCTGAGGAGGCCCATTAGTTAAATAATCTGTTAAGAAGGAATAATTTCTCTAATCCACGGGACGTAATCAGCCAAATCTGTGTAAACCGAGGGACGCCCCTTTGCGCCACATTGTTGACCCACAGACACAATTCCTATCGCGACCCATCGTGAAGATTCCAAATGCATCAAAGGAGAACCACTATCACCCTAATTTCAAATTTCATATTTTTTTACGTACGTTCAAATATAATTAAATTTATACTGTTTTCTCACCACACAACTCTGGCTTCCTTTCACACCGGCGCAGATAAAACTATTAGATGGAAAGTTGTTAAAGGACTTGTACAAAGTTCGACATTCTTCAGTGTCCCACAAATTTACTTCGACTTTCCGCAGGAAATCGGTCTCCTTTAACCAGTCGTGATCTGTACAAAAATGAATTTATTTAAAAATCTACACAGATAAAACAAAGTTCATGGTTACATTACATGATTGGTCGAAGGACGTCTTCCCCCACCCCGCGGTCGTTACGGTTGACCGTGTCGCTAGCTGAAACTGCGCCTCTTCCCGTGTTTTCGGAGCTGGCAGACAGATCGGTTCCACGCTGGGATGAATGTACACACTTTCCTTCAATTTGATAATTGCTATATCAAATTCACGACTGTTTGGCGTGTATCCGGGGTGCAGAATGATCTCTTCGATTGGAACTGGGATATCTTTCGTCTTTTCCGGTGTGCGGAGACTGAATTCCCCAATGGTCGCGGACACTTCGTCCTCCCTCTTCTTCCCATGGTGGGTGAGGAAGCAATGCGCCGCAGAGAGGACGTAACGGTCAGCAATTACGAAACCTACGAAAATATTTGTTTTGAAATTGTGTTGTGAGAACGATAAGACATTAAAAAACCTCCGCAAAAGTGTCCGAGTTCATTCTTGAAGCTGACCATCCAGGGAAACTATGAATTCACGTAAGTTACATTAAATTCTGTGCTATTATTGGAAAAATAAAATGCATATTAATCTACCTCTCCTTCGAAGCACTCTGACCCCCCAACTATGCGAGCATTACGGCGCGTGGTCGCGTTGGCGAAACGACCGCAACTGGCAGCTGTTGAAGAATATCAAAAAATGAACAAAAACCGATGGTGATCGCGTATTTTGAAAAAATTATGATTCCTGAAGAATCTATTACGAGCAGATGCCATTCGTCTAATCGCTGCGTGAGTTTCTGGTGGTGTGACAACTCCGAGGAGGATGACACTTATTCCAATCATTTTTAAATCCATTTTTATGGAAAATTTTGACGGAAAAGTTTCGAATTCTAGGACAAATCCAAAATAACTCTTGACTGTGCGCAAGTTAATCTTGGAATGTTCATGAATCTTGGCATGACTGGGTCTGGATCGGGATATTTATACATTAAAGCTTTGACTGGATTGTATTATGGGATGAAATTAATTATTGCAGTGTTCGATCGATGGTGATTAATAAGGAAGGAAGGAAACTATTTCCCACACGCTTACGCTAATTACGATTTAGTGGCAATTAATAAATGTGTGATTAGTACGGATACAAAAATATTATTTCCATGTATGTTGAATAGTGATGATTCAACTGCGTCGTCAAATAGCGTGGTGTGGTGGTGACAATAGTGATGATTGATCAGAGGCCAATGTCAATGTCAGGTGGCAAAGTACCTCATCGCATCACATTTACTGTGTATTATTCGCATCCATTTCCATGTAGAAATGATCAAGAAACGTTGCATGTTTTACGTTTATTGGTTGTCATTTCGATAATTTCAAGGATTCTTTGTAAATCGGGTGCGTAAACGCAAACTTAAAAACACATTATTTCAAATAGATCAATGCCATGTTCCAATTTCTGAATGGTCCGCTTTATGACCAATGCAATGGTGGTAAATATGCACTCGTAATGGTGACTCATGATAAATTTATAATTTACAATTCTAGTTTAAATAATTTAATTTTAATTTTAATTTGTAATATGAAAACTAAGAAACAAGAATTTGTGAGTCAAAGGTTTTAAGCCAGTGTTTCTTTTTGTGCGCACGAAATTATTTTTATGCATGCATAGTGCACAAAAATGCATAAAAATGCATAAAAACGCATAAAAATGCACGATAATGCACGAAAATGCATAATAATGCATAATAATACATGAAATGCAACCTAGGAATTTCATATTTTCAAGAAATTTTATATTTTCCTACCTTGTCAAATTGGAATTTGTACACATATAGAATAATATGGAATTATTATTCGGCAAGAAAATTTCAAACAAATTACAAGTATTTATTTGTTTTGTTATACAACACTACGTATTCAGCCATTCATAAAAATCGTCATGTTCATTCATTTTCATTTTCAAAACTTTCATTCATTTTTCGCATTGAAAAATGCAAAATATTTTTACACTAAAACACTAAAATGATGAGAAAAATATGTTAAATGGCATGTCGATTCCTCAATTAATCGAATATTTAGAAAAATTATTGCATTGTTCCAATATTATTTGCATGCAAATTATTTTCGTGCATTTTCGTGCATTTTCATGCACTTTTGCGTATTTTTAGTGGGGGTGTTATTAAACGTTTAAAACCATTTTCGTGCACTATTTTCGTGCAGGTGTTATTTAACAGCAGAAACACTGAACATACGCACTTGCATACATTATAGTTTATTATCATGGGTTATTATGTTAAGCATTCAGTTTTATCTTAAAGTTTATCGAAAACATATTAGATTTTCGATATTTTTCCCCTTTGGGCGTCCAAATAAGTCAAACATTTATATATTTGAAAAATTATTTTTATTTTTGACAAAATGATAAATTTTTACTTGTACAATTTTGTAAATGTAAGAAATTAACTTTTAAATGAGATCATTTTACAACTAATTTAAATATATTTGTGAATTAATAAAGTCCATATAGCTGCTAATTTTTGTGTAAACGCCCGGAACTCTATCTTCACACATGAATCGTCCCGCAGATACAATTCCTATTGCGGTCCATTGATCGTTTTGCAAAACCATAAGCGGAGAGCCGCTGTCACCCTGTGTGACATAACAATTTTGCATTATACAATTCTTCTGAGGAAAATTAATTTAAAAATTTGGACATAAAAAAGGGATGAACTTTTGACGAGTCTTTTTCGTTGTCCCCGGCACAGACGTAATCCTCCCGAGTGAAATCGTACTGCGCGTCGTGATAAGCTTGCAAACAATCCGATTCCTTCCAGACGGGAATTGACACTTTTTTCAGTGTTTTAGAGGGACGAATTTCTAGAGGAAAAAATGCAGTTTTTTTACCATATTTGTTTTGTCCAAATTGTAGCGTTCTTTGCAACATACTGGAATTGTGGCAATTTGTGTTTCCCCATCCAGCCACAGTTACAGGATGACCAATCTCAAAATTGGTGTCATGTCCAGGAAGGCAGATTGGAAGCAGGCGAGCGTCCCACGTCATGGGATGGCGTGTTCTTAAAATGGCAATGTCGTTGTTTAAATGTCCACCCTTTTCAAAGTCGGGATGAATTGAAATGCTCTCAATTGTCGTGGTATTGACATCGCCGAAAGGTGATAAGTCATGCTGACCCAGCGTGACTGAGATGGACGTTGGAAGTGCAATGCTGCAATTTTGTGAGCACGAAGAAATGTTAATTGATTTTGGTCAATAAGGCCAAAGTCAATAAAGCCTTCTCTGATGATCAGTGTTATCGCGTGTCCATAATTCATAATTTGTATTTAAACGTGTGTTCGCATTCTTGAATTGTTCTGCATTACGAGAAACTTAATGAATCTTAACGATTTTCTTTTCAAGTTCGTACAGCGGAATAATATTTCATGCACATTTAATTTAAAAACGAACTTTCTTCTTGATGGTTGAGTGTTTTGCTTGTTTTTTTTTTAAATTCGATAAAATGGGTGCGATTAAGCTAGCAGGTGAGTGTTCAAGACGAACACACGATGCCAAGCGTCCATGTCATACCACAATACACAAATATAAATAAATACATAAATAATTTTCTCACCCTTCGTCCGAATACGTGCCCAGATTGGAATTGTACTTCCGGAGAAAACAATCTAATATATTACATAATTTAATTGTATTAAAAGCGAGAAAAAAAATCAAACTGAAATAAATTATTTAAAAAATAAGATAACGGACGGGCTGCGGAAATGATATTTCTCGAGTTCACTATGAAACCACCACAGAAATGACTCCCACCATGGTTGACATTATTAATTGAAGCCATCCACGGGAATTCGTGTGGAACTGCGTCTTCTCCAGACAAAATTTTTGCTTTGGCAATAAGAGCAGATTGAGTTACATAGCCACAATTTTTTGTGCCTAGAAAAGATCCATGTTTTTATTTTTCACTTAAATTTTAAAGTTTCCAAAAGTTGAAAATTATGGATACTCTTTTTATACTCTCTATTTTTACCCGATTCTCTCAATGGATTTGATTCAGCCGAAATGAAGATAGTCGTCTGGATAAAAATTATCGCGTGGACAATTCTAAAATTATTGAATTGGTCACAAATCATTTTGCCAAATAATAGAAAACAACGCCAAGTTTTTTCCCTGATTTGTGACCAAATTCTAGAGATAGCAGATCAGAAGTAACCCTTTTGCGAGATGTGCTCCTCCAGTAACTGAATTTATGACAACGCTTAATTATCCTTTGTCATTTTCCAGATGCCTTACGTAACCTGAGAATGCAGGAGTACATCAGTTTTTTTACATTATACAGGGCGAGATGCAGTACACAAAGTATGACGATGATAAGCCACAAAATGACACGCGTCGCCAGAAATGAAGAAGGAACTAAAAGTATCAGTCAGTAATGACTAAAAGTGGGCGGTACATTAATTCACTCGGAAAAAAATGAAGCATTTATTGGAACTGCACGTCGTCAAAATTAGAGGATTTCATTTGAGATGTAGTTTTGTTACAAGTTGAGGAATAGCGAGGCAGGCAAAGAGGAAGAGATTTAACCGGCTTCCGCATAAAGCAAGTGCATATTGTGTTATGTTTACGTAGTCAGTTTTTACTGGTACGCAGTGTGAATGCAGAAATAGAAAAAAATGCTGATAAAGCATGGAATAGTAGGGATTTATGATTTCTGTTCTGCATAATAATGGTCCATTGTGCCGATTGGGATGGAGGAATTAAGTCATTACCATTTTAATTGATGTACTAATACGTGTTAGGTGTATTAGGTGTCACCTATTAATGGGATCCTTGATCGTGACAATGCACGCGGATCGAATTCTGAGTGATGATATCCAAGTTTTATATAATTTTATCATGGCTGATAAAATCCATCCAGCCAAGAACGACGACGCCGCCAATCAGTCAGTCAATGAGCGTCCGTCACTTAATTGGAACGGGGTAAAGGTGAAGGAATTTTTCCAGCTTTATCAGCAGTGCGTTAGTTTGTACGCACTTTTATTTTTTACGCAAGAATAGAATACATATCCAAGGACTAAAAAAGCTGTATGAGTAGTTTATTAGTTATCGTGCGTAATATTTATGTACATTAGTTTACTTACAGCTTATTAATTGACTTATCCATCACAGTTCAAAAATTTGTAGAGTAAAGTACACATACATTTGTGACGTATACATACGAACGAAATTATTTTTTATCTTGAGAATAGTAACTTTGACATAAAAAGTGTAAAAATTGATATCCAAACCACATTAGAATTTCTGCGATCAATTGACCCACTGTCAACATCGTCCTGTCGACTGCTCGTAGTGCGTCCCCTACTTCGCCCTGCTTGGCGTTGGTTGTTATTATTTACCAATAACTCATTATTTGCCTCCAGGTTCGTATCCAGGTCCACATTTCCTCCTCCAGGTTTCCTAAATCCGGTTGAAGTTGGTCTTCGTGCCCGAAACGGTGGTGATTCCGTCGTCGTCGTCGTCCCGGACACGTTGTACCAGGCTTCGGCAAACGGTCTCAAGTCATTGGATGGGATATGTTTCAGAATCTTGATCCATTTGAAGGACAACTTGAGTGGAATGTAACAATGGAGAATTACCGGATCTAAGGGATGCTCAGGGTTTAAAAGGTCCGTTATTTCGGCGTGAACCTGGTTAAAGTTATGGTCGTCGTGTAAGTAATAGTTGCATAAGAATTTAAAAAATCCATTAAAAATCAGTGTACCTCATAACCCGACGGGTATTCACTTAAACCTGGGACGAGGAGTCGGTCTGTAGAGCAATAAATTTAAATTTATATAAACCATAACGGGTAAATTTAGTAAAAAAATATCGATGCATGCATTTTATGGCAATTCTATATTTTTTCATTGTGCTTGACGTTAATCAATTCTACGTATGCGTACAGAGTAATTAGTGAGCTTCCTTGTGCCTGTGATTCTGACCCGACCCGTTCCCTTCCCTATATATTTACAATCCTTGCAATTATTAACTATCAACTACCGGCACATTTTTTTACCTACGCTGTTAAATCGCTGAATAGTATAAATCATGTTAAAGTTTTCCCATTGCGATGCATACTAACTTATTATTCATTTAATACTATTTACTGCCTCTGATATGACATGAGGAGACAGTAACAAGGCAATACGTGGAGGAATCAAGGACATGAGAACGCCAGAATCCTGCTCGATTATTAAAAACACTGCAGAAAATATTTATATGGCTCGTGGGAGTCTTTTAAGTGCGATAAAGAAAAATACTTAAAATCCGTGTAAACGTATCTGCGTAAAATTAATAATGCTGCTTCCTTCCATTATTATCAGTCGACTCAATCCCTCCCAGCTACACCAGCCTCACCTCACTCACAATAAATATGACCATGCTGACTCGCTTCATTATTCGTGACTGTTTATCTACGAGAATGACCTGCACACGCGACGGTGATGAAAGTGGATGGATTTCATATCTGAAACTCTACTTCTTCAAGAAATGAGTAATGATATGATGCACTTAATTTTTGTATAAATTTCATTTTTTAAATAACACTTTTCCAATGAAGCATGCACTCAAAATTAAAATTTTACCATCATCCACAAAGACCATGGAACCATTTGACCACTCGACGGCCAGTTTGAAACCTTGAATCAGTGAAATGCACTTATTTTAGGGTGACAATAATTTATCAAAAATAAATAAAAAAGGTTATCTTGAAACCTTGCGTGTATTCGAGAGGGTCAGCTTGACAATACATATGGAGACGAGGACCTCCTTGTTCCTTGGGCGAAAAATATCCCACCGCTACACTGGAATCTAAATTAATACAACAATTTAATAAAAAAATGCTAAAATTGGTACCAAATTCGAGACTTACTTGATGGAGCAATTTCCTGTTTGCACAACTCCACTGGGGACTTTAGAAACTCGGCCAATTTCCAATCAGAGCACGGACTTCGTTTAGCATCCAAGAATTCGGGGGCTTGACATCGTTCCGAAATGAAACTTCGACACGATGTCCGCTCATTTCCTAGGCTTTGGAGGAATTTCTTGTCACAGCAATCCTCCTTGAGTGGTGGATAATTGGTCCCTAGAAAATTGTGTGTTAATGAATATGAATACTACACATTTTTTTAAATTGAAAAACCAGGAACCCACCTGCCAACGTATTATTCACCACAACATTAACATGAACTTTGATAGATTCCCCCACAGCGCAGATAAAGTCGCCGATCGCCGTCAGAACTGAGGCCCCCTTAAAGACATAGCCCGAACGGGGATTATAGGAGTAGAACGCGGAAGAAATGGCCATCCAGTCCTTTTGCCCTTGACCCTGTGCCCACCCACACGACAAAAAATTATTAATGGTGAGAATTACAGTATTTTTATGAGGTGGCGACATTGCATCGATTGACATTGCATGCATGCATACAAAAATGCATATATCGTCACATTTGTCTGTACATAAAATATGCACCTTATTGACACTGCGATATGCGAAAGAGAGTTTCATATTCAAGTTGACGTTTACAGTTAACAAATAATGCGGCGGATGTGATGTAGTGCAAAACAATGGATATGTAGCAGCATTCATTGTTCTTCTTTCTTGATGAGACAGAACGGTTTCTCTCTCTTCTCTTGTCTCCTTCTTTTAGATTAGATTTATTCCTTCCCTTAATTTTTTGTCTACAAATTATTGCACATCCTTTAATCAGTTGCAGCCATTTTTATCCATTCCAAATCGCTGTGACAGTCATGCAGTCCCAAAATCAAACAAGAAACCAGATGCAAGCGGAAATATCGCAATTCCTTTAAAGTTCTTAATCCAATTCAAACATTGGGGTAAAAAAAGATGCCACACAATTTCTAAATATCCTCTCTTCTGTGTCATTCCAAGTATTTGGAAGTGTGTGTAATACGTATGTGTGTAGATACATAAGAGGAACAAAAACAGCACAAAGTTGAGACTGCTTTTTACCTACATGACATGAGATAAATGAAACAGAAGTGGATGACAATACCACCACCACCACTGACTGAACTACCGATGACTCTAACCGTTACCTAATTTGCCAAGAAATGAGACACAAAAACAATGAATGTGACTGCATAAGGTTTTTTAGTGTGTGGCGCAGTAATGAGATGAGATCCTCCCGACTTTAAAATAAAATATTACAAAATGAGCCGAACGAAATTATCCGCAACTGTTATTACAATAATAACGTCTACATTAACTTCACGATAAAAGCACAGTGACACAAAATTTGTGCAAGCAAGTCAGGAATACAAATGACCATCAGATTGAGTTTTGTCTCAATTTCTGTTTTTCTGAGATGCTACTCTTTTACAGATTTGGAAATGTTTTTGATTTTGATAAAGCTGTGCATTTTCCGTTAGAGTGATTTTGAAGGATGCAAAACACTACGTATGTATTTGCAAAAAATTGCATATGTAGTTTAGGTACGATTTCACAATCATTGCATTGCATCCCAACGAAAACAAATTAATTCTTGGTAAACACAGCAAAAACATGAACATTTCATTGGAATACATAATCAAGCGATCATCTCACCTTGTCAAACTTCTTGAGTAGAGTAACATTCGCATGCGGATCTGATACCGAGCATGGAATCCGTATCGAACTAACGGCAGCATCGACGTAAAGTTTGGTATTGTTTTCTGGTAAAATTATTCTGTCCCCTGTAATAATAATTTCAATGTCAATAACAAAATTACCAATTCAACAGTATCTCCAGTCCCACCTGGCACAAAGATATGATAGGACGCCGAGTACGAGACATTATCCCATTTGTGGCACGTGTAATTGCCAGATTGCGACTCTTTCAGCCCCTCCAATTCTAACAGGGCGGAAAATGCGTAGGTCGTCGGGTCATAAAAATCCTCGGTAAATCGGGTATTGTCCACATTCAGGAATGGAAACTAGACACAAAATTGCAATATTGAAATGATATCCCTCATTATTTTTTAATAGTATAATTTCCCATACCCCATCTCCACTGTAACTCCACTAAAAGTAATTAAAATTAACATGATTAAGTATTTTACCAGCATAACGTGTTATCAATGATAACTTATCATTTAATAAATCCCACCCACTTTAACTGGATAATACGCCGAGCAGAAGAGATGAACCTTTTCAAAGCTTCTGTCCAACACGACGTCCGTATTTGGCTGATTTGCCAAAGGGACCGTCGTCCCATTTTTGGGGTCGGCTAAAAGTATCAACAAATTCGGAGGGGATGATTCAAATTGAACGTCTTTGTCGTCATAATCGCTTTCCGCCGTGGCATAGTCGGACGATGACGTGCTAGCAATCTGACCCTCCACCACCACACCCACTAACAGCACCACAATTAACACAAAATCTCTCCCACCCCACATTTTACTCTAATTAATTTTAATTTCCTCAAGCATAATAGCAATTTGTATTATTGGTTTAAGGAACTCTTCACTGCTAAAAAACCTATGCGAACGTGATCCACAAACCAAACCACATGCACTGCAAAATAAATGAGATACAAAGAACGATGCTTCCATCAAGTAACAAACTAAACTAAACTGCATTTGTGGTTTACTCGGTGAATTAATCCACCCTTAGGAGGGGAGCTTGCGAGGTTGATAATAACAGATCTTGCTGCCCTTTGGATATGTGGTAGTGTCCTATGAGTGTACTAAAACCCTGAAGTGGTTTGACTCCATGGCCACATTTGCGCCCGCCACACCCACTCAAAAATGCTCAAAAACCACTTTCACTCCGGTTTTCACTCACTCAAATCCACGCCAAAAATCCAATTTTGCTCGGATTTTGAAATTTCTTTCACCATTACACTCCCAGATAGTTGCTTTCTTCAATTCGATATCAAACTCAATATTTTCGAAATTATTAGTATTTTTAAAATTTAAAATTCTGAATGAGCATTGTTGTAGTAATCAACAACGCAAATTATGCCTGCGAAATAATCATCATCAAAATTGAGTTTGACATTGGATTGAAGAAAGCAACTATCTGGGAGTGTAATGGTGAAAGAAATTTCAAAATCCGAGTAAAATTGGATTTTTGGCGTGGATTTGAATGAGTGAAACCTGGAGTGAAAGCGTTTTTTGGGCATTTTTGAGTGGGTGTGGCGGGCGCAAATGTGGCTATGGAGTCAAACCACTTCAGGGTTTTAGTACACTCATAGGACCCTACCACATATCCAAAGGGCATCAGGATCTGTTATTATCAACCTCGCAAGCTCCCCTCCTTAGTCATCCACTCGTTATTAAGGATTAGTGCCTTCCTCTTCATCGTCTTCTTCTCTTTGTGGGGAAGAATAATGGGAAAATTGCAAAATCTTATTATTCTTTACCCATCATCATCTCGCAAGTGTAACTCGCTTGTGAGTATTACTTTTTCCTATAAGGTAAAGTGGGATAAAGCCATTTCCTCCTCTATCAAATAGGCGATACGATGTGTACAGTGTCATGTGCATGTGCAAAAGTAGGAGGATTTGTAAAACAAAGACGGGGTTCAACTTTTTGTGTACTTCAATGACGTCTCATTATGATTCTATCAGCAAACAAAGTGCGATGATGATGATGCAGCAGGCTGAAAGAGAGGAGGCTTTTGCGGAATAATAATTACTCATGAATTTTGCAGATAATTTGTAACGTTACCAACGACGAGAATGGCGACGACGACAAAATTTGATCCTCAGTATCAACACCAAATGAAAAAAAATTACCCCAAAAGGTCCCACGACCCAAATTTGCAATAATCTATGTACTAACCACTTTACAACTGGACCTAACTGACCACCTGAAAATGAACGTTGAGAATGGAACAGTTCAAATGTCTCCGGAAGAGAGTGGCACAATCTTCGCAGTTGAAGACGAGTCGTGTTCCGATGGCGATATGGACAATGAAGAATATGCCTATGATCAAGAAGAGTTTGACGTCGATTTTCAAGGACAAGGCGACCACGAGACACTACCATCCATAAAATTCTCTGCAGATTCATTAACCAATTCAGAAGTCGAGCAAGATATGGATGACTTGATAGAAAAAGTACGAGTAGTAGCATTATTAATTAGGAAAAAGAGGGTATTTTTGACTTATGTACGGTGCCATGCAGGTGAAGCAGTTTGTCCCACCGGAAGTAAGCTTGGACACTGTGAAACTTGTCTTGGATCAGAACGGGTGGGATTTCGAAAAGTCAATCACAACTTTGTCCAACGACGAGAATGGTGTGGAAGGATACTGTTCTAAAACGCATATTCCTTTTCCGAAGGGAATCAATAGTTCTCCACCTCTTGTGGCTGAAAGCATTTGCAGAATATGTGCATCGCCCTGCAAGGTAATGAGACTTTAGCGTTTAATTAGAGTTAATCTATATTAATTCAAATCTAATTTCCAGGAGTATCACCCGCACGGTGACTGTGATTCCGTGGTTTGCCTCCCTTGTTGGAAGAACTGGATACGAACCAGTGTCATGGACGATGGGAGAACTTGCATCACTTGCCCAGTGTGCCCCATGTTTCTAGGTCGGTTTCATAAATATATGGCTGGACGAATATATTAGTCTTGACTTCCCCACTTTTAAATTTTTAGAGGATCGTCTCATCAAAGAGTTAGCAGCGGACGGTAAAGTCGTCAAGCGTTTAACTGCTAACAGTAACAGAAAATTCATCCAGATTTCAAAAAATTACGCCTCATGTCCTGCACCAGCCTGCCAATTCATTTTTCGATCAAAACTACCCCTAAAATCGTACTCCGGATGGAAGCCAGCTCTCTGTCAGTGTGGGGGCTGGGCGTGCCTGGAATGTCTTTCTCTATGGCATGGACCCATGTCCTGTGAAAGTTTGAAAATTTGGTTGGGGCTCAACGGTAATAACGATCTGCTGACCAACCAGTGGATTAAGGCCAATTCGAAGCCGTGTCCAAAATGCAGCACTAATATCGAGAAAACGGGAGGATGCAATTGGATGCGTTGTACGAACCCTGGCTGTGGGTACAACTTTTGCTGGATTTGTTTACAAAAGGCCCACGACCATACCCAAGGGGACACCTGCAGCCGGTTCGTTAGCACACAACCACCTCCAGTTCCCGGGGAAGTCGTAAATGCTAGATTTCGTCAAGAACGCTACGATTTTTATAGCGAACGCTACCACAACATGATCACAGTAATGCTTAAATTTGCACTAGCTATTATAAAAATGAAGAAATGAAAAACTGTTCTTTAGGGTGGACGTTTCAATCATATTCAAGGTTTTCATATCGACCAAGCACGAACAGCTTTCCAGCAAAATTCCACACCTGAGACTGATCTCAAGCTATTGGAAGACTTGCCAGCCTTGTTGAAACAATCAAAACTCACATTAGGATATGCCTACGGACTCATCTACTTATTAGAGAACACTGCCGAGAGATCCTTTTTTGAGGACAGTTTGGCATTTCTGCAAACAAAGGTCGATGGGTTGGAATGGTATCTCCAGTATCAAATTCAAATAGAATCACCCAAACAGATTAGGGATTTTCTGTGGCAAAACATGAAATTTTGTCGCGATCGGATCAGCGTCATGAACACTACGTCTGAAAGTAACTACAAAAATGGAAAGTGGGAGTTTGACCCTGTCATCATCTCGCACAAAACAGCAAAATAGTCAGTCGGCAAAACACTACACTTCAAAAATGACAAATCAGATGAACTTGGAAATTCACGCAATAAATAATCACTCACAATTAGATAAATGGAATATTTAAGAAACCCGTCAAATTGTGTTCATAATAATTTCGTATCTTTAATTCAGTAAATATCGGTTCAATTTGGTTTCACAATTTCACTGGTAAATAACTTAATAAGTGGTACAATTCTTCTCTAATCGAAAAACTCTCCCATTTCAGGTTGGGTTTTCATATCATAAAATAAAATCATAAAATGGTAACTCTCATCGTCCCTTTGATTTAAATATATAACAATATATTAAGCTTTTCAATACTAAAGCTCTCTTTACGATCCGATAAGCGTCCGTTGAGCAATAAAATACTTAAAATAATATAAATAATTACTCATAACATCATCATCGCCAGCGAATATTGTACAATAATGCGTGCTACGCTTTTGGAGTGCGTGTAATCTACTCCATAGAATAAGAGATATACTACATATTCATACTTACGTCTCAGTCTACAGTCATCGTTATAAGATAAAATTTCGAGATTTTAATAGAGAACAAATACCCACGAAAAAAAATTAAATAATGTAAATGCTTAAAATTCATATCCTAATCGGGACAAAGTGGTCACGACAAGTTCGCTTGCTCATCTTCTTGTTGATTCGATGCTAATAAATCGATAAGCTCCTGACAACCCAGGAGGTTCGCAATTTCTCTTGGACTCTGCCCCAGGTTGCTCTTTGTGTCTGGGGACAGCCCGTTGGCCAGGAGGTACTCCACAGTGCCCGGCTTCCTCGACTCGGTCGCCTGTATTGCATAATAATAAAACAGCGGGTTAAATTTCCATCAAAAAATAGATTTCCATCCCACTTTTTATGTATTCTTACCGCATGGAGTGCCGTTCTCCCGCAGGGATCGGGCTGACTTAAATTGGCACCTGCCAGGGTGAAAGATTTAAGTCGGGTGGTGTCCCCCTTGCTCGCAGCCATGCATAACTCGGCCCCCAACGCGGTTGGTTCGAGGGTCAGATGTGCTCCACAATTTCTCAGTGTCACGATAACTTCGTGTCGGTCGAAATCAATCGCATCTCGCAGAGCAGAATATCCACGGCTGTAAAGAGAAATAAAAAAAACCATAATTAGCAAAACGGAACATTTCCCAGTACATAAAAATCTCAAGAAATTTTGTTATTTGTGTGCGGAAAGCTTTTTCGAATATGAATAATAAATAGAATTATTAGTTTTCAACATGTGCACATGCAAAATAAGGAAAAAAAATGGACACGTGCAACTATTTCTTTAAAAAAATATCGGGAAAAACTTTCCGAAAAAGAAAACGAAGAAAGTGATAGGGATGAGACAATCAATTATTCAATTACCTAATGAGTCCTGTCGATGAGATCAGTATATTCACCCAAACTACCCCAACTATAAAGTCTTTTACTATCTTTTGGATTCTGCAATAATCACAAAACAAAAGCATTCTAAGTTCTACAATTCTACGACTGGATTAATTTTGATCACTAATTTGATCACATTGACTTGTTAGATATTATGAACGGATAAGAATAACCATCACCAGAATAATTAATTTAGAAGGAAAAAAGCATAATTTTATAAAAGACTATGGTCTTTTTTTAGAAATGGATAGAGCGCATTAAGCAGTAATTAAGACTAAGTCAACGTTTGAGCAAACTCTATAAAATTTTCTAGTTCTAAAATGGATGAGGTTTTAATTACCTGTCGCGTAAATGGACTGAAGCCCCGTGAGTCAAGAACCATTCAACGGCTCGCATGTCGCCGAGTGCAGACGCGAAATGAAGCGGTGTTCGGCCAGAATAATCGGCCACGGAAATTTCTGCCTCCTGAGAAAAAAAAACAGTAAAATATTTGAAATTAGTGTCAATTTACCGAAAAGTTTTCACCAAAATTTACGGTTATTGATTTAACTCACCGACTTCCCAAAAAGTGCCTCTAAATTTCTCGCATATTCTGCATCATCCAAATCCATGCCGGCACACTGCGCCACCAAAGCGCAAGATAAACTGGGGGCCAAAATATTCTTAATTCCTTCCACTTCATCTGGCGTTCGGAGTCCTAAACTCCCCGCGACAATCTTGACAATTTGGTTCACCGCATCGGAGCTGACGGTGTTTCCAAGAACGGAGTCATATTGACCATTGCAGTGACTCAAACCCCCGAAATCGTCCGATCTGAAGAACTGTTGTGGCTTGGTGGACAGCTTGGTCAGCTCTCCCCTCAAGTTGCGTTGGAGCATTTCTCTCTTGGTGTCAAGATCCCAGTCGGTCCTTCCCAAGACGTAGCTAAGTTTGGTCAATGCAGCCTCTGGGGTCATGTCATAGCCTGAAATGAGACGATATGAAAATTTAAATTATTACAGGAGTTACAAATTTATGCTAAAAAATTAGTCTGAAATCTACTCACCAGGAATGACCCCCGTGTCTTCACTCAGTCCAGTCTCATAGATCGCGGCAACAGCGCCATGACCACATTGGGTACAATTGACAATGAGGACTCCCCTCTTGGAGGCGGCCTTCAACTCCTCCAGCAGATCGGCACGATTCGTAGGGAAGTTCCCGGCCCCATACGTTTGCAGTACGACGCCAAGGGTGGGTGCTTGAAGGAAAACTTTGACAGTTTCCGGTGTAATGGATGGGAAGAGGCGGAGCAGGCCGACGTTCCTGTTCATGGCAGAGTGCACTCGGAATGGGGCGATATCCCTGGGTCGGAAAATGTTTTGGTAGTCGACTGCGAGAAATAAGACAGAAATTTTTACAAAAAATTCGTACACATAAAAATCAGAGGCAAATTCTGGCTAACTTACCCTCAATATTGATTCCCATGGTCGCTAACGGGCTCATGTTGGGCGAATCGAATGCATTCAAGCTATCCGAACTGACCTTTGTGATCCTATTCCCTCGGAACAATCGGTGCCCAAAGTAGACCGTGACCTCGGGAATATTGTAAGTTCCCGCGAGGATCAAAGCCCCCAAAAAGTTATCCCTCCCATCACTCCTTGATTCAAAGAGTGGAATTTGCGATCCCGTGATGACGATCGACTTTCCCAAATGTTCCATCATGAAGGACAACGCGGATGCCGTGTAGGCCATGGTGTCCGTTCCATGAAGTACCACGAACCCATCGAACGCTTCGTAGTTGTCCTTGATATCCTCCGCAATTCTTATCCAGTCGTCCATCGTCATGTTGGTAGAATCCAGGAGTGGTTCATACTCATAGATCGTGTACGTGACACGATTCGTCTCACCGTGCATTTCGGGGAGGATGAGTGGAGTCCCCATGTCATTGCCGAATCTCAACTTGGCATAACTCTCGTCGTGCAGGTGGGGGAACTTGCGGACGGTTTCTTCCAGCATGTTGGGAACAGGGACGAGACCTGAAATTTTGAAAATATATTTAAAATTCACATTCAAAATTGTATAAAACCTGCAAAAAATATAAAAAATATGAATAATTACCTCCTCTCGGACTCCGCACCATGCCAATCGTGCCCCCCGTGTAGATGACGCAAACCCTCCTTTCATTCCTGCCAAGGAAGATGTTTTCATACGAAGAATTTCGCCGTAACACCTTTGGGACCGAATTCGGATCGATCCTCACCGCCGCCGAGGGACACCCACTCCTCACCCGTCCCATCCTCGCCGCCGGAGATGTTAACGCCTGCCTCCCAAATTCAGGGAAGACGGACAAAACCTCGTCTTCCACGACGTGTTGGAGTTGCTTCATGGAGAATGGGGACGAATTAGTCGCCGGATTATTGGTCGCAGCAGTGATCGACATTTTCAATTCGTTTCTTAAAAAAAAAATTATTACTTTTGTGCTAATTTTTTTCACTCAGAGAACTCGCACAGAACAATTATTACTATAATAAGTTCACACGACTACTGCCAGCAATGTTCTCGGGCAGGGATAAGTTTATATTTGAGTTATTATAGTTTTCTTCACCACGATTAGCACTGTTTTCGCTGGGATTGGAATTATTGCTGTTTTCTTCTTCTTCTTTCAGTAACGAGACGCTTTGGGGATGCATTAAAAATTCAAAAGAATATGAAACAAGGAGACTTGATAATTAAATGGTTCACACTGATTTAATTTGTGGGATTAGATTGTGTATCTTTCAACTGGAGATAACGATTCGTTGTATGGTTGGCTACCGTGGAACATTTAGATACGAAATGGAATCTTGTAGAGGAAATAAATTCGTCTAAAATCGAAGAGGCAACTTGAGACTGGTTGATTTACTCGGGTTTAATTAATATGTGATCTGTCGTAGTAAGTAAAATCTTGTAAGTAAGCTTTCCTCGCTTAACACTCCCACTAACTCGGCTTCTTAAAAAAGAATGAGTTTAACTCCTGGGCAATTCTCGTATTTATAGCGGTGCAATGTTTTCCTCGTATGTAAGAATGGCTTAAAAGCAGTTAATGTGTGTATAAAGTAAGTAGAAATTTTCTGATGCAAGCTTCACATTCATTTCATTGCTCATCAGTGGTAAACTTTTACTACTAAATCCTCCTTTGTTCATTCATACCACGAACGGCTGAACCATCATCATCATCAAACCTCCACACATGCAATTCATGCCTGCAATCCAATAATATTATTTGGCGTCATATGTATCAATTCAATTCATAACTTGTTTAATAAGTACGTATGAATTTTTACGACTTATATTCAACTTTATTATAAGGTAGGTAGGGCATAACCTATGTAAATAAGTACTCCGTCGTCGTTGGTGCCGTAGCCGTCGTTGCTCAATCAATAACTTAATGCGTTCTTACATGTATATATTTTAAAGATTACGAGAAAAAATTCCTTTCCCCGCAAAACTTGCAGGTGTTCAGTTTTAGGTAGATGTTTGATAACATGTTACGATCCAAAGGTCCTTCGCATTAAGGTGCATGTTTAGAAATAGCCAAAATATGGACCCAAAATTCTCTATGTTTTCTTATAACAGGAACTGCTTGACCATGAGGATCCGGACCAACTCAATTTTTCTGAGGACATTTCCACTTGAACTACTCACTCACCAATATTTATTAAATAACCTCTGTAAATTTCCAGTTGAGCATATGTACGTACAACGAGGCTGACAACATAGTAACAATATTATTTGTAGTAAGGTCATATCATCTCATGACACTTTATGAATGTTTACCCACTTTACTTTCCACTCCAGCCTCTGTCATACTCACCTTGTTGTAAATAAATAAATAGAGAGGGAAAAAACAACAGTGTCATCTTATCAGGCATCATCCGGGTTAAACCAATAACCACTTGAATTTTTATGTGGAAGGTTTTCACGCTTCATTCATGGATATTATTTGTAAACTTGATTTCTTACTTATAAAAAAAATCTTCCAAATCGATTCTTTCTTAAGAAGAAAAAAATTCCAAAAAAATTATGCGATTCTGTAAAACAATTCATTATTCCACGGGATAAATATGTACATAACTTTTCCCTTCTACAAAATTGAACTTTTCCGTTTACGGCCCTCGAAAAGTTTTAAGAATTTGGGCCTTCCTTGTTATTATAGATACACCATTGTTACAAAGTGGCTGATGCAACTATGCCCAAAATTTACCATTGCAGACATACCAACACTAATCGGTTATCCCATCCGTTGGCAGTTGCACCAGTTTAACTATGTACATATACTTTTACATAGTTGCAGCAGTTGTAAAAAGTGGCATGTTAATTACAGTAGTACAGACATTAGCGTTCATTCATCGCGTATAAATAAATGCATGCAATGCAGTCATGATATTCGGTTTGGATTAGAGGAATAACTCAATTTTTATAGGGAGTGATTGACGCGGATGATATTATGATCATGTGAATGACACGCATTTCCCATGATTTTAGTCTTGCGTTCCAATTAATCGGAATTTTGGACCCGGATTTTGCAGTCTAAAGTTGAATATTAATATTTCGCATTATAAATAATCGCACTTGCCCCGTCTGATTTGTAGTACATCTCGGCCTAATAAATTGGCAAGTTGACCTGTAATAAATAATAACGAATCCTCCTCTTCGTTTTTGTATTATCTCTGTTCCATTTCATTTTCGATGATGAAACCAATAAAGAACGCACCCAAAAATTATTTCCGAGGGTATAAGATGACATTCTCTCATCTCATTCATTCTCTCCTAGCCAGGTCGGCGATACAATTATTTCATCAGGATTGGCATCCATCCATCCATCCATTTCATTTTAAGACGGAGAAACAGTTTACTTCCGTCCTGTTACACTTGAGCTCGTAATCGTCTCAGGATTTCTGGCCTGACTGCACTGCACTGCGAGGAGGCTGTTATAACCAGCACAGATTTCAACGAAGCAGAACGAGACGCATTAAAAATGAGAAATACGCGACAATTCTCACTCATCTTCATGACCTCGTTGCCTCCATCTCCAAATAATTTTTTATCAAATTGTTACAAACTCCAGAGAGCGTGTGATACTTCGTAAAAATTTACGTTTTAAGGTCACCTGTTAGTACATATGGAGATGTAAGGTCTCGATATGAAAAGAAGACCTGGAATGTACACATTTTTCTGTATGTAACTAACTCTAATTATTGATTGGTGAATCACCAAACAAAATATTTACACTTGTGCGTGTTGACCATTTTTTTACTCGACTGGACCAGAAATTGTAACTACATATATCGACATTCACGGTAATATATAAGTGATGAATTTGTGAAGCATGTGAATTTTGTAGGTAGTTTTTTATGTCGCATACATAAACTAAACCAAACCACGACCCTGTCCTCCTGCCTGCTGCGTCTTCTTCTTCTTCTGGTATTTCATTAAAAACTCTTCCTGCACTGATGTCCGAGATTAAGCAATCGGTTTGTTATTTGTTTATCTGCTCACGGCTTGATGACGAGTTGAGCTGATCATGAGATTCTGAGATATCGGATGATCTCCAGAAAAATGCAAATGATGGAGAAAAAAAAACTCGCCACTGTATTGCGTTCTATTGGACCTCACGTCGGATACGACTGGACCACACCACGAGTGCTAATTGACGGTGTGGACGTGACCAAGGTTAAGTTTGGGCTGAATGACCAATGCTAAGATGGAACTAGAACGGTTTTTTTAACTGCGACGCTATAATGAATTCTGTGTCCATTCATATTCCGGATTTACGTACTTATGCAAGTAAGTAAGTACGTACCAAGTAATTACGATGTCTCTTGCCCGTCGTAACTAGTATAATGCAAGGTTGCATCGCATCTTATTCTGCCTAAAATCTGAAATTACTGCAAATTAAAATATTATTGCTGGACATGGTTTTATCAGTTACGGAAACAATATAAACTACGTATCGTTGAAGTTCGTATTGCTTCTTCCATCTCGAAAAATTACAAGACGCCGTCGTCTCAACTTCCCAGTCGGTTATGATTATTTGACGGATTAATTGATCCTATTACTATGCATATATACATAATATGAGCATCTACATATATTCATAAATAAGTATACTAATTTTAAGCTCAAATTGCACAACACGGAAATTCTGAACAGATTTCTATTTCCCCCTTAACACTTAGGAAATCAACCCATTGGTCGGGGTCGAGGAAAATATTGCGAAACAAGGCAGATCTGGCAGATCAGGGCGCTCCCTTAATTAATTCTGGGTCAGACTCAAATAAAATATTTATGTAGACACAGATTTGTTCCAGGAATGTTCCAGTCTTATGAAATTATATGAAAAATCCCCTCCAAAAATATAGATCCGACTTATCAGTGATAACATATATAATTAACCATAATTAATTCATACAAGTCAAATCAGTCACTCACGACGACTCTTGTGTAAAAATGGTCCTGACAGACACATAATTACACACAATCAATCACTCACTCAATTCTTAACTTGACCGCAACGCAGTTTGCCAAAGAGTGTCATTCATTGATCCCATTTATACATTTGCATATTATCAAATGCTCCATAATATTTATCGTTTCATTAATTATTTACAATTATTCTCATTTATTTAAAATTACGAGTTCAATTTGATAAGCTCATCCATTCATGTCTCAACTAAATAAAATCTCAAAGTAGAAAAAGCAAGATGTGTACAATCATTTTCTTTACGTGTCCCATTCAATTAAAATTATATAAAAAATCGACTCGTGTAAATATACGTACATGAAAAACGTTGACTTTAATAACAACGCACTATTTCACTCCAGTTTCCTAAAATCAGACCGCGTCACGAGATTTCTTTCATAATAAACGTCGCCATGAAATTTTTTTAGGGTACACACAGACGTAGATGAGAAGTAAGTATAATGATAATAAATATGATGCTGGACATTGTCACTCTGAGTCAACACACGTGACGGTATTTCCAATATTTAGTTTGCACATTGTATATACACACAAACAATAAGACATTCCTAATTAAGGGGATTACTGTCAGATAAGGTGCATTCGAGTTGTTGCTTATCTTTTTGGTATGCCATGTACGCATTCTGTGATAACAATTACTCACTCGTACGTATTTATTTGGTTTTATTATATTTACATCACGATGAGAAAGTTTAAGCCTACATATGTCACGAGTATTTGATAAGCATAATAACTTGAATTGGGGAAATTAACTCCGTTTTTCAGCTTTGATTTCTTAATTGAAGTGACAACCAGTGATTGATTACTCAATCATTTTAGTTCAACGTTTCATTCAAGTGGTCACGTAGAAAGAAATGTCGCCAAAAATTTCGCTAGTGGTGTGACACCAAATGTCACCGAAACGTCGGATGAAACCAGTTTTCTCAACAAGTTGAGAAATTCACTTGTAAATACAATCGTCCATTCGCATCAAATTAAATATGATAATGAGAATCTTTCTTCTAGAACATAAATACTCACATAACCAAATACCCACTCAATTTTATAAATGAATTCACTACTAAATAATTTTTTAATTTATTTACTCTCAAGGTCTCGCAGGGTTATCATTAGTTTAGTAAGCTCTTTGTCCTGGAGTTCAGTTACACTCCAGTTTCACAACCAATCTCGCAGTCAATCAGCACACCACGAAATATTGTAGATGTCGTCAATCAGTCAATCAAAACGAGGATCATCGCAGTATTGGGGTACCCATACTAATTTGTATTTACAAACAGTAATATCTATCAATTTCCATCAATACGAGCGATTGATTCGCCATTAAATTCATGGCTAAGCATTTATGTATGTGCATTTACATACATTTTTGCGCTGGTTGGTGGGCGTTGTTTCTCTCTCTTGACCAACTTGGTGTTCATTGGCTGATGGAAAAGGTCACCTCGGACGCACCCTCTCTTCTCCTCATTCTTTATTCATGATTGCACGTATTCAAAAAATCATGCCACAAAATCTTCCAGATTCAAGGGAGGATCCAAGATTCACAGATTTGGACGTCTACATGTAGGAATTATTCTGGACAAACATTTCGCCACATGTGCACCCTCCATTCCATCCCTCCGACAAAAACACTTATCTCCTCCACCCTAATTTGCTGCCCATATTACAATTAACACTTTATTCATTCAAACATGAATAATAAGTGATTATGGTGTCATTGGTTTGATACTATTTTAAATCTTGACCATGATCGATTATATGCTTGTATTTAAGAATGTAATCTTTGCCGCTATACAAAATGAATAGTTCACAGTAGTCATAAAATGGTTATACATATAGGTATTTATTATGCCTATGAATAGTAGTTCTCGATTCGAATGGAACTTTTCCAGCTTTTGCAAAACATGTTTTTGATACGATTTATTTTTTTATGAGTAAAAACGATTTCTTGTCCTTGTTTGTCCAGACCATATATGCATACAGTTCAAAGACGATAACATAATCAGGACAGTGGCGACACCGTTTATAAATGTAACTTTGGCGTCGGTTGTTTCCTCCGAATTTAGTAGTTATGCACATATATCCAACTCTATAGTATTTGCCCCTATAAGGTGTTCGTATATGTATATGTATAAGATGGTATTGTATATTACTTAAATCATCACGCCACCACACCAGTGCTTTTACTTGTCATCATTTAATTTAAAATATCAGCATCCGCATAATAACTATTAATCATCATTTCTTAGAGTGAGGTCAAAATTCTATAAAATCACGTAAACAAGTTAGTTTCGGTTGATTGGTTCTCGATTAAATTAAAAACGATTCAGTTCAAAGAATTTAATTTATGTTTCATTCAAACATTGCGACATCTACGATGCAATCTATTCCGCTATTTCTACTCATGAAATTGCACCACAGAACAACATTATTAATTAATCCATTCACAGCCGAAGAATCGACTAAACCTGTTCACAAAATCCAGGCCCATTCACCGGCTGGACGGAGTATCCCCTCCTCAATAATCTACATCGATGCTCTTCCAACCTCGGGGCTGCTTTCTCCACATCTTTCACGTCCGCAGATGACCACAACCTCTCCGCCGGAGCACTCGCTCTTGGCCAAAGTCTCGAAAGCGCGTTCGTCTCGTCCACGAATTCCGTCCACAAGGCAGCTCCACCACCAACGACGAGCTCTTTCTGACCTGCACTTCCCGTAAAGTTTTGTGGGTCACATGCGTAATATCCAGGCCAGTCATTATTCCAACTGATCATGTCCAAGTACCAGCATGAGTAGAGAAGGGCACTAAAGAGAATCTTGGGTCACTAATAATCTGACCTTTTATCATGGCAAGATATCCACTAACCGATATCCCATCCGTGTCACGTTGCCTAATTCCTCCTGATAATGCCAACCCTTCCAAACATTTACGAGAACGCTATCCTTCTCAATTTCAACGCCATTATCAATCACTTCCTGCCACACGATGGAGACCTTTTTCTCCGGAAACGATGCCACAATTTCGACCAACTTTTGCATATAATATTCCTCCAGAGATTCGTACCGTGTCATGTTTTCATTCCTCATAAACGCACCTATGTCTGGGTTACTTTTCCTAAACAAAAATCATAAAAAGTTGTAACAATAAAAAAACATCCTGTGTGGTGTCTTCTCTTTTATGAGGAAAGTAAGTGGATGAAGAAAATGCGTCACCAACCAGCACGAAAAATCCACCTCATCTCCACCCAAGTGTAAATATTTGTCTGGAAAAGTGTCAACAACTTCGCCCAGAAATGTTTTCAGAAATCTATAATTTTTTTCCTGCGTGGGATCAATTGGTCCAAAAGTCCCATCCGGTACGGGTTGTCTCCCTGCAATTGTGCTATTTTGGTAACATTTCGTCAAGAGGTCGGGCACTGCTGGACCCCAAGATTGTGTATGACCTAATACAACCACAGACCAAAAATAACAGTCTCATGATAATAATAATTTACTACTGTTTTTTCACCCACCCGGTGTGTCAAACTCCGGAATGACACGGATCCCACGAAGTCTTGCATACTCGATAATTTCAGCCACATCTTGTCTCGAGTAGACATGAGTGTACGGATTGTAGGCACCCTTTCCACTACATAAAATAGGAAATCATCACACAAACAAAGGCGAATCGAATCCATAATTTTGTCTCAATTTACCTCAACTCGGGATAGAGTTTACTCTCAAAGGGAAAAGACTGATCGTCCACAAGATGCCAATGAAACGCGTTCATTTTATTCATCGCCATCAAGTCCAAGTTCTTGAGTAGAATTTCCTTAGACAAAAAATGTCTCGACGTATCAAGTAAAATCGAACGGAAGGAGAATCTGGGAAAATCTTGAACAAAAGTGCTTTTCACTCGGAACTAAAAATACAGAGAGAAACATAAAACGAGCATGGACAACAATTTGTACAGCTTTCTCTCCACATAAAAACTTTCACTCACCGCAGAGTGATTCCTGGAATGGTGCACGAGTTGGGAAAATGTCTCCAGTCCACGTAAAATTCCCCAGTTGCTGTTTGCAACTAAAACACCTCGGTTTGGTCGGGTTGGTGTGTCAATTTTTAGCTTATCTAGAAAAAAATATATTTATATTTAATAAATATGTGGGTCACGAAAACAAGTCATTTTTATGGTTTTATGGTAAATATAGATAAATGTGTCTCAATAGTTAGTATTTTTTTCTTACAACTTTCATCCATGTTGTCGTGCGGTAAATATTCGCAGCTTGAGAGCAAGTTCACTTCTAAGACGTCCAAATGACCTCGATACCCGGTAGTGACGCGTTCAGCTTGATTTACCACCAGCCTCATTTTCAGCTTCTGAGACTCTGCTCCTGCCCCGAGGAGGATGTCGTAGTATCGTTTTAATGCCAAGTCAATCATGTCACAGGTGAAATTGGTCACCTAATAGTAACGAACCAAATTAATTATATTATCAAAAAATTAATGATTTACTTCCATTCAAATTACTTTGAAACGGAATAACGCCATTCGCACGACCATGAAATTTTCTCCGTATAACGTTCTCCTCTGTGGTTCTGGCCATGGTTCACCCCAAGTCTGTCGAACATGAGGACCAAGCCCACGCACGAAGTGGTTGCGATGATTATTTCCTGATATTTTTAAGGATTCTGAAACCTCGTTATTATTAGTGTTCGCCAAGGCTGACGTGATTGAGACAACAATCAGGACAAATACTCTAGCAATCATAGTTTAAAAAAATTGTACAACAGAAAACAGTAACAAATAGCCTAACAGAGGAACAACTGACTCTAAATAGAGTTCAGTTCAATATGACGATTATTATTCCAACTTCTGCTCCACAGTCTCATTTAATCCATCATCCTTTTTAATATCAAAGGTGGTCCAATAAGTAATTACTCCTAAAAATCTGAGCACCTAGCTACCAATCCTCCAGCAAATATTACAACATCTTACATTTCCAACTGTTCATGGTTAACGACTCCAACAAAAACAGCGAGTTTAATCAACTCCACATTTCGTAATACTAATCTCACTGCTTGCATCTGCTGACAAAACATTGCTCACGTAATCTCATCTCCGTCACAAAACCCAATCCGCCCACACCCATCCAGTAATAAATATGTACATACATTCTTCTCCCCCTCCACTGGCCGAAAACTTTCTTTTCCATCATTATTTACAGTTAGTCATCATGCACCCATTAGCAGCACGCACCACCCAACAAACGAACGAAATCATCATGCCCTATATACATTCATTACGTACACCTCGTCCTTCCTCTCTCTCTCTCTCTCGCCGCGTGTGTCGTTTACTCGAAAGTGTCAAAGGTCAAAAGCGTATCCTTAAATAGAGAGAAACACCACTTTTGTACATCCTTTCCGGATTCAGAGAATCCACTGTACAGAGGAAATCTACGAGCGAGCGAGTAGTCGTCGTCGTCGTGGTGCGAGCGAGTGGCTAGATACGTGTCGAGTGAGTCAAAGCGAAGACAGCCTGCCTGGTGATGATGGAACCGTGAAATGACTTTCACATCCACATCTGCACCCGGAGAAAGCAGAACTTTTAACCTAATCCAATATAAAATGATCAAATTTGGGCCAAAATTCACAATCCATAATTTAATTATTGCCTCATATTTAGTTCGGATTAGTGACATCAAAGCGTAAAGTTTTTTTTACCACGGGGCTGCTGGACGCCTCTCTCCCAACACGCTAGGGCACTTACCCACATTTCCGTGGTGTGGATGGATGTTGGAGTGGATCTCTCGCTCTGGGTGAAAGTAAAAGATATTTTTCGGGGAAAGTCGGATTTCGGGAAGACCGAGAGGGAGACAGTCAGTAGTGGAAGTAGTGGTTGTAGACACCTCTATTTGTCTCCTCATGCATACATATATCCACCTCTGCTGCTACTTTCTCTCTCTTTCTCTCTACCTCACACACTCACTCACATCAGAAAGAAGAAGAAGAAGAAGAGAGAAGAGTTTCGCTGCTTCCACTCAAATGTACTTGACTTAGTTCAATTGCTTACACACCAAATCCATCCTTTCACTTCTTCTAGGAGGCCGAGTGGTGGGAGATAAGCCAAGAAAAGACAAAGTCAATTTAACCCTGGGAAAGAGAAAGCAGTGTTAAAATGGCCGGGTCGTGGCGGGCATTGTTGCTAAATCCAGTACTGCGGGACGATATCACAATTAGTGAGACATCATCAGCACCACTTTCTCATCCAGTGAAAGCTGTTCTATAGAGACAGATACCGGAGGTGGAAATAATTAAGGATGGAGATTACCTGGGAAGATTAGTAACTTTGTGGATAAGATAAACGATGTGGTTGAGTATCCAGTGGTGACCCACCCATCCACACCCACCCACCCCGCAGTACATACATAAATACATACATACACATCATCATCATCACTCGTCCACCCACTTCCTGCTGTGATTAGAAAACAAACCGAGTCACAAAAACAAATACTACAATGTGTTGTTGTATTCCGTTGCGACGGCTGAGCTATTTTGGGGCTGGATTGCATCTGGTTCGTTACACATTTCCATTTGGAGGGCAGCATGGTGAATAATGTTTAATTTATTTATACGCTTTGTCTTTGTAGATGATGGGGCTGCTCTACTTTTACTTTTTGGGTTGCGTGATCTATACGATGTATCGTGTCAGAGATAAGGATAATTACGATGTGAGTTAACTTTCACCGACTTTCTCGGCTAATAATATACATGAATTTACATGTGTATGATAAAAATAGGAGCGTGTGACAATGGGACTACTATATGTCGGCTACTATGCTGCATTCCTTCCTCCGGGTATCTTCATATTTTGGGGGGTGCATAAGGTATGCATTTTCTGCAACTATTAATTAACCGAGTAAATTGTGTAGGGATAACTTTTGAATCTTATTCTTACACCTTTAGAAACTACGCTGCTTCCTCGTCGTTCCATCAATCTTATTCTTTTTCATCCAAATTTTTGGCGTAACTCTGGAAGGAATTTACAAATTCAGACCACAAGGATTCCCCGAAGCGATGGAGAAATACAATCAAGAAGGTCTTGTCCTATCCCGACTGCAGGCCGACTATTGGATGGACATGGTAATAAAGTCGACAGTCAATCAGGGTCCAACTTCCAAATTAAAATAATTTCTTCCTCTCTTCGCAGTGCCTCCAACTCGCCATAACTATCTCGTACCTCTCCATGCTCTTCTTCTACTACCGTGAAATCGAACCGGAAGACACAACCCCCGTTCAATCCCGCTATGCTCAAGCTTACCTTCAACAACAGCAGCAACTCATGCAACAACAACAATCCGGCAGCGGTCCTCAGTCGTCTTCACCTCCCGTCCCGTGTCCCATGGGACCACCAGTCGTGCCCTTCCGACCTGTTCACCACTCCCTCACCAATCTCACCCGGGCAGGAGAAAGGGAACGAGGCGGTGGTGGTGGGAGAGATGGGATTTTAGGCGGAAACGGGACACCTTGTCCACCACCCCCACTTAACCTTGGAGCTTTAAACCTCTCCCTTGATCAGCAACACCAACTCTTAAAACTTCAACAGCACCCCCTCATCCTCCAACAGCTCCAACAACAAATCCACCACCAGCAACAGCAACAACTCCAACAGCAACTGCAGCAACAACAGTCGCACCAATACCATGACACACATCACATCCAAAACGAATTAGAGATGCAACATCGCCCCCAACATCATCACCACCACCATGAAAGAGGTCATCATCAGCAAGGAGGAGGGAGTCAGAGTCAGCAATCCTCGCTGCATCATCAACCCTCATCGCACAGCCATCAGCCGGACCAAGCCCCACCACCGCCCCCACCACTCAGCCTATTTCATCCATACGCCCAAATGATGGACCCCAACAAGACGCCAAAGTTTTAGTCTTCACAAACTACTTTTTTTAGCTATACGGTGATTTTTTTAATCGGTTAGTAAGATATTTGCCATTTTCCTGGTGTGTGTAACGGTGGGTGAGATTATATAAGACGGAACTTTAATACAAAAAATGTGCTGGGACATATTATGTAACCAAAAAATAATGTGGTGCAGACTGCAGAGATGAAAATAGAAAATGATCAGAATCTTTAAAGTGGAAAAGGAAAACAAACTTTCACCGTACATATACTCGTCAAAAAAATGAGATTTACGAGTACAAAAGCAATCATCCTACTAAATATCTGCTCTCTCTTTCTCTCTTTCTCCTGGTGCATACATAAAAAATACTCCGGTGGAAACATATTATTGTGTGTGTACATTATTATTATGTCGAATATCGTCTCGTGTTCAATTCCCATGCAAAAAATAATACATAGACACACACAAAACAATACTATTTAAAGGGGTCCTAAATAAATGGGGGATCTTCTTCCGACACTGGGGAAATCAGAAATTCATAATTATGGGTTAAGATGACGATATAATGAGCATACCCCGGACAAATATTTTTTTATCCTACCCTACTCGTGTTGAGCTCAACATGAGTAGGGTAGGATAAAAAAATATTTTTCCGGGGTATGATAATGAGTAATATGCGAATGTAACGAGTACATACATATTTAAGATGTAAGTTATTTTAAGCACTACTCATCACTGTCTATCTCTCTTTCTATCTCTATTGTCTTGCCACTCCGACTCACGAGTATTATTAAGACGAATAATAATTCATGCCAAATGAGAGCATTACTACAATAATAATTATCTAGACAAGTCTCACACAAAGAATTTGTAAAAAATAATACTCGTGCAGTATTTAGAGTGGTCTTCAAATTAATTGTATCAATGTAAAATCCTTACTAAAACTGGAAGACGGGATGAGGAACAAGAAAAATAATATTAGTACGGATATATATATACGGATAGCATCAGTACGTATGTAAATCGAGTATAAAAATCATACATTTTTTATACCCATCATAAAACTTGAATTAATAAGGATCGATAAGAAATCAAAACTTTTCTTACATCAACACCTAACCAACTACAAAAATGGGTTCAATTTTCGGACTAAATTAATAAGAAAAAGTGGAAACTATAACGCAATATTATTGGTATTATTACTGATGGACTCTTTTTCCGTAATAACTTAATGTGCTAACTATACTACCAACCACCACCCTCCAATAATAAATGTCAACCAAATAATTGTACGATTAATTAGCGTGTAATACTCTGATTTTTAAGAAATAATTATCCAAACCGGAAGCAACCACCTTTCCATGCACTATGTACTTATAATCAACCATGACACCAAACCAACCCTTCTTACGATTAGTATTATTCAGAATATCTCGTCTCGTCAAATTGTACAGGGTAACCAGTCATTTAAATAAGTCAGATAGGTTAACAAAAAATTCCCAAAACTGGTTCAACTTTTCAAATATGAAAGAATTAATAATGTTGTAAAAAAAATACAAGTAGAAGATTTTGTGTATTCTGTATACTTTTCTAATACTAAGGTACATATGCACACACCACAACTTCCAAAATATGTAAATCCAAGAGTGACAAGGCACCCACACTACTACTATAAACTATTTATGACCTATTTACTGCGGACCGAATGTGGAAATGAAGTAAAAATAAAATAAAGAATAATACCAATAAAATTGAAAATAAGCCAAGCCAAGCCATCTCGATCTAGAATTTCATCGGCATTTATTCATTTTTTGACGTGATTAGAAAATATTGGTATTATATAATGCTGAATTTATTATGGTAATTTGTCAATGTGATGAAACTAATTGCATGTGTGAAGAAATTAATATGAAGAAATAACTAAAATTTGAGTTGAGCTTGTTTTCAAACTTTTAAACTAGGCATGAATTCAATCCTATCTGGATGGGATTCTTTTAAAATAGAAAAAATCGTGTTATAAATTGCTTTTCGTTTTCCCTTAACCTTTTCTGCATCAAACCAGCTTAACAACGATGGGATGGGCGGCTCTCGAGGGAGATCTTCACAAAAGAAGGATTCGAAAAACTGAAGAACATAATTCCCACAATCGTACCAATTATCTTGTTGAGGCACTTCCGGTATTTCTAAGCGTATGTTGTCCTTCGTAAAGGAAACTGAGAACCCGTATCGTTCCTAATAAAAAAATAGAATTTTTAAAGTAAATCATTTTAAGTTTGTAAAACACAATAATTTTGATCAAGCTATACCTTCCACTCTACTTCTAAAAGGTTCCTCAGTGAAGCTGCTATACCTTTATGTCGTAGGTCTAAACTTTTAAAAGAATCAAATATAATTATCATTGGCTTTATCTTTAGCTTCTTTTCTCTTCTTCTGGCCACAAAACGCTGTAGCTTTGTGAAATCATCCTTATCAGTTTTGAGTTCTTCTACTAGTTCATTTTTCACAGATGATCCAAGTGCCTCCTCCAAATTATCTATTATCATTCCATGATAACAAATTATTGCTAGGATCCAGTGTCCACTGAAATAAGAAACAATGGATCAGAATTAGAAACAACGAATAAATCATGCACAAACGTGAAATTTCAAATAAATAAAAAATTGTCAAACTCACTCTTGTGGAATTGGTACAAAAATAAAATCTTTGAGAAATAAATCCGTAATTCCCTTCGTCCAACCACGTCGAACTACCAAGTTTGGTTTATTCTTATCTGGTATCTGATACCTCACACTCTTGGAATCCTTTATCTTTTTATCTTGCATTCTCCACGAGTTGTAAAATAAAGATGAGAAGACGACAGTCTTTTTTAAATCTGCAGCGACGATTCCTTTCTCGTGAAGGACAAAGTTGATCCAAAAATCAACAATCTTATCATTAATAAATTCCCCAGCGTCGAGACAATTAATATCACTAGCGTACAGGGCAACGGCGCCCTTGTTCCCACAAGCAGTTGATTGATATTCCAAAATTCTATGAAAAAATTAATTGCATATTTTAATGATGTTACATTTGTGAATGATAACCAGTCATTCTTATAGACTTATTTTGAACTTACAACTTGTTGGAATCGTCAACAGCCTTTTTGGTTTCGATACTTGAAACAGTATCATCATCATCCAGAAGAATTGTTTCTGCGACAGAATCTACGGAACCACAAGGTTTAAGCTTGCGAAGTTTCAAACCCCAAGGAGTCGTCGGCTTTTCAGGTGGCGAAAGCGTGGTGGGGGGCAACTGCTTCTGACGGGGAGGTGTGGAAAGGGGAGATGGGCGCCTTGGTTCCCGAGAAGGCGTGTCTTCTCGTGGTAGTGGCGGATCTCTTCGAGGCGGTGAAAATTTCCGAAACAGTGCATCTTTTCTAGGCTTTGATAATTTTCTAGACGGTAGTTCTTTTCGACGGGGTTGATGCGTTGTTCGAGGCGGCGACGATTCCCGAGGGGGCGGATCTATTCGAGGCGGCGACGATTCCTGAGGGGGTGGATCGGTCTGAGTATCTGACAACTTCCGAGAAGACTGATTTTTTCTAGATTTCGGTGGGGAATATGTGGGATCTGTATATGGGGATGTTCGAGAATGATTTTTTCGTTGAGGTGACTGACTCCGAGGATGCGACAATTTTCGAGGTTGCCATTGCACAGGACACGATTTTGTCTGAGGGAGTGGTGTTTTCGGTGGAGGTGTCAATGACCAATCATTCTCAATCTCTTTTAACAATAATCCATCATCAATCTCTGTCAATTCTTCTTGTGGGGGTGGTCTTGGCGACTTTACTTTCACTGGTTTGGTTTTCTTCTTTACGTCTCTACTACTTCTACTCTTAATAAGTTCGGGTAACTTGGCCACTTTACTTTTAAAATCTCTATCTCTACCACCGTCTTCATGTTCTTGCTTCCTCTTCTCGATGCGAGGACTTCGTCTCGGAGAGGATGATAATGACCTTTGAGATCCTGTTCTGGTCATTCTTTTAAAGTGATAATCTAGCAATTAAATAAATTTCTAAATTATTAATTGCAGTAAATTTATTGGACTGGTCTGGTTCGTGTTATGTTATGGTAAAAAAAACTCGGCCCGCTGTTTACTTGCTGGTTTCCTTTCCTGTGTGTATACTGATCAACTCATATGGTTGATGGTAGTGTGGTGGTTGGGTTTATGATTTTTTAATGTTTCTTCCTAAACTAATTAACTATTTAATTATTCATATGAAAATTAGTGATTTTAATTTTATCGACTCTTGTTTTATTCAATAACTGACACAATTTTACACAATAATTAAGACTTACTTTAAAGTTTAACACGTCGACATTTCAACCACTTGATGGATACATAGGATATGAACCGTGACGACCTTGAACATAGATTTTGGTGTTTATCTGTATAAATTGTCAAGTCAGGTCCCCAGATAGTTCTCGAACCAGTGATATTTTCGCTACATTACTTACATCAGAAGAAGTCGGACCGAAATGCAAAATTCTGGTCCTCTCAGATTTGCTGACTTGCCATGTTTAGTAAGTTTTTTTAAAAGAATTATTACAAATCATAATTTTGCTTGTTTTACATTAAATGGAGTAATTAATTTTACATAATAAGGTTGGGGAGCGAATATGTACTTTTCTGGAACACGGAGACTTGCTAAGCCTTCGTTTAGTCTGCAGACAAACGAAGGCGTGGGTGGAAGCGCCGCGGATCCTGTCCTCTCTCTGTGTAGATATTCGGCGTTCAGCACATTTGTATGTCGCCACATGATCCTATGCATTATATAATTAGTAGCATTATTTTGCAATAATTAATTATATATTATAATACATTATTCAGAGACCGTCTCCATCGGACCAAGCGCTCCGTCAACTTCACCAATTTTAAGATCAGAATGGAAAAGTTGGCTTCACAGAGCTATATTTCTACTGATTTTGCATCTACATTCGGGCCTCGAATGAAAGTTCTCAAGATTTCATCCACTTCCGCATGCTCTCGAAAAATTGATCTCCTCATGAAATGTCCGGGCTTAGAATTTGTTCAAATTTCTGACCTTTCGCTGAAAAATATATCTCCCAAAGATCTCGCCGTCCTCGGTCAAAATTTCCAATCGTATCGCACCTTCATTTTAGATGAGTTAACTTCTGCCAGGGAATCAGATGTGGCTGTTCTCATCTCTTGGATAACTTCTTCCCAAAACTTGAAACATTTGCGACTCCCACAAATCCAGTTTGAAATTGGGTATCCAAAAATTGATCCCGCAAAGAAGAAACCTCCCCCAATTTTTAACTTGGGTGACAATGGGGTTGCTGTTCGAGAAAGAGCCCCCTTGAACGATATAGCTAAAGATTTCTGTCACGCCAATGTTTTAAGTCCTTTGATTCATTACATGAAAGCTGGTACTCTACGTCTTAAGACGGTTGATTGTGTAAATCTTTGTATGGATATAAATAACGACCCAGTTATATTTCAAGAGTTAGAATCAGCCTGTTTTCACAAGAAAGTAAAACTCACAAATGTCCCGTTTGGTCTACTGGACTGTTCTTCACACATTTCCAAAACAATTGCGTCCTGTCGAGGACTACAGCTTGGAAAGGTGGATGTGAGGTTGGGAAAGAATTTTAGTAATATCCTTGGACAAACTTTACAAATATCTGAATTTTTCTATGTATTGTAGAAATCTCACCGCTATGAAAGAACTTACCTGCTCTGTCGGTTTCGGAATTTCAAACTCCTCCCCTTCTACTATCAATTTTGCCAAAGAACTCGACTTTCCATCCCTAGAATCTCTCGACCTCAACATTTTCACCATGCAAGATGACATTCCACGCCAAACCGTACAAACTTTGTTGACCACACGTCGCATTTCTCTGACTAAACTGTGCGTAGCCTGGAATTTGAATTCATCATCGGTCTGTCCCATTTCTGGGTTGCAAATGGGTCAAAGCTTCCCTAATTTGGTAATTCTCCACTTGACCGAGTGGGGTGGAGACTGCGCCGAATTCCAAAACTTATTTCTGGGCCTGCAACAACTCCAAGAACTTTCCATAAAGGATTGTAAAACTCTTTCAGATGATGCATTCTGTGGAGATTTGAACGACATTAGTCCATTCAGAAAGTTGACGAGTAAGAGAATTAAATTAACTAAATTTAAAACTTTGGGCAAACTTAAATGTATTTATTCATAAGTGTATATAACTTGCTATGAATGGACTGCTTACTAAAATATCTAGAATTGCGCAACCTTCGGATTCGCTGTTATGATAATGGTATAACTGGCCGCAGCCTGCAAGAAGCATTCTCCCTCATCGCACTGCGCAGTTTATCTATTAGCTTTGTGGGATTATCATCTGTACGTAAATAGTCATATGTCAGTACTTGTTATTTTATTGCCTAAAAATTATTCTCTTTCTCCTAACTTGTGCAGATTTCCATCCGAGGACTCTGTTCCCTTGATCGGCTCCCATTTAAAAGCTCAATCCAGTACTTGAGCATTCAACTGAAAAGTGGGATTTCCTACAATCAAGTGAAAAACGTCGTGGATCAATTTGGGAACTTAAAAAAGTATAGAATCGACTGAAACCACACTGTATGTGGTCCCGAATTCAAGGTCCCTCACAATCCAGAAAAAAACAATCGAGCATTATTGTTGCATAATTATACTATGCATTTATTTCCGAAAAGAGTAGTAGTACAGATTAGTCACTTAATAGTTCCATACAAATCATCACAAGTATTTATATACGATCCGAATGTTTTACCATTATTAGACTGCTGATTAGTGATTAGTGCTGATTGACTGCATATCGTTCTTGAGAATCAAATATTCTCAATTACCGTGATCTTCTTCATTTTATTATTTTGTTAAGTTTCTTAAATCTGTTGTCAGTGTTGTTATTTTTTATTATTTTTGTTTACGAACTTCTTCACTGTATCTTTTCAATATTTGTTGAAATAATTGATTTCAAACCTCCTCATGATTCTCAATACATCACGTACTTAAATATACATATACGAGTAACATTAAGTATTTTCATCTTCTTCACTAGTAATTACTGTCACAGATTATGTATAGCATTTTAAAATAAATAAACGCATTACGTGCGCCAAAATTACATCACGCAAATTTGTCTCCCATACATTTGCGTCACCGCCGACGGTCGGCTGTACCCTCATCGATTTATTACTTTGATCAATGCATTTACATTTTGGGGAAATTTGACCTTCACTTGGCTCACTTTCTCTTTCATGTTTAATGAAAACAGCTCAAACGCTTGTTTGCCCAAAACCTGTGTGTAATAATCTGTCGAGTGTAAAAGTTCTTGCTTAATCAATCCACTCCTCCTCCACACCGAGCTTCTCTTTGAGTAGACGCCAAGACAAGTAGTTTATCATCTTATTCTGTCCAATTGATCTTATCAAGAATAATGACAAGGAACGTCATCTTAGAAAATCATGTCTCAAATTGACCAATTTCATTGTGACAAAGGTTGTAAAGGTTAATCCTTAACCTCCTACGCATTCAAAGTCAAAATAAAAAGCTATCTTAAGCCATTTGAAAATTATGTATCCAAATCCCATCCTCTTTACTTCGTGGTCCAAGTCCAACTGAACGACCACTTGAGACCACAGTGAGAGAAAACGAGATAAAAATTAGCCGTTTCCTGCTACAAATAATTAAATAATTTCATTAACTGTCACGTCACGATGAACACGTCTTCTTTTTTCTTTGTAAATACTTTCTCTTTTCCGTAGTTCACCAACAACTCGTCCAAGAATCAACACGGAGCAAGTAACATATCAACATCAACACTCTTCACCTGACTTTTCTCCTCCGAAAAGATTTAAGAAGATTGGTTTAAAGCAGATTGACTGATCTCCTTTCACCTCCAACAACTTTTTCCTACCTTTCCTTACTTTCTACTTTTGTCTGTATCGTGGAATCTGCTTCTTCTTCTTGTTCCTTCAAGGTTGTTTGTTATTCAAGTAAAAGTCCGTCTTCTGTCGTGTAGCAAGCAATTTAACTCATCAGCTTTCCTCCTCGGATGATGACGGCATTCTGTCAATTTTACAAAATTTCTTGTATACTTTCTCTTTCTACTCTGTCTTTCATTCCCCTTGAATAAACTTCCTTTCTTCTTCTTCCATATTTGAGCATCATTACAGACAGACAGAAATAGAGGCAGACAACATCATCATCTCTCCTCCGTCTCAATCTTGTTCTTGTGATGTGAGCAGAAATGTAGATGGATATCTTTATTTATTTACTTATTTACCGTCTTCAACCATTTGAGTCAGTCGTCATTTGAAGAATTGGATCCAAGAGAAATTTGCTTTCACTCACTCATTCCGAAAGAGAGAGATGATTTCTCAGTTCCTTAACTGTGCAGAGATGGAAGAAGAAGAGATTCATTATCTTTTCCCCTGCTTTCCACTTGAGCTGTAAGTACGACCGTGTTTATCTAAATCTCATCTAGGCAAATAATGAGGGAGAAACACACCTTCGTTGGCACAATGGCTTTCTCTCCGTCGTCCAAAGTGATGTCAATCTCATCGTCATTTAATTCGACAGAGCAACCTTCCCTCCATCCAATTCAATTCCAATCTGTGTCTCATTCTCTGGAAAAACTTGAAGAGATCTGTGCCACATCATGGAGCGATGAGCTTGTGTGCAGTGGCAGTGGCAGAAGATGCCATGATGATAGAGGAGAAACATCATCCCCAACTATCAGGCCGACAGGCTGAGGGAAAGCAGTGTGTCACCAACATGGATGTAACATCCCATGACAAAAACATCATCCTCCTTTTTGCTTACTTTCTCCATGTATCCCGTCCTTGAGGAGAGAGACCTTAACTAAAACTGGGAGAAGTCTAAAAGACACTTACATGCATGCGACATGGACAAATACACACACAATATTTCCCCTGCATGCATCCTCCTCCTGCTCCTGCAAAGTCGTTGGCGAGATATATTTTCTGGTGAAAGTTGTCTCGCAAAATCTGACTCGATAAGTTGGGGCTGACTAAGACTTTTTCTTCTTCTCCTCTAAAAAATAGAGACGGATATGAAACCTTGACTGGTTAGCCTGCACGGAATTTCCTTTTCCTCGCCTGTCCGGAAAAAGGACAAGGAACAATTTTTTACTTGGATGCTTAATACCACCACCGAGGAAAAGAGAAATGACTCTGATTCTTGTCAAATTCAATGAATAAATTGTAATATGTGAAAAATATGTTGGGAAAAAAATATCTACGTTGATGACGACAATGTTTCGCATTTCTTGGGAAATTTCAGTTATACGCAATTCACCAACCACACCACCAGAGTGTAACCGCACCACCGAATAAATTGGGTTGATGGACGTAATATTTGAAATTTATGATTTATTTCTCTCTCTCTTTCCACCACCTTTTTCTATCCAATTTAGAAATTCATCTCTTTCGGCTGACTTCACTTTATATGCTGCTTTTTCTCTCTCTCACACACAGCCCGGTTCTGTTCTCTCTTCATCAAAACGTTATAAAAGATATGCAATAACTCCTTTGATTTTACTTTCTCGCAGCCAAGCTCATTTGGAAGCTGAGGCTCGTTTGAGTTTGGAAATGGCTCCATTTTAAGCTGGTCTTTGCTTGTTTAACTAACGTGGTGGTGGGTTTTTGTGGTTTTAGTTTCATGTCTCCTTTCCCCAAGTTGAAATTCTATCTACTTTCACCAGCAGTACGGATGTATGAAAAGTTCAAGTGTTACCACTCCACATCCACATCCATAACTCTCTGGTACTGGTTTTGATGAATGATTATGCTCGCATCATGGATTTTGTAAGTAAGTACCATCCATCCATACATACACCACACCACATAGTGCACCACCATCATCTCATCGTGATGTAATCTTTGCTGAGATTCAACTACATAAAATTGCCTGAATACATGTAATAAAATGGAATCAGACAGGACGGGGAGGACGAAATCAACGAGTCAAGTAGAGAAAGTGAGACTAATACTGCCAGTCGCATCAGCAGGGATCCATCAGCCTCTCGCATCAGTCAACTTCACCTACAGAAAATAAAACCAACAACGCCCTGCTGCTGGTTGCAATCATACATTTAATCCTTAACCCTACGTCTACTTTCACCCAACACCACGACCACCACCGCCGCCCAAACAGTAAATAATCTCTCTTTCAATCTGGGGATTGGATGACCCGATCAAATGAAAAGAGAGGAAAAAGAAACCCCCACCAAACCAGCGATAAAAAGAAACCAGAGATTAAACTAACAACTCAAGTAAAATCAAGCAGAGTGAAAGTCAACTTGGAAATAGATCGAAGTAAAAGTAAGTAAGTGAACAACGACGAAACGAAACTGTTTTGCTTAGGAAAAGACCTCCGTGGTGGAAGTTCTCCTTTTCGTAGTCGTCGTCATTTCGTTGTCGCATCTCATGTTTCCCGTCCAATTTGTGTAATTGTCCGAACATGTTTTTCTTTCCCTTCAACAAACTCAAATCCAAGGAGCAGAGAGCGTACACGCGTTCAGGAACATCTACATCCTACACATTACATTCATTGCATAATTAAATTCATGTTTTCAGTTTAACCTTTCCCCTCCGGTCTGATTCTTCTCTCCTTTCTCGGTCGTGATCATCATCATCCCCCTTTCACCGTGGTCCACCTTTAACCTTCATTACTATTTCATTTCTGGACGTGGATTCGAGTATGGAGAAAAGAATGAAAAGGGGAAAACCTTCTTATTCCCGGTATTTTCCTTTTGAAAAAATTCTTCTTCTTCTGCTCGTCCTTTCACAAATTCTCTCTCTCCCACTTTCTCCGTCTTAAGCGTAACAGCTTTACCTACGTTTTATGAAATAGTGTGTGTATGTGCAGGTAAAAAAATAAAACGTGCCATCAGGACTCGTTATCGACTCGTTGAATGCCTGCTTTTTGGGCGGTAGTGCTTTCTCTTTCCGTAAAAATCAGAGATTTCTCTTCTTCTCCTCCTCCTCCTCCTCTTCTCTAGTCAAACTCATTCAGGTAGAGAAAATCCTTCTTTAATCTTTCAGCCAAGTCTACCCAAGCCGGGGTAAGATTCCCATCCCAGTGTGTAAGTCAGTAAATGCAGGCAGGCGGGATGGCAGGGACGGCAGCCTGCGGGATAAAAAAAATCCTGGTCGACTTTCTCTCTCTCTATCTTTCCTTTTTTTTCTGAGATTCACCCACATGAATATTTCTTGTTTTCTTTTTTATGTTGTATTTTTCACCACTGAAATTCAGATTCAAGGATACCATCATATCGTGCCATGTTATACGTACGTACGTGCAGGGTGATGATGATGATGATGCATCCGGCCCGGAACTCGGCTGGGTGTCTGACGACTTTTACTTTGTGCTCTTTATATATCCCGTCCATTTTCACGAGATTCCATCCAGATTCAGCCAACCAGGTAAGTACGTAAGTAAGTAAGTAGAAAGCTGAAGAGCTAAAGAAAACCTGGTGAAAGTCGGGATCTTCTCAAGTCCCTGGCGAATTCACACCAGATTCGCATTGTGAGATTCGCACAAAAAATGGACCACTAAGTTTGATGAATGATGCGATGACCAGAGCAGACGAGGTAGCTATTTGCGAGATATTATTCACCAGGCATCATCACATGATGCCCTCGTCTCCTTCCTTCCTTACAGCACTTTGCCCTTATTCACTTTATTTCTTGGGTCGTCACCGTCATACTTTGGACTTTCTTTTTTGCACCCTTTTTCGCATACTTTTTTGCATACCACGGGATAAAACTTAGCTCTAGTGATGAAAAGAAAGTAGTCCTTCTTCTCTTCCTGTTCTCCAAATTATCAACTTTTCCCATCTCCTTATCTTCTACGTTTCTCCTTTTCCCCTCGATGTTTAGATGTGTGTACCTTCCAACACAAAATGCGGAAATGAAGCCAAAAATAATCCGGAAATTAAACAAGTCGCAGGGACAAAATTTAGTGTTGCGTGTAAACATTCCATTCTCATATATTTTACTAGTCTACTAGTTCCGTTTCCGCTCCGTATCACAAAATATAACAGCACAACGAAGCATATCATCCAATTGGACAAATTTGTTTACGGGGTGACGACGACCTGGCAATGACACGTACATACGGCGTACTTCTTCTTCTAACACGCTCCGTACGTCATGTTCACCACTACGCTTCGTTTACCTTTACCTGTGTGCTATATGTGTTTTGGGACACATTTTCCTAATATGTTCACCTTCGGTCGGTTGGCTGGTCGGCTTAAATTTGGCCCAGACGCTGGAATGGAAGCATCATCATGACGATGCTGATGATGATAATATCATGTCCCACCAAACCTAACCTAGCCAACCAACCAACCAACCGCCTTCTGTCACGGAGACAGAGAGAAAGTAGAGAAAAAAGAGAAGAAGAATTAGAGCATTCTGGTTAAGTCAGTCATTCGTTATTCGCTCTCACTCTCCAGAATGGAAAATATGTATGAAGCAGCGAAATTTCCTCCTCGTTTTCTGCCAGCTATAATGTATGGATCAATAAATCAATGGCATCCATCCATGCACAGCCATATAACAAACATGGATGGCCAAATCGCTAGGAAATGAACACACCTATGCCCATTCAATTCATTCAAGACCTATTATCTCCCCCATTATATTGGCGTGGGTCCGGAGTGAAAGTGGTGTGGTGAGGTCAATCCATCGTATTTTACTCCACGCCGCCAAGTAAGTAAGTAAGCAAACCAACCAACAAAACTTTACTACTTACTTCATACCCTATAAATTGCGTCGTTACAATAATATAATGATCATGGTCGTCATAATCGTCACCACCGCAGCTGCACCCGCCGTCATGGTCATCTTGCGCCTAAGGTGGGGAAGGAAGGATAAAGATAAAACCGGAAGGAGTAGTGGTGAAAGCTCTCCTTGAAATCATTACTATTCCAATAATGATAATAATTATGGAGCTCCGAGCAAACCAGGTTGTTTTAGATGGGGCCGTGTAATGTGGACGAGAGCCCTTCAAAAATAACAAAAGTGAATACTTTTGCCCTTCTGAAAAAGCAGGCGAGTAAGTGAGATCGGGTTGGGCCTAATTTGTGTAATGGACGAGATGAGTTTGCTTTTTGCTCACTCTTGAGTGCATACTTTGCTTTACTTTGGTTCTACTTTCACCACATGTTCTCCCCTCCTGGGCATGTAGACCAAGTCCCCTCGTTTTCAGGTATGTATGAACGAACAAGTAGTACAAACATGCACTCTTCCTTCACCCACTTTCACCAATCAACCACTTTTCTCCACTTGATGAATTAATTAATTCATCCGTTATAATTATTATTGCCATTACTTAATTAGGTACTTGTGTATGTACGTAAGTATGCTGAGCAATTAATAGCCAAACGACTCCAATCCAATCCACCGACAATCTAAATAAGCGGATAAATGTCCTTCCTTCCTTCCTTCCTCACGGTTCAATTAAGACACGCGCGAGCAATACCCGGGTTTTATTATGATATCTTTTGTGGAATGTGACGCGGGGGCGACGGGAGGATGACATGCAAAGAGACGAAAGACAACAAGCCTCACTTTCTCTACAATTCATCTTTGTCCTCCTCCTAACCAGTAAGTAATGGACGAACAGTCGTCGTTCGTCGTCCGTGGGTGACATGAACCACTTCGATCCCACCGCGGAAGGAAGATATGAGCCAACTTTACCGACGTATCCACCCACGCGACATACATACATACATGACATACTCGTCCTCCTCCTGCTCTCCACATGCACACGGGTTCTCTTCTCAGGCTCAGATTTACATTGCCAACCACAACCAGAGAGAGATAGAGGTACGCGGAATAAGTACTACACACATTTCTCAAAACCACTTACTTTTCCTTCCAACTCAATGAACCTTAAATAATGAGTTGGCGAATCCACAATCCCGTCCAGTCTGGAGAAGGGGAAGAAGTAAAACTATCTCCTCCTCTGTGAATTCCTTTATTATTTTAGTGCTTAATTGCTCCCGTCCTCCCATCCCGTCATGCATGAATATCTACACCACTGCTACCACGACGGTTTTCATTACTCGCTAATTTTCACATCTCATCCTAACCCTGAGATGGATACTCAGAGTCGGTGGGGTCTCTGTTCTCGGCAAATAGTCCAATTTAGGGGCAAAAGGCATTTACTTACTTTCTCCCTCCTCCTACATAATATCGAGAAGTTTCACCAGAAATTCAATTCCTTTCTCCTTCCGCCTTCCTTCCAAGGTTGCTTCTTCAGCAGACTTTGGTTCATGGTCGACATGGCCACGACGCCGATACGGTATAGTAGTCACCCAGTTACTTCCTCACCCACATATGCTACCCACCCGGCCTGGTCTTCCTCCTCCTCCTCCTCTTATCATTATTATTATTATGAACCCAACCAACCAACTTCCCACAAGCAACCAGAAAAGCTAACCAACCAACCAACACAACAACTTTTCCTCTGCTCTCGAGAGTACACATGCATCATCCCTAAAGACTCTTAAGCGATGATATACATCGACCACTGCTTCTTCTGCTGCCATTCCACCAATTCCATCCACCAACTTTCTCCATTCTCTTTTCGACTTGTTCTTCTTCTTCGTCCTCTTATTCCTAGCCGGCAACCACGTCTCACTTTACGGCGCCCAACTTTCTCCACTTTCTCTTTTCCCTCGTCTTCTTCCTTCCGCTTCATTCCACAAACATCACTCCGTCCCAATCATAAATCTGGAGGAGAGGAGAACGGGTGTGAAAGAGAGTGTAAATTTGTAACTAATTTCTGAAAACTGTGATGTTGAAATATGGCGAAATAATATTCAACCATGCCGAAGTAGGCAGAAGGATTGCACAACTTTGGCAAAACTATTGCAAAATCTAGCGCAATAAAGTTTAATATTATTATTACAAATTTGCACTACAGCTTCTCCTCCCATTGTGCTCCTCTCCTATCTCTCACTTGTTCGCTACTAATTGTGTAATTCCTCCCAGCCCGTTGTTGTATATTCAGTCGGAAAAGCTTCATCCTTATTATTCCACGCGATTTCTGCACTCCAACCCAGCAACTAATGCAATCACAATTCCTCCACGTGAAGTGAGACCGGAGCGGCAGAGAGACCATCCACCGGGTGCAAGTAAGTTAGTAAAATTGTGGTGGGTGGTGAATCCAGAGAAAAAACTACCCCATTCTTCACACCCGTGGGGGACAAATGTTCTATAATTTTTGCATAATGTTTTCCAATGTCTGACAATATTCGACATTATCCGTGTGTCCATCCCCTCTGGTTTTGGTTGGGTTGTGCTCCTCTCGAAAACTTTTACTTACTCACTCACTCACTTATATTCCGCAAAGTTGAGAGTCGTCGGAGAGTTGAGCTGGCTAGCTAACTCACCTTGGCTGCTTTTCCAGAGAGTGTAGAGAGCGTGTAGTTGCACGAAATGATTCAGTCCTTCCCTTGCTTCCTTCTCGCATACATACATTTAAGCAGTAGGAGCAGCATAACAAGTAAGCAGAATCAAGAACATCGTCATCATCATCATCCCTCATTCATTCATTACAGAGAAAGGACAGAAGAAGAGATTTAGGGGGAGAAAGTCCATTCGACATGGAGAAGCTTGATCCTCCATTGTCTCCACATTAAAGGATTCCACTTGAAATTCATAATACTACATGTTCCCTCATTCATTCAGCTCTGTGTTTGGATCTATTTCCATAAATTCCCCGGAAAGAAAAGAGCAAGAAACGCGGCGAATCTTTTTCCGGTCGTGAAGCACGCAGATAATATCTCAGATTTCTCAAAAATACTTTGAAATCCTCGTTCAAATTCTTTCATAATAAAATATGCACAAGTGGATAGTTCAAGCGTATTAGTTGAGGAGGAGGGAAAAAAGAATAGGAGAAAGCAAAGTGAAAGTTCTCCCGTAATCCAGTCTTCTACTCTCAGAAAGATAAGCCCCCACCGAAAAAAAACGCTCTCCTCTCCTTCTTTTCTTCCCCTTCTTATCTGGCAAGCACTCCTCTTCACAAGTGCCATCGAAGAACCGTAGGCAAGGAGAAAGTACGAGGTTTAAAACAAGTAAAACTCTCAGATTTGTACCAGATTACGGAAACATAATTGAAACTTTCGGATTCAATTTATCTTTAAAATCCACCCATCCACTCGATTCTGTTTATTTGGTTGGAATGTCTTTCCATTCTGCCCAACCGAACCGAACCAGTTTCCATCCAGAGTGCAATTCATGCACAATATTGTGGAATAAAAGAACCATTTTACCTATTCAATTATTGAGTAGGGCTGTAATAATTTTATTACCCGTCTGCTCCTCCATTCCACCAACGCTGCATGTTACGAGTCGTGTCGCTGCTACAAAAAAATTGCCAGAGTAAAAAAGAGAGAAAGCCGACAAGGTAGCAAGAACAAGGGCAGCAGAGAAGAACATGCTCCGATTTTGAAATACAAAAAAAGCAGAAAACCAACCAGTCCATATTCATTCTGGGCAGGGAGGCAGTGTGCATTGCGTGATCAAGCAGGGTTGGTGGGTGAAAGTAAAAAAAACGTGTGTGCGGTTTCTGGAATTCTGACTTGGACATGTCGAAAAAATAGTGGTTCGTGGTCGTAGTAGAACTGGTGAAAAAGTTGGTCAAACCTAATCTTGAGTCACATCGTGACACATCTCATCTCACCCGACCGAGAGCCTGACCCGGTCATGATAAGCCCGTGTGAAGGATGTGATCCTCACCTCGCAGCTGCGATCGTCTGCTACCTTTCATTCGTAAGGAAAACCATTTACTTCTTGTACAATTTACTGTTGCATTTCCAACTTCCGGATCATAGTATTACGTACTTACTACAAGTATTAAATCGTTCGGGGATTGAGAAAGTTTTGGAGAAAGTTAAAGTCGACAATAAAATTTTATTAGGTTTTTGGGGCAACCTGAGATTCTGAATGATTATTATGTTTCCTTTTAGTTCCTCAGCAGCTGCTCCTTTTTCCTGTACTGGTACTGGATCGGGAACTACCGTGAAGAGATCAACCCCTTGGAGGGGCGCTACTCGTCCCCTGAAGGGTCCGAGTGCGACGCCCTCGAACCCGAACTGAACCCGGACCAGGACCCCGACACCACGTACTACTCTCCCTCCACCCACTTCTACTCGCCCAACGATGCCGAAACCCCCACCACGTCCACCCACGTACCTGACCACCTTCAAGAAATTACAAATATTTCGAGCTGTGTCCAACACTCGGAGGAAGAAGAGGGCACGGGTCAACACCTCCTCTCCCTCGATGCCTCGGTCGAGTCCAATCTGTGCAGCAGTATAGGCGGAGAAAGCGATTCCTTCATTATCAACACCATCACGTTGCCTTTACCTTCGACACCTCCACACTCGTCCCGATCCCGACATCCCCTCACGGCAGGGGACGATCTCGACTCGATCCAACGCCACCCCGGAGGTGACGAAGACGAAGAAGGGGGTGACGGGGGGAGGAAGATTAGTGCCGTCTCGGGTAATCCGTACCTCAACGGGGATACATACTCACAAAGTAAGACATCACGAAACAATAGGAATAAATTATCTTGTCACAAAGCCCCACAGAATAATGTACGTAACGAAATGACACATACATAATACGAGAGGTGAAACTAACACATTTTCTCTGGATAGATTACATAATGCAAAACTTCTTCTCATTTCACATGCATGCATCCAACTCACCTCAGAACTCGCCTCCCTCCAGTCAGGGAGACACATCCTTCTTCATCCTGATCAGATTAGACAGGCGACAGGTAGACACAAGCCTCCACCTTCACGTTCCGGTCGTCTCGAGGAGAGGAGAAAGTATATCATCATGTTATTACTATGCATGACATTGCATACCTTTTAGCTCCCCCATGTTAGGCGGAAAGTCCTAAAAACTCATCAACACTTTCTCCCCACTAAACACAAGACCAGGGAAACAGGGCGAATCGCATACTGTTTACCAGTGTCAAATTACACTACTCTAAAATCAACACGGCACATTGTCAAATTTATCAATGACTGAAGAGCTGTGCGCCAGGGGTGTTTGGGATCAAGCCTCAGACACACATGATCTAAATAGGAAGCCAAAACGTGGCTGGAATACAATATTCTATTATTTGTGTTTCCTTGCCTCTCTCTCCCTCAGCTCGCCCATTCCTCATTCATCTACATTTTATGAATGAATCCTTTCATATACACAATTGCTCCGGTTTTGCGGTGTTGGTGGGGCATGGTGAAAGTGGTGAAAGTTTCGTGTATCTTCATTTCCTTATTTATATTCCAGACCTACTCTGGGGCTTTCATGGCATCTTTACCAACCTCATCGAAGCCATTCTAGCCGCCGTGTTCTATTCGGGACTCTTTGAGGTGAGTGCTGGTGGTGTTCTTTCCTTCCTTCCTTTCTCCAATATGTATAGGCTTGAGTGAGTTCAATTAAGCATGAAATCACATAAATGCTTGCAACAACTCTGATTTATCCGCGTCAGAGATCAAACAAACCCCGACGATGGAACAATATGACAATATCTTTGGAGAAATTTGGGACAACAAGAATATTGGCTGAGAGAAAAATTGGACCGTTATTTCATTCCGTCAAGAAGATGCTTTTGAACTCTGGATTTTATTATTGCTCTTTTTTTCATTATTGTTTTTTCCTCCTTTCTCGTTTTCGACATATTGTTTTTTTTCTCCTCCTCTTCAGAAGAGGTTCAATGATAATACGTAGACAAAACTTGAACCATCGCGCAATACTACGTACGTGCATACATGCTAAATCCAATCGGACATTATACTCCGGCCATGCACTACTTGTCGTGCTCTTGTGTATAATATAATTCTATTTCAAGTAGCCATTTGGTTTGGTTGGTATTTGATTTGGCATTTTGTTACTTGGTTCATGGCACGATTTGGTTGTTTGGCTTGCTCTTGACTCGAATTGAATTGCATCAAGCTGCCGTTGCTGGCTGACCATGTAACCGATTCCTCCTGTCTGTTCGTATTATATAACCTTGCCACAATTTGAAAAAGGAGGAAATAAATAAATCAATTCGTAGTCCAATTCAATTTCAGCCTATCCACTCACTCACTCGCTCATTCGCTACCTCACTTACTCACTTATGTACTTTTCCAAACGCATAAAGGGCATATTATAGATAGAAAGAGACTAAAGTATGGTTTACAACGCGACAACATTAAATTTCGTGGTGTGTTTGTCATACCTTACTTTCAACTTAAAATCATGCGGTGGGTCTTTATCTATCGACGTGGAGGTAAAGTTGGTGAGATAGTAGAGGACGCCGTCACATTAAACTTTTATGAGCTGTCCTCTCCTCGTCGACTGCAATCACGTCCAACAATGGGCGTAGAATGGAGACCGGATACGTATTGCACCCGCCTTCATAAGTGGCTCCTTTCAAATAACTGACCTCTTCGGATAATGCCAACCGACCGACCAACCAACCAACCAAGCAGCATCGTCGTGAGCCAAAGAGATACTTTCATCACGTATGAAAAAACTTATGAAAACTCGCCAAATCAATGGGAAACAGACCGCACAGGGAAAGGGTAAAAGAGAGAACAGCCCAGCTAACTTGGTAGATATTGATTGACGTGTAGGAGAGTTGTATGTATGGCATGTCATGTATGCGGCTCATTTTTCCCATTTATCCATTTTCTTCGATAAAACGAGGCTTTTTAATGCATACTTTCATGACGATGTGGTTGCAGTATAGCGCGCGTAGCAGTCGCGATGCACGTATATCGATAGTTTACAACCCTTTTAAGTACGTAATATTTCACCCAAAATCAAGCCGTATGCTTACTTACATGTGTCGAGCCTGAGACAAAGTGAAAGCAAACAATATTTTACTCGGGGAAAAGTAAGGGACTAATTTCTCTCAGGGAATGAACACGCAGAAGAAGCGACCAAAAAGAGAGAGAGAAGCTCGACGTTGCTGGAAATGGAGAGAGTTTTAGTTGAATCCAATCCTGCTATTTTATTAATGAGGAGGGATTTCCAAGAGATGGATGGAAAACTTTAAATGAACAAGATCTTAAATTGCTGTGCCGTCCCTGGTTCGCAAAACGGAGAGAAAGTCACTGCTGTTCTGCCCTTGATATTCTCTTCTCTCTGCCTTTCCAGACTTTCACCTTACAGCTACGAACTTATTTACTGCCTGCGTTCACATACTCACCCCAAGAACCGCGACTACTACGGCTAATGTGAATTCATCTCATTCCCCCACGGATTCCCGACTGCTTTGCTGATTAATCTTTAAGCAGACAGAGAGAAGCATGTTGGGTTTGTAGGGCAGGTAAATTAGATATGTCGTTAGATACATATTAGCCCGAGTGGCGAGAGAGAGAGTGTCAATCCGTTTTACACATGTACATTTGAAATTGGGGACAAAATTTGGCCCGTTGGAACCTCCCCTTCTTCCGGAGTGGTTCGTAATCATGGAGAAGATAACAACCTCGCAGCAAAAAACAATGATTACAGTTTGAACCGTTTACAAGAAATTGGACCAATTTAAATAATTATTTGCGCGGAATGGAGGAAGAGAAACAAAGTTACAAAGTAAATTCTGACTAGTTTCGAATTCAAATTTTACTTAACAACTCAATTCTTTGAGTATATACAGACAAACTGTCTGAGGAACTTTCTCTCACACAATTTGTGAACCAAATCCATACATTTCCTTTAAACCAAACCGACCAAAACGGATCCACCAAAGTATTTCTCTTTGTCTGCACAAAATTCGTTCATCCATCCATCCGTCTATCCATCTATCCGTCTATGTAGCAGCACCTGCACCTATTTTCACCAGTTTTCTCCTTGTCTGTTACATACACACACAATAATTAATTTCTCCCGTAATCATCTCTCCGTTGAAATAAGTGACGTCTGATTGCCACTGCTGCGAGATCCTTGCTTTCCTGCATTATTACTCTGCAAAATGAAAATGGAAACCAATTTCAATCCTATCGTCATCTCATCCAAATAGAAAATAGGAATCCAATCAATGTCACTTGTAAGGAAATCACTCTCCTTTTCAACCTGGCAGAAGTCAGCCTGTCGTTTCATTTCGTTGGTTGGTGAGAGCGAGATGGAAATTTTAATGAGTTTCCTGCCCCTATTCATCATCTCTCTGCGACGTACATACTTTACATACATATGGCCATCCCGTCCCCTTCCTGTGCGGTGTGTGGGTACCTTGTCCGGATTGATAATGGATGATAATACCGAGCCGTTATGAAATGGAGGATGAGGTGAATAAATACGAATTGTGATGAACTATTTACTCACTCACAGATCCAATCCGAGCCTCATCCTCCCATTGTATAAAATCCTACAGCATTTACATTCATGAAACTATTTACTACTTGACTAAAGTTTAGTTAGACTGTCAATAATAATAATAAATTAAGTGTATTGCTTTCTCTTCCGGAATTGTCGTCCTTTTCAAAAGAAACTTTACTTTACTTTACTTTACTTACTTGGTTTCTCTTCTCATTTCAGGACAACCTCAAAACCAGTCTGGCTTGGGTGATTGGCTTCTCTTCAAACTTTATCGTGGGCAACTTTCTCTACGTTTTGCTCCTTTTGTACTGTACGAATAGAGGGAAAGTGAAACAATTGTGGGGAAGATGGCTGATTGAGTGCGTATTCAACGTGGTGAAGGATTTGTACTGGATTTGGATCGGAGTATCTTTTCTCGACAGTTTGGTTAAGCGATCTATCAATCCGACATAGAAATTTGAGCTGTATAAGAGGTCGATCTAGATATATTGCTAGTTATGTAAGTTAAGTTTAAGGTAAAGAAAAAAATGTATGGAAAGGTGAAAGTATTTTCAAACTTTAATGATTTATCGGTATCTCTTAAACATAAAATATTTTTTAATACGAAATATTTACTGGAAATTATCTAATGAATTTCTGAACAAATTTATTTTTCATATTTTTATTATGTCATTTTATAATGATAATGTACTTTTACGTATTTATATAATCTTTATTTTTGTGTACCTTATTAATTTTAGTTCAAAGTTGTGATTACATACATGTATAAATCTCATCGATAATAGAAGTTTGAAGAATAACATAATCTCAGTTTGGCAACAAGTTACATATAATAAATTTATGTCCCATAAATATTTTTTCTAAACAGGGAAATGCGTAATTCAAGTAAAGAAGAGGAACGAATAAGAAAAAACCTGAGCATAAAATCAGAATTATGAAGAAATGACTTACACCAGATTAAAGATGAAAAATTCAGAAACGATATACGCTTAGACCTCGCGACGCTTAATAATATTTTCAGATATTAATCTCTCACACATTCACACATACAAAAAAACACACTCACAAAGTAAACATGTATGTAAAGTAAATAACTTACATAATTGTAATAATAACAGTAAGAATAATGTCTAAATGATGATGGAAACTCTATATAATTATCTAATCTAATTAACTAATAACGAATCCCTACCGTATTATTACTTGAGTAACAACAACACCAACATATTTTCGAGTTGTTTTCCCTGCCAAACTTTTTTGTTTTTCTGTTTTCTCTCCTAAAAAACTACTACATCAACTTTATTAATCATATATAATGAAAATTGTACGATGAACATTTTTCTAAAATTTACCATCAATAAAAAACTTTTTTGCACATTACTACCGCTTCTCCTTCCTCCTCCCACAGACATGACGAGATATAATTGAACTGGGTGATAATTATAGGACTGTAGAAGAACGGAACAATGACGGAGATTCTAAATAAGTATGTGTACTTTCGGTGAGTCGTCGTACCACCATAAAAAAAGTATTAGCTAAACTAACTAAAAAAATCCATCCGTCTCATTATTTAGCACAGTGTGAAACAAACAGGTGAAAAGTCTATTATATTTGCTAATAGGAACAGTTTTAAGCTGCGGGGTTTCTCTAGAGAGCTGTGTTTCATTACAACTTTTCTCTCCCTTTGTAAATCGTCATGTTTCGCGAATGTGTAATGCTTCTTCTTTCTATTTACTGGGTGGCTGTCTGGCAAGAAGGCGAAAAAATTACACGTTGTTTGTTGTATAGAGTTTGACAGGTAGTTTTTTTTTCTAGGAAAAAAAGAGTGAATCGTATACGTAATAAAAGTTGGCACTTTCTCATCCCATTATTCCCTGGGACGCGGAGGAAAAGGCGACATTTTTGGAAGCAGATTGAAAAAGAAGGCACATTTTTCCTTCACCTCACTATTATTGGAAAAGTTCAGACTTTTTGTTAAGGTTAACGACGTACTTTTTATGCATATTGTTGAAAATGATGTCGGAGTAGGTTAGTTACTTAACTTTTGCGCAAATTTGACACTAGACACGTATAGCACAAACAAGAATGACACAGTGATGATACATCCGACGTGACATGTTTTGACTTTCCGTTTCCAGTCTTTGTTACTTACGACAGACAAGAATGGAATAATAATGGTGATAATTATTAAACTAGACAGAAGACGGTTTTGGCTGGGTTATGTGTTTGACAGTCTACCAACATTTTGGCCACAGGTGGATTTTAAATGTTGCTCACTTTCTCTTTATTGTCCGAGTTCGGATTAATGGGACCGGTTGGACTGCTCCCTTCGAATGAATTGTCAAGAGAGGAGAGCTGCATGAAAATGGAATATTATGTAAATCCGGATTATGCAATGTAAATGATTTAGTAACATAGTAATCATAGGATATTGCCTACCTGTCCAACCGAGTCGGATCTCCCGTACGGAAAAACACACAAATCTAATGGGCATAATAACTCTTCTTGAGCATAGTCTGTACTGGCACGTTTTCGACGGAGTGGAAATTGACTCTTTTTGACAATCTGTGGGACCAGATTAATTAAAATTGTTATTATACAATCTGCATTCGTCATAAATTAGTCTTCCATAACAATCAGCTCACCTTAACTTTGCTTGTGGGATTAATCGGGACAAAATCAGAGGCTAATTCTGCCCTTCTTTTCTCCCCCACGATCTCCCTCCCAACCAATTCGTTAATCAGAAGGCAGAGATGTCTCCTCAGGAGGGTCTTGTTTCCCGGGATGGAAAGTAAAGTCGCCATCAACTCGGCGTTGAAACGTGGCTCGAAAATTATTAGTCCACCGTGAACTCCGGAGCCTCGCAAGTTTGGAGCATATTCTGCCAGATCTATCGCCCTCAACCTAAAGATGAAAGTATTTTGATTATGTAATTAATTGTATGGAACATTTTTCAGAGAAATTCTTCGTCAGTTTCTGTACACTTTCTATATTTTTCATATTTATTACCATTCCATAACGCGGTGGTTTGTCCAAGATGCCACCTGCAGACTTCCACCACCACCACTTCCGGTTGCTGAGCCCCCATCAGAACTATAACTATTGTCCCCACTGCCGTTATTGTTCCCGATAATTTTATTATTCCCGCGCAGCCCGGGGGTCGGTCCTCCCCTTCTACATAAACAGTCCGGATGGAATTTATGAATTCGGAGGATTTGAATTCCTCTCTTGATGCTGGCGTGATGAAGGAGTGATGTCACCTGTGAATGAATACACAAGAAAATCAGATAAGTTCCTTATTCAATTATTGTTCAATTATGTTTCAATTATGGAACAATTATTGTTCTTCATCCAAGTTTTTCTTACCTTTAACGAGACTAGATCTTCCGCCGTCAAATAGTTGAGCACTCTCCCGTCGACTTTCGCCTCGGTGAAAGTTTCCTTGTACTGGGGAAGACCAATATCATCCAGCCATCGAATGACCCAGTTGTAATCCAACCGACCAGAGTTGTCCTCCTGCTCTGGATTTTTATACGCTGTTAAGGCCAAGACCAACTTTTTCTTGTGGAGGTGATTCTAAAAACGAAAGATATACATACACTTAAAATTGTGATTTTAAATACAAATGAGTAAACAAAAGTTAATTTGTCACCTTGATTCCTAATTCTTTCTCCAATTCGTGCGGACTCGCATCAAGCAATTGTTGACCAGTTTTGACCCAACGCTTCACATCTCCGGCGTAGACTCCAAGCCCGATGAAATTAAGCCATTTAATGACAGCTTCGGAATCCCAGGATTTTATGTCACCTTCAGGCCTACATAAAAGGAAAATGGTCAAAGTTGACGAAACTATGCCGTTCAGGATTACGTAAGAATTGCTTACATTTTTAGTGGCGGGGTCGACTCCTTGTTCGCCCAACCAAGTCGAGGTTGTGCAGTAGATCGGATCGCACCACCGCGCACAAATGGTCCAAGAGGTTGTTGTGGAGCTCCTTCTGCTGGACTAATTTGATCACTGTAATCTAATCCACCAGAATTTGAGCGTCGTAATCGGCCCAAGATCTTCATAATTCCTCTAGACTTGTGACCACCAGGTTTACTTTCTTTGGAAGAAAATGGTTGTGGTGGCGCTATGGAGAATGGAGGAGGACCAGTCCCGTTGTAATTTCCAGAAATGTTTCCACTGGACTTATTCCGTTCCCAGCAAGCATGTTTATCAACTATTTAAAATTTTAAAAAAATGTTCAAATAAAAATATTATGAGATAGAAGATTACAAATCAAACGACAATAACTACCAAACTCATGCCATGCGACATCATAATATTGTTTAAATGATGTAAAACCACACGATAAAGCTTTCACAAAAAAACGCACACAAATTCCAACACGGTGTATTTCATGCTGTTAAACAAATAAAATGTTAATCTACACACGGGATTGATGTCTACTTTCCAAGCTAAATTTTAATAAACCAAGTGGCCCGAACCTAAATTCGGAGTGGACGTGCTCCTATGATTTTTCCTACCAGAAGTCCTGCCATACTTCCCACCACCATGGTCAGCATTATCTTCGTCACGCCGTGAACAAGCCATTTTCACCACCCCAGCAGTCATACCATCATTATTTACACCACCACCACCCATTATTAAAGTATTGTTAGCGACCACACCACGATCATCATCAACACATAAACCCCGAAAATCATCGCAAAACACGGACATTTGATAATTATGCTGTCTTCTGGGAAGACTGGGATAAAACGTGCTATCATTATTTCTTGAGCTTTGTCGCATCGGAGAATTATTATTTTTCACGCCACGCTGCAAACTCCGGAAATAATTGGGATTCGGTGACCCAACAAGAAGTGGGGATGGACAATTATTATTACCGGAAGTCGAGTTATTATTGTAGTGAATGGCGTTAATGTTCCCACTCGAGAAGGAAGTCCCCTTCTTGTTCCCGTTTCCAGTAGTATAATTCTGCTCTGGTGAAAGCGACAGGGGTGCAGCCGCAGCGGATCGGCGAGGTACGGTGCCACCGTAGGAAGTGGTATCTACTCGTCGGTAGGCGTTTGCCGGTGGCGTCTAGGAAGACAATAAATGTGTAATTTACACGTAATTTACCTATAATTTAGGTCTTTATATTATGAAGTAGGTACATACCCTGGTCCTCTGTGGCATTTGAACTTGACCAAAGTGATCACCTCCACTGCCAAGTCGCAATCTTTGGCCTTCAGCCGTGAGATGACTTGCTGGCGACCCGGACCGATATCCACCATTCATCGCTAACATAAAAATACAAAAATAAATTAAGATATCAGATTACTAATACATCTATTTAAATCTAGCCGATTCTGTCAACATTAAATATATTTGTTTAATCAAATCATTCATATGAATCTCACCTGCTGGAACGGGTGGCTTATCCCAAACCACGTTTCGATTTGGGGCTCCATCGATATAATTTAAATCGCTCAAAGAAGATTTCATTCCGCTTCCCCCACATTTTTCTTTTAACTCGTAATTTTCTCTTTCGAGAGATACTTGTTTTAATCGAAGACTTGATAATTCTGTGAGAAGTTCAAGCTTTTGCGTTTCTAGTGAAGATCTGCCCACACAATTAAAATTTATTAATAAGTGTTTCATAAAATTTGGAAATTATGGTGATTTTAATCAATACCTCGTTAAAAGTTCTCGTTGTAGCGACTCTTCCGTAGTTTCTAATACGTTCTTTTTGTCATCGAGTAATTTCTCAAGATCCTGAATCTTTCCAGTTTGTGCGTCTATTTGATCGGATAGGACGGAAACTTGGAGGTGTAGCGTTTCTTTGTCAGATTCCAGGCGAAGAAGTCTATCTTCATAGTCCAGGCCGAGTAGTGAACCCTAAAACACAAAGAAAATGAAAAATAATTATTTATGAATGCTGTCTCAATAAATGGCAAATGACATGGACTAATCTCAATTAAAATCATTCATAATTTCTCCAAAATATTCCCCCAAGTTGACCAACTTACCCCCAAACCACCCCCCTTTCCTCTTTCCAAACAACACACGCACATTCCATGATGCGCACTCGTCGCACCACCACCACCGCTCCGCATCCTCGGAAACGTTTTTGCTGCACAGGAATGACAAAACGTCCCAAAATCAGGAGACGATCCTAAACTTCCCAGCCCAACACCTCCTCCTAATCCCCCACCACTCGTTCCCCCAGCAGAATCAAAGAACCCACTCCCCAAGGGACTCGTTGGTCTGCTGAAGAACATGTGAGCGTTGTAAGCCGCATTATAGGCAGCATTATACGCCACATTATACGCAGCCGATGACGTGGGAGAAATTTCGCCCGCAAAATTCGGAGGGTTTGGATGATACGAAGAATGTCGGTTGGCTGAAGATGTCGATTGTGCACTCATGGAGGATGTCATGGGAGAAAGTTCACGCTCACTCTGCAAATCTTGACTATGCCCCCACAAGTGCTTATTTCTGCAGTGTTTCGTAGGCTTGCCTCCACTTCCACCTGCCAAACTCTTGTTCTGATACCCGGATGCGGGTCTATTGCTAGGTGCTCCTAGTAGCGAGGAGAAATCTATCGGTCCCTGATTATGACAGAGGAACGAATTAATGTCAAATGCGACGGGAGAAGTTGTCGCTACCCGGTCTCGATCCGGGAGAGAATTTGCATATCGCTTGAATGCAGAAGATCGCTGCTTTGTACCTCCTCCTCCTCGAATGGGGCGATTGGTTGGAACGCCTGTCGCCAATGCGGTAAAATCTTCCAGGGTTAGTGTGACTGAGGATGATGGAGCAGATTGTTTGGCACGGGAAGGACTTTTTAGTCTCGTTTTCGACCCCAAGGTTAATGATGCCCGGATCGGTTTAGTTGGTGTGGTAGTTGAGGTTGCCTTATCTGGCGGGGGGATTGGGGGCAGTGTTGACTTGTTCTTGTTATTCGTTATCGATCCGGGAAGGAGGGATTTCGAATTGAACGGATTTTTCACACCAAGCCCAGAAAATAGGCCTCCGCTTGATGACGAAGTTGTACTAGAAGTTGGGCGTACTGCTGCTCTCCCTTCCGGACTGAGGGCTCTCGTCATAGGACTCTTATTACCATCCTTCGACGGGTTGTTGAGAGATATGGACAGATTAATGAGACGTTCCAATTTATCCATGTCGTCACTGCTGCCTGTCGTCGCAGTAGTAGCATTATCCGAATTCCCATTCGTCGTCGTTCCGCTATTCCCAGCAGCAGCCGGTGTTGTACTCGTTGGCATGTTGGGTTCTAACAAGTTTACACAATTGGTTTAATTTGTGTTTCACATTTTCGCGTAACCTGGTCACTTAATTAATACTTGACTCTGCCAACTTCACAAACGGTGTCAATTTCTGCTAATTTAATACAATTTAGTCTCCTCGTTCCCTGTAACAGACAGCGACGACTCGACACCGTTCTGCTATTTCCCAATCTCAACTGACGCCCGCTCCGCACGTCGTCGTAACTAACGTGAGTATAACTCAATCCAACTTCCGGATCCACCTGGACCCCTCAATCTCCAAATCTCTCTCCCGTAATAAAACCAACTGGCTAAATCTCCCACTTTTCTCCCGAAACTATCGTGATTAGACTATTATTGCACCGTCAAGAATGTTTATCTCTCACTTTTTCACTGTGTGAGTTGTGTGTATGCATGTATGTATTCCACAAACAAATAACCTCTCTCCAATTGTTTGTCTTCTTGTCTCAGAGAAAAGAGACTGACTAACAAGCAAAGCAAACTATAAAGTCGGCTCGAAAATCAGAAAAACCATCCGACACATTAAAAAAGAGTTAGCTAGCTTTGAAACTGAGCGAATTTATGTAGGAGATTCATCGCTATAAATAAAGAGAGAGAGATGTTCTTCAATTCTTGAAGACTTATTTGTACGAGGACGACACACGATTAATGTGTCGGGCATGATATCACAGAGATGCGGTATCTTTTCATTTTTAGTATGAGGAAGTTTAAATTATGTAACGAAATTATGTAAAGGTCGTTGAAAAATAATTTCATAATTTGAAAAATAGCATTTCCTTCTAAAAAAAATCTGTCTGTGTGACCCTTTAAGATTTCAGATTTGACTTTGTTTTCCTTGCCAAAATTTTTACACGCCGAGAACTTGAGATACCAGATCAGATTAGCAAACGACAAAACGAAAGCAAGCTGTGATCTTGACGAGAAGTTTGAACCCGAGTTACCTCCCCGATGAAATGCACGTAAACCCCGGAAACTACTGCCAAAACCCGGATCCTCACCAATTTCCAGATTTACATACACACTCACACACATTTCACACATGTCTATCTAATCTGATCCGTCTTTGGCGTAACCCAAACATGCCAAAAACAATTGTTGTTATGTACTCAATTGCACATTTTATTTCACACCGCGACCGCATATTTGCAGATTTTAGACACCATTTCGTGAAAAATGAAAAAAACTATGGTTTGAATTAAGTGACCAGGTGGGTTGTCTTGTTGAAATAATTTTAAATTACTTTTAGCAAATTTGAACTCGTATGATGGCATTTTTTGCAACCCGTAATTATTTTCCATATTTTCACATTTATTATGTTCTTCACTCGTGTTATCTTCGTCGCCTTCACTTGTTGTCGTGTCACCACTGCTCATCGTCTCTAAATCAATGTCCTCCAAGTCGTCACCACCACCCCCACCGTTACTGGAAGTCACGATATTTTCATCACCACCACAACTCTCGTCTCGACTCAAGTTATTGTTTTCGTCGTCGTGTCATCAAAATAAATTAGGATTTTTGCTACTTCTGTGTGTTTTCGTGTTGTTAAATGAGTGAAAGTTGCCCTCGTCAATAATTTCTATCGACAAAATCTCACATTAAATATAAATTTTGAATAATATAGATACACGGAGTATTTAGTAAAAATTCGGAGAAAAAGTTCGACCTTTTTCGTGAACTTTCGGGTGCTATTCTACACTCATTTTCAAGAGATTATGAAAATCGAAATCTTTTCGAAAATTTGGTTATGAACTTATTACGTATTATTTACTTTCGGCGTTTTTAGCGACAAAAATTGTACAATTGAATTTTCACCTCAACTTTCAACCAAACGAAAACACTCAGCAGTAGCAAAATCATGAAAAAAAAATCCTATTATCTTATGTCCACTATCCGTTGACCCTTCCGAAGACGAACTTCCAACCCGACAGAGTCTTTCATTCCTCTCAAATTCTTGCCGTTCTTCGTCATCTTCCACGATAAACAAGGGTTCGAAACCTTTACTAAAATGATTCTTGGTCAAATTCGTCTGCCCTTCGTCATCTTTCTTCAAAACTTGTTCAATTTTTGCTGTGAAATCCATCACTTGAAATTATTATCTCGTGGTGTATTTACGTATTTACGAACGGTCTAAATAAAGGTGACAGCAGCAGCTTGAGTTGGTTGACATCAAGGGAAAAGTTATATCACGTCCTGCCCAACGCGTAAACGGTTTCTTGTTACCGTCACTCATTCAACTTGTCATGTGTCAGAAGTAAAATGAGAAAACAGTTTTCATCAGAAATTCCGTAATTCACTTCCGGATTATCATCCAAATAAGAATTTCTTGATTTTTAACCCAAAAAGTGTTTATTTCTTGGCTTTCTTTAGGCATATATGATCTCTTAACACTATATTTATTTAAATCACAGATTTATTTGATTCCCACTGAAAAACATCGATCCCACCAAATCTATTCTGTCACCACGATTTATAACGGACATTAATATCTCCTCCTCCTCCCATATTCCTTCACAACGACACCATTTAAATTCTTTCAGTATGTGTACTTGTAAATGAGCCGAGTCTAATTACACCCTGTCACTCTCATTCAATTTCAACACAATCCTCCCAAAACAAACCAATCCCAAAACACACGGGCACAATTTATAAATTAAATCCAAACGAACCGAACTGTCAAACTGGTGAGGAAAGAATAATGAAAATCGGTCCCAGACGAAGCTTTACACCCATCCACCTCCACACTCTACCCAAAACTCGGCCCAATACCGGAAAATCCTGGCCTTTTGTTCTCTCTCCACAGAAATCCAATGAAATGTTGTAATTACAGATTAACCCAGCGACCGATCACACCCCGTATTCAAGAGCAAATAGCCGAGCAAAGGGTTAGCAAATCGACTCACTTCCTTGGTCTGTGTTTAACTTAACATTTCCCAGCTTAAACAAAACGCTCAGAATGCAACCTCCTCAACATCATCAAGAATGAATAATACGACCACAACACACGATACACACCATGAATGCATACATACATATGTAACATCGCATAGGCACGGTTTACATTAAAAAGTGCAACAGCATGAAATAAACCCCAACGAAACGAAATACGAGCTAAGAATAACTTGAAGAATCATCACAACGAGACATTGAACAGAACATGAGAGAGTTTTCCTCGGTTTTAATGGAAAGTCAAAGTCAGATCATCCGTTAAAGGGGTTTTTTCCCTCTCTCTCTGAACTGCCACTAGAACATAGAATAATCCAATTTAAAGTCAAATGTTGTTGTTATAAGATGAATATGAATTAAAGGTCGTGTTGCATTTGGTAGTTTTTTTTATTCCATGTTTTTATAGGAAATAAATTCAGTACATATTGAATTATTTATGAGGAGGGATTGATTCCGGTATCTGACTCCCCCAATAACTTTTCAATCCCACCAATAAATACTTGACGAAGTGAAAGTACACGCAGTACATTTTGTGTAACAATCTGGATCTCATATGCTTTATCAAGTCTGCATTATGTATTCGGGTGGTCCGCTCTTCCATGCCAAGAGTTTGTAGTTGTTCCATTTATTTCCCATCTACTACACCAGGATACAAACCCTACTGTTTTACGTACCAAATTTCTGTCTCGTAATTTATTTCGTTTACACAAGACAAAAAAGATCCGATACAATCCTCCCAATATTCAGACGGATATAATTTACTGGCTGAAATCATCTCTGCTTTTTTTGTGCTCCCTTCTTCTTCAACAAGAAGTTGTATCCATCCAATCCAAACATTTATTTAAGACGTGTTCCCTTCCTACATTTCTGGATTTGGGAGTTAATCACTCCTACTTTTGTTTTAAAAAGGAATTAAACATTTCTTAAACAAGATGTAACGATGCAGTCCAAAAAAAGAAGTGGGATGAAATTGATTAATTTCAGTTCCGATTTTTGAAAATTTTGAATTATTTTTATATTTTAAAATATTTTTATATTTTAAAATATTTTTATATTTTAAAATATTTTTATATTTTAAAATATTTTTATATTTTAAAATATTTTTATATTTTAACATATTTTTATATTTTAAAATATTTTTATATTTTAAAATATTTTTATATTTTAAATATTTTTATATTTTAACATATTTTTATATTTTAAAATATTTTTATATTTTAAAATATTTTTATATTTTAAAATATTTTTATATTTTAAAATATTTTTATATTTTAAAATATTTTTATATTTTAAAATATTTTTATATTTTAACATATTTTTATATTTTAAAATATTTTTATATTTTAAAATATTTTTATATTTTAAAATATTTTTATATTTTAACATATTTTTATATTTTAAAATATTTTTATATTTTAAAATATTTTTATATTTTAAAATATTTTTATATTTTAAAATATTTTTATATTTTAAAATATTTTTATATTTTAAAATATTTTTATATTTTAAAATATTTTTATATTTTAAAATATTTTTATATTTTAAAATATTTTTATATTTTAAAATATTTTTATATTTTAAAATATTTTTATATTTTAACATATTTTTATATTTTAAAATATTTTTATATTTTAACATATTTTTATATTTTAAAATATTTTTATATTTTAAAATATTTTTATATTTTAAAATATTTTTATATTTTAACATATTTTTATATTTTAAAATATTTTTATATTTTAAAATATTTTTATATTTTAAAATATTTTTATATTTTAACATATTTTTATATTTTAAAATATTTTTATATTTTAAAATATTTTTATATAGATATTTGGGTTTTCTCTTCACGCATTGCAGAGCTGCAATAATTACTCATAAAAAATATAGAAAGTTATACTTGCACGGATGTTATTTCGCCGCACCAAATATCCATTTGAGATGTAGCATGTAATACCGGAATGTGATGTCAAATGAGAAATACTCATTTTTTTACACTCTCCAGCACTTTGGAACGTAGATTCCGAATTCCGATCCCTTTTAAACGGAGTTTAGCTCTAAAAGATTTATCGCTTCACGTGCTGCTGGAAGCAAGTCTTGCTTGAAGGAAGGAAGGTGCCGATAAATGCGTAATATCGACAACATAAATATGCTTATATCCCGTTATATACGGTTATATCATTATTTATACAGAACATCCTGCTCGTATATTTATGTACGTATCTACACTATTTCTATATATGTAAATCGACTAATCCGTCATAATTCTCTCAATTTTTTGACAATCAGTAACGAACTGGAACACTTGTGCGGGTGAGTGCAATCCGGATTTTCTCCCATGAAGAAGTATTTCATGCCTAAAATGTACCAATATTTCCATTATGAAACCTTACGGCGGATGGTTTGGTGTCATTTCCCCGTCATAACTGACTGAATACTGCAGTGCACATCCGTATATGATACATATTTACAGAAAAAAGTACGCCTGTCATCAACAACCAACTAGCACGCGTACCGGCTGGCGGATCACTCATCGGCAACCGCTTCAGTCATGCCTTGTTAAAAATTCATTCCACTCATTTTCTCTAATATTCCCCACTTGACAAGAAAGCGAGAGAGCTACAAAAAATTTTACACGCACAAATTGATATCTTTTACCTTAAGAGAACCAAAACTTCTCGACCGAAACTCTCCTCCTGGCCAAACTCTGGGAAGACTGCCAGACTGGTTGGCATAATATGGGGGCAGATATGCAGATCCAAAGGATGGTGGTGGTTGGGGACCACACCCACTACCAGCCCCATAATAGTAGACTGGATTATTGTACCCGAGCTGTGATGGGGGGAACTGTTGGTGGTGATACAGCGTGGTGAAAGGTCGATGTGGCTGTGGTGGCATCATGGCCACATTGTTATATTCGACCCCGGTACATTTGAGCCTGTCGTAAATAGAGTCGAGACTGGTCGACATGGCGCTGTTGGAGGCTAAAAGGGCGGATGACTTTGGCGGACGAGGGGGCGGAGGTGGTGGTGGGGAACGGTCTTGACGGCGACGATGGGTGAAAGCTTGAGCATCAGTTTGGTGGTAATCATGTTCATTAAAAGTTGGAGATTCTGCCCCGATTCGATTTCTAGCGTTATTTTGATAACTGGAAGGGTTATCGATGAAATTTGAATTTCTAGAGGAGGGTCGAGCCACGACATTTTGATAAGGTGAGGGACACCTCGCTCCTGGAGGTGGGGTCGGAGTAGTTGGTCGACTATTATTCCCACCACCACAAGAATTCATCTCCTCATTTAATTGTGTAAGAGTTGAGCCAAATTGAGCGACATCCATCGATCTTGCTTTCACGTATTCCTTTCTCCTCTCTGACCTTCGGAGGGGCCGAGGTGGTCGTGGACTTAGGGGCACGACCACACCTCCCGCCGCTGCTACTGAGGTTTGTGGTATCGGTGAGCAGACATGACTTTCTCTTTCGACCACTTTCTCCCCATTGCAATTTCCATACTTTTCCCCGATAAAGTTTTCTTGGCGGAGCATTTCATTAAGTGAGGTGAGAAAGTCCCACTCACTTCCAGACGACCCCGTGGTTGACGACGGGATTACAATGGAGTCAAGATTGGAGGTAGTTTTACATCCTCGGTATGCCACCGGTCTTCTCGCCTTGCTTCGGGTAGCCGTATTCTCACCACTATTGCGGTTAAAGTCGTCACGTCCACCTCCGTCTGACCCAGAATTGCACAAGACTTGTCCCCAAGAGTTACCATTCGTCAACTTTCCCCCATTTTCTACCCTGTCAAAAATTATCCCGTTCGGTCTCCCTTTGCTAAAGTTGGGTCCTCTTGATTTAACCTCATTCTCATTAATGGCTGCCTGGAAACTTTTCGAAAACCAGGAGTCCACCAATTGTCTCTTTTCACTCCGAGCCCTCACCGACCTGTCGATGCCTCCGCTGAGGAACTCGTTGCAGATCTTGTCCTCATTTTCTTCTTCTTCTTCCTCAACTTCCCTCATCCTTCTCGCCCTCCTCCTCCCATCACCTCCATCGTTATCATAATTACTGCTCATAATCTTATCCACGCCATTACCAGCAGCACACTTATTGGTCTTATCTCTTGGCACCACATTTTCATACAATCCACCACTCCCATCCGAATTGCTGGAGGACGCACCACAGTTGCTATTTCGCCCTCCTTTATTATTATTTCCACCAGCACGCCTCCAACTCATTATGATATTTATATTCCCACATTTACAACTTCCCGTCAAATTCTTCCCCCTGATTTATTTCCCTCTTGAGATTATGCAATGAAAATAGAAAACATTTGCATAATCACACATCACAGACACACATCAGCTCCTCTTGGAATGTACATTTCTTCCCCCACTTATTCGCACATTTGTGCAGATGTTACCTATCTAATCTTCTTCAGACTTCTTCAAGTACATAAAAATGTGACCCAGCTGGTGGGTTGGGTGAGACGTTAATATTTATTATTTTTGCACATTTTACGACCACCAATTAAACAAAGGTCTCGACTCACTCGACCACCAGAGCACACACACACCACGTCTCAATTAGTATCTCCACAATAATAATAGACCTCTTCATTTGTGTATCTGTACACGCCAGCCAAAAACCAAGTCACAATTTAGTCCACAAAACAGAGGTAATAAGGCAGGAAGCCAGCTAACCAAACCAAACCAACCAGGCAATGAACCAACCATCAATGAACTGTTGCCTGCTTTTTGCTTTCCTTTGCTATTCCTATCTCTCTCTCTCCGTCAACATCGGATCTTCTTGTTACGAGAGAATAAGAGAACCCGGATGATAATGAAGTTTAAGTTTTAAGTGGATATCTTCACCACGGTCGCAAGTCTAGGCAAGATTCTGCACTTCTCTCCTCGGGGACGACGGAGGCAGGAAGGAAGGAAGTGGAAGAAGTTTGTGGATACATAATATTATGTACATAAGTCCATCCAGGGAGAGAAAAGTGGTGGTGCAGATAGATTACGTACGATGTGTAGGATGAGATTGGATAAGAGAGACGACACACAAGTTGATATCTGATATCGCACTAAATAAGTAGAATTATACTGTCAAACCACAAATTCCAACCATTTCTAAGTTTCCCATGATTTTTCAACTATTTTCAAATTGTGACTGAACAAGATTTTCTCTCGTCGACTGCTTTATCAGTCGACGACCACGCAGAGAAGAAGGAAATGCAAGTGAATAAAGATGTGAAAAAAAACTAGTCAAGGAAAAATTACCCCCTGGAGTTACATCTCATCCATTCCTTCCACCCAACAAGGCAAAGTTGACATTGATGATAGTCCCAGAGACGCAAGAACGACTTAGCTCACCACCAAAAACGGTTAATAAAGACGCAACTGCTACTGCTTCCTTGGTTCAATTCGTGTTATGATACTCTCTTAAATTTTGTGCGATAAGCTTGTTTTGGCACGAGCATTTACATCCACACGACAAGTAATCCGCCCTTGTAAAAATAGATGAACGATCAAAAAGTAGGGAAGATACATAGACACGAATTCCATTTCTCAAGATTATTCTTCCCCCGCATCTTAAACGACCACTATTTCTGGTGAAATGCTTAATTTTTTCTTCTTTTATGAGTTTGTTTCCCCTTTCAATCAAAAGTTGATTGATTGGATGAGACTCTCGAGTAAATAAAAACGTGGGGAAAAAATATTATGAAGAAAGCAGAAATGTAACGTGTAAATGATAATCTTATCCAAATTTATGTGTGCGTCGACGCTTCGATTTCAGTGAGAATCACGCATTTACCATTTATTTATGTGATCATAAATTTAGATCACGAAATGGTGATGATTTCCTCAAATTGCAAAACATCACTTGTTCCAAACTTCTTCTTCTGACGTACTTTCATTAAATCCGGTTAATTTACAATTGAAACCAAACCTAACGAGTGACATGCATTTCACTGAGATTTCTGGCATATTTTTTCTGGCAAGGGAACAAATTTCAACACATATCCTCACTCACAACTCTTTAATTTTGTCAGAGGACACTAAACAATTAAAACTAAATGGTAAGTTAAGATGGCTAACCTGGAGGAGCGCGTTGACTTTCTGGCACCAGGAAGACAGAAAAAGTTGGTCGTCTTGGGACAAGTCGAGCAATTGACCACGGATAAAATCCCAATCGATAGAAACCCGGCGTATGAATGGCACCAGGCGCTCTGAAAAAATAAAACATCGGTATAATTCCAAGAAGAGATCTGGTAAATGTATTTAAACACATTTCTACCACAAAATCTAATAAACGGCATCAATCATTTGCTAAAATTTATTGCCAAATTGCGAATCCTGTAAATACCTTGATCCTTTAACATGCCGAGTTGATCACTCATTGGAATTTTTGCCATCGTCAGCTTGAAATCTCGTCGTAATGAACCCATTGTCTTTTATTTGTGTAGTACAAAAATTGCGTATAAAATAATTTGGTTGTTACTTCTTTTAAAATAGTTAAGAATTTTATATTTTATTTAGTATTCTCGTTTTTATTTTTACTTTTTAGGAACACTGTGTCTTTATATTTTATATTGGTACATATTGCTTTTTTAAATTTTATTATTAGTCTTGAGAGATCACATTTCTGTTTTTAGTGTATTTTGGTAACTTTGATTTCAATAAAATACATTGAGCGTAATAAATACAATTTCAAATAGCTGCAAACTGTTGCATAGTTTAGCTGCCGATTACGTAAAATAATATCAAAATGCGAATCCGATTTTAATTATTGCCAAAATTTGCACTCTAGTCCACTTTAAATTAAACTCCTTCTTAATAAAACAATGCGAAGAATTTATTTATTTTAACTTAAATATAAGAAGAAGAAGAAAATAAACTTTTCGGTGGTGACTCTAGAATGCCGACTCCCATTGTTTCTCTACCCCAAACCCCGAAATTCGGTTAGTAAGTAGAGAAAAGGGATGCTGGAGAGATCGTGATACAATTAGGATTTCCGGAGTTGGAGAGGGGAGCCGAATATATAGTGAGTTCTTCATTTACTATAACAGCAGCAGAATCCAGTCCGTTTATATCAGCATCATCATCATCAAAACAAGCAGGAACCTTATAAAGAGCAAAATACATAACAAGAGAATTGTATTCATATATAGTATTATGCATTTTAGTATCCATTTCATTCATGCCTCGTCGTCCTTACTACCAAAAAGCACAAGTGGTGGTTGCTGGTGTCATGAATAATCGTGGTGTGTAATGTGCTCTGTAATGGCTTGGTTTTTCCAACAAGTTATGTATGTATGCCTTCATTATGTATATACATTTGCTTAAAAAGACCTCTTTTTTACACGGTGAGCTTTAAATCCACCGCTGTCGTTGTAAAGCAAACACTAAACATTCCGTCTTAAAACAATCAAAATATGACGCAGGCAGATATGATTTCATGAAATTCTTTAAGAGCATTTCTCACCACTTATTACTTCATAAAATTATACGGCATTAATTTTTTTCATATGTATCAGCGTCAAATCCATTAATACGCAACGACGTAATTTATTTTTTTTGTTAAATTATATCTTTTTCATGCATGACAAATCACATTTTCGCAAAATTCAGTCCTTTTCCATACGCAATTTCTTTATTTTGCACTTCGTCATCATCACCCACGCCTCCGCCCGGGACATAAATTCCGTACATATGTGACCACAACTGCCACGTAGGCGAACGTCGTTGCAATTCCCAGGACGAGGGCGATAACTTGAAGTAGCGTTATGATCGGGATGTCTTCAATTTCGGTGACGATTTCATCTAGCGGTGACAACGTTGGAATCGCATTTCTCCTCCGTTTCTCCGACTCCTCCCCTTTTCTCGAGTGGGTGAGATTTAAGAGAGCCAAGTAGACGAGAAATGCGCTGATTTGTACGACCAGGAATCCTGCGACGGATCCTTTTAGTAATCGGACTGATTCCTAATCAGATAAATAAATTGAAAAATAATTCGATTAGTTTTTATCTAATTAACATAAATTTTATTTGAGTGTGAATGTAAATTATTACCAGTTCCACGCCTCGAAATATCAAAAGTCCAAATCCGAGAAAGAGACAAATGTAGATAAATGCGAGTATGAGGGAGAAATATGTCGCGTATGGCTAAATATATCACAACAAATTTTAATATATGAAGAGTTAGACTTTCTGAAATACGTATATAAAATTCCATTTAAGCAAATTTATTAAATTCATACATTATGCCAAACTTCCGAAATTCCGACCACATCTACAAAGAATCCTCCCAGAAATAAGAGTGCGATTGTGATATGCAAACTTGCTCCATAATACGCTGCTCCCCGAACTGACAAGCACATTATATTTCTTGTTGCTCTTTAAAAATTCAAAATTTCCAAAATTTCTTGCACAAATTATACAATTTTAAAACCAAAAAAATATTTTCACCATATCGTAAACACCGTAAGTAAAGATCAAAATATTTATTATCCTGAAACACTATGTACATACGACACAAGATTTCGCTCGGAGCTCGGGAATGCTGATCAACTTCTCAGTCCACATTGAAGCATGGGTGCATCAATGCCCGAGAAAAGTGCCAACTTCTTTAAAACCCTCCTAAATTCGCCTCCTTCTACATGTTTATCCCAGCAGATGTGCTTCCACACGGGGCTGCATTTTGCGACATATATATGACCTATCAAATCAACCAAAAGAAACGAAAAGTCACCACTTTTTGGGCTTTTCGCCAATAATAATTTGCACACGTACATGAAATCCCGACCCCGTGTAGTGTTTCATTACAAAGATTTTAACATTTAATGAGGCTTGCATCCGGTGACGCTATATAACTAACTATACGTCTATTTATGCAAATAGATAGTTAGGCGGCACGGGTCGGTCGTTTATATCAGTCAAATTCATGCAAAATCAGTCCCATTTTAATTCGATTTTTATCGTGTCGTAAAAAAAGTGCGAGTATTTATTTCAGTTTTCTTGCATGACAAATTGACAATATCATTTAAAAAAAATGAGACTAAACTTTCCTGGGTAGTTTTCTCTAAACATGTAAATTTTCCCACTGACCATCCACATATCTTTGTGGCGGTGTCCGAAATCCCATCGTGGTGGACGATGTGCTGCTACCAACAGAACTTCTGCCCCCACCACCACCACCACCACTGATACCACACCCCTTCAAAGTTAGCGTCGCACTGGACGAGAGTGGGACCGAGGATCCACTTCCGCTGCAACTTCCCCTCTCTCGCAGCACGGCCCAATCCCTCCTCGCAATTCGGATCATGTAGAGAAAGTGGGTCGTGAGGAGGACAAAGGTCACGACCAGGTTGAGGGCGAGGGCGGACACTTGCGTGATTCGGTCGTCCTCTTGGAGGTTGTCAAACGTGAGGGAAAGGAGGACGAGGTGGGTCACGAGGACTAAACATTGGAGAATTGTGAGTCCCCCGACGGCAACTTTTAGGAGACGTAAAGATTCCTAAGTTTAAAATGGTTGAAATTATATTAGATTACATGTTTTTGGTTTGGTGAATAATTTTTGTAATTAATATTACACGCTCAATTCCCCGGAAAATGAAGCAACCGAATGCAAATATGAGTATTCCGTAAGTGAATAATATGGCAACCGGTCCAGACCCGATTGACTGAAACTGGAAAAAATATGACCAATTTACCCCTAAATTTAATTTACTTTCTTCCCCAAATATCCGCTTTCACTTACATCTCTCCATTGTACATCGGGCAGATAAGTCCCATACTTTATCACGATGGCCAATCCCAACAACTATGAGTATGTGAAATAATCTCATTTTTTAGAAACTTTCTACCAATCAATTACAAACGAAAATAAATAAATCATCTCACGATTTGTGCCGTCGTTCCAAAATAGGCTGCTCCACGAAATGAGACACAAAATATGCAGCACATTATATTCTGTCTCAATTTCTCTTAATATCTCACATTTTTTTCAGTTGCACAAGGTTTTTCGGGTTTTCAAGTTGCACACATTCCACACAAAACTCTGAACTTTCTCCCACCCACACAATTCCTCAAAACTCAATTCCAGACAAAACTAATGGAACAACTAACAAATCCGACCCGACTCTTGTTTTTCTTCCTGTTTTACTAAATTAATCATTACTTTATTATTACTTCATGATTTTGCAACCGTTACGTTACTGCCTATTACGGCATTAAGACAAGTGTGAAATGACGACTGACTGACTACAAAATCGAATCCTTCTTCAGGATCAGAATCTCTTTAACTTCTTCTTCTGCTTCCGCTTCTCAAAAAATATGGTGCGGACTAGATATGATGTATTAAATATTATTTCATTTTCCGACTCTTATCATCACTCACCAACAACACAAAAGGAAAGAATAAACGCAGTCAGAACTCAATTCGAGTAAACTACACTTTATCACCCTTAGGAATCCTCTCTGCACCACTTATCACTCCCAGAAGAAGAAGACAAGTATATGCTTTATGAACTCTATTCAGTTCAGTTACTCACGTTATTACATTACCCTCACATAATTCCCTTCCTCCATTTTCGTTATGTAGAGTAGAATCATTCGTATTTAATTCGCATAGTTTGAATTCTATCATCATCGTGTAATTGTAGCAGCACAACAACAACAAGGGGAGCTAATTCTGCATGGTACATAAGTTCCTTATGTATGCACCCGTATCTATCACGAACGATGATGGGAATTAAACCATGGTGGCTTCTTTCATAACTTCAAAATTCATATGAATCCTATTGTTCCGTTGGGTGAAGAAGCTTTAAACTACGAAGACTGCGTATGCATGGTGCTTCTGTTTATTTGTTGTTGTTTGAGTTTGTTGCATCACACTGACTTCTTGTATTAACTATAACAAGTCGACAGATAAAGTCAAGTTCCGCTCGTGTCCTTCATCATCATCGTATTAACTAAAAGTCTACGTTAAATAGTAGCAAAACTTAAGTGGCGATGAACGCAACTAAAATTGTATTTTACTTCGTCCCAGCAGCATTACATTAGTTTGTGCAGTATAGTCCTTAATTAATGAAATTTTAAATATGAGTCGTTCTCCTATGGTCGGACCGACTCTCTCAAGTCTGAACCGTTATAAAGAGTAAATAAAATATGGATCACAGTCACACGCTGTACTTTAATTTCCTCGCATTCTTTTCAGCCAAACCGACAAAAAATTTAAATTCTCAAGGCATAAAAAACATTTTATTATTCACACATGACAAAAAAATTTATAACAATTTAAATATCTGTATTTCTCTAAAAGGTAACGATTTACCACAAGCTAGGCTGTACCCACTTCCTCCTCGGCTTCTTCTAATCTCGCGTTCTCACTGTTTTCTTGAATCCTTTCCTGTGTCAAAAAATCCGCAGTGTTCGTCCCTATCGAAATCGTCATTGAGACTGCGGCGACCGAGTTTGATCTCGTCACTGCGGGGTGATTTTGTAGCAAATTTAGGTCAGGAATGTGGACGTCTTTCAGATACAGGGAGGCCGGAAGGTGGGATAATTTCCAATTATTTTCAGGAATTGGTAACGCGTTTCTGAAATTAATTATAGTTTAATTGTCAAATTTTTTCTGTAAATTCAACGTTTTTTAATTGATTACTCACCTGTACAATTTTATCCCTTGATTGCTACCAGTCTTGAGTTGATGGAGATGTCTCCCATATAAAAATAGGACCATTAGGTAGACCACCGTCATGAAAAAGTTGACCAAAAAAATTCCAGCAATCACATTTTGACCCGCTTTGGTCACAATGTCTCCAAACATGACGGAGAAGATTAGTTGAACACTTAGGACGAGGGATTGATACACAGCAAAACATAAGACGGACCATTTCAGTTGAGTCACGGAGTCCTGGAATTAAACGACATTTATACATTACTTATATGTATCTAGTTGCAAAGGTCACTCGTACTCTTATGAGGATGTTTTTATAATATTTTTCAAAAGGAATGTTGGACAATGTTTCGGATCAAATCGTTTTCATTGTAATTCATTCATCATAAGTTTGAACATATTTAAGAAGCTGTGATTTTTTACAGGTGGATTCGTTAAAAACTGGCTTTTTAGCAAATCCGCAAAAAATACAACTCAAAAACTTCAGATTTTATTTCGTGCTTTCTAACAAATTTTTTGGCATTGATTTTGGTTTTCAAATATGTATCTGGGCAAACAATAATCGCCTTTGGTGGACTATTTTGCTAGTGGCTTCACATTAAATTTTAAGACAAAATATAACAAATCTGCACCATGAATTGACCCCACAACTACAAAAACCTTACATTTGAAGCGTCGATTTCTAATTGGGAAATCATACATTTTTTGTCTGCGAGATTAAGCTTGAGAATTTATTACAAAGTCAATTTTTGGCAGATATCGATCTATAAAAAATCACAGCTTTCTAAATATGCTCAAACTTTATTGTAATCAACACAATTTGGTCCAAAACCTTGTCCAACATACCTTTTGAAAAATATTATTAATGTGTCCTCGTACTCACCGTGTCTATCGCTCTGAAGATGAAACACGCAAATAGTGATGCCAAGAGGCAGTACGATGCCACGATTAGCGGCAACTGAGACATGATTAGTGGACTCAGATTAATGTCCGGGTAGTTTGGCGGATTAAGGAACAAATTCACTGAAATTAGTGATATCACAAAGGTAGCGACCTAAATTAAATTGGGAGTCATTCAGTTTTAATCGTAAAATGTCTTTACTAAACCTCAATTAAGTTCTTTCTTACCATGTGTACGGTCACCATAAAGTAGGTTGCACCCCGAAGGGTTGCACAGCAAAAGAAGCACATCTTTATGGCGTTTTAAATGTTACGTATTTAGCGGGTATTTGTCACTCCTAGATTTTTAAAAACTAATTTTCCGCTACATTTTTGCTATAACCGCTTCGAATGGTCAAGATTTGTATAAAATGTACGACGTATTAGAATCGCAAATTCACACGGGATTGAGCTACTGCAAGAATATAAACTAAAGTAAAGCACGCACTCTTTTTATCCAGACTTCTTGATTTATTATTTTATGAGGAAAATGTTGCAAAATAATGTTGTTCCCTCATCTTAATTATTACCTGTATTATTGCCTTATTGTCCCGAGTAATGAGTACTACGATCAGATTCTACACATTGTTTTATGTCAAATTCTCAGCGTATCCAATGTAAACTAGAACTTTGCAACTATGTATGTACATTTAATTTTCGGAGGTTTATTAAAATAAAATAACCCATCTGCTTAAAAAGGAGAGAGATGATAATAAATAGCTACCCTTTGGTCAACTACACTAAAGAATGAGCACCCATTGGGTGGGTGACGCGTTTTTTTTGCCTTGCACCATTTATAGGTCAAGTCAGCCAAAACAAAGAAAGGGAAAGGGTGAAAAATAGTGCATACATATTTTGAGGGGTACCAACCAACAATTACTAACCCCAAATAAGTCATTATAATTTGCTTATGATGAACATTTGCAAATGAAATCCTAAAATTTTATTCCCCACATAGATATTTTTAAAGAATTCCTCAAATTCCTAAAGTCTCCTCATTCCTTACTTTAAGCGGGGTGAATGGGGTTGAATACATAACAGGCGGCGTGGCGTAGGACAGTGATGGGAATATAAGTGTATTCATCTATGTATGTAGTGCAGTAGCATAAAAATAAAAATATTATTATCCTACCATCACAACGAAAGAACGTAAATGCATGCACTTTTTTCTTCTAAAAAGAAGCTCTTAGAAGATATAAAGTTGTTCTCCTTGAGAGAGAGAGAGACGCGTTATTATTGTTATCTGCATTTGCGAGGAGTTCATCTCACAAGCTCGAATTGCATAAGTAAAATAAAGTAGTGATCGTAGTGGTGATGATGTCGAACAAGTACCTTAATTTTACACTTGATATCTTCACAAGCCACGCGAATTTCCCATTATTACAACATGTTACAGGTTTTTCGAGATGGATAAAGTTCCAGTTTCTGCCGTTTAACCCCAGTTCTGTTCCTTGGTCGGGACTTGGTTTACAATCCTCCTCGTTTCGTGCATGGTTAAACATTTGAAAATCTAAACCATAATATTTGGACATCATTATCGTTACTATCACCGTCAGATCTTCATCGTCCAAATATTTACGTAATCCAGTAATCAACCAAAAGTAAGTATTTGGATGACTGAACTGGCTAAACTTTATGCTCCTCACCAGTTTCTTGTCTCATTTCGCCAACCAAACCACACCACAAGGAGCGATAGGATCGTAAAATGCAACAGTTTGTCTGCCAGCCAGCCAATGTTACGTTTCTTGTTTTACTGTCTTGATTTGCCACGCCAAATAGATAACTTTTTCTACACTCCCATTGACGTAGTTGGATGGATGTAAGCAGTTCCTCCAGTTCTTCTCCATGGGTGCGGATTATCTATACTTCTACCCGATATCAAGCTTAGGAATTTCCGAGTTTTGCGCATATTACGATTTTGCGATGGTTGCACACACATAATTTTACACACGGCATCAGTATAACCGGTCGGTTAGGCGTGACGCCCGCTTTCAGCAAAGTGCAAGTGCACCTATCCACCAGATACATATCTCTCCTAGAGCAATTTGTACTTACCAAAAGGATACAAATGTATACGACTCCAGCATAATTTAATGTATTTTATCGAGTTTTTTTCGTTCATCGGGTTCATTTTGTGGTTTGGTTGGGTTTGGTGAGACGGAATAGTACCTGGAATTTAACCAGTAATTACTTACCTACGGTCATTTATCTGGAGGACATAGGGATGGTAATCCGTATCCTAAATTAACCGATCCGTAGGATAGGATCGGATCGGATCGGATTTGCTCGCTTTAGGATCGGATCGGCTCCCGGTTCTACTCGAAATCCGATGCGATCCGATCGTAGGATATCCGCGGATGATATGTGTGAGACACCTTGTGTCTAACTATGGAAATACTTTACCAGCTGCTTTTCTTTATTTATTGGAACGGTTTTTGGTGAGTTCATCACATGGCGTACATTACCCGAATGAGCCGAATTATCCTATTATTTTACACCAGTTATTTTTATTTTGGCGTTCAAATTATTCAATTTAGTATGATTTCAACGCCAAAATAATAACATAATTCGGCTCGTTCGGGTAATGTACGCCATGTGATGAACTCACCAAATGTGAAACGAGTTTACATCGGATGATCCGAGGATCCTGTGCGATCCTAGGATTTCATCGGTTCGGATCGGATCGGATTGTCTGATCCTCGGATCCTCTATCCGATCCGTGTGAAAATCCGATCCTATCCAAGTTTTTACGATTCTAGGATAGGATCGGTTACGGATTACCATCACTAGGAGGACATGTCCAAATCTGGAGAATCCGGCTTCACCCAATAATGCATAATTATGTAAGTGTCTAATTAAATGCAATAATTTATGTATTTATGCACGTACTTACATAATTGCGCACCCTTATTTATTTATTTATTTATTTTGATCCATGCCACACACGTGAAAGTAATCGTACTGCATTAACTCAATGCATCACAATTACTTTAATATACGTCCCCAAATCTGATATGATCTCATTTTACCCAATTTTGCACAAGTACCTGCAAAAGTCACATGCACGCATAACTCACTCAACTCTCGTCACCTGTCGCAAGTCTCATTTTAATCCGTAAATGCAGTCTCATTTCATTCCGTTGCTGCTGCATTCACATTTTCCACTGTTCACCCACCCACTTGAAATGCTCCCTGCCCGGCTCGTCATTTGTGTCGTTCGCATTCTTCTTTTTGAAAAAGTTTACAAGAAAATGATTCGGTTTAGCCAAGCGAATCATCAAGCTTTTAGTTCTTTTTTATCCATTTTATACATCATTCTATGGCACATGTTGTTATCCGTTCGTCCTCGTCATGAGTTCTCCTTGGCGAATAAGACGAGGTACATAAAAGGTGGCTAAACCTTCAATCTTTAAAACCTCCACTCCAAACCTTCACATGCATAATAGATCAAAAGGAGGACTAAAAACGACCAAGACGAAATTATAAGAATTATTATGCAGCCTCAGCTCGTCGCTCGTCGTGATGATGATCATCATTATTTATCCCTCCATTCACGGACCTGTTGAACTCACCACATCAAACCAAAACTTGCTTCAAAGAGAAGTAGTGATCTTACACAGGAGTTGGTTGGAGGATTGGAGCAAAAGGTGGGCAAAAGTAGCAAAAGTGAAGCATAGCATTAGGCAGAAAACGTGGAGAGAGAATCGTGTTCTGCACAGTTCCATCCATCCATTCCTTTTTCCAGCCAAGCCAAGCCAAAACCTAAGCCATCCGAGTTCATGCAGTCTCACAGAGGAAGAAGAGCTTAAAAAGCACCCACTTCACTCCCAGCTAACGTCATTCATCATTATGGTGGCAAAGGAAGGAACGGTTGGATTTGGATACTGATTCGGATTTTATTCGCCTAAGCGTATTAAAATCTGGAAAGTATCAAAGATCAAAGGACCAATACTGAGCTATTATTATTGTTATTTTGTGGCATTTTCAAGAAAAAATCTCCAGACCTATAGAATTCCAGCCTCTCGTTACGTACGCATGCAACCCGTCACAAACAACAGAATTCTGGCATTTGGTAAGTCTCGACTTCTTTTATTCGTTTTTTGAGACATGTAGAAATCTGAATATAAATTGAGTCGGCGGAGGAATATTTTTTACTTATTTGTGTGCATATGCCTGGAAAAATGTCTGGTTTATAAGAAAAAAGGAATTAATTGAATGAAATCGTCGAACCCATTCTTGATATAAAAAACTTTCTTTAACGAATGGGAAAGAAATGCGCATGGCTTTCGTCGTTCGGCTTTCATGTGTTTAGTTGAACATGCCGACATCAAATTATTAACGAGTTTTACTTATGCATTATGTCGCATACGATAAATAATACATGTCATAAATATAAACTCGATAGCACCAGCATAACCTCATGAACCCATTTATTCATAAAAACTGGGAGGTTTCCTTTCCGCGAACAATGCACCAACCAAAGTTTCCTAAATAGAATCATGAATTTTAAAATCAATTCGAATCCGATTTCAGCTTGAATGGCGAATCAAAATACCATCAACCCTATAACCTTGAGCCCAGAGAGGCAGAAATATGACGACACTTTAAACGGCAAGCGTATAGCGTTGAATATTTAAAGACGGTCTAGTTCCGTTTTTTCCGCCTCGTCCACTCCTATCAGCTATCATTATTATCTATCGACTCCAATTCTCCATAGTCGGCACAATAAACAACTACTAACCCATATAAAGCGATGGCTATCGATTATTCGAACCACTACTGTCATCACCAATAAGCTCGAAGGTTTTGACACCTTAAATACTGACCAAACCCGACAAGCAGACCGTATTCAGTCAATTGGATTGGATTGAATTGGATTGAATAACAAGGGTGGCGTCGATTCGATAATAAGCAAATAGCAAAATGTTTGGAGGTGGTGAAGTTATCAAATTCACCAAGACTAAAGCCAGCCCTAAACCAAATGGGAACGGGGTTTATCATCATCACGACGACGACTATGACGAGGATGACCATGACGACCACGATCACACCCCTTCCTACCCACTGCCCCCACCCGAGTATCATCACCACCACCGTCAATTCCAGGATCACCCCTACCTATTTGAACAGGTCATGAATGGGAGGGAGGATTCAAATTATGGTGGGAGGCGACCACACCCACACGCAGTCTTCTACCCTGGTAAGTATTAGCTTACGTAACTATGTATAATACTTACTTGACATATTAGTTTGCACAGTTTGGGAGGACATTTTTGAACAATTTATTGACAATTGGCATTATGCACTTAAATATTTGTTGGTTCATGACAAATAAGTACATAAACTTTGATCGTCAATCAAACAAGCCACCTACGCGTTCACTCTGACATGATGAAATTTCCTTCCTTCGTCTCCTCCTCAGCAGAGAACAAAGTTTCATAAGAGATTTATCCACCCGGCGTGGGATAATCTGTCAAAAGCAACATCACGACATTTATTTCTCTCTCTTGTTCGACAAATTGACAATTCAAGTTGTAATCAAAATCGTTTTTATGTCTCGCTCCTCGCTCCTCACTCTACTTTATGACAAAATCTATTTTATGAAGTAAGAAAACTATAAAGTGTTGTGTATAACAACGTCTGCTGGCGTGTCGCTGTCGTGCCAAATAACTTGTACTGATTCGAGTCATCAGGAAAAAAAAGTTATCAGAGAAAACTTTCTCCTCGCTCTCCTCCTCTTTCTCTGTACACGTATTTCGTGTGTTTAGAATTTTATTTTTCTTCCCCATATGGACGAAAACAAGGCATTGCATACATACATGCATATGTACATCATGGTATCCACGGCATGGCGATACTGCTGCTAGTTCGCCGGCACAATAAATTAATCAGAAGTCGTACAATAACTCTTTTTCTGGGTAATAGACGCGCATGTAATTTAATTTTCTTTTCCGATAAATTAATTTGTTCCCCTTGTGTAACAGGTATCTAATGGTACGAGAGAAGGGTCATAAAAGCATAAAATTCATGGTCTGCTGTAAAGCTCGTGTAGGTTGCTGTGCTACATCCATTTTTAGATCGCTTGCTCTTTCTCCACTAGAAACCTTGGAGTTTAGCCCTTATCGAAATACTTATATGTACCATGCCATCCAGCATTATTTCCTCGTCCGTGTCGGGTCAAGTCGAATAGCACTTCCTCAAATATTACATACGGGTCGTTTTACTTGCCAATATATACGTATAGGTATCGCCATGCATAATAAAACTCTTAAAACGAGACTGGTTCGGTTGACCGACTTTGCAGCATGTCTCATTCCATTAACTTTTAATAAAGATGGGAAAGCAAACGTATCAAGACATAAGTAAGTTTTTAAATAGGGGACCATCAACTATCCTGTCGCAAAAGTAAACAAGCTTGTTCTTGTCCCGCAGTATTATGTAGAGGTACTTTTCTGCCAAAAGTACGTATGTATTGCCGGCGAGAGAAAGTGGTAAAAATAGGGAAAATGTACTACGTGACCGCCACCACCACCAGACCAGCCATCCATCCTCGCATACATAATAATACGCTTTCTCTTTACAATCCATCCATGAACCAGTCGACCCGGCCACTTACTTACATACAGAAATACGAATGCGTACCCGTTTCCCCGGAGAGAGCAGGTATCCCTTTCTCGATAATTCGTCTCATTCACGACAACCTTCTTGTCTTAGTTCCTCCTACTTTCACCCGTTCCATGAGGCTTTGTCTCCTCGTCATTTTACATACAATACCTTCTTCCACCAACGGTTACGCGATGTTACATGCTCGTCTCCTGATTCAGCACCGGTTCAGTTCTGTCTACGTATTGTTTTTAGTTGAAATGAAAACAAAAGCCGTGTCAAATCCCACTACTCTATTGATCAGGAGCATATCCAGTCGAGTTAATGGGGTTAGAACGTTATATAAAAGGTGGAATTCCTTCGAAATAATTAATCATGGTTATAAAACACGTCCTCATCATCAGAGGAGCTCTATTTTATGATCCACCTCATTTTGGACAGGCTTTATTACTATTATTTACTTAAGAAGCTTTGGATAAACGACGCAATTATTAATTAGGCTGAGTAGGAGTGGAGGAAACGTTAATCCTCGATGGATGAATTTCCAGGATTATGTATTGACTGGCAGGGTGACGACTCGAGGCGCGTGTAGGGGACGTGAAGTAAATGAAACTACTTTCATTTCATGAATCCTTTGAGAATTTGGTGGAGGTAATTGATACTCGGCTACCTTTCACCATATTTAATGTACTCTTACCGAAAAGTATGGCATTTTCCTAATCAAAGGACTATATTTAGTTCATGTATAATGCTTCCTCTGATTACTCATTTGGTCCTTTTGCCATTGGATAAAGTATCCGAGACTGGATCAAAAAGTGTCACAAATGGCAAAAGTAAATAATACCTTTCCTACATACATAAATACTCTTTTCAAAGAACGGGACTTGGCACAAAGAAACTAATTACGGCACGGATCAGGTATCAGGACTACATTTTTTCCTGAAATTACTTTCTCGACGTGTCAGAAATCTATTTTCTTCAGAGGGGACAGCACGTGTCTGTCCAGGGCAGAGGAGCACTCACAGTAATTACACATACAACAGAGCAATGAGACCCGTGTCGCATCAAACCCATTGAGACAGATTTTACCCTTTTTTCCGAATGGGGGCCCTTTTTGGTGGATGGGATTGACAGGTAGATTTTTCCACACACGTTGATCCGGAAAATAAAGTAGTTATTGTTATTAGTATTATTGTCGCCGTGTCGATTATAATTCCCACGACGGCATCTGATCCTCACACACTGACATAAGTTAGGATTCGATTCTTGCTCTCCCTTATAAACGAGCGACCTCAGTGATCTTTCCTCATTCGGGTTCTTTCTTCCGAGACTCTACAATATTGCGTAAGGTGGGAATTGTCAGTCAGTCGAGTTTGTGAAAGCACGTCAGAGTCCAATAAACCTGTAGAAGCGTCTTTTGAGTAAGTATCACTTTCCCCATCGATATCTAAATAATAGCATAAATCAGTATTGCGTATTAGTATTTCGTATCATTTTACTAATTAAGTACATATCAGCTCATCTGCATATTACAAGAAAAGATACAAAATATCAAAGTGTTCATTTACCCCAAATACCTGAAATAAAGAAAAAAAAGTGCATGTAAATGCATAAAAATTTAGTAAAATGGTATCTACATTCCAGGGCATACACTTAAATAGGAAATTACCTACTTATTACCTAGGAATTCACATCATTGAAACGTTTCGTATGCAAAAATATCACATGATTCATCTTGTTTCTTCTCTTTTTATGTGCATCTCTTCATTATTAAAGACATTGTTAATGTTCCACCCGCACTATTATCTATCCATGTAGTGGATAAATTGCATATAAATATCTCATCAGGCTAGTTACCACCAGTATGTTTCAAGAACAGATACACGACATTTCCATTATTATCGCATTCTCTGTGTCGTGAAGAAGACCGAGCTGATTGTCTTTTCCTCTTAAGACAGAGTGAATTTGCAATTCTATTTACGATCCTTTGGGTTTTACTTACTGGAAGAATACAGGCATCCACTGACTGGCATGACTTTACAAAATTATTCTATGTATTTTTGTTATGCTTCCACGAATTTAATGGCAGCAGTCTCGTCATCTTCTTCCGCGAATTGCAATCATTACAAAAAATAGGTATCTACTTACACATGCAGAGAAATATCTTGGTAGGTATTAAAGTGAGTTAGTGAGCGTGGGCATGTTGTGTGTGTATTATTACGCGCACAATAATACCAGACCAGACTAGATAACCCTGGTCTGCTGTACCCCGTGTACCAATTGACTTTGACTTGTTCTCTGTCTTTGCACATAAAAGGCGTCCATACGTTATATGTAATGTGAAACTAGTCTTTTATGCAGCTCGCCTACTGCTTCTGTGATTAAATTTCCATAAAAACCTCTATACGCTTGCATAGCATAGCCCGACCGAACCAGGTCTATTTACATATGTATGTATGTACATATTACTCTCTGTAGTACAGTCTAGAACCAATTTTTTTCTCTAAAACCTGCCTGAGAACAGGTACAATTTCTTAATTAAATACATTTTACACATTTTCGCCACTGAAAATAGCTTGAGTTCTCTCTCGAGGGACAGAGAGATTGAGAAATGACGGGTGCATGAGGAACCCTCTCGTCGTTACAGGATATCAAAAAGGAGAACATGATATGCAGATTGTTGTTGCAACAAATGAGTCTTGAGTATCAAGTCTCGTTGTTCCTTTCATCTTGAAATGAAAGTAATTTCAGGGAAAGTAAAGCTCATTTCATCATCTTCTCTTCCCCTCTCGGGCTTTGTTCTTTCTGGAAGAAAAGTAAGCCATGCATGCATACATATGTATCAAGTCGACCATGTTATCCAATCTCATTCGAACTCAGAGCCTACATATTTATGTGATACGATACATAAATAAAACACACATTATCATTGCACTCGCTCACTTCACGAAAGTGCAATTGTGATGGAATGGATGTACTTGACGACAACAAATAAAATATGTAATACATTACATACCCTCCAGTTCTCCGCCCCATGTGTTACGTATTTTGTGTGCATGCACATTAATTTTATTTTTTTGCACCAAATAAAATTAGATAAGTATGTATTATGTATCTGTCTAAACAGAATTGCAATATGCAAACCACAATACTTTAAATCACACATTTTGCATATTTACCACCTACTAAAAGTTTCACCTGTGCATCTGTTCTTGAAATCATATACGAATATTATTGAGACAATGTAGAAAAAGTCCGCTTATTACTTTACTTTTTCGATTACGTCAGTGAGTTAACCAGTTTCAGATTAGAAATAAATCAAGTCATCGCCAATAAAATATTTAAAACATGATGGCAGTTAGTTCATCATTCATTATCATCACTACTACACCACGGTCTCCTGTCACCTCTCTCTCAAGCGACCAATTTATTACTTACACTGCACTCGATTCAGCATTAAAAAAATATGAATGCATGTATTTTTACAACGACTATATCGCATATTATATATCGTCATGTGCCCAGTGGTCGAGTCGTTGGAGCGTCCAAATTACCTACCTGACTCGAATAGGTATCTATTATGCGACGTTATCAGTTGAGTGGTTTGGTTCATCGCCAGTTGTTACTGATTATTGCTAGCTAGGTAGGTCTTCTTTATCCTTGTCCTGGGTACGTTATCTGCCCGGTGACACGTTATGGACTAGTGAATCTGATGACGACAATTATACAAGTAAATCCTATTAATAAATAATGCTGGGCTTAATTGCTGTTCACACTCTGCGCTCTCCTCGCCTAATATGTAGTTTATACCCTCATTTATAGTTAAATCGGATCGGTGTTACAATTATTATCGCGGTGTGCAAAAAAAATTCAATTCAATTCAAGGTGACTTTTATGGCTTGTGGTTCGTTACACCAAACCCAACGTGTGCAATCAAACGTATGTACATACATACATCAATTCCATAGGGCTCACTTTAGCCAGGGAGTTGAATAACTAATTGTGCATTCGTAATATTCCATCTACTTCCATATAACAGGGTTACTTTACTCCTGCAAATGTACATTACTTATATGTGATCCATCAATTTACTTATTTATCTCTCTCTCTTACTGGCCCAACTGTGCTAAATTATACGTTAAACGCCGCCAATAGCATCCACCAACCAAGCATAATATGTAATGTTCGTACTGCATGCACTCAAACTACCACAACCAGGCATAAAGAACACGAAGGAAGGTAACCTTCAATCCATTATTTCCATCCATCCATTCGTGCGTACCAGGTTTCGTCCATTTTTATGTCATTAATAAAATCTTGAATTGCACATACTTACCAACAACTTGCTGCACTTTGAAAGCACTCGATCGGTACATGCTTCAAGTTGCCTTGTGTTTTGCAACACAATTATTATCCATGGGTATGTCTCAAGGTCGATCCTTTGTACCACATCACATTACTTACATCCTAGTCAATCCGGTTCTTTAATCCAGACTGATGGATGGATAGCAATTTACATTTAGGATTGTTGTGGGAAAGAAAGTGCCATGAGGAGGATGGATGGGAGAGAAGTATAAAATATGGACGAATTAGACCACAAAATCTATAAATGTGCACTATCATCAACTTATAGTAGAGTTGCCTCTCGCCTCCAAATTCACTTAGCTTGCGCAATTCATCATTATCATTAAACGCTGCTGTGATGGGGCTGTGATGGTTGTTAGTGTGGTATACAGTTTATGGATGTTTGTGGTAGGTATGCTGCTGCGCTATATGGCTGATTATTCTATGGGACTGGTTACGTATTGACTTTGCTGGAGATTTACATACTGTACATCGTGACGATATGTACTCAGTCGTCCTATTGAAGAGAATAAGAGATCACCCCATGTAATAATAATCCTTGTTAGAAGCAGTCGGTTGGGGACAAGCGTTAGTTGAAAAGCTATAACTGGATTATATCCAGATCAGTTAAAGACTTGGTTGGTTAATCTACTTGACTACCTGTCTCGATCTTGAACCAGTTATTCGTCTTTAGCCGTTCCGAGAAGTGAGAGACATTCAAGTTGAATGAGCCAAGAGCAATTTTACTAGGAGCACAATTTACGATAATTCTCTGGATTTATTGGATATACCCACATTGTAACGTAGAATTGTTCTATTTTCCTACAAAATTTTGTGGTTTGGTCGTCTCGTGCCGTCACGGTAGTAATATTCTAATCCATTCCGAGATTCTTCCCCGTATGCAAATGGTTTAGCAGCAGCTTCTTCAGAAATACATAATAACGTGTTCCATTGCTGCTTATCCAATCTGAATTTTCTGTCATGTTGGACTTGGAGATGGACTTGGACGTAATTGGTGGCGGGGTCGTGTTGGGAAGGCCCAGCGTGATACAGGAAAACCCAATGAACCTAAGCAACGGCAGTAGTAGGCATCAGAATGGGTCATCTCCTTCCTCGGGGCATGGGAGCGAGATCAATGAGTACGAAGATCAGTACAGGCTTCCTTACAGAAAGCGATACAGTAATAATTCTGCTGGCTATCCAAGCAGCATTTCATCACCGGAAGAATATTTTGTTCCGTCGTCGTCGTCAGGAGAGTCTTCGCCGTACTATTCGGTCAACAATTTCGCTACTGGTACTTGTAATAGTTTTACTTTATGGGGTGACATTAATTTTCATGACGCACGCATTTTAAAACTAGAGATTTACGTAACTCCTCTGACTGAATTATTTATTACGACAAGAACAAACTTTCTAACTTTCTTGATTTCACGAGATCTAATTTCAATATTTTCTCAGGAATGGAAAGTGACCACAGCAGTGAGGGAGGAAATGGACACCAGCATCATCCTCTGGGTCACAACAACTTGACCAATTCTGCTTCGCCAACTACGGAAATGGCATCGTCCTTCATTCGAAGAACGTCTGAAGGGAGTTCCGGCACCTCGACCAGCCCCCCTTCTGGCCGTGCAGGGGCCAATCAATATCAAAATCATCACAACAGCAGGAACTCCAAGACGGCAAAGGTATGTAAATAAGATAATCATCTAACTAACTACTTAAGTAGCTCATGCTAATTTCATGCGTGCACATGCATTTACATATTTTCTAACCTAATTCTTACAAAATATTCTTGTGCAGATTTGCGAGGTTTGTGGGGACATTGCAAAAAGGTACATAAGTTCCAAGGATAGATACATTTATTTCTGTATTATAGGCCCACATTAATACTTGAATACTTTTTGATAGTCTCCACTTTGGAGGGTTATCGTGCGACAGCTGCAAAGCGTTCTTTCGCCGATCCGTCCATAAGGATGCCCACCTCCAATTCTCCTGTGGTTACGACAATTCGTGCCACATTAGCAAGCAGACGCGGAAATCTTGTCAAAAGTGCAGATTTGAGAAATGTATCCGGATTGGGATGGAAAAGAAGTGGGTCATGTCGGAGGAAGAACGGAAGCTTTTGAATTATCAGAGGTAACCATTTCAAAATGATCAATTGAAATACTAACTAATCCAATAATTAATTATCTATCAGGGAGGTTAAAAAGATCAACAAGTCTCAAGCACAACACCAGCAACCCCAGCAGGGAGGCAGCCCTGTCAATGGGGTTGGGGGTGGAACATCGCCATCAGAGTCAAGCAGTGAGCAGTCATCGTCCAACATCCATCACGACTCTGACCCCGAAACACCAACTGAATACATTCCTAACGTGGACGAAATGCTGAACTACATGTCGGCAGAGGAACAGCGCAATATTCGAGAAATTTGCGAGTACTATCGCATTGCTTATGATAAAATTCCATACAATGTTCCGAAAACAACGGAGGGTTTGCGAAATACATTGCAAGTAATTGGCATGTTCACTACAATTTTGCGAAGGTGTGGAATTTTTCAATTCTTGAAAGAATCATAGTGTGTATTGTCAAATTATGTATTTCAACTTATGCTACTTTTTCTGTTTCAGGTTTGCATTTTTCTCGAAACTAGTCCCAGAATTTCGCGATTTGAACAGGGAAGATCAAGGGAACTTGTTGAAGGCAAGCGTTCTGGAAATGGTCATGCTGCGTGGAGCTCTTTCGTTTGATATTGAGAACCACCGCTGGCCCAACACTAATCTGGAGTTCCTGAAAAATTGTCCACAACTGCGGGTAATTACAACGTTTCCTCGTAGCCTCAAAATTTTCAAATTCGAAAAGTGTACATAATTCTTAATCATAAATGTAATACTCAGGTTCAAGACATGCAGAACCTCGTCTCTCCCGAGCTATTCGAAATGCATATGAGCTTCATCAAACGGATTCAAAATTTAAAAGTTGACGAGCCCACCGTCATGCTTCTCCTCCTCATCGTCATGTTCTACCCGGAACGGTCAGAACTCGAGGATGTCGCAAAGGTTAACAAGGCTCAGGAAAAATATTGCGAACTTCTCAGCAAGTATGTCAACTGGCGATATGGGAAAGAGGGCAAAAAGCTGTACCCCAAAGTACGCAAAAATCCATTTTCTACTTTACTTAACTTTCTTTCTTTACCTAATAAACCCAACTTTCTCTTTCAGTTGTTAACTCAACTCAGCAACCTCCGTCAGTTGAACGACTTGCACACCGAGTATCATCTCAATCTTGCTGAAAAGGAGGTAAACGTCATTCGGCAAGATCTTACTCAGCTCCACTTGAATCCATACCCTCAATGGAAAATTGTCACCACTGAAAACTCACCAGCTACCACGGCCCCTCACTCCCCCCAGTTCCCACCTTTACATCCCACAGCAGACGAAGCCTCGCCCCCATCATTCCACCCACCACAGGTTGGGGAATACTCTCTTCCATTGTCTCACCCACAGCAACAAACTCCCACAACCCCACCCGGCAGCAGCAACATTGGTCCTATCCGATCATCTCACCACAACCATCGCATCCATTCCCGAATGCGAGAAGCTTTCCTTCGCCGTATTCCTCACCTTATCGACGATCCTTTCGCTCCTCTCATGACGCCAGAGGACATGGCCACAATGGGACAACAGTTCAGCGGACTTGCCTCCCACATTGCGCAACAACCCGTGGCGGCACAAGCGCCACAACCCGAACGCGCACCCTTTGACCCGTGGCAGCCTCGTCATAGTCAACAAGAAACTGCCAACAGATCTCAGCAGCAAGCCTTCGCTGCACCACCGAACTTGGCTCAGTTCAGTCAAGGAGGGTTTGATCTGGACAAGATGCCACAGGGTATTCAAAGCATTGTGGAATCGCTAAACCCTGAAACGCTAGCCCGGCTTCGGAGCATGTTCTTTGCAGGGGCATTTAATGGCGTGGCGCCCTCAGCCACGTCGACTGGAGGGGATGGAGCACCCCCAGGGGCAGCTTCTGGTTTAGGTCTTGGTGGTGGTGGTGGTGCCATCACACCGGGACTTTTTGCCAACCTGGCCACTGCAGAGGGTCAAGGTGGTAACAATTTGGCTAATTTGATTGCAGACTTTACTGCTCAGAACCGAGAAATGCGTCCAAATTGAAGAATCCCCCCTCACTTTTAGTTTTGTGTTTGATGTATCTTTCAACTATTGTATCGTGTTCAATGTGTAATCATATCATGGTCATTGGCATGTCGTGTTCCATCCAAATTCACACAGTAAAATTAACTGGCGTCCATGCATAAATATAATTACTAATATTTACACATATGTATGTACGTATGTACACGGGCAGTACACCCAACATTTACAAGTTAATACGTAATTAATAAGACTATCTACTACATAATTGTCAAAAAAAACGTATTTTAAAATTCTCTTACAAAAAAAAACTTGACGTGATCTTCACATTTTAAATATTTGTGACGTGATATTGTAAAACAATTCCGAAATTTTGTGGTGTCTAGAAAAATTTGTTCCTCTTTCCTAATTGTTAAATTTAAAAGGTGTGACTACATGTTCTAGTTTTAAATATCTTTACTATAACTATGCGTATTTTGGTGGCATACTTATTTCCAAGTATTTAGCCAGACTTGTCCAAAATGGTAAGGAAAAGTGTATGTGATAAAAATGTAAATAATCCAACATTCGTATCGTACAATATTTTTTTGTAGATTCACATATTTCAAACAATTTTAAATGTTCCTCTCCTTTTGTCAAGAGAAATGCTACGCTTTTTCAAGTACGATCTTCATGAAGAGAAATATGTCAATTTCAACATAGAATTTGCACAACACAGTTTGGCAAAATTTACATAAATGGCTCATCATTGTCAGAAAATGTAATGACTCAATTGGTTCGTAATACACTAAAATTGCTGTACATAACAATAAAATATTTGTGTAAGGGAGCTTCTGGTTGTTGTTTAGTAGTATTAAAAGTGGATTTTGTGCGTCCCGTGATCAATAATGATGTGTGTGTACGTAATAATATTATTTTTCGTTGGAAATAAAAGTGATTTCAATTTCTGTTTGTAAAAAAAGTGTCATTAATTCCACTTATTCGGCCCGAATGACTAATCATTTGAGGGCAAAGCACGTTCAACCCAGACTTTTGTGTGGTAACACATATTGCAAAAATGTGTAACGATTTGGTTTGATATTTCTGCAGAGGTTCGTAGCCTCTTTGAATATTTATTAAAATGATCGTTTTTAGCCCGAGTCAGAGGCCTAGGTGCTTGCGCACCAGTTCCTCCCTCTGTTCGGAACACGATATCTCTCTTTTACCTTATCATATCGATTCTGTGTATATATTTAAAACATGTTAAGTTTAGAGTTAGGTTCGAAAATGAGGAAAATCGATTAAATAGTTGGCCCGTGGGGGTCATACTAGGTCGGGTGGGGCTGTTGATGCAGAATATTCTAACCGGTCTTAGAATGCTGATAAAATTAGGGATATTGGTCATATTTGAGTATCAAATTAGTGCCTTAACAGGCAAATTATTGTGCGGAAAGTCCATTTATGGTCACTTTAACTGATTTCTATGAATTGTGAAAATCAGAAATTTGATATTTGCATATGTTTATGAACTATTAATAGGGAGTTAGATTTTCGAAATTGCTGTCCTTCATATTTAGTATGCACATTGGTCACCTATGCGACCCACACCGAGTTTTATAAATTTAGTGCAGCATGTTCGTACATTATTTAGTGTAAAATATTGACCAAGGTCTCAAACAGAGTAGCTCTCACTGACTAGTAAAAGTACGTATTTAAGAGGACAGAAAGCTCCTGGCTCGGGCTACATATATTAAGTTTACACAGTAAAAATTTTGCACTATATGATTTTAAGTGGAATCTGTGCGTAACGCGTCAACATACATGTGTAGATACACACTTAGTTTGCACTTATGTATGTAGATTATTAATTTATGCATACATCCTTTTGCAATTTTGCATGAATTATTTATTTTGAGTAATTACTCGTATTTAGTTCAAACATTTTATCAACTCATTCACTTTTATTGACCGCATATCGCACAAATATTTGTGATACACACAATTCGACGAAAAGTTCTACTAACCTTTGAATTTTTGCGATACAAATTATCCCAACTAAATAGATCATTCAAAATATCAGTAATCCTCCTGACAGTCTTGAGTATCCAACTAATTCTGGGATTTGCCCAACTTTGTTGAAAATTACACATACAACGAATCTAAAATGACCTCAGTTTTTCATAATAACCAAACCACTAAACTCATGCTGGATAATTTTACATTCATTTAATTGTTGCCATCTGGAACCAATTGTCGCAAAAATAGACGTACATACATACGTTCTCCGTCACATTAAATATTAAAATTAATGTTATTATTAGTACTCGAAGCAAAAACTAGCTACTTACTTTCCACCTGCAAACGTATTATACAATGTGTATATTTATTTGATGACACATAAATAAGTACGTGCATGATTATATACACAGCCATACGTACATAAAAATATACAGTGTATAATGATGGAAAAGATGTAAATGTAAAATCATAAAAATCCTTGTACTGAGAATTCGCAAATTGTATCTATACATACACAAAGTCTTTGGAATGGAATTGTTATCTACTCGGATACACACATAGATATTTATGTATCTGCCGATCGATGTTGTAAATTGATGCACATTAATCCCCTCATGTTCATTCCTTATCTAGCGATTTGTGCAGGATTACGTACATTATTCCCATTATTCTGTTCCTTTTAAACTACAAAACAAAAAAAGTGGTAAAACCTGAGGCATGATTATTATATCACACAGACAGCCAGACACTTGACTATCTTCTAAGAATAAAAATTGCCATTGAGCCAGGAGTGGATTGAATCGTTTACAAGTGATCTTGTAATTTCATTGATGCAATTTCCTTCATTTTTTATCGTCATCCAATGACCACTCTCTACGGAGTAATAGTGACGTATTAGCAAACATACTTATGTACATAGTTGTGCATGAGAAGAAAAAAAAAATACATGGATAAACTTGGTAATAATTCTGTGAATTTATTTTCGAGTTGATTTGCCAAGTCAATTGTTTCTCTGCGTTTTTGCAAATATAAAGCTGGTGCTGGACTTTGTTAAAGTCCAGCTCTGAATACAAAGGACATATCTACATGCAGAGTTGCAGAGCGTCAAATCCAGTTCTATGTAGCTTATCTGGTAGCTTATGCGCACATATAGATTAATCGTACAACGGGATATCATTTGATGGTGGATGAAGCTAAAGTTGTAAAAATAAAGAATTGTAGATTCAGTACCGCTTTGGCGTTCCGAAAGAGTTAAAGTGCCTTGTAAAATACTTGTTCAAAGTAACAATTATTGTTTCAAAAAGTGATTTAAAACTTTTCATTCAACTACATAAGAATAAGGACGTTTCCAATCAAGACGATGAGTGACAGCAGTAGCAACAAGATTTATCCGAAAACGGTAAGAAAATCATAAAAAATTATATCAACGTTATCAAGTTTTTTAAAGGTTTTTCATATTTTAAGTAGGTGGCATTTACAATAATTCGTTGTCCATAAGTTTCCCGAAGTTGTTCAATTTCTCATGAGTACATTTTGCATGGCCTGCAATATATTTTCTTCTCAAATGCATAATAAATTGTGTAGGGATAAGAGGAGAAGGAGAGTCACTTGAAGTAGTAGTTCTCGAGTTGGAAGCCGTGCGTAGTTTTCGTGGGGTGTAATTTTCTAGGTTGTAGGTTAGGTTACATAACCATCCAGTTTGTCGAATTATTATTCTTTAGGTGGAATGGAAGAATTTGGACATGGTTTGACATCATGTGTCGAATTGTGCATAAGGAAGGAGAGAGGAAAAATTACGAAGGAAGACCGCATAACGGTCAATAAATTGTAATATGACCCTTCTGCAGCACTCAAGTGGATAATCCCAGAGGGAGGTGTATGTAAATACTCATAAGAAGTCGATACCCTCTGAAGTAGTAGCAATAACCTCAAAGTTCCCAATCCCGGACATAATTTCATCTCATTTCATTTTCCTGATTCCGGTATTTAGGTACATACTTACATACGTAAACACATACGTCATTAAAATGCTATGATAGTCTAAATTTGACACTTGTTATCTCGTAAAACAAATTCCAGCTAATCACATTGAATAACATCTTATCTCATGCATTCATATTATGAAGATGATAATGCAGCATCGATCAATCACCATCATATATTATGCCCCTTCTAGTAATAAATTACTGCATAAAATAAACAAACAATACGATTATAGCTACTACCCATATCATAATATGAACGATTGTAATTAACAACGCATATCATCGTTATGACCTTAAACCTATGTGTTTGGTTTTTTGTTTGCATTTCACTAATTCACATAATTCCTGATGTGCTAAAAATAAATTCTTACCAAGAATTAATCTCTATTCAATAACAGGATATCGACCACGGGCATGAAAACAATGGATACATAAATGACGAGCGACCGGGCGAGGTATGCAAAATTTTAATACGAATTTCAAAATTTTGTTTGTTAATCTTGTATAAAGTATTTTTAATAACATCAATTTCAGGGGGCTAAAAGCAACTATCCTTCAACGTTGCAGCCAGAACACATAACTAATTATGATGAAATTTCAAAGCCAGCAACGGTGTGGAGTAGTGATCCGACGGTACATTCCATATTATTTAATCCCCATGATGTTCCTTAAAATGTATATATTTCTTTTGTTAGTAAACATATTCTTATAACTCTATCCTCAGAACCTCGAATCTGGTCCAGGTGATGGAAAGAATGACGGTCGTGAGACCTGGGATAATCCGATTGAAGTAATTATTCCTCCTTAGTTATTAAGTAGCTTCAGCTACTTTATGTGAAGACTTTGTCTGTCTGTCTGTCTGTCCGTCTGTCTGTCAGCAGGATATCAGGAGAACGGATCGAGATAATCGAAATCGGTTTTCGCCATCATACATAGGACCCCAGGGGGAGGATCCTATCAACTTTTGGGGGCAACCGGACCACACCCCCTTTGGCGACAGGGGGTGTGGTCGGGGCAAAATGAGATTTTTAGTGCAATTTAATCTATAGGTGAAATAGAGTAAAATTATGTGTTCCGGAGTTGTGCCACACCCCCTCGGCGCCAGGGGGTGTGGTTGGGGCAAAATGAGATTTTTAGTGCAATTTAATCTATGGGTAAAATTAGGTGAAATTGAGTGAAATTAAATGAAATTAAGTGAAATTAAGTGAAATTAAGTGCTTCCCCGATTGTGCCACACCCCCTCGGCCCCAGGGGGTGTGGTTGGGGCAAAATGAGATTTTTAGTGCAATTTATTCTATGGGTAAAATTAAGTGAAATTGAGTGAAATTAAATGAAATTAAGTGAAATTAAGTGAAATTGAGTGTTTCCCCGATTTTGCCGCACCCCTTCGGCGCCAGCGGGTGTGGTTGGGGCAAAATGAGATTTTTAGTGCAATTTAATCTATAGGTGAAATAGAGTAAAATTATGTGTTCCGGAGTTGTGCCAAACCCCCTAGGCGCCAGGGGTGTGGTTGGGGCAAAATGAGATTTTTATAAAAAATTAATCTATAGATGAAATAGAGTGAAATTAAGTGTTCCCGAGTTGTTCCACACCCCCTCGTCGCCAGGGGGTGTGGTCGGGGCAAAATGAGATTTTTACAAAAAATTAATCTATAGGTGAAATAGAGTGAAATTAAGTGTTCCCGAGTTGTGGTGGGACCGTTTGGGGTGAAGTACGTCTGAAGCTACTTCCGTATGCGCGTTTGCGACGGTTTATTCTTACTTACAATTAGTTCTTATATTTTTTATTCTTACATAATTATTCTTACAGTTCCTTTTATCCTGTATTGCGATGAGCGTCGGCCTCGGAAATGTGTGGCGTTTTCCTTTCACAGGTTGGTTGGTAGTCATTTCTTTATATCAGCAATCAATTTAACTACACAACGTGCTCTTATAATTTCACTTTTTCGTAATGTAAATAACCTAAATTAAAAATTTGTGTATATAAAATCCAAATAAAATTATTTTTACTCTTTTTCATGACTAATTCCGACAGCTCTCAGTAACGGAGGTTCGTAAACATTTATTCAACTTGGTGCATATTTTGTCCTTGTCGAATATTACATTCTATCAACCTCAATATAGGCGGAGCTTTCTTAATCCCGTACCTCATCGTACTCATCGTCATTGGAAGGCCAATCTACTACTTGGAGATGTGCATGGGTCAATTTTCACGTTATGGTCAAGTGAAAGTCTGGAATATGGCACCCCTCTTCAAAGGAATTGGCTACGGGTAATTAACTTGATGTACCATAATAACTTGACCGGTTTTGATAAACCAAACTTCTCACCGAGTTGATGGAGTTGCTAAATTTGTCGCACATTTATTAACTCGTACTTAATAAATGCCCAACTCGACACCCATCAATTGTTTTTTTTGTTTGATGTAATGATGTAATTGCTTGATGTAATTTGATGTTTGATGTAATACCGTTTGTAGATATGTCGAAAAATGTGGTTAGCACATAAACCTGTAACACTTATAGGGTATTACTAATTTAAAGGAGCCTATTTTCGCATACATTTCAATAAGGGCATTACGTATGCACCAGTCAAAGTAATACTAAACAACAAACGATATTGTGCTTTATTTAGCTCTATGATCGGCACCATTTGCGTGGTGTCCTATTACTGCAGCATCATGGCCGCTACTGTGTTTTATTTTTGTGCGTCCTTTCAAAAAAATCTGCCTTGGGATTATTGTCAAAAGAGCTGGGCTGGAGAATTAATTTGCAACGACGACGGAACTCTAAATGCCACGTATAATGTGAAAAATGAAACAATTGCGTCTCTTTATTACTAGTAAGTTTCTCCACCTTTAGTTAATTAGTACATTTGGTTGAATGCTTATTGAGACGATATTTTGCCGTGTTTGCAGTAACGAAGTTTTTCCTCAGAAGGATGATATTTCAGATGGGCTAGGGAAACCGGACTGGAGGCTGTCACTGTGCTTATTATTTTCATGGATTTGCATCTTCTTGTCTCTTTGGAAGGGCGTTAAGTCATCGGGGAAAGTCGCATATTTCACGGGTAACAAAAATTAGCAAAAAATGAACACATACGGAATTGTCCTTGTGACACACTAATTTGTATTTCAGCTATTTTTCCATACGTCGTTCTCATAATTTTGCTCATTCGTGGGGCTACATTAAAAGGGGCATGGAAAGGGATTAAATACCTTATTGAACCTCAATGGGATAAGCTGTACGATCCAAAGGTAAGTATTTTGTCAACAAATAATTAAGACGCACAACTTTAATTATCAACCGTTTTGTTTCTCTTACCCAGGTTTGGTATGCGGTATGTTAAATATTAGCTATATTGCTGTATTACATGTACATTTTTGATAAATTACTAATTTCATGCATGTCTTTTAGGCCGTGGGACAGTGTTTTTTCTCCCTTTCTACAGGCAAGATTAGTCATGCACTACATTTGCACTTTCACTGGAAACTGTAATTAATTGTACCTTTCTCCTCAGGATTCGGGCCCATAATAATGTTCTCCAGCTACAACCCATTTAGTCACAACGTTTACCGGTACATAGATTTATACACATTCCACAAACTTGTCCGGTTTAATAATATCTTCCAATGTTCCATCAGAGACGCTTGGGTAATCAGTTTTATGGACACTTTCACCTCGATTTTAGCAGGATGCACAATATTTGCCGTTCTTGGCTATCTATCAGAAGAGACTGGGAGACCAATTAGCGAAGTTGCGGGGTTTGCAGGACCTGGCCTAGCGTATGTTTTATAATTAATTCGCAATACATAGATTTTGTGTACTAACTTTCACTTTCAATTATTATTCACACAGCTTCGTCTCTTATCCTGAAGCGATCGCACAGTTTACCTTTGTCCCACAGGTGGTTAACTCGTTCCTCGTATATTATGAGTTATAATAATTGTTTGGTACATATACGTACATATTTTATCATCAAATCTAACTATCTTTTTGCTAATTACTCATTTTTAGCTGTTCGCCGTCCTATTCTTTTTGATGCTTTTCACATTAGGAATTGGTTCCGCAACGTCGTTAACTGGTGGCATCATTACCATAATTTGTGACCAGTTCAAATCCTTCAAAAAATGGCTTGTAACTCTAGTCGTTTGCATAGTTGGCTTTTTCTCTGGTCTGATGTTCGTAACGGAGGTACATAAATAAGTCACTTCAACTTTCACTAAAGTCATACCAATTAAGTAAGTATTTCTCAAATACCAAATATTAGGGAGGTGGTGCCATGGTGGGGCTGATTGACCACTTTGGAGCTAGCTTCGTGATCTACCTTATGGCGATGCTGGAGGTTGGGGCAGTCGCGTGGGTCTACGGACTTAACAGTTTCTGTAAAGATATCGAATTCATGCTGAAGATTAAAGTGGGATGGTATTGGAAGATCTGTTGGGGGTAAGATTAACTTGAAATGACATTCAACTTATGAGTACAAAATCAAATCAGAAATGGCTGACTCACATTATTATTAATTAGGTTTCTCATCCCAGTGGGTTTATTTGTTATATTTGTCTACGCCATGGCCACACAGGAGCGAATGGTGTACGGAGAGGTGCCTTACCCCACAAGTGCGGTCGCGTGCGGCTGGACGCTGGCTGCGGTAGCTTTATTTGTTGTTCCAGGTATGACGAATTATGCCTTCCAGACTGTAATTTCGACACTATTTGCGTATCCAACGCACTACCCGGGTTCTACTGCTAGGTTGTAGTGAGAAAAATGACTCAACTGACCAATTGACAACTCCTTACACTACAATAAATATGACACCACGATACAGATTTACAATTGAAAAATCCCCACTGATTTATTCCCACACGAGACTTATTAAAATTGATGACGTGGCTTGGAGGGAGGAGAGAGAAATGGCTGACTTGATCGAAAACATAAAAATGGTAACTTCTCGTGACAAACCCTACTCCCAACCCTGGAAAATATTACCTACCTACGAACCTGGTTAGTAGTACACTTGGACCCCGGGTAGTACAGTTCGACCGGCCGAAGGCCGGTCGAAATTATCTGCGAGCAAATATATAATGATGAGCAGAAAATGAACAAGACCAGTTGGAAGTACACTACAACTAGTACAAAATTGATAGAAAAGCACACCAATCGCTAAAAGTAGTACACAAGGTGTACTACACATCGATCACTAGATAATAAATGGAACATACACCTGTCCTCGATAATGTAGTACACCTCGGCCGATACAAAATGAGTAGAAAATGCACATTACTAGATGAGCTAGTACACTTCGACCAACAAGAATATGGAGAAAATTAATTTACGACCGAATGGAAGTAAACTTCGACCAACAGAAGATCTGTAAAAAGTACACGATCGATTGGACGTACACTTCGACAAACACCAAATCTGAAAAAAATGCACCATCGAATTGTAGTACAATTCGACCAACACCAAAAATCTGGAAAAATGCACGATCGAAGGGTAGTACACTTTGCCCAGCACAAAAATCAGAGAAAAGTACGCATCGACAACTGGGAAATACGCTTAGACCACCGAAATACATTAATAATTATATTTCAAATTGCAATCCCAAACTGTTCTGTCGACGAAAATTACGCAAAGCTGTTTGAGATTTGGTAATTTTCACAATATTAGATAACAAAGCTGGCAAACGATCAAATAAAGTTTCAGACCTGCGTTAATTCGATTCAAGTTGACAATTTAAATTAGTTGCAGGTTTTACATTTATGAACGACTTCAATTTTTTGCCCAAACTTGATTTTGCCGAGTTACGAGTTTGTACTTAATTGCACATTTCTTTGTTCCTAATTTATTACCTAGTTTATGAGATACAACGAGTGATAAGTCGCTTCAATTAATATGAGCGCTACTTGCATTTAGTTTTGTAGCTGGACACAGTTTTTATTGCTTTCTCGACTTAATAATGGTGAATGACTTATTCATTGACTTATTCATTGACCAGCTAGATTTTCGGGTCCTACGTTTTCGGAAACCCATTTCCTTCTAACGTAGGAAATAAGGTTCCTATTTTAAGCCCTCTCATTCACAAACGTTAGAGGTTAGCCTCTTAACGACGAAGTAGATACACACATTTATGTAGTACATATTTTATTTTCCGTTGACGTCACAACACAAATATGTGTAAATACTGCATAAATTAGCCTCACATAAAAATTTCTCAAAAAAGTATTTCCTTGATATTTTATGGAAAACCCGATAATAAAAATGAGGTTTTCTCGAAGTTGTCTCGAGGTTGTTTATCTTCTTACATCTTGGCGTTTGAGAACTGGTTGAAAATTTTAATTGGTTGGTAGCAGGTGTAATTATGAAATTTGCATCGTGTCGGACGGAAATTTTATTAGAAAAACAGTAGCGCGAATGAGGTTACCAAAATGAGGAGTCAATAAAAATTCTACGTCTCGCTTCTTGAATTACTCTTTTTCTACTTTATCATTTCAATTCATACTATTTGACGGTTTAACTTCACACAAGATACAAAATAATGTGCGCAGGATTTTTGGAAAGCTACTGAATTGAGGCATAAAAATGCAACGTTCACTTTAAAAAAATTTGAATAATTTATCGGCAACGAACGCCCTCGGAAAGTTTGCTACATTATTGGATGTTCCTCTTTAAGGCCTATTTCATACCCTTCATTCTAGCGTTGTTTTCATTTCATTTTCACAATTTGTTTATCGTCGGATTTATTTTCCTTTCACCAAAAAGTGCCGCCATGCCAACAGCAGATTGAAATTTATACATATATACCGTAAATACTCTATTTATGGCGGGGCTAAAATCCAAAACTAGGTGTCACAGACCTGGCTACAATTAGAGACCGGCTATAATTAGAGACCCGGCCAAATTTTGTTCCGCGCTAATTTATAATATTATAAATCACTTTTTGTTAAGATTACCTAGATACATTCTTGGTCAAATGAAATTAAAAGTTTTGTACATTTTGACCTCATTCGTACAATCAACGAATGTACAACATTTTTGGATGGGCTGTGAACGGGGACAGAGCTGATAAGACAGGTCATAATTATGTAGAGGCCCGGCCATAATTGGGGACCCGGCTATAATTAGAGACCCGGCTAAAATCTTGAAATCTTAGTCTCTAGACCCGGCTATATTTAGAGACCGGCTATAATTAGAATAGGGCTATAAATAGAGGTTTTACGGTATTTGCATTCATTTGGTTTTCAGTTCGGTCTCATTTTCAAGCCGTTTCGCGCATTTGGAAACCTTTTTCTTGTTTTTTCTGCTCTCCACTAACCCCTCTGACACGGATTACCAGCACGGACGAAAATACAAATGGACCTGCCGACGTCTTAGCAGGCTACGGTAGATAATCTATTTATAGCGGGCTCAAAAGCCAGCACGGGGTATAAGCCGGCTCACTTCGGCTACAGTCACAAACCGGAAAGAATTAGAGACCGGGATCATTTTAACTCGGTTAGACATATGTACATACCTTGAAGAACTTAAAACGCATGAAGGGAAAACTTGAGCTTAAGACTCCGTTGCAAATACAGTATTTACGGTACCCACAGCGGATGTTACATGGGCTTAGATAGAAATCTTAGGGATAGATCTATAGATTTAGCTAAGCCTAAAATCTATAGATAGAAATCTTAGGGGTCAAATGGTCGGACGCTAGTACCCGGTTCCAAATGAAGCTTATTGAAAAGATTTTTAGCTCGTATAGAAGTAATCGGAAAGTTTGTTCCAGGAAAAGCTTAATTCAGTAGTAAGCATTTAATTTATGCAAGTGTATGGAGGAAAAAACACAAATTTCAGGGGTGTCAAAAACTGTCCAATTATTACTAGAGTTTGATGTGAACAAAATCCCTGGGGCCAAATACTCTCCGACAATGTGTTGACATGCAAGGGCGCAAAGTCTATCAAACATTCACGCACAACTTAAAAAGTTGACGATGAGTTAATCGAGCTTATTTCCAGATTATACTATATCTCACTTCTAAAGTAGAGTTATGCTCATTGCAACAACCACAACCGCAACCATAATCTCCACAAAAATCTTTTCAAAGTTTCCCGAACCCACTGCTGATTCGTTGAGTAGCATATCTTTCGAAGAATCATGAGGATAAAGCCATACTTCATCGGAGCTTAACGCAGACTCTTCATCTTCGGGATTTATTTTTGTACCCATTATCCTGCCGAATTCCACGGGGTTTGAAAATTAGTAGAACCATTCGGTTGTGACCATAAGTGGGAAGGATCAGTCCAAAGTATACTGCCTTTATGAAAATACTGAGGGTAGTCCACATCCGTCAAAACGATTTTGACCTTTAATATCTTTGGCACTTGGTGGTAATTTCAACTTCAAATTTTGTGAATTAATAAGCACTAGCGTTGGTATTGTAGTTGCAAAATTTCAATTTTCTAGTGTAAAAAGCACACCTTCAACTAACCCCAAAGTAAAACAATGATGATTTTTTTGTTCCAGACATAAATTACCCGATGAAAGGACATGGTGCAGTTGCTGATAGGCTAGAAATGTCGGGAAATAGCAAATTGTGTGAGCCCATGTCCGTAGTACACAATGCAGTTTAAATTTTGATAAAAAATAGCTGGGTAGAGTTTCAGAGTAAAAGTATAACAGCCCCCAATTTGTCAAAATTTCGCTAATTTTTCCCAAGTACCTCCATTGCACGAAATTAAACATTTATAGTTCAAAATCTGTTTGCATTAGCATCAGTAATGTCTCCTCTAACTGCTAAAATAATAGACATGAAAAAATTTCAGCTATTGTGATTTATAAAATTCCATTTAACACAAAAACAAACTTTATTCACGCTTTTTTTGTACAAATCCACCTGGTATATACCAGGTGGATTCCATTCCATTCCATTCCATACGTATGGAATGAATTTAAAAAAATTGGGAAATTTTGAGTTACTTATAAAAGCCACATAGATGCCAAAAATTTTCGTACCACCCACATAAAATTCCATAAACAATTCACAATTCTAGAACGTTTTAAAAATATTCTGAAACTTAAAATTTATGTAGTTTTGGAAAGTTTTAGAACAGAACTATTTGTTCGTATGCATATATCTCTGGCGCCATTTAGACTAGCGAATTGAAATTTTGTACCCATAATGCTGACTATAAGGTGAACAAATTGTAAAAATTTCAATTCAAAATTTATACTAGCGTCAAATATATTAAAGGTCAAAATCGTTTTCACGGATGTTGACTACCCTCAGTATTATAGGGGTAACGGTAAACGCACCTCAAGGGGCCTCCATTTCCAGGTTCATGGTTTCTTACTTTTGCGTCAAACTTCAATTTGAGCAAAAACGAATTTTGTTCATGCTAGTACACTAGCAAAGTGTTAGTAGTACACTTGGAAAATTGTGTAAGATTTTCCAGGGTTGCCTACTCCAAGCAACTTTGCGTGCCTTTTAAGACAGCATTATTACCCAAAAGCCAGACTATAATGAACGATTTGCATATAATTTTTAGCCGAAACCAGGGTTTATATAAATGTCATGTCCGTCTGTCTTTCGATAACTCTCGAACGAATTGGCCGATTTTTAACAAATTTGATACAGACATGTATCTGGGCAATCCAACGACAAAGTTCGAAGATGGGTTCGATCAGAAACGATTTAGACTGGTGTGGGTCATATGAGTGGGTGGGGTATTATGCATCAAAATTTCAAAATCGTCGTAGAAAGCTCAAATTTGTTACAGAGGCTGCTAATTGCCCGTAATAGAAGAATATGAAGTGAAATTGGTAAAAATTTTTAAATGACGGGACCCGTTGGGGTGACCCATACCGATTTTAATAGCTTGTCTCAAAAAGCTGAACTTCGGAACGGTGATACTTAATGGCTTCAACTCCCGGATCTCGATGCCTTTTGGATATGTTGTAGCGTCCCATGAATGAACAAGAACCCCTGAACTGGTTTGACCCCATGACCACATTTGCGCCCGCCACACCCACTCAAAGGTGCCCAAAAATCGCTTTCACTCCAGCTTTCACTCACTCAAATCCACGCCAAAAATCCAATTTTAGTCGGATTTTGAAATTTCTTTCACCATTATACTCCCAGATAGTTGTTCTTTTATATTCAACATCAAACTCAACTTTTTGAAACTTGTAGTATTTTTAAAATTTAAAATTCTGAATGAGCATTGTTGTAGTAATCAACAAAGCAAATTATGCCTGCGACATAATCATCAAAAAAGTTGAGTTTGATGTTGTATATGAGCATAGTGGTGAAAGAAATTTCAAAATCCGAGTAAAATTGGATTTTTGGCGTGGATTTGAGTGAGTGAAAGCTGGAGTGAAAGCGTTTTTTGGGCACCTTTGAGTGGGTGTGGCGGGCGCAAATGTGGCCATAGAATCAAATCACTTCAGGGTTATTGTTCATTCATGGGACACTACAACATATCCAAAAGGCATCGAGATCCGTGAGTTGATAGTACACAACCTCCCCTCCTAAGATGTGACCCATTCCGATTTCGAAGAGTTTATATATTCAGTTAAAATTTAAAGGGTTTGGACTTCACGCAATATACACTAGAAAATCTGTTGGATTGTATGAGGTAATACAAAAAATAATTGACGTTACGAGATCCTAATCGTTTTATTCAAATTGTCAAAATTTTTCTAGAAATTCAAGGAATCTTTACTACCCACGAAACATTGGGGTCCAACGGACCCTGTTCTGCGACAAGAATGGATTGAATTTAAGAAAACGGCTTAAACAATTAATCTGTGATATAACTTAAATGCCACAAAAATGAAAACTGTATCATAAATTTAAATATGTTTATCCGAATTATTTAATATCTAACTAATCAAATATTCTTACGTTATTTAACTTATATAAAACTAGTATCTTGTTGTTAAATTAATATTACACAAAACCTACCATGTAACCATCAGATAAGGGTACACGCAGACAGTATTGATAAAAATAGTAAACACGTCCATAAATAATGAGTACAAGTTTAATTGCTTCCGCGGATAAACTTTTTCCTTTGAATGTATGCACATTACAAGGTTATGTCCATACTTGACCCTATCGGTTTTCTACCCCACTTTTATTAATTACTACGTCCGTCAATCATTCCACATTATATAACCAACCCACTCCAACATGTACACAGATAGAGTGCATAATCAAATACTAGACATTTTCCTCTTCCACTTATTCTTATCGCGTAAACCTTCACACTTATCTTCCCAACTTTAAAACAATGCTTGCACACAATCAATCACGAAACAATTTAATGGATTTCATCATATTTTTTGAATTGCTTTCGGCTCATTAATGAATTCGGCGTGGGTTGGGCCGGAATCACTTTGTTTGGCGTTGGAGTCTGTTCAGAAGGGACGATACACACGCCACAAGGTCACAGATATATACATAAAATATGGAACCCGCGATACCAACGGTTGATGTGGACAGTCCACCACCATATAATGATCTACCCCCACAACAGCAGCAGGGCTACTTAAACGATGCCTTTGTTCCTGATGGAGGTGACGAGGAAAAGAGCAGGAAAAATCTCCAATTTGGCGACGATCCAAAGCATGTGACCATTTGGAGCAAAGAGACAGTAAGCCGAAAAAAAGTTAATCGTATACAGCATGATACGTATGTACATGAAAATGCAATGCACTTCTTAGGATGCTGATAACCCCGAAGGTGAAGGTGATGACGAAGGTCGCGATGTGTGGGACAGTCCCGTAGAATTTTTGTAATTTCTATGAATTTAATTAAATATTTAAGTATATATTTATTACATATATTTTAATTTTCGCAGGCTTTCATGCATTTCAATGAGCGTCGGTCTCGGAAATGTTTGGTAATTCTTTTCACCAAATTTTATTATTTATTTATCCAATTTTATTTTTGCTAATTAATTTTGCCAATCCCACAGGCGCTTTCCGTTCACAGGTATGATCATTGATCTTGCATATTTATACCAACTTTCACCATATCGTTAACTGTTTTCCTTTGTTCACAGCCTATAGCAATGGAGGAGGTGTGTGTTATAATTTACTGGCATAAAATTTCTCAGTCGACTAACTTTGCTTTCACTCAGGTGCTTTTTTGATCCCCTACATCATCGTCCTTATCGTCATTGGAAGGCCAATTTACTATTTGGAGATGTGTTTAGGCCAGTTTTCACGTTACGGTCAAGTGAAAATCTGGAATATGGCACCAATCTTCAAGGGCGTGGGCTATGGCTCGATGATTGGTGAACTTACTAAACACTGAATGCTAAAACACCACATAAAATACTTCAAACTTTGACTAAAATTCAATTAATAAAATTCCCCACAGGTACAATTTGCGTCGTTTCGTATTACTGCAGTATTATGGCGGTCACTATATTTTATTTTTTCGCCTCCTTTCGAAAAACTCTCCCGTGGGATTATTGTGATAGGAGTTGGGGTGGTGGTTTTTGTAATGAGAATGGAACATTAAATCCCACTGTAAATACCGAGAACAAAACCATTGCTTCCCTTTATTATACGTTAGTCCCACATATATTTATTTAGCAAACAATATGAATAAAAATTGAAAAATGTTTTTATTTGCCATCAGGATGGAGGTGTTTCCGCAGAAGAATGACATTTCTGATGGATTAGGAAAACCTGACTGGCGACTTTCACTTTGTCTTCTTGCGTCCTGGATCATCATCTTCTTTTCCCTTTGGAAAGTATGCATTTCACTTCATTTTATTTCATTGTATTTCCTATCCTTCATTTGAAATGCTATTTATCATTGAAATCGAAGGGGGTAAAATCATCGGGAAAGGTGGCCTACTTCACGGGTAACAAAAACGTAGTAAAATAATATGGAATTGTCCTTCTAACACACCCAATTCGTTTTTAATCAATTTTTTTCAGCAATTTTTCCGTATGTCGTCCTTACCATCATGCTCATTCGTGGCGTTACATTAAATGGGGCATGGAAAGGCATAAAATACTTTATCGAACCACAATGGGACAAAATCTATGAACCAAAGGTAATGTCAGAAAGCAATAATTATGTAAAAGACAGCTTTGCTTATTAACCATTCGGGTGTAGAAAGAACAAACTAGTGAATCTGTTAACTTCTAATATGGTAAAATACTTGTAGGTTTGGTCTGCTGCAATCGGTCAGTGTTTTTTCAGTCTTGGAACAGGGTTTGGTAAGCTTCAAAAAGCTGTGCATCGTTATCTCTAATAATTTACTAACTTTCTCCACTTTCTCCAGGACCTATAATCATGTTCTCAAGCTACAATCCATTTAGACACAACGTCTACCGGTATGTAGACACGTTTGGATACATTTCTATCTTCCTACATAATTTATACCGTGTCCTAAAATCCTACAGGGACGCGTTGGTCATCAGTTTCATGGACACTTTCACCTCGATTTTAGCAGGATGCACGATATTTGCCGTGTTGGGCCATTTATCCGAAGAGACTGGGAGGCCAATTGAAGACGTGACCGACGGTGGAGCTGGCCTTGCGTGAGATTTTCAAACTATTTATTTCGTACCACGCATTTTTTGTATTAACTCTCACTCTCAATTTTTTTTTACATATTTAGCTTTGTCTCTTATCCTGAAGCCATTGCAAAGTTCACATTTGTTCCACAGGTACATATGTATGCTCAATTAGTTACATAATTTCATCCTAATTTTTTCAACTTTCTCCACGACCAAATATGTGCAGTTGTTCGCCGTCCTGTTTTTCTTGATGCTTTTCACTCTTGGGATCGGATCCGCAACGTCCCTCACGAGTGGTGTTATTACCATAATTTGCGACCAATTTCAAACCTGGAAGAGGTGGTTGGTCACGCTTATAGTTTGCGTAATCGGTTTCTTTTCGGGTCTTTTGTACGTAACGGAGGTAAATACGTCACCCCAACTTTCACTCAAACCATACCAATTAAGTATTTCTCAAATGCCAACGACTTAAACAGGGAGGAAACGCATTAATTGACTTCATAGACTTTTTCGGAGCTAATTTCGTCGTGTATCTGATGGCAATGTTGGAGGTTGGGGCAATCGCGTGGGTCTACGGACTTAACAGTTTCTGCAAAGATATCGAATTCATGCTGGACAGGAAAGTGGGATGGTACTGGAAAATATGCTGGGCCTTCATTATTCCCGTGGGACTTTTTGTAATTCTCGTCTACACCATGGCCACTCAGGAGCAAATGTTGTACAATGGGGTGCCCTATCCCACAAGTGCAATTGGTAAGATGACGAAACCTTTGTTAATTCCTAGCTTCCAAAGAATTGCATTACATACAATTAGTTTTATCATTCTAATTTTATCCAGCCTGTGGATGGATTCTGGCTGGGGGAGCAGTCCTTGTAGTACCCGCAGCAGCTCTACATTCGATAAGGACAAGGAAGTCACAAGGTTTTGTCGAAGTAAGCAAATCATCAAGAAGTAGTTAGTAGCTGTAGTGCGTTATTAAACTTGTTTATCTAATCTGCATGTATGTACTTATCACGAATAATTATAATTGTCACCCTCGTATTACTCCACTCTCTAAATATTCACAGATTGCAAACATAAATAACAAAAATTATCTGTAATCTTAGAAAGATTAATTAATGATATGTTATGCATATTTCTTGTTATTTCAGAAATTCAAGGAGGCTCTTCAACCAACGAAGCACTGGGGACCTAAAAACCCTAAACTTCGCCGAGAATGGGAAGAGTTCAAGAAGAACAATTAAGCCGAATCTTTAAGATATTTAAAACATGCTATTTTTTTAATGACAAACTAAAAATCAGAACTGAATTTGAAATAAATAAACATTTAAAAATCATGATCGCAATCTTTGTAAACATAATTTGTTGACTCATCTAAAAAATATTTTAATATTGCCATTTGCGCACGCACTGATTCACGAAATTTGCCATTTAGGCTAAATAATCATCCTGGCTCAAATATTTATTTACAATTGTTGATGACGACCCATCCACTGACATGACATTATTGCAGATAATTCAGATTATTGTCGGTATTTTGTGCAAAAATGCATTGAAATATTGGACTCGATTACTGCATATTCAGTGTATATGATGTTAACCGATCTCATTAATGTAAATATGCTTTTTATATTTGAATATTAAATACCATGCACCATGAATAATACAGCGACTTTGACCTTTGACTGAGTGAATTTTGACAAAGACTTATCAACAAACGCTTATCAATCAGTATTAAATCTTTTGTTCACCATTTACATGAGCAAAAGGAGCACATGTAATTTTTCAAATCGATTTCACAACCATTTTACTCAATAAATTGACCAAATTCACAATCTGATATCTCACTTTGATTCATCCATCCATCAGGGAGTGAGGTACACCAGACGCAGTAAATTAATTGCATGGATGGATAGAGTCCGCCGGTCCGACTTATCAGTCAATCAGTAAACAGTACATAATTAATTCGTTCCTTGTGGTGCTTGTTTTTCCATTTGTGATTTTGTCATAAAAAAACAAAAAAAAACATCATGGGAAACGAGACGCCGGATTTTGACGGTCAGACGCCCTCGAGTTCCACGGTATGAAAAATGCATCACAGTAATTAAATACTTTAACTAGTAACTAATTACTATTAGATATATGTTCTGGTCGTGGGTTATGAATTATGCCAATCTTCATAAATTTATAATGTCTATTTTCATACATAAGTGACATGGCGAATGTCAAATTATGAAATCAACATAAATTTTTTTACCGCATAATTAATTAGGTTGCATAACCAATTTTTATTATGTTAGCTGATTTAATTAGGCACTGTATTGGATGCCTATTTATAGCGTTATTACACGTCAAACTGTCAAAATTCCTATTTTAACTATTACCAATACGTCATACGACGAGTTATAAGTACTAGTAAAATTTCTTCCTCCTATAGGCCTCCAATTATTTGAAACGCATTCTAAATATATTAAGGAAATCCATTATGAATTGTCTTCTCACCAAACTATTTAATAACAGTTTTATTGTCACAGGTGAGCATTGTGTTAAGGAAATTCAGTTAACATTGACCACGGTTAAACACTGGTCAAACATTTCATTAGTCAAATCAGTTACATACATCCTTGTGCAAGTTTTATGGCTTGGTAATTGAATAGAATTTCCACGAAATTCAGGGGATTATAATACCTGACAAAAGTTTTAGTTTGTACAGTTTCAGGAAAAATGATACTATCGGCTAACAGATTTACTTACGTGTTATTAACAATAATAAAGTTTTTTACCCGGACAGAGATTAGTGCAATAATTGGTAAACATAAACCTAATCAGCAATAATTGTAAATTTTTCGTGTTGCCCAGCTCAGGAATATCATGATCGCGTTAAAAGAAGGCGTTGTAAGTTGACCCCTTCATTTTTTCGGTCACGTTCACTAATTACATCACACTAATTGTTAACAGACAGACATATAAAGTCAATTTGTTTGGTGATAAGTAAGTCAAGAATGACGCAAGTTTCAAATTAAAGTTCAACTACATACAATGAGACATCCATAGATATCGAAGATTTGACCTCTTGGAAGTATGCATTTTTTGATGACGAAATTTAAAATATGCATCTCTCTGTCTGTATAAATATCACATATGTAGCAAATTGTAGTAATTATTGCACAATAATTTTGTCTAAGCCGTAGGATAATTGGTCCTGATGAAATGGATATGTGGTGTCTAAATTAATTGATGAAAGCATTGCTTGAAAGCCTTGTTCATTATTAAATGCTACAGTGAATATTGTAATCGGACATATTTACATATTATTGGCCACCCATTCAACAGACAATGAAATGATAAGAGCATCATGTGTACTATGACACCTTCTTCTTTGAGCATTTGTATTTGTCAAACAATGTAACATCAGCATGCACGTATGTATACGCGACCATTTGATAAAGATTGATTACGTATATATTTGCCCACCCGTCATTGAACGATTTTAATTAAAAATGACGACATGACATGACATGCTCCTCTTGCATAAAGTGATGAATCTAAATCTACTGAAAGGTTAAATTTCTGCATCCGTATTGCATCCGTATTTATTCTTATTTATTGGTGAGAATTGGCCAGAGTTTTGGTGAAAATACGGCACTTTCTACAATTTAATTATTTTTTCACCTTTGTCAGGGTCTAAATAGTGGTGGTGGCATGGACAATCCAACTTTCATTGCAGACGAGCCCCACCCAGATTACGTTGTCGGGGAGGAATTTACACCGACGGGGAAGGGAGCAGAATCACAAACCCCTTTCGGAGGTGCCCCCGTCACTCCTAGTGAACCCCCACCAGATTATGACGACACTTTCACATCCGACAGAGATTCTCCTGTGGTACATGTGAAATATTTTTACTAAGCTATTGTACACGATCACTAATTATAATGTTACAACGTTATTAGAAATCGAGCTACTTGTCAAATCAAAATCTTGGTCCGGGTCAAATTTCTTACCAAGATGGGAAGGAGGAACCTCATCGAACAATGTGGGGTGCTAGAGAGCCAGAGGTACATACTAAGACTTCAAAAAGAGCTATTATAAATTTTAGTGTGCCTCAAATATTTACATACAATTGCTCTTGTACGACAATCTAGGATCCATCAGAAGCTGGGGCTGAGGATGGTCGTGATACTTGGGATAACCCAATTGAAGTAATTATTCTTACTTAGCATTAGTTCTTCTACTTATCTTTTCTTAATTACTCTTACAGTTTTTATTATCCTGTATCTCGATGAGCGTCGGCCTCGGAAATGTTTGGCGTTGTACGTAGCTAATTTGACAAATTGCAGTATTTTACTGTGGTCAACGTTAACTGAATTTCTGTTTGTATTCCTTTAGTTCCTTTTGTGGCATATAGCAATGGAGGAGGTGGGTGTTATACGTAATTTACTGGTATGAAACTTCTCAGTCGACTAACTCTGCTTTCACTCAGGTGCTTTTTTGATCCCGTACCTCGTCGTCCTACTCCTCATCGGACGACCAATTTACTACTTGGAAATGTGCATGGGCCAATTTTCACGTTATGGTCAAGTGAAAGTGTGGGCTATGGCACCTCTCTTCAAAGGAATTGGCTACGGTAAGAATGGAGATATATTTATTGGTTGTAGGGACCTATTTTATTTAACGCCCCAATCATGTCGTAAAGACTTTATAGTAAAGTCCTTTATGAGTCAAAGTCAGAGTGTGGTCAGAATAATGAATCCAGTTCTTATCTTCAATACTGTATTAACAATACCACTATACCTATTAAATACCAATTAAAAATATAAATACAAATATGTTAAATACCAATTAAACATTCTGTCCGATTTTGTAATCTTCTGTCTCACGTCTCAGGTGCTATGGTCGGCACGATTTGCGTGGTATCCTATTATTGCAGGTATAATAAAGTTATGTAACTTTCTCCAAGAACTTTCCCCAACTTTCTCCATCAATGTTTGCCTACATTTTCAGTATTATGGCCCAAACCATTTTCTATCTTGCGTCCTCCTTCCAAAATGACCTTCCTTGGTCGGTATGCAACAAAAATTGGGGTGGCGTCTTATGTATGAATGACGGCACACTTAATTCTACAGCCAATGTAAACAATAGGAGTATTGCAGATTTATTCTACACGTATGTGTTTAAAATCTAAGACATAATTAGCATTACTTGCACATGACTAATGTATGAAATTTCTTTACAGAATGGAAGGTACGTCAGCAATCCCATCAGATTTCACTAAATTTCACGATATTAACCATCGGTCTTTCTTAAAATCATTTCACTATCTTCTTGCAATTAAACTCCTTCAAATACTTCTAGCTTTCCCTGTCAAAAACAGCATCGATGATGGGCTGGGTTCTCCTGAGTGGCGTCTTTCACTTTGTCTTCTTTTTGCCTGGATCCTTATCTTCTTGTCTCTTTGGAAAGGTGTCAAGTCATCGGGGAAAGTCGCATATTTCACGGGTAACAAATATGTAGCAAAAAAGTAGCAAAAAATGAACACATACCGAATTTGTCCTTGTGACACAGCTAATTCATATTTCACCTATTTCAGCTATTTTCCCATATGTCGTTATGCTAATTTTGCTAATTCGTGGTGTAACGCTGAAGGGGGCAGGGAAGGGCATTTTATATTTTATTGAACCTCAATGGGAAAAGCTCTATGATCCAAAGGTAAGCATGTTGGGATCTAGCAATAAAAATCATTTTATTTTAAAGATGTAACTTTCAGCGACAAAAGTCTAATTATTACTTATTTTATTTCACTTTCAGGTGTGGTATGAGGTATGGATAGAGTACATATCATTTTTGAATATTGTTGGTGAAAGCTAATCATGAATATATTCAATAGGCAGTGAGTCAGTGCTTTTTCAGTCTGTCGACTGGATTCGGGCCTATAATCATGTTCTCTTCGGTACTTTAAGCATATTTTAAACACATGCATAAATACTTTAAAATGTATAATAATAATCATGACGTCATATTCCAGTATAATCCATTCAAACACAACGTTTACAGGTAAATTTCTAGACCAAGTAAAATTATGCATAATGCAAGCTTTCACTTACTCAATGTGCACTGCTCATGAATTTATTATAGGGACGCTCTGATCATCAGCTTTATGGACACGTTCACAAGTCTTTTAGCAGGTTGTACAATTTTCGCTGTGCTTGGATACCTGTCAGAAGGTAATAAGTTAGCATTAATAAAGAGAAAGCGGTTTTAATAGTCCTTCATAAAAATTTTCAGATCTTGGTGTCCCAATTGAAAAAGTGACAAGTAACCAAAAATTTATTTATATTTATTTAAAAAGTTATGCAATGCTCACCTATTATGAGATGGAATTTAGATTTGACCAAAAAAACAGCAGTAAAAGATGAGATAGGGATGACTAATCCTAAGGAGGGGAGGTTGTGTACCATCAACTCACGGATCTCGATGTCCTTTGTTGTAGTGTCACATGAATGAGCAATAACCCCCAAGTGGTTTGATGCCATGGCCGCATTTGCGCCACACCCTCTCAAATGTGCCCAAAAATCACTTTCACTCCAGCTTTCACTCACTCAAATCCACGCCAAAAATCCAATTTTACTCGGATTTTGAAATTTCTTTCACCATTATACTCCCAGATAGTTGCTTTCTTATATCCAACATCAAACTCAACTTTTGGAAATTTTTAGTATTTTTAAAATTTAAAATTGTGAATGAGCATTGTTGTCGAACAAGTTGAGTTTGATGTTGGATATAAGAAAGCAACTATCTGGGAGTATAATGGTGAAAGAAATTTCAAAATCCGAGTAAAATTGGATTTTTGGCGTGGATTTGAGTGAGTGAAAGCTGGAGTGAAAGTGATTTTTGGGCACATTTGAGAGGGTGTGGCTGGCGCAAATGTGGCCATGGCATGAAACCACTTCAGAGTTCTTGTTAATTCATGGGACACTATGACGTATCCGAAGGACATCGAGATCCGTGAGTTGATAGTACACAACCCTTCGATCCCCTTCTTGGAGAAGTATGCACAAGATCTTTACTTTCTCCGTGCTTAAGGCATATATTATGTATTACAGTATTAGTGAAATATGATTCCAAGAATTAGTTTATCTCTTCCACCGAAGGCGACGATACAACGACTCGTTGTGCCTTCGAAGTTGGTTTAAACCACTATGCAAGATCTTGATTTTCTCCGTGCTTAAGGCATACATTAAAGTAAATTAACAGTTCAATCTGTACGTCGTTTCTTTACGTTTTTCGCAGCTCCTGGAGGCGGCCTTGCCTTTGTAACATACCCAGAAGCTTTATCTAGCTTCCCCGTTCCACAAGTAATTAATTTGTCTTAATCGTAGTTTAATAATGTTCGGTCTAGTGAAAGAAAATTTGATGGAAAGCGTGCATTTAAAATTTTCAGCTATTTGCCGTCCTCTTCTTCTTGATGCTTTTCACCTTAGGTATTGGTTCTGCGACATCTCTGGCTGGTGGCGTAATTACCATAATTTGTGACCAGTTCCCCAAGTTCCTTCGCTGGCAAGTGACATTAATCGTCTGCATTGTCGGTTTCTTCTCGGGTCTGATGTACTTAACCCCTGTAATAAATAACACTCTTATATTGTATGCATTCTTTGACATTCTGTACTTAAATCATGATTTATTTTACTGTGTTCAGGGTGGAAATTTCATGGTTGATTTAGTGAACGAGTTTGGTGCAAATTTCGTAATATATGTGATTGCGATGTTGGAGGTGGGGGCCGTTTCTTGGGTCTACGGGTTAAGCAACTTTTGTAACGATATCGAATTCATGCTGAACCGGAAAGTGGGATGGTATTGGAGAGTGTGCTGGGGGTAAGAATGCAATTTTGATGACTTTCACTATGATTTCACATGTCATTCAACCTATCAGTAAAGAATTAGACTGGTTTCCTGACTGACAACATTATTATTTATTTATTAGGTTCATCATCCCGGTGGGCTTGTTTGCCATCCTAGTCTACTACATGGTCACAAGAGAAACTTTCAAATCGGGTGGGGTAGAGTATCCGAACATAGGCATTATTTGTGGCTGGCTGCTATCAGCCTTTGCCATTTTACTAGGTAGGTAAATATTTATTAAGTTCGATTGATGTGGCCTCGGCCTTTACAATCATACAGATTTCATTCTTAAATATAATTTAAGTAGTAGCTTAAAATAATAATTCTATTACTAGTTCCGGCCTTTGGGCTCCATTCAGTCCTCACTAGAAAAGCAGGGACCTTTTCTGAGGTACGTATGCACATCCTTTTATTATTTTGTGAAAATTTCTGGGTGAAAGTATAGTTGGGATTTTGCTTAAATTGTCCTTTTCCTAGAAATTTATGGAGTCTCTAAAACCAAGTAAACATTGGGGACCACAGAATCCGAGATTAAGGAAAGAATGGTTGGATTTTAAATCACCCAGATAAAAAAATCGTTCGACCAGGAGAAAAATTATGAAAACTTGTACTACTTTCTCTTCAACTTTCTTCCCTAATTATTTTCAAATATCACAAAAAAACGACGTGTTTTAAATTATGGTTATGCAATATATTATATTTTCCCATCATGTTAAAATTAATAAAAATATAACAATTTACTAAATATCATTCGTAAAAATTTATTAGGCAATTCACGTCACAGTTACAGTATCAAATCTTTGTAAAGAAATACTTTTTCATTTATAAATCTCTCGATTGAAAGCGTTCTTTGGTAGAAAGTGGCATATTGAAGGTACATAATTAGTACTGGGTGGAAGTATGAATGTCAGAGTAACCCCCGTCTCCGTAGTGGTGATTATCGTGATGATCACCATGTCCATGTTCGTGATCATTATGGTGGTCATGACCTGGAGGATGACAATGCGGAGGACAGTTCGGATCAGGACAAGGAATGCCTGGAGGGCAATTAGGATCAGGGCATGGAATGCATGGCGGACAATATGGGTCCGTTTGTGGGGGTGGAATCCAGGCCATATTGTCCATTGCAGTGTTGTGTCCCATATTTCTCTTTCTCCGGTCGTCATCCGAACTAGAATTTGAGCCCTTTCTCCCTGTCTTCTTTTTCTTCTTTTCATGCTTCTTCATCGCTACCCCAGCTGCAATGACGGCCAAATCTTGACCACTCACTTCTTTCCCATCCTCCTTCCTTATCCGGAAATGTGTGAGAATATCCCTAAAAACGTGCAAAGAATTTTTCAGTCACAATTTGTCCTGTGAATGAATTGGGTTATTATAAATATTAGATTACCTCTGCAATGCATCACTTTTCCCCCCGACAAATTCCAAAAGGCCGGACTCATCATTTGTTTCGACATCCTCTCGGAAATTAAACTGATGGGCGATAAGGATCTTCCATCTATCCACGTATTGCCGATCACTCCTGGATCCGTGCCAGTTGTGCCGCAGGGTGACGGGCGCATACCCAACGATACCCTGCTTTCCAGTCGCTTTCGCCATGCTGGATAACGTCTCAAACGTACGGTTTGATATTTGCAGGATTAGTGATTTGAATTCTGGATGAAGTTGGTCCTCCACAGCGTTGGAGACACGGTTCAGTAGAGAAAAAGCAAAATGAAGGTCACCAGAACCAACAATGTCGTGGATTGGGAGACCCCCGATGGCACGAAAGCTGGAAATTGTGGGGAGAATTTTTATTTACTGACATTGTGGATTTACAAATGAGAATTGGTGTCAAGCTTTCGATCATGATCAGCTTTCGAGCTTCCTGATGACGATCTCGATTGCGATCGTCATCAGGAAGGAAATATTACCTGGAAATTGTCATTGCCCATCCATACCCTGTGACCATACAAAGGATACATTTTTTATCTCATTGAATTAAAAACTAACCCGGAAGTACATAAATTTACAACACAATTAATGCAAGTTAATGTCTCACCCGGGTGAGGGTACCACTGAAACATGAAAACGTGCCAAGAATTTGAGTTATGAATTTATTTATTTCAGTCACAATTTGTTCTGTAAATGAGTTGGGTTTCTTACCTCTGCATATCTCTCCTGATCAATAATTTTATCATGCACGACCGAATATCCGAAACCATAATCCGTCCTGAGCACCTTTCCTTCAGGTGGTGGTCCTAAAAACTTGGCCTTTTTGAATACTTGGACCACTTCATACTTTTTCAGGGCAGTCAGCGTCGCTCCCATCCAGTTTTTGTCCTCAAAAGTGACATCAGCATCTAACCATGCCACCCATTTGGCATGTGAAGGAAGCCTACTCACTCCCAGATTTATGAGGTTCTCTTTCATCCAGTAGACGGAAGGTGACCTGACCTGAACATGGAGTGGATTGTCGGCCTGCGTCACTTGAAACTCGTTCTGGCCCAGGGAGGGGAATATTGCCTCTACGGTCATCAACTGAACGCCACATTGTGCCATGTGAGACACGAATTTATGGTAAAGGTCATACCGTGACGTGAAACCGACAGGGTTGAATATTGCAGTGACGACGAAAAAAGAGTCGCGATCGGACGGGTCGGATATATCGAACGCTTTTTTACTCTTGAACCACCACGGCATTTTTATGTAAAAATTGCAGAAGCTTTTTGACAGAAAAACTTTTTTCAACTACAAAATCCAGTCTCAACTTAAGCTCTTGCTTTACTGGACAAAAATACATGCGACTAAAATGGATTAAATGTAAACCGCAACTAAATCACAACTAGTCCATTCTGTCACGATTTTTTGTAAACTCGGTAAATGAGCTAAAAGTTATAATACTAAAACTAACCTACATACTTTTTTATTATCGTGTCGCTAACTGCATTATGAATTTATGATACACTTTTCCTTGTAAACTAATATAATATTGATTGTTAGTAATATTCTGACTCAACTCAACACGTAAAAAAGCAGATGATTCTGTGTAATGTGTTTCTATGAACAGTTTACATACGACCATGAATGAATGGCACGTAGCAAGTTTGTAACTAAACTATTTCGTGTTAAAGAGACGATGAACAACAAAAAACAGTCCACGTTGATATGCATGCAATATAGTGTTTGTAAAGGAAATCAATCCTGTTATTACGCGTTTTTTTTGCATAAACTGGCTCCAGCAGACCTACAAACCATTTAGTACATACATACATAGTCATATTTACTTAATAAGGTAACAACTAATTCTGTGTAGTCCGCTGAACCGGTCAAATTACACATGTATCATCCCTTCCTATCGCGTCCAGGTATCAACTATCTAACTAATTGGTCATATTATGCCAGTCAAAATCACAACTAGAGAATGTACCTAAAAGCGCAATGTAAATAATTCCTTATTTGATTCATGAATAATTTTGTAAACTAATCGCATACTTGAACATATGAATGAATGAGTTGGTTTGTAACTGACCGATGACCGACCACTAATTAATTTGAAGATAATTGTGTAAATCTCCAGCTTTGCTAACCACAAAAATGCGACTGATAGTAATAATTACCCAGCAAACAAAGGTTTGTCCAACCTCATTAAGTATGACGCATTTCAGATTCCATCCCACAAATAGATTGATAATTGCGCATCATAATTTATCTCCATTTTACTTTACTAGTAAAAATGACCAAATGTGAAGAACCGTATTTTTAATCCGCAGCCATTGTACATATTCAATGTCATTCCGATATAGACGCACGTAGCTTATTCAACCTGTTGTGAACCCAAAGAATGGTTCGGCCTTGAGACGTTTTTTAAGAAAATACGCGATTAATTAAGACGTTCCTGGGATGAGACAAGGTCAGGAAACCAATAATCGTGTACGAGCAGCACCAAATTTACTATTTCAGTTCAGAACTAAATATGTATGTACAACCCTACAGATATTCTAAAACTGTGTCTAAAATCCCATCATCAGTACTTTATGTACATTTCTATTTCAGAGAGTGAAACTAAAATAGGAACAACGCCAGCCAACATTTAATGAATCCATGCATCCATATGTACATTTTGCATACATCACACGACACAAATGTGGCCAGTATATTTGTAGTAATGACAATTTGGCAGTGATCCATGCCGTAGTCTTTTCATTGTAATTGTGTTTATGTTTAAATGCATACAGCTTTATAGAACAGGGTGATGATGGTAATTGTTTAACATGTCGATGCATTTTTCGTATTCCAAAGCAGTAAAAGTATTCATGTCAGTTGGTTATGTAAAAAAAAGGATAAAAAGGAGTCTGGCTTTTTATCACCAGTTTGTTCCAAGTTGTAAAAGAGACGAGTTTTTTTGTGCTAAATAAGTTTTTAAAAATCTTTTACGAGTTTTAATATGAATAGCTTTGAGGGTGCGAGAACGACGAGGTCATCTCAGAGTTTGGATCCATTTGGGGATAAGGCGGACGGGACAGGCGTGTTGTTTAAAAAAATTTTTTTAATTGGTGAGCACATCAATCAAAATTAATCAACCGATGCAATAATTTCCATAATATAACACAAAAAATAAGAAAACATGTACAAATTTTTGTCCAGAACCCTGAAAAAGCTGACCTTCAGGACGGACAACTGAAATGAGACCCTATCATCCATTACACCTCCATATTTTTATACCATTGCTTTTTACAAAATGAGTAGAACATGCAGTTCCAATAAAATAAATAAGTTATTACATGCAAAACATTCATAAATGTTTATCCTTTGAAATTTCATGGACTTCCTGTTTACAGTCAGTACCCATAAACTCAAATTTTCAACTTGTGTATCATTTACTAATATTTAACACCATAAAGACATCATGGCACAACTGTCGTACATTCCATATTTTCTCGTCATCTTCTTCCACATTCCTGTATTAATCAAGTCGCGATACTGCGCTGGGGGCCGCGACCCGTCCTGTTATTTTCCTGACCCTGACGAACCCTTGGAACCTTACATCCATCATAACATCCTTCTCAGATCAAGTCGTCGGCTCGTTCCCAAAAATGAAAACGCAATCGGTTTTATGGATGATGAAGATCTTCAATCTTCAAATCGAAGTCGGAGAAAGGAAAAACATAAGCAAGACGAAGAGGAGGTTGGAGAAGAAAAGACTTCTTTAGAATTAGCTGACATGCCGAAGAAGGATGAAAAATATGAGGAGGATTACGACACTGGCAATTCAGGCGATCTGAATTTTATTCCACTAAAAGAAGGAGGTTTGAGGATTTTGTTGACGAATTAGAAAATCTTGCATGAGATGTAACATTAATTTGCAGAGATTATTCACGAAAAGCTGAGGACGTACCCTGCCTCTGGTCAAAATGAGTGGGTTTATCCACCTTTCACATATCGGGGCTTTCACGGTAACTTTCTTCCAATAATTAATAGCTTTCACCGTTAATAACTTTCACCAATAAATTTTCAGCACCCAAGACATGGGGGAAAATTCCAAATTGGTCTGTAATATTACAATAATTATTATACATCTTTATTGCATATGATCAAAACTATAATTGTACTAAATTGTTTTTACGTACCAACAATGTAAACAAAATATGATAACATACAATGTGATAACAGGTATTTTCTTCCCATAACTGAAAAGAAGATTGGGAAATTCACCGGTCTCCTCGTCTCCGAACAGTCTGGAATTTCGTTCATGAACTTTTCTACCCTGCATGCTCGAGAGTTGAAAAGAAAGCGAGAACGGGGGGAAGAAAAGGAGAAGACAGGGCCGTTTCAGAAGACGAAAATGGGTGTGTCCTCTGCCAATTGTGACAACACGCTTTTCCCCGCACCACTCGATATCATCACGGCCAACGCGAGGGAGGATCTTACCGCGGTGGAGGTAATCTACTTATTAATTAATGAATAATTTATATACACAGTTCATACATGCTGCTGAGATTTAGTAATATTTGTGCAGTTCAAGTTTGACAATTATGCCAACGTCTACTCCTTCGTCATGTTCAGGCCGGAGGATGGTTCTGATCTTTGTGAGTCATAAAAATCGCCCCACTACTCACGCAAGTGAAAGTTAGCACAAATTTCTCCTCTCTCTAGTGTTCGTCAAGTTGCAAACTCCACCCAAAGTGGTGAGTGCGAAGCCGAGCATTGAAGGTGGGGCCACCACAGGAGACGCACTATTCCTCGACCGTGTCTCAATTCGCTTTGGTACGGATTCAGATGCAGGTTCAGAGCATCGCATCAATGGGAAATCGTGAATAATCACATTATTATTTTTGTCAACGTTTACTTTCACCTGAAATATGCAAGCATGCATGTATTTTAGGTATGGAATGGAGCTGCAGTTCTTTTTCAATACGCAAGACCGTTCTGGGGACACGCCGTATTGGAAAACGCTGGAAAACTATATCATAGACAATGATCCTTTGCAGTACGGCAAGCATCTCTTGGTACTGTGTGTTCTGGTCGAGGTGGCCCCACAAGACGAGACGGTAATTAATAATAGGCCAGCTATGTATGTACATTCTTGAATTTTAAGTTCGTTAACGTTTCAATGTTAGGAACCTCCATCGGGAAAGGTGTACAACGAGGGATTATCTTTTCTCGGTAAAGCTGCCGAGTCTTTCTGGGCGACCAACAATGAAGAAATGTATCGAGCTAAAGCCACCAAAAAGAAGGTGCTCCGGATGCAAGACTTTTTCCAAATTCCAAAATCCGGCCTATATTACACTTACTCTGGCTGCCTTACACACCCTCCTTGCCTGAACAATACGAGATATGCCGTTTTCGAAAATCCCCTCTACATGAGAAATGAAGACGTAATAATTGCAAGCATGATTTAGTGTAGTAAATTTTTATTATTTATTGCGTGTATTTACTATTTAGTGGAGGAAATTCCTCTTTATCCCGTCCCAGGTAAGGCTAACCTCATACAAGCAAACATACATAGATACTAGATTATTCATACTCGCCCAGACCAAGTAATTCCTTCTGTGTTTATTTATTTATAAATAGTTCTCAGACACAGAATTTATCGCTGGTAATTTTCGTCCCATGGACGTTATGACTTTCACTGACAATCGGACCCATAAAGTCGTCCCTTACGACGCTGGAGCAAAAGAGAGATTGAGCTGGACGGTGCGCCGCTCGAGACGTACCACCGAAAAGGAAAGGAGGGCAGAGTACGATTATTACGAAGATATTGAAGTTGCACCTCATCACTCCTCAAAGAAAGGATAGCATAAAGAATAATTTTAAAAAACTACTAAATAAGTACCCTTAATCTAAAGATAACCCATTCTTCACGGCTTGAGCATACAATTGAGGATACAATTTCTTAAGAATATCACTCCCCTTTCCGTACATTAGGGCTAAATCTTGTCTTAAAATCTTGATCCATTTCTGGGCCCCCACATAATCCCCACTTTTCATAAATACGGCACAAACTTGTCCTGCTGCTCCTACTTCGAGACATGGCCCACGGTCTGCCACATCCTCCAATTCACACTTGTCTATCTCCGCCTTTGTCATCCCGGAACAGTTCACGACGATGTAATACTTTACTGCAGTTTCTTTATACTTGGCGACATCCCCCTTCTGCAGGTACAGCTTGGTTAATAAATCGAGAGCGACGTGAGTGCTAAAATTCCACTCGGGCCGAGATCCGATCATGGATTCCAATTCTGACAAGCATTTTTCTCCAAAGGCGATATCTTTCTCTAAATCGTCGGCAGATATGGTTTTTCCTAAGAACAAGTAAAATCAATACCACCTTCAAAACCATCAATTATTACCGAAATTTTACAGCACTCACTGTCTTTTTCATCTATTTCTACCAACTTTTTGACAATCTCGAGCCTTCGCCCCCTCATTTTTACGTCCTCCTTTTCCTGATATTGGCAGAGTCGACAGGCACACGAGAAATCATGAGCTTGGAAGAACTTTTCGCGTTCTTCGTACGGTTCTGCCGAGTCTAAATAAATACATGAAGAGATTGACAATAAATACTAATTATCCAAAATTCAGATAAGCACAAGCGAGTATACACATATTAAACATGTACTTAATTATTTAAGACTCACCAGTATAAGAGATCAATACTTCTTCCCCTTTCTTCACATCTTTTGTCGTTCTCACAAACAAAAAGTCCCCCAAGACTTTCCACATTGCATTAAAAGCGATACAATCATGATTAAAAAACGATGCTCTGACCCACAAACCTCTCGAATTGTGCCCATATCCACTCGAGTTTTTTGAGTTTCCGAACGAGTTCATAGTGCATATTTTTTCAATTCTTTTCAAGTCAATTTTCATCGTCGTACCATCATTATTATCATTATTTTTACTTTTATGATGATTTTCACTGTTTGTAATATACGAAGCGAATAAACAACCCATCTCTTTTCCGGCATGAAGTTGATACACAGTTGGTATAAGTTTCGAATCAAGACGCATCCTTTGAGCGATCGCATTCTCCAAGTCATCATCCTCGTCGTCCGTGTCGAATATGATTTCAAATGCTCTCGTCGTCAAGATGATCGTCCCCTTTGCGATATCCTGCCTTGCCACGACGCCACGACCTTTTCCTGTCAAATGAGTAAATGCACATTCTCAAATAGGTAAAAAAAAAGTTAGTTGTTACAATTTTTTTACACCTGGTATCACAGCCCCAATTTCCACAGCTTCGGATTCATACTCCACCACGGAATCGACCTCTAAGCGAACTTTCTTATTCGGAATAAACGCCCCCATGTCAATTTCACCACGAATCTTCTGCCTCTGCAGGACCTTTCCCCTTTCCATCAAGTATTTCCAGTGCTGGAGATGTCTCGTGTAAACGGGGGACATTGGTGGAGGAAGTTTTAGACCCAAGTTCTTGAGAATTTTACTTTCTCTACCGAGAAAGATGAGACATTCTTCATATTCGCCGAGACCAAGTAGTGCTTTTCCTTTGATATCCACACCTCTCAGTCTTACATTTTCTAGATCTAGTCCCACACCGATATCGGAAGGAATTATGTCCAACACGGTTTCCGAACATTGTAAGCATTTTCGAAAAAGACTCAAACTGAAAAAAGTTTGGGCTCGTTTTACCAAATCGTTGAGTAAATTTGGATTTATTGAGCTGCTACAGTTAGCGTTGGACTTGTTATTGATATTGTTTTTGAGCCTGATAATATTGTTCGGATCACCTACTTCTATTTTTTCCAATTGGGTAAGTAGTGTGTCCATAATGAACACAAATGTATGTTTAATTATGTAAGGTGGAAACTTATCTTGTGTTATCAAGAGGAAGATGAGATCACGCCGAAATACAACTGACTTTTGAGCTTAAAGCACGAAAACACTTTGCATCTTATATATACCGCAGACTGACTTTTGAAAGATATATACTTGATTTAATACTCATTATCCCTCTTTCGCCCTTTTTTTTATACGCATATGTGTGCAATTTTGAGCATGTTTTGCATGTGGGAAGATGGAAATTTGCCAAAGTGAGGTGTATGTACATAAGTACGTACTAGTATGTGTTCGTGTTCATTAGTTTCAGCAGGGTGAATGAATGCCGGAGTATTTTCAGTTTAACTAAACTCTCACCGAGAAAAATTCCTGTTCCAAATTTTGCATGACATGAAATGAAAATCTCAAAAGCGACATGTCCTCCTAATCATCATCATAAACAGGTCTTTTGTTAATGTTCTGTTAAAATGCGACAAAGTGCCAAATATGCGAGGGTTACTTTTTATGTGACCCCCTGACCAATATTTTACAAAAGTGGCATCGTTATTATTATGCATCACAATTCTTCCATGAAAAATTTTGAGCTTTTTCCAACCAGTTTTAAAAACCAATATGGGTCACCTTGTTCACCCATGGTTCTTAAATTTTTTATGTACGCTTTCACAGCCATGCAATTTTCAGCTTTCATCCTCTTGTTGCATAAAAGATTTTTACCAGAGGTTTCAAACAGTTAGTAAACACTAACCCATACTGGTTACTAAAATTGGTCAGAAAAAGCTTAATTTTTCCATTATATGGGTTTTATGCACAAAAAAGAATCACTTTTGTTGAGTATTGACCAAGAGATTTTGTAAATGGTAACTCTCAATTGTTTTCGGAAGAAGTAAGGAACAAGGTAAATGACTCGGGCTGTCTCAAGTTTGCAAAGGTTTTTCACCCAATACAGCCTAATCTAATAAGCTAAACAACAATAACATTGTATGCAATTGTATGTAATTTTTCACTTTGTTTATGCATATAATATTGAGTTGCGAATTGGTTGGGAATTAATACCCCTTAAGATCGACTTAGGGCAGCTAACTTCTGCCTAAAGATTGCTCGATACCCGCGAGGTTGTTGATGACAAGTTTTTTGTAAATCTGGCAAATTAAATTTATTAAATAGTTTTCAATAAAAACTACTAAGAAATATAAGTTTAAATTGAAATAGGAAGCAGCTTGATAGCGACTAAATTGTCATTTGTTTATGTACTTATTTGTCAATTAACTGTCACCCGACAAATCACAAAGTGAAAGTTGATTTTGTGATCTGTCAGGATTATTACTAGGAAGACGATAAACATTTCACAGAGAAAGTGGATGGGATGTCATCAGAAAAAAGTCGCAAAGTTCTTGAAGATATCCAACGAGCCAAGAGCAAATTATTAAAGGACGGGGCGGCCGCATCGCTAGGAATATCTTATTCTTCCTCCCCTCAGGTAAAAATAGCTAAATTATTCCTTATTTGAATAATATTTGCAAAACTAGAACTGTGAACTTTAAAATTAAATATTTTCCAAATTGAAATGTAGCCCTCGGGTGGGACACCTTCATTTAATAGCGATGTCCACCTTTCTCCTGCAACACGGTCTGCAATGCAAGTTCTTCAGCAGGCTAGCATGACAAGCTATGGTCAGCACCACAATAAAACGTATCATAAAATTTCACCGAACTCGAAACTTTAATAATAATGTTAACTTTCTTTATAGGTTATTTTGTCGCCCAAGATTCGCATTTTGGCAACAGTATTTTGCCAGTTCTCCCGAGAATAGAGCCTGCAGCAGCTTTAAGCTTTTCAAATATAACAACTGCCGTACCTTCACCAATTAAGACTGAAAAGTAAATCGTCGAACCAAATTATATTTCACCCAAACTGACTGACCAATGATTAGACTGTATAGTTAGTTAAAATATATAGTTGTAAGTGTAGTTTAGATAAGTCTTTCTTTGTATTTCAAGTTTTCATTGTCAGGTTTTTAAAATGAAATTGAAAGAATTAGAGAGCTGGTTATCCCAATGTGAAGGGTTTACCAATCCTAAAGTAGCTTTGGAACAGTATGCCACTTCTGCACATATAGCGTCGAGAATGCTGTATTCAGCCCAAGAAAATATTGACGGTAATTTCTTTACTAGTAACCATTTATCTATTTAAATTTTCATACTCTAATTCTTTATCCTTAATCATAAATTTAGGAGGAATTGTATGTGATCTGGGAAGTGGGTGTGGCATTCTCTCTGTGGGATCCGTAATGCTGGGGGCTGATCTGGTATACGGATTCGAAGTTGATGATGACGCTATCGATATTGCCTTGTCAAATATTGGTGAAATTCTCAACGACGATGACGACGAGTCTCCATCCATTCAACTAATTCAGTGTCAGATAGGGACGGATTTTAGCCAAGGTTGTCCTGTCGATGTGTTGACCAATTTTGAAAATTTCTTTGACGTTGTAAGTTGATGTTACATAATCAGAGTCATAATTTTTCAACATGTATGCAAACTTGAAATAATGCTCATTTGTATATTTTCAGGTTGTAATGAATCCCCCATTTGGAACCAAGAATAACGCTGGAGCAGATTTCGGATTTTTACGACGAGCTGTACATATCGTTAAACCAGGAGGGCACATCTACTCCTTGCATAAAACCAGCACTCGGCCATTCTTTGAAAAAAAGCTAAAAAATTCTGAAGCAGAACTAGACTTTCCTGTTAAAGGAGAAGTATTAGCAGGGATTCGGTACGATTTACCAAAATGCTATAAATTCCATAAAGAGAAGAGTGTAGATATAGAAGTAGACTTTTGGCATTTTGTTAAGAATTCGCAATCATCCCCATCAACTCCTCTCTCATGACAAGATGTATCAGAATCATGATGAAATGACATCATCACCATCGTCTCTACTGAAATTGAAATTAATTGGTCATACATATACAGTGAATATTGACAATGATTACATTCTTATAGTGTTAAAAATATTATAATTCACGATCTGGTCAATCATATCTGGAATCAAGGTCTTTATATATGTTCCATACATATGACCTTTTAACATTGACATTTACACTTTGCTGACATTTCTTGTCAGATTGAGTTCGTTAACTTTTCTACTGCGTTGATGGAGATGATTCAAGCGTCGAATAAGATCGAAAGTGTTGATAGAATGAATTGAAAAAAAGTAATTATTTTCCAAGCCTGCTAATTACATAATTGATACAAATCTAGTGTATTAAAATTCCAAACTTTTCTATTATTTATATCATTATCATCAAACATTGAATAAAAATATCTAAATTGATTTAAAGCTCGATTAAATTTTAATGTATCAAAATATATGCTGACTGATCAGTTTCACTTCTCTTCCCGTCACGTCACCCGTGATATAATTCAAACTCTCAGCAATTCACACATGAATTTGTTAGAAAAATGAATGGTGTGTCAATGTTGGGTGGTGGTAATTAAGTTAAAGTGTTTAAAAATTACAACTTTATTTATCATCGTTCATAATTATAGTCAGTCTTTCATCCAAGGATTCAATTTGGAAATTAACTCTTGCTCCCATCAAAAGGCACGACAGTTTAACATTTGCTACACTTTTACTCTACGAGTAAGCATTTATAATCCACTATTAACAAACACTTTGTGGTATGAAAAAAATCATCTAAATCAGAATTTATCTTGGGTACTATTCCATACAAATCTTATAATATTCCTCTTTTCTTAAACTTACACCACTGAGCAATAATTTCTTGTTTAATATTACATTTCACTTTTATTTCGTTATTCATAACAAGAAAGTCGCTATCTTTTCGACTATTTACTAAATACATACTTCCTTGCGCAGCTTTTATTCGTAATAACATTATTCTGGCAATAAGCCACACCTCTGTTTTATATACTTATTCATGTCAATATTCCTATAACATTGATCAATCGAGCATGAATCCACGTCTATAAATTATTGCTATGATTGATGATGAATTCTATATGTACCACTGGATTCTTTTTACTTATAATTTACATATTATTGGCTTTTGGCACTTGACGTAGCGTTAAAATAATATACTTTTATAAGCTCAATCTTGCTTCATAAATACGCAATGAATTTGGTCAATATAAATCTCGTGACATTTTTATCTTCCTCATGAAATGCGTGTCTTAAGAATGTGAGCTATGTACAAAATGATTCAAATATTAAATTATTACAACAAGATAACATCAGAGTTAACAATAGTAATGAGGAACTTGTCATTTGTAACAAAAGTTTTGCAGAGCTGTTATTAATTTATAAGCATAAGATGGATATTAAGTGACAATTTATGATAATAATTGTGATTTGATAAATAAGTGGAATGGTTTTGTACAAGGAAAAAAAGTAATAACTCTTTCTTTAGCTTCTCTTGATTGATTCATTAATTGATGGAACTTTTAAGTATTTGCTATTGGCAGCAGATTGTCTAAAATTACTGAGTTTCTTCGTGGTTTCCGTTAACTTGAAGAATTGGGATTGACGATGAGGTTACTTCTTCTATCTTCACCTTGTTCTTTTCAGGCGTTGAATGAGCAAAACCATCCAGGCTATCGTCATCTTCAGGTTTGAAAATCTGGTCCACATTTTCAATCGAAGTGCTGTCTCCAATTCCTACGTCGGACGAAGAAGTGACACTGCCATCATTTTCATCAGTCTCATTTTCACTGTCGACAACTTCTACGTTTCCTTCATCCTCGTCGTCGTCGTCATCTTCTTCCTCCAGATCTTCTTCTTCCTCCTCTTCATCGTCCTCGTCACTGAAAGAAAATTCTTTCGGAGATGAATAGTTTCCGTTGGACAACTTGAAAGCGGATCCATTGCTTTTTGCCGAGGATGATGATGGGCTTGATGTTTCTTTGTCAAAGAATTGTCCAATTAATGGAAGCGAGTAGAACAAGTCCTTCAAATCCTTGCCCGTAATGAAATAGTAGACTTTGGATGTTGTCACGTATCCAGCAGATCCCAGCAGGGCGAAAAAGAGCGTGACCAGACCCACGACGAGGACTACACCTCCAAAAGTTACGGATGCCACCGTCAAAAGGGTTCCTGTAAAAATACACAGAAAATGTTTGCGTTTAGTATTTAATTAAAGTACATGACATGAAAAGTTTTCTATTTGTGTTACATTTTACAGAGGTTGTTACTTAATGACTGGATGTGATCATGATGACATGTTGGACATGCATACCTCCTCGCTAACTAATAGCATAGCACAACATAATATTTTTTCAACGAAAAAATAATCATAGGCCAGATAGTCCACTTGTTTTTGTTGTTTTCCTTAACTTCCACATGCCAAAATCGTTTTAGCATTGAATCTCTTAACTAAATAGCATTGGTTAACTTAATCAAATTCGACTTTGCCCTTAGGATTTTTTGTTGAGGAAATATCCATGTATCTCTTCTCAGATTCACTCATCCCTGCATTACATACACAGCTATCAGATCACGTTGCTTGTACATGAGCTAAAGTCAATTAGATTTTATTATGTATGTATGGAACAAAAATATAAACAAATCCTTGCTTTATTATATTTATTAGCATCAAACCTTGTGCTTGCATTATGTGCACAAAAGGAATAATAACAAATAATGATCTGTAATAGAATGAAATGTTTGGACTTTGGATGACAATTGTTTACTCGTGTACTATTGTTTACGATGTCAATATTTGGCTGTCATGTCATGTCATATGTATGAATGAACCAAAAAATACATGTGTGTAAGCGAGTAAAAAAAACATTTAGAAATTTCAATTTGTCCTAAAAATCATGAAAATATCGAAATCCCATGAAACTCGGATACTATTTTGCAGCATGATGAGGTCAGGGTTTAATTATTCAATCTAATTTTAACTGGAGATTGATTTCATACGACAAATTGCGTGAAGATGAAATAAACAATTTTTTGCATCATCCTGATAACTTTGCTATGAAGAATACCTAATGATTTTTGCGTAAGCTAAAACGATGTTATGCCACAGGTGGTGGGTGATGATTGATGTGGGTCAATTTCAGTGTATTTCCTACGCTTGTTGGTAAACAAGCCAATTAATTAGTTCACTCTTCCGAAGCAATGTTCAGATGCAACAAGTACAACATTCGAAATCGAAAAACAACATAAGGCAAAAAATAAAATGACCTCCATATGTATTCAACTTCGTTCGCAATGTAATGGTGCCGGTGCCGGTTGGTTGTTGATTTTGCAAGTCACTTTGAACTGACATTTGATGTCATGATTAAACGGTTGGTATCATGAACATTTGGCACGAGCGATAGCTGATGAAGTCAGGACAGTTTTTTCATATATTAATTATGTAATCAATTTGGACCAGATTATGACGGGACAAAGTCTACTATTAAATAAAGTGAGGGATTGCAACATGCTTTTGCTTACTTATTAGATCATGTAATTAAATTAACATATTACATGAATTACTTGGTATTGAGAATTTCCGGAATTATGCAAGTACAAAATGTCCTTTTTCTCAGGATGGTGATAAAAATTATTGACTTTGAACTCTCATTGTCAAAGTATTACGTAAATATAGATGTACAAACTGACTGCTTTCATTGTTGGCATGTGAGGCTATTGAGTACTTGCACATCTTGAGCACATGGTCAGAGTCACGAAATCAAGCGTTTGTATGATGTAGGATGACACGGATGCCGGTAATTTTGCATAATGTACAGACATAAGTAAAGTATTACAAGTATTGGTAAAAGTCATCGCTATCGATTATGCTTAATATGATTGATTTCATGCAATACATTGGTTCACTTTGGACTCTTCACATTACGGAGTGGCTGAGGTGGAGCAAAGTCCGGATTTTTTATACTAAAGATCATCCTTAATGGGGACAAGATGCCGGTCAAGTTAAGTGAAATCATTCTATTAGCGCGTGTCCGTTCACCGCGGTGACCTCAAGTCCATTAGGTCAGTGTAGTAGGTACACAATGGGCTTTTCTCGACTGTTACATATGTCGTAAGTTCTTCCTGAGTTTGAACTTTTTAGCTATGGAGCTATTAATAACGATAACTGACCTCGTATATTATTGTAAATACGTAAGGATGCCAACTGTTTATATGCATGTCATCATATTTCCCATGTGCTTATGTTATTGACAATGGCTGGATCCTGGTCATCACCTCGTTGGGTAAGTAGAAACCTTATCCTCGCACTTTGGTCTCTGTCTGATTTTTCTTGACAATTTTTTTACAATTTCAGACGAGACGGTCCTATCTACAGTTTAGAATGCCATTAAACGATCACTCTGTCTCGAATTTGTCATTAATTTCTCATAATTTGTCTCACAGCACGAGCAGTTGACGTGACTTCGCATTCCAATGTCCAAAGTAATGCTCTAATTAAGTATGTCCTTACATGCATATATTCTGAGGAAAGTAATGTATTGCGACACTTTGCAAGTATTAGCAATCAGTCACCCCCGTTCAACTGTCAATTCTTGATAATGACCATTAGCACGAGCTCATTTGACTTGTATGCAACTATAGCAAAACAAGACGTGGTTTTATCCACGTGCGATTGCGATTATTGGGTGTGATTATGATTACTAATGTCACTGAATATTTACTGTGTGCATATGAAAGTCGCCTTCATAAAATGCAAAATTCTTTAACCTTTGCCCAAAAAGTAGGCAAATTAGAAGAGGGTATTATACCAAGGCTGGACTTTGCTGCTACAATTTCATCACAACTGCTAGCTCAAAGTGCAAGAATAATAAGGATATTTGTGAAAAATATTATATGCAAATCAGATTTTTGACCCCAACACATAAAACTTTGGAATCTCGCTTGTGATAATAATTTTTATGGTTACCTTCAACAAATAAGAATCCCAGGAAGGAGACGAGTATGGTGGCAATAGCGAAACCAAGGAAGATGGAGACTGGGAGGGCAGACGCGACTACGACTGCCAAAATGAAAACGGAAGTTACAGGGTTCTCCATGGCGTATGACTTCATGGCTGCGAGGAGATTTTGCACAAATGGTGGGACCCTTAAACGGAGGGGGTAGAAAGCCGGTCGACTGTAAGAAAAAAAATAAATTAGCCGTTTCTAAAACGAGCTTAATTCCGTCTCAATAAATGAGATCAGTATATGTAGCGGGATTTTTAACGTAGCATAAATGACAAGAATCAACTCACTCAGGAGGAAAGTACCTCACTGAGGGAATCACAGAATTTAAAATCCTTTGGATATGTTGTAGTACTAGGTGAGTCTAGAAAAAGTGCAGAAGGGTTAGATGCAACACCCCCATTTGCGCCCGCCACACCCCTTTTAGTGCGCGCTCCAGGCTAAACTGGCTGCCTTCAAACCCTCGCCAAAAATTCAATTTTGAACGGATTTTGATAATTTTTACATTTTCTTGATCCCAGATAGTTGCTGTATCATATCCAATATCAAACTCAACTTTTTTAAAGTTTTGAATATTTTTGATAATTTCCTGACCTAATAGCTTCGAAAAAATCAAAATTTCAAAAAAGTTGAGTTTGATGCTGGATGTGATAAAGTAACTATCTGGGATAAAGAAAACGTAAAAATTATCAAAATCCGATGAAAATTGGATTTTTGGCGAAGGTTTGAGTGAACAAAAACAGGGCTTTTGTCCACCTTTGAGTGGGTGTGGCAGGCGCAAATGGGGGCGTTGCATCTAACCCTTCTACACTTTTGCTAGACTCGCCTGGTACTACAACATATGCAAAGGATTTTAAATTCTGTGATTCCCTCAGTGAGGTACTACCCTCCTCAGTCATTGTAGAATAAGTTTTTTTTGCAACTTGCTCTAATTTTTTTAAACTGTTGACTAATAATTTACTTTTTAATTGAGTTGAACTACGATTTTTAAGATATGTCGGGGAGGCTATCTAAGTTGGCGAAAAGGCCCAGGTAGGTTCCACATTTACCAAGTATTGTTGAATCAGCACAAATTGGTTCCCTTATTTATTAATTGTATTAATTAATTTGGAAGTATCTCTTTTTATAGGATAACCTACAAGTGCAAGTACCAACCATGTACTAGTTGGATGAATTAATTAGTGAATAAATAGATATGAACATAAATACACTTACTTAAATTTGGAGAATTTGGAACCTAAAATACATAACAAAAATTGTCTTAATTATACTTACATAATATTATTAAATATTTATGACGGAATTGTTAAAATGCTGCAAATACTCACCAAGCCACTGCACTTTCTCTCGGACGTCCTTCTCAAATGCAGCCGTCTCCCAGCTAAACTCCCGAACGGAGTTTACATTTGAGCCTGCAATACAAAAAATACATGGTAAATAAGTTGTGGATTACAATCTTATGTAAATGTTTCCAAATTTACCCAGAGACTTAATTGATGTCATGCTTTTCTTAATGGTATTCATTTATTTAGAATTTCAGTAAAATGAGGAAAACCTAAACCATCACCAGCTAATGTACTACTGACTCTCTTTATCTCGATTGTTCCTCAATTTACTACATATGCATTTAGAGCACTAAATCAACTAAGCGGCTCGCTCTACTGCGGATTCTGACTTTTCGACTTTGGTGTATTCGCACAATGTAATTTCCACAACATTTAACAACGCTATCCTGGAGTTACATGCATGCATACTTAATTGCATATCAAAACCACTCGCTTCTGTCCCTGCATACTCGCTCACCTGCCCACAACCAACACGAGGAAAGAACTGATAGGAAGATTGGTGAGTAGAATGTCGGTAGTTTGCTACTGGTTAGCTAATGCCTATTGCCCACAATTGTTTGGTTACGGGTGGTTATTTTTCACTGAGCACACAGGTAACAAGAAGATTGACATTGAACACGGTCAAACTTTATTCGCAAGATCATCCAAGCCAAGAATACTTACTACAAGTACGTAGTTGCTCAATACGTATCCTTATTTATAATTACAGTAGCAAAGCAGCATCACATTCGTGTGCACATTTTTGTTTTGTTTTTGCAGCCATAATCAAAACACCACCAATCTCATTTCTATATATTTCGCTAGGTGCAACCCCAAAATTCTAAATTGTAAGCCGATCATACCAGGCGAGACGGCCAATCCGGTTTTGCTCAAAAATTTCAATCATAAACTATTAGACTAATAATTTGTCGGCGGCCATAGAAAAATTGCAATATGTACAACTTCGTAGCATCATTTAATGTGCAAGATCATCAATCAGCACTTTTTTTGTTGCGTAACAAATGAAATTGCAGGTAGAATCTACCTGGAAAATTTGTCGATTAGGGTTTTATTCCATTTTGTAATAGCCTCATATGCAAGTATAAAAGTTTATCAGTATCTATTAAGTTACCATCTAATATGGTAATGGTGTGACATGACTCATATTTCCCACAGTTAATGTATAAGTAAATCATTTAAAGGATGTTACAAAGTCAAAAACCAAGGAGTTTTGATCAGCATTTCCCTTAAGAAACGGTGTACATGAGGATGGAGCGTGTAAGATTACCAACTAATAGTGTTCACGAATTGCCTGGTTTTCAGCCTATTATTTCAATTTGCGCAATACTTTTCGTCATATTAAATACTTTTCGTCATATTAAATACTTTTGTAGAGGTTTGTTTCGCATTCTACTGGATTATGAAGGGTGGTCTCATTCCCACGATCGGCATCAACATCCCCATGATCCAAGTGTAAAAAAATATTTCACAAAAGCAGAAATCTGACACTTTTTTCAAAATATTAAAACGCAGGCTTACATAAGATGTTTAATATATCTTCTTGCATTACATAAAATGATGATGAAAAGTGTCAGACAGTTTGACAGATTTGATAGATAAGCTTAATTTGATTCAGCGTATAAGTAATGTCAAGGAACTCTTTCCTCGTCTCTTTTTGCTATGAATTAAGGAGGAAAGTGAACGACTTTGCATATCCAAATGAATGGCTAATACAAGTACAATACAAGTTTTAATTAACCATTCATCAAGTTACAAAATTATGTACTTACTAAAAACGAGAGAATCTACAGAGTTGACAGTTATCCGTTACGTATTTTCCAACTACTTATCAAAGGATCCAACTTAATAGAATCTCTTTTTGCCATATTGTGGCTGAACAGCATTATGTCTCAAATTGTAAATTATGTACTTAATACTTAATTTAAACTAAACTTGGATCTATGCACTAGCAATCTCCAATAATAACCAGATAAAACAGGGAGGAGGAGAATAAAATAAACCCCTTCCTGATAACCTGGCTTGAACTTGTGTGGTTTGGTTTGATTAAACATGTCGTTCGTAATTAGGAGAAGGAGGCTTGGTCCTCGGCCCATTTAAATTATGTACTTTTCGCTTCATTTCATTTTGGTCTATTTGATAAGCATTTCAAGTTGACATTCAAAAATTGTCGGGAAATAATATTCCTTATTAATTATGTGTGCTACAGAAGCAGGCACGTATGTATAAATATTTAATTATGCTCATGTAAAACCACTTAAAACTAATGACTTAATTATTTATCACAAAATTCCTGTCGCATCAGCACGTTATTGATTTTTCAAGTAAAAGGTTACATAATTGGATTAAGGTATCTATCATCACCGCTTGGGTAGGAAAATTTAGAGAACTTGTCACAAGTAAATCAATGACTAATGTTATGTATGCACGTAACTGACCATACGATAAATATTCATACATTCAGCCCTGACAATGATATTGTATGAACGGTTTAACGAAACAGCATACATATTAAACAAGCTATTTACTGGAGCATAATAATCAACAAACATCTTGATACAGCAATATTTTGAGTTTGACTCGTTCAGAATAATTAATTCAGCTTGGTTACACTTCCTCCAAATTGTAAATATAAACAGAAGAAGGGAATTTAATGAATATTGAGCGACACGATTCAAACTAAAGTTCATTCATTTATTACGTACAAAGAAAGAACCAATTCACTCCTGCTTCTGTATTGTAATGCAGTATTTTGATAAAATAATATGACCGACCACCCCACGATGTCTGTAAACATAATGTTCCAGGAAAATTAAGTCGTAAAATATACGAGCAAGTTAATCGGGGAAAAGGGTAAGTAAGTAAGTAAGCTGAGTAATATAAAAATATGATGCAAAAAAAGACGCGAGTTCAAACACCATAATACATAATTTGACCAGCACTCTGCAAACAAATGTCAAACTTGGTGAGGAACAAGACAGAGGACAGATATCGAATTGGACTTTAAACTTTGGATTCGTAAATGGAATCGTACTTTTTTGTCAGTGCCGATAAAGTATATTTTTGTAGTGAATTAATCTTCACATATTTATGTGTATATATGGTTTTCTATTGCTGACCATTCTGTGTGTGTGTGTGATATCGTAAAATTCAATTGATGATTCTGATTTATTACGTGGCAAAGTTATCAATTGACTTGAATTGATTATTTATTTTCTTGAACATTTACAAAGACAATAATAAAAGATTCGTATAAATGGATGTGTGACGCAGGAAGAAATTACGTCTAGTGTGGTTTCAAAGGAAAGTTTCAATCTTACATTAAATTAGCTTAAATTGTGTAGTTTTGTTTAGTCCAAAAATTAGTACTAAATTATGAGGATTTTTTATGAACAATTGCACCTCCTTGCGGCATGCTCAAAATTATAGTAATCTTAACAATTGTGTAATTGAAGGAAATAAATGTAGCAATAACTCAAATGATGCATCAAAAAAGTGCATCGCATCAATATAATGAAATATTACTGCGATATGCATAATATTTAGTTGCGTGTTATTATACTCGTACAAAACTTTAATGACCACCATAACGCAATATTTTGTTCATATCTGCGTATTTACATGGTGTTGCGAATACGTAAAAAATAGAAATTTTTTTACATCTCGCATTATTACGTACGTATACTGTGGTGCAGCACGGAAATGATAAGAGAGATTGACCAATCCTTTAGTTAATGCACTTTTATTTCATTATTCTTAAGAGAATTCTGTCAATATCTTTCGTGCAGCATTACGCACGCGAAGAACGCATGTTGCTATTACTCCTTTGTTGTGAGATTTAGTTTACAAAATATAACTTTCTGATTTACCCTGTAACACGGCATATGTATGTACGAACAACTACACTTGACTTCAATTCAGCATTTTAAAACATTATGGACTGTATGTGATCTTGACATGTTACATACATACGCATGCATATTTACCGTACTACTATTATTACGAGTAGGAACATGCGTGTGTCAACCCAACCAAAAATAGCTCTACTCATTCATTCAACACTACACTACGCATGCATAGTTTACCGTACAAAAAAATTAAAAAAGACATTACTTTGGTGGTCACGTTCTCATAATGTGCTTATGATCATGGTTGACAATGAACGAAAAGGACGGACATGGCCAAAGTTCAGTTAAACTAAGATTATTGACTGCTGCGCTACTTGGAAAGGCACCCTGCCCTGACTGCATGATCACAAATAATGTCCTTTCCTAGTACAAAGTCCAAAGTATCAGGAAGAGTTCAAATTCTACTATTGTTTTCGAGTTGTAAAATTATTGACACTTATTGAATGCATGTGCAATGCTGTGATTTGTCGTAAGAATATGCCAGCCATGTCGGTTCCTGTTCTGTTCGAGTGTTAGCAAAAAAATACCTGAAATATTGTAACATTTGACACTGTGATGAATCTCCATACAATTTGTTATGTAATTCAACATGGTAGTGCACGCATATTCTGCATGTAATGTAGTAATACTACGGTCAGAAGACTGGACTTTGCCCCGTGCGGACTGCCATGGCCCTATTTCACTTGTTCTGCATTGTAGGAAATCACGAGGACTTCACGTGAACGAAGAGACCGATTGTAATAAAATACATACAGACACAATGTACATAAATGCAGTGCAGTAAGCTTTGTTTTTGTTACGGTCGTAAGTAACATTCATAATAAACAACATTTAGGCACCTGCAATATAGCTGCTTGGTCAATTACCATGCCGTATCCTCACTACTGCACGAGATAAATAAACAAAGAAACCAGCACGAAAACAATGAAGTCTGTCAATTAAAGTGTACTATTGAATACATACCAGTTGGATACATCAAAGCATTTTTAGAAAATTTGGAAATTAATTTTAGGAATAATTTTGAAAACCATACATGCTTGAATGAAAATGTTTTGCTGTATATTTAACAATGGACTTTGTATGCTCAAGTATCGTTCCGCATTATCGGTCAGTTGCCCTCTACACACTTTGCATAAGATTGTTGATTGATTTATTATAATCCGACCGGGTGGAAGAGATAAAAAATAACAGCCACTCATGGGTCCTTTGCCAGATCATTAAGTCTTATCGAAAAAAGTCTCACCGAACGAACTATGAACTGGAACATATAACTCTTCAAAAGTCATTCACGCATAAAAGATATCTATGATTCAACTGCGCGTGCATGTAAATGTAAAAACAACACACTTATGTAAATGCACGTACATGTGCACTGCTTATGTAGGTAAAACTGACAATTAGTGAACTTTAAGCCACAATTATAAAATCCCATCTGATAAAGTTGGCCACACACCCTCCTCCGTCACCCGGATGATCACCAAGTGTGCCACCCATTTGATCCGGTATTGCACTGCATTAATTACATGCATGGGAACTAAATATGTACTCAGGATCCACTAAACAACTTTGCTTTCGGGGACAAACTCTAAAGCTGATTACCAAATTGACAATCTAGCCGTCCAGCAGAGAACAAAGACCAGCTTTGTCACACATGTACATATGTATATCCTCTTATCTAATCACCTTTCACCCTGTCCAATCAAACCACCATGCAAATGAGTCCTCATAATAAACTTTGACTTTACCTATGACACGAATTTTTTATGCTAAAGTGGAAGCAGGAAAAATATTTATGTAAAAAAAATGAAAGACGTCAAACCTGGAAAACAGCGAAGAATTTGGTACGACGACGAGTCCTCCATTCCCGAAGCTGTTGGGGAGGATGAGATTGATGGTGACCGTTCCGGCGAGTGACACGTACTGTTCGTCCTTCTATAGACTTGAACGCTGTTCCTCCTTCCCAAATAATCCGACCTCTCTCCTCCACGGGCTGCTGCTAATTGATTCCTGCACAGGGACAAGGCTTGGTTGATGCGGTTGTGAAATGCGGGACTTGAGCTGTGCCTTCTCCCGTTAATCGGACTCTGGGGGTTGGAACCTCCGCAGGACGAGACTCCCGAGGAAGAGGAATCACTACAATTTGAAAACCCTTGCAAGTTCTCCTTGTTAAGGTTCCCGGCACTGGTAAAGTTTCTATGAAGCGTTGGATTTCCTCCGTGCCGTTCTATGACGAACTGCTTATTATTATTGGTACTATTATTCGTCACGTCGGTAATGGAGGGGGTGGAGTAGGACGATGAATCACAGTTGTTTGCAGCGTTGAGAATGTGGTCGATGGAGTGGGGAGCAGAATTGGTACGGATGATCCCCCTGGGTCGAATCTGCTGAGGTCCGTTGGCTGCTAACTGAGGGGTATTTACCGAGTTATTTAAAAAGCTGTCAACTTGAACTTGAAACTTTATGCCGACTCGGACCGTTCGAACGCGGTGAGGATCGGTAACTAGTCCTTCTCCAGAATAATTTAGACTGAATCGTTTCACAATTGCGCCAATCTTTGGAATTATCTGTGGGATTATTCTAGACCCGACTGAGCCGGTTGTGACATTTTCCGAGTTTCTTAGTTGGATCTGTTGAGCCGAATTTGGTGGTGGTGGTGAAGAAGGAAGAGCTGTAGAAATCATGACATGAGTTTTAAGAAATCTTTGAATATGAGGGTCGTCCTTCTTTTCATATAATGTTATATGTAGGCTGGACAAGTATTAGGTAGTTATATAAACTTTAGTACTGTGTATGTACTACGGTCTGTAAACTTATCGCGAATGCAGATTGGAGGTAATAACTTATTTTTTATATGGGCTGGTGTATCTTGAAAAGGTGTGCAGTCCGTGGTGCATTTCCCATTAAGAAGAATGCACAATTTGCTTAATATTAATATTATTCTCTTCCAAATGTGAGTACAAGAACCAACAAAGATGTGTGATGATGAGTGTAGGATAGCATATTCTTCTTCTTTTTCTCCCTAGTTTCTTATAGGTTCTTTAAAACGTGACTAGAGACGCGATAAAATATTGAATTCAAAGTTCCTCTTGTATCCTTTCTTATTTTTTGAGCATGAAATACCCTTCCTGCTTGAACAAAGACCCTTGTTACCAGATCTGTCTGCACGTATATCCTGGAGTGAGGAGAGTTTAAGCAGCTAAGAGAATGCACTCTTGCTGGAGTTCTGGAACTCTGAAAGTTGAACGTATGTATGACGAGTTTGCTGTCTTCTAAATATGGAAAAGTCTTCCCTTCCCTCAGTTGAAGATGTCAATCTCTGTAAAATCTCGAGACACTTATTGATGATGTTGGAAAAAAGTGTATGGTTCTTCTTCTTGCACGACTTGTAAAATTCTGACTTTGGGACTTTTTCGAAAGCGTAATGTGGGTTGTCAACTTGCAATGTTAAAAATATGAGACTAAAATCTTGCCTCATGTATTATTTGTGCAACTGCAGCAAATGGTTGAGAGGAGCTAGAGATGCTCATAGATTTAAAATGATGATGGTTCACTCACATCGTTGAATTATATACCACTTTTCAGGTTTTACATTGCCTTCATGCATGCATCGAGTCTTCGTGTATGTACCATATTACGTATATTTATATGCTAAAAGCTACACCATATGTGTAGTAAATGAAAAGCCTAACAGGTTGTTGGTTGGTTTGGTAAATGATAAAACACGAATAACTGCTTTTATGTATGTACACATATATGCCCACTAAAACAAGTGCAGAATAAGCAAGTGAGCATGTATCACATCACAAGTCTTGATGTATCATCATCGTTTGCGAATATATTGTATTCTCTAAATCTCGTCTTAAAAAGGTTGCCTATGCGCTTCACATTAGTTTGAATGTTACGTTACGCCACGAAATCAAAAGGGTTGATTTTTTTTAACTTACTTTCTTATACTCGCGTTTCAACGTATTTATTAGAAAATCTGGTATAAGCGTATTACTTGTATTAGTGAATAAAAACCTGTTTGACTTGACATTGACATATAGACACAAGAAATGTCACAAGCGAGTTTCAAAATGAGAGGGTGGAGGCATACATACGCCTGTGCGTATAAACTTGCCATTCAAAACTGGCAATTATTGGAAATTCTAAGCAATATATTCCGCGTCTAGCGTAAATTAAGTACCTCACAGTTTAAAGACCTCATCTTCCAGACAGACCATGCATTACATACGCTAAACCAAATTGAAAAATATGCAGCTCGTTAAAGGCAATGACGTTTGCATTCTTACAGATTGCATTATTCGACCGAAAAAAGTTGAAGTTGATTGTTGGCAAGAATCAAGATGAAAATTGAGGCTTATTTTTTGATAATGAAAAGATTCGCAAACGAAGCTCGTAGCAATTTTTTTGTTTCGTTGCAAGTGCAGATTTGCGTACAATAAAAATGCACTTGATTAATAAATCCTTGAATAAAAATAATAGAGCTTCTTGTTCTGGAATATTAAATGTACAAATTATTAAAGAACCCTTCGAGGAAATGACCTCGTGAGTAACTGACCTCTATAATTTGTACATAAACTTGGATTGGCTTGCATTTCATCGTTGCATGCATAGCCAAATGTGCTGCAATTGTAAAAAAATATATAGCATCCGTATCCGTTGATGTTAATTGTAATTGCATTGTAAAATGTAAATGGGGTCTCGGCAACACGTTAGCTTGCGAAAGGTGAAGTACATATAGTGTGCATGGGAATGAGTTGGTCAATCGAGTGTAGAACTATAATAACTAAAGAGTCAATGGACGAATTATGCATGATGCAATCTTGGCACCATTTTATGTATACATACATATATCACAATTTTTACGTCGTCTTAAACGATGGATACCAGAGTGGAGATCATATTTTCGAATGCATCTATTTCCTCCTGGTTGGGCGTATACTTTCTCACGGTCCCGTCATCTAATTTGATGCTACCAGGCTCATACTGCGTTCGGATATCATCCGTTCTTTGCTCAAATGATTTCACTCTAGATTTTAAGTAGCACTGGACGACTGCATGAAAAACATATAACAATTTAAATATCTATTTATATTAATAAATATAATTATGCTCACCACAAAATGAACAAATAACAAGCGCCAGCAACCCCACCGGTGGTCCTAACATCCAAGCTACCGTTATCGCATTGGAAGTCGTTCTTTCGACATAATTCCGCTTTTTAACGTCCAAATAGAGACACTTGAACGAGTTCCAGAACCACGGATCGTCACAGTTTAATCGGATGATGGCATCTTCGTAGGGTTCTTCTGTCGTAGAAATGGGTGGATCTGTGGTCTCTGGCAGTAGTACGATGTTGTCATTTCTGATGGGAATACCTGTGATATAATGGTTACTATTTATAATTGAAATTTAGCTACATTTTAAGCAATGCTTATTCACCTCCTTGTTTCACGTAGTTGCCCTGTTGCTCCAAAACCTTTCTCCAAGTCTGACCCTCCTTGACAAATTCCTGATAAGCCTGATAATCCTCATAATGTTGATTCTCGTTGTTGTAACTTAAATCATCGTCACCATAGGCGGAAGATTTCTCCTGGTCATAATACTCTTGATGATAGTTTGGATTGACGATTACACCAGCATCGTTACTCTGCATATTTATGGGGCTAACACTTGTCAAAATAATTAGGATTACAGCTATGCCATAAGAACAAGGGTGTAGCATATGTCACTCATTGTTTTAATAATGTATGAAGGTATTTAATTTTAGAAATGGAATGTAAAAGAAATTCATGAAATGTAAAATCGCATTTATAATGATGTTACCAATGGCACTTAACTTTAAATAATAAGTCAGATAAGCACGATTGTAAGTTATCTTGATTAGAAGATAAGCACCATTTGTTTAAGTATAGGATCAAATCCTGCACAAAGTTGTAGCGAAGAATTGCATTGTTGAGAAGGGAGGTCATTGACCCTAATTGGTTGATCGTTGGTTTTCAGTCATATTTTAGTGTTGATTTGTATATAGTTCTTTTATTTTATGAGCAATTTCTATTAACCCGTTAAATTTTTGTTAGTGTTGATTTTTTAATTAATTACGAAAATGTACGCAAGTCAGGTTGTTGGAAAGGGAAATAATAAAACAGCATGGTCAATTGTTAGTTCGGAAGAAATGACGAGGCCCAGCCTCCTCGACAGGAATAATAATACTACTGAAACTGCAGTATTTGATTGTTTGTAAGTTAGTAGTTTTGTAGCTTTGTTATTTATAAGTATATATAAATGTCTTGCTTTCACCAGCAAAATTCCTGGAACGCAAAGCTTTCCTCCTCCTCCCACCACATCATCACCTAGTACCGTTGAAAGTGATGTATTTAAGCGTCCGTGGAGCGTCACTAAAAACGGAGTCCCAAATTATCTACGAAACATGTCAAAATCCTGTACATTTGTTTCGTCATCGACGGTAAGCAGAACTTCTGGCAGAAGTACCGTTTCCCGAAGTACTTTACAGTCGATTGTGGCACCAAATCCTTCAAGCGTTACAAGGACAGGAACAAAGAAAAGTGGTGGTGGTAGAACTGCAACGGGTACTCGTCATTCTAGCTCAAAACGACCCACGGCTCATTCCGGTTTTGTCACAAACCCTGAAATCACAAAGAAATACTCAATTACCTCATTGTTGGATATTTTATGCGGTAATGCACCTGCCCCACAAGGAATGTTTACTAAAGAACCAGAAGACGTGCCGGAAATAAGCCCAATACGGTCACGCTTCGGACTTGGAACTACTCAAACAATGCCAGTTGCAAAATCAAATTCAATCCGACAACAAGAATTTCTTGAGGATTTTGATGCAAGCAGCAGTTTTTCAATCAATATTACAGAAGAAAGTGATAATAACAGCCCGCTTGCGGATATTAGCAATAGCAATCAATATTTGCGTCCAAGATCAAGAGGGTCCAATAAACGACCTTTTTTTGTGGATACTCAAGTAGAAGAGCTTGATGGTTTTGGTGAGTATCTTTATTTATTAGTCAAAATATTATTAATTTTTGTCTGAAATATGTATTACGCAGACCTTGTTCCACCGCCGACTAAAACGAGATACTTTGGTAATGAGCAACTGGACGCTTTGTTCCCGGATGAACACGATTTAATTACATCTCAATTTAATGAACCTTTATTTTAACTCGAGTTTACTTTTGTTTAAAAATAGTCATTTAAATTTTTGTAGTCATTTGTTTGAGATTAATTCCCATTGTTTTTCTCCCCTATAATTTATTTCAAGCTGAAAACCTCACTGAAGTTACAATAAATTTATTCTCAATATCAATGTCGCAACTGATATGCAATAGCTCAAAATTAATCTGTCGCAAGTTAAAAATAACCACCACAAATACTTCCTATTCAATACCTTCTTGCGCAAATTTTAATAACGACTAAATTAAACAATCCATCTCGACTTGTATTTAGCTGAAGAATTGGTGTGTGCAAATGCAAATGTATTTATAGACTAAGGTACGCACATGTATGCAGGAAGAAAAAAATGAGATTGGCATTTGTCTCAAATCTGAAAATGAGGAGCGTATGTATTGTACAAACCGGATCGAATTGGATTTGATGTGCTGGTGAGATTGCATGATGATTATTATATCGACTACCAACTACACCACCGGCGTGGACTTTACTGTCATCATCAACTTCATTTCCCTCTATTAGATAATGGTGGTCCGATTGCATTGACTTTTCGTAATTTTTTAGCAATTTAAAATGTCGCTGAAATGCTTCTGAAACTCAAGTGTAAAACTCCTGCAGAGACTGGGTCGGTGGTGTTGCTGTCGTGCTCAAGTCGTCAAAAAAATTAAAGTTACATCACCAATGTTGTTGTTACAAGAATTTGATACACTTCAAACAAAAACATTGTATTCTTACCCCATCGCAAGTTACGATACAGTAAACGGTTTAAAAATGGAGTGCATTGGAAGTTTTGCATAATTTTGTCAACCATACTGTGGCCTTCTTCTTCACGTAACACGCCTAATATCCGTCACCATTATTTCTTCTCAAAAAGAAGGAAGAAGAATAATGTATGCGAATAAATGTACTCAATTTAAAAACGCGACATTTTAAGCCGACATTAAGTCACAATTTTTTACTCGCATTTTGTGTATACATCTACAATTTCGTTCAACTACTGAATTGGAACCATCGACTTGGAGTCATCGCTTGTAATCGATTGGCCTGTCGCAAGTTACATATCGTTGGATGAGGGATTATCAGGTTATGAAATTACACAGCAAATGCTACGGTTCATTGGGCTGGGTAGATTACCCCTCTCATGATGCAAATCTGTCGTACCGAGCGTTGAAAGAGACATTGCATTATCGTTACGTAATTTATAGCAACGCTTAAACTACTCAATGTGCAATGCCGCTGGTAATTTTGTCCTTTTCATTGTTGGCGTATTGTAAGGAGGAAGAGGAATTAGTTCAAAATCAAGTGTCAATGATGTGGAGGTAGTGTTGGCATTTTCCTATTTAAACACAGACCCTCAGACTTTTGAATCAAGTCACTCAAGTGTGGTTCAAGTGTGAACATCTTGCATTCTCTCTGAAAACTGCAACATGGCAAAGTTAGCATTGGTACGTGTTTGGCTAATATTTCCCTGGTTCTAGAAGAGCAAAATGTTTGAAAACTGTTATTTTCTTGTAAAAATTTCAGATTTTGGTGCTACTTGTAGTGGTCTGCTACTGTAGTGTCGTCGAAGCTGGGGGATACGGGTAAGTATTCATGATTTGTTTTAGAGAGTGAAAGTTAAGCTAATAGTGGACAATTTCTTTTAATTTACAGTGGAGGGGGTGGTTATGGGTAAGAATCTTGACATCAGCGCCATAAAGGATCGGGTGAAAGTTATTCCAAATAAAAATATTTAATTTGCAGAGGAGGAGGAGGGTATGGGAAGAAGGGGTATGGGGGAGGAGGGGGTGGGGGCCATAAGAAATATGGCGGCGGTGGTGGCGGTGGTGGATATGGGTAAGTTTTTTTTACGCCAGCGCCATGAAGTATTGGGTGAAAGTTAATTCCCACGTCGGGTGTAAGCAAATTGCCACTTATAATCGCAATGAAGTGGTTTTTTGCAGCTATTTTGACCTGCAAGAAATGCAAGAGGCAAGAAACTCCTTCTCAATGCTATATTCGTAGGGCCCGTCGCTAGACGGCTCAAATTTCTTTCACTTTCTTGCAGTTTTTTGCCCCTCACATTTTTTAAGTTTCTGGCTTTGCAACGCAAGAAAGGAACATTGAAAGTGTATTTATATTTCATTTGTAGAGGCCATAAGAAGGGGTACGGAGGGGGCGGTGGGGGTGGCTACGGGTAAGAATTTTTGACCCCAACGCTGTGAGGTTTCCGGTGAAAGTTTATTCCAATGTATGTTGAATTGCAGAGGGCATAAGAAGGGGTACGGAGGGGGCGGTGGGGGTGGCTACGGGTAAGAATTTTTGACGCCAGCGCGATGAAGTATCGGGTGAAAGTTTATTTCAATGTATATTTATATTTGATTTGCAGCGGTGGGCATAAGAAGGGATAGTAAGTTTTCATGAATCCCAGTTGCTTAGGGTGAAAGTTGTTCCAAAACTTAACAAGTTTTTAATTTGCAGTGGTGGGGGTGGTGGCGGATATGGTGGTGGCGGTGGCGGACATAAAGGATACGGGTATTTTTTTAATTTGGTGTTTATCGTGTGAAAGTTGCGGTGAAAGTTAATTATTTTTTACTTACAGCGGTGGTGGTGGAGGGTACGGAGGCGGTGGGGGTGGCGGGTAAGCTTTCACCTTTCAGAAAATAATTGGATTAAATAATAATGCTTCTATTAACTTTCTCCTTACAGATACCATTAAAGAAGCCAGACTGTGATCATAAACAGTATTTGTACAGTCATCCGAGTATCTCCCCATAGAAGACCTTACTATAATTACTACAAGCGACCAAATTTGTTCACAAATTAGCAAGTATAAAATACATAGTCCCATATATACTTTCCTTTATTAGTCTCTATAGCCATTTCAACAAGGTAAATTTTCTGGTTTACTATTTGAACATGTAATAACTGTACATAAATGCTCAGAAAAAGTGAGCATAGTAAAGCGTTATAAAACCAATAAATAAAAGATACATTTTCTAAATAAATTACATATTTGTAACATTGATTCATTATTAGCTCATACATGACTCGGTTGATTTAATACAAAATAATAAAATTTTCTACTACAAAAAAGCTCACAATTTTACTTCAATCTATCACACATTTAAAAATCCTATTGTCCAGATGCTTCACTTGGTAAGATTGTAGTTGCATTGTCATCATCGGTGGAGGATGCCGTGGTGGTGGTGGTATTATCAGGCGGAAAATCTTCTGGGATGGGGTACTGCCTTTCTCCATACTGGAACTTTGGTGGTTGGAAGAATCCTGCAGGAAGAAAGTGCTCCGGTACGTGTAACTCGTAGTCTTTGAAAATGTAGCCAGCAGGTGGATGGGAAATTAATTCTTCCTTTAAAGGAATTGGCTTTGGTGGTATTTTTACTCTTTGAGTATTACTGGCTTTCACTTTAGTATCTGCTTTCACTATGAGCTCTGCCTCGGTGACATTTAGATGGTTGTCAATATTCCAAAAATTTTGGATAATTTCTCTCGTTCTATTTGCAGCTGGTTCGTAAACTTCCGTATAGTTTTCTGGTAACTCAGTTGTTGTTGAGATTATTATTATCTCCGTTTGGTTGACAGCTACTGAGGGAGTAGAGTTGAAGCGAAGACTTGAAGATGCACTTTGAGGCTCACTTATCGAATTTGACGAATTTTCCGAAAAATTATTACCCGAAGATGTTTTAATAAAAGTGGGTAATGGCACTTTCTCCTCGACTTTCTCTTCGTCTACAATAGCATCCTGCAAAATCTCCGTCTTCGTGTCCAAGTATGGATTTGGCTTATGCTTGTTGGCTTCAATGGCTGATTTTGTGTGTAAATGAGAATGGAAACGGAGCCCAAGTCCGGTAATAAGAGTAGATTCTGTGCTTGGCGAGTGTGTGGTAAAGTCGTCTTCGGGCGGAAATGTGTCGGTGAGAAACTTGTTGTTTTTGTAGATTGAGTCTAAAGTTGGACTGGGGGGTGAGGGGAATTTGTTGTTGTTACTACTTTGTTGATGGGCATTATGGTTCGTGGGTTTTGGGAGAGGTCGACTTGTGGCGATAGTAAAGATGACTGGGCGATATGTCGTTGTCGTAGAAGTTGTCGTCGATTCCGGAAGTTTGCAACAGTGATATGCATTTTTGAAGATGTCCTCTTTGCATTTCTACATTAATTCAATATCAGATTTCCTAAATTTTCTGAAAAGTTGAGCCATGCGAATATTTATGTATGTACCTTTCTAGGCCCGTTCTCATTTTTATTTGGACATCGGTAATGAATAACGCAAACTTCCTCCCCATCGCACGGATGAAACTCATGATTTGCATTATTTGCCTTTTGATTATGTCGTGATACTTTCGACAAACTGGTTGCATTCAGATTTGCAGATTTTTTCTCTCTGTCTCCAAATTCTGATTAGATATGAAAATATTAAAAATTTATGCAGCATTTAAATGTATGGATTAAAAAAACAAGACATGATTTTAGTGGTGAGAAGAATTAGTAAATTTTAATACTTTCTTTTTACAATTTTCTAGGACATTTGAATATTAGTTGGCGTTAATACTGAATGTGTTTATTGGTGTTATCGGCACGTGTTTAATTATTGTTTTGCCAATTAAATTGTTAAAATTACAAGTTTCATGGTTGATTTGTTAATATGTTGGACCACAACCACTCTTAGCACCCCTTGCACCTGCAATATCCAGATATGTTAACAATCGTGTCGTCGTCCATATTTATTTATGCTCCAGTTGAAAATGTCCCCAGAGATGAAATGTCAGTCAGTATTTTAGAATCATTTTTTATTTCGAGTTATGTATTTACAAACGTGTATAGGTTTAAGTGCAGTGAGTTTGTTTATGGTTAGAAAGTGCGTTACAAGTAAATGTTATTAGTATAATCATCAGTTAATATTTTACAGTATTTACAAACGTCTCATTATATGTAAGTCTGATTAAAGATATTCCGATTAATTGTCCCATAATCCGAATTTATTTATTTACCTGAATACGGGTTTCTGAAGCTACTTTGAGGTTGTTGTTGTTGCTGTTGTTGCAAATTGTTTGATTGACCACCATTATTGTGGTGACCCTTGTCCTCGTGATGGTGAGGTTGATATTGTCCACTGCCCCCACCACCATTCATATCTGGCCAGGGATCCTTATAATCTGGATCTCTGCAACAGACGCCATGAATCCCAGTGCTGGGTTCGGAACATTGCTGCATATTTTTTTTATACATTTTTAAGCGGACTACTTTGTAGAAATATTATTCACTCGAATAATCAATCTTACGCTGAGTGCCACACGGTGAGCCTTATCGGCCAAAGAAAGTCGAAGGTTATCTTCAATTACTCCGATAAGGTTACACTTATCATCTTCCACACACAGCATTGCTGCTGGACCTATATAACAACATAATTAATCAGTATACGTTACGTACATAGATTCGCATCGAGCTACTTACATCCTGGGAATGGAGCCTGGTCATCAATCGGCCCAATTACAGGTTGACCTACTGCTGGCTGTTGTTGTTGTGCTTGATAATACTGGTTATTAGGTTGTTGATATTGTCCGTTATTTTGGTATTGTTGTTGAGGTTGCTGTTGTGGGGCAGGTCTGTTATATTGTTGTTGCTGGGGTTGAGATTGGGGTCGATAAGGTTGCGCTGGTCTTTGTGCGCTTTGTGGAAATGATGACGATTGAGGAGATTGGGGTGACTGATATTGAGGTTGGTAGTTTTGATTGCTGGGAGCATTTTGTTGTGGTTGAGTGTCATACGGTTGTGGGGGTGGAGGCTGGTAAAATCCTGGAGGTGGTTGGACTGCAACGTATGGTTGTTGAGGTTGTTGTGGCCTTTGAGTTGGTTGAGGTCGTGGTTGAGCAGGGGAAGGCGGTCGGTAATTTTGTGGTGGTTGTGGTGGGGAATTATAACCTTGATCTGCAGGTTCATATGGTGCTTGTTGGGGTGCTCTTTTGTGACAATCTGCCTTATTTAAAAGTTGACACTCTGGCGCAACAACGGGGGAAGATTGGGGGAAATTGTTGGCAGGTTGTGACAGCGAGTTTGAAGGTGGAGAAGGATTGAATCCACTACTTGACTGAACAGGAACATTTGAGGATGGAGCGGTCCACCCTGATCCAGCAGGTTGTTGTTGTTGTTGAAATTGTTGCTGCTGGGGTCTTTGTGGCTGTTGCTGTGGTCTAAATTGTTGCTGTTGAGGTTTGGATTGTTGATTTTGAAAATTATTAGTTGGAGCTGGTGCATTGTAAGAATTTGGAGCTCGATTCGTCTGAGGAGGACGCGCAGGTGCTTGCGGTTGTTGTGGGGCTGCAGCGGAATTGTCACTTGGCTCTACGCCGGGATGACCTGCCGGTTTTTGGAATGCATTTTGATTCATCCACCAATAATCTTGAGATTGACCTTGGTCTGCGGAAGGTGAACCTTGATGTTGAAGATTATTATCTTGCGGAGGGGCAGGGGCTTCTAAAGGTGCTGCCGGTGGACGAGACGCAGCTGGAGCTTGGGCATACCCTTCAGGGTCAGGATCATACTGAGGAAGGGAGGAAATCAATTGCTGTTGCTGATTGTTTCCACTTGGAGCTGCTGAATCATCCTCAATGTTTCCATATCCTTGAGAATTCACGGATACGAGCAATTGGACGGCAAATATCAATCCAATGTAGCGCCCCATTATTATTGTTCGTTATTTCTGTGAATTAAACGCAAAAATATCAACTGTTATAAACCGAAATATTTACTCACTAAGCCCACCACTTAATTAATCCGTGCAGTAGTGCATGAAAGTCTGTTGCTTACTATTTAATGAAACTATTTAATTTTTTACACAAGATCACAAATTACCCAATCTGTTACAAAAATCCACGCAAAAATTTTCACTTCACCAATGTCAGAGATCATTGCAAACCAATCTAAAAAAAATCGCTTTAACTTAACCCACTCCCACGACGCTACATGTTCACTTGTCACCTAATAATACTTTGAACTCTAAAAGTCAGTAGAAAAGATTGCAAAATAGTAATAATAAACGATGCACTTTATTTGCTCAAAGTTGCAAATGCATAAAATTGCACATTGACTATCATGCAAGAACTGAATGGAAAAGAAATGACTTGGTTTTTTCGAGAGTACGTTGTACTAAACATGAAACTTTACCAATTCCCAATATGGTACTTTAATTCGCACCAAAGTGCAACATACAACAAGACAAACTGGTCAATGCAATCCTTTAACTATTCATTTTATGGAGTCATTTGGATACTTTGTTTCTTGCGTCTGCCGGCCTTAAGAAAAAAAGAGGATGAGACAGTCAGTCAGGAGGATTGTTATATAACTCTTAACATTTATTATTATTGCATACATGCATTGTTTCTGGGAGTTATTTACCTAATTGTTGATGAGGATACGATCTTCTAACGCATTGTCTGACTCTTATTTGTGTGATAAATTAAACGATAATTGCAGCACAAAATGCATAATCCTACATAAAATGTAATGTAATGCAAGACGAAAAATAGCTTGATATTGTTCTACAAACTACTCGTAATTGTTATGTTTGCATATTAATTGTATGTAAAATATGAAACGTTTAGAATTTAGAGTGGTGGAAAGGCAAACATGCATGCATAAATCTTTATAAATAAAATCTATCTGACCAAATTGTTGATTTACTTTATATAATTTTTGCAAGTATTGCAAACATACGTCTAATTAAACAGATATTGCAATCTTAGTTTGATCGACTATGAATGACACACCACGTGACAGAATTGAACTCTTAAATAGTGTGAAACTATCGATAAAAAAATACTGTACATAATTTGGTCATCTCCTCTTCAAAGTCTTTTTTCGAGGTGCGTGCCATTTAATAAGGATCAAAAATTGCGAAAGTCAATTACTTTCAGCTCATCTCATCTCATTCTCGCCCTTGTTGCCCACACAGGCAGAAATAACCAAGAATAATAAACAATCCAATTTAAACTGTAATAAATCACGGAATTGTGTTTTAGACATCTCTACAAACAAGGAAATTATTACTGTAAACTTGAAATCGAAACGAAACAGACCTTGAATTGTGTGTGTATCTATATTTATATTTGTGACCAAGACCAAAATCAAGCCACTTAAAATATATGCGACTCCATCCAAATATGTCGCTTTACCTTCAAGTCAATACCGCTGCTCGAGAAATGATTTTCATGAAGACCACTCGTCTACATTTGTATCTTCTCCAAATAAGTATAACGTACGCAATAACAAGTATATTGATTATTACCAATATTGACTTGATAGTTTATTGATTATGTGCGTATGTAAAATGTATGAAATGGCTCTTCTTTGATCCGGTTTGGTGACCAACTGGATTCCCATTAAACTCATTATGTAAACTAATGTATGCAAAGTAAGTATTGCATTACTGAGGAGGAGGCATCACTTTTAACATTCACCTTCATTTTTGAAATTAAATGCATACATAAATGACCAACCAACTATGATACGTAATGATGATACTATTGTTCACCCCGACCTAATTTTACCCTCTAATTCATAAAAGGATTAAAATATTTTATGTTTTTATTGTTATTTTGTGTAATTGGTGACTTTGCTGTTAAATGGTTGTCGTTCAGTCACCACTTTCCAATAAAGTTATTGCAAAAAGACGAATAAACCATTTTACTTTAGTCTATTAGAGCGATGATTATCGTGTCTTGAGTGAAAAATTGCATTATTTTATGCATCTCCTTACCTGCCTGCCTGCCTACCTACCTGTCTGCTTAATTAAAATTAAAAAGTAGCCGACAGACTGAAGAAAGATGTAATCAGCAGCAGCAGCATCTTCTGCCCCAGTGCATTTTATGGCACGTGATGCTAATATTGATATTGCGATCGATTAATTTATTACTTAATTGTCATCTCCTTCGTCCAACTAAAAGCTGAGTCAAATTTGCTAAAGGACAAAGTTACCACTTTTTTCGCCTTTGAACTTCACTTTAATTTACTACCTGCTACGGCACGACTCATTATAACAAACATTAATTTAAATAACATGTATATTCTGAGTAAATAGCCTTCGTCACAGGAGATGAAGCCTTCTAAACAAATCGATCGTTGGTTGTGTTCGAGTGTCAACGTATTAATTATTTTTAATTAAATAAGTTCTAGTCTATGATGTATGTATGTTATGTTAATTAATTGTTAGTCATTATAAATTATTGCAAAAACTGACCTTTAATTAGTAAAGAAATCCGTCCTTGGACAAATTGGGAAGAATTTTGATGCTTCACGTCCAGCCTCTCAAACAGAAAAGCTAGCGTTTCACAATAAAACGACGCTTTTATAATGCCAGGTTTTTCCAAAGGTTTACCTTACGTCATTTATGGGTGAAAAATGGACTGGTCATCTTCTCACCACCACCAAACACAAGAAGATCATGTCATCATCATCCTGTTCGTACCTTGGCGTGGGTGATGGATGCATATGTAGGTATGTATTTATGCATTTATATGTACATCCCATACCATTACGATACATATACATTAAATATTTATTAAACTATTAATGTCCAGCACTTTTGGGATGAATTATTATGTCCGCTTTAAGCAAAGATTATTTGTTGTGACTCTTGCAAATTATAGCAGCATCAGCCAAATCACTACCTACAGGTCATTCGTCACATCGTCATCGCATTTTTACTAAAACACGAATTCTCTTGTAAATAACAATAATTATCATGGTTAAAATAGGCAGTCAGAGAAGGTTTACGTGGTACTGATGAGAGAGGTACATTAAAATCGTGATATTTTATTTTGAACTTGAAGACGGTGCATCCTGATTCACTTTGCTGATTGCAGTTCACAGGAAGATGAGCATTTTATGTTTTTACAAAGACGTTGTGAGGTTAGGGCTGAAGAATAATGCTGGACGGACAACTCGCTAATTTATGTATGATTGGTTGATTTGCTGGAAATCGTACCGGACTCGGTTTTTTAATTGAAATGCTAAAAAAATATTTCATTAGTGAGCGTTTCGCAAACCGCTGTATAAATATGGGTCTTATGTAAAGATGATGCACTTACTTATGAAACACTTCACAAGTCAACACGGCTTGCAATATTCGTGGAAATGCGAAAAATGTGAAAACTGGAATAATATGCAAACTGGTGAATAACAACATTCATAACTCTTTACGATTTATACGCAAGTCGCAAAAAAAGTGTGGGGCAGTGGTGCGGCGTTGTTGAGTTGGAAAAGGATGATCATGTCTTATGATTAGTCTGTCTGTAGCAAAAACAACTGAAAATTTATCTTCTACGACGTCGTCTTCATATTCTGCAAAAATTCTCGGCCGGCGTGATTTTCTACTTTTAACGGTTGGGTGCACCCTCTCCAGCTCCTCAGCACACCTGCTGTGATAAAACCTTGTCCAGACTTAAACGCTCGTATTTAGCAGTCTAATTCGTTATTTACTTATTAAAAACTTTAATTAAAGGCAATTAGTTTGTAACTAAAGTTGATGCATTGTGAAAATCACGTTCAATTCTAAATGGGGTCACGTTTTTGTATCGTCATAATAATTTGATCGATAATTAGGCCAAAAATAGACAAAAAATTTTTTGATCAGTTTACAAAGTAATTTTTAGAATTCAGAAATGACAGTTTGTTGCAGATGAAGTCTATTTTTTGTTTACATATTCCTCTTGCTCATCTTCATGAGGGTCATAATAAATCACATTTATCTTCATGTATTCATGCATAATGTGAAATGAAATTAATGACATCACTTAAGCCAGAGAAACAATGGGTTTCTGGACGAACAGGCATACGGATGTCACGACTTTTGTGGGTAATGGTTTTTTCCAGACAGTTTTTAGTAGATGAAATGATTCGCCGAATTTTTGGCGTATGTGTATGTACCTTAAAATGTTGAGCTATTTATACAGCTTTTTTGCCAATTATTAAGTCATTAATTCATAGAAGCAAGCATGTATGTAATTTTGAGACAATAATTTTAATACAAGAGTGAAATTCCGGATTCTGTAAAGCATTCACGGTCACTGTGTTAAAGCAATAGATTACAATATCCATGAGTGGAATTTTCACTAAATATGCTATATGAATATACATAGTTTTTAACACCTACTGTATATCAGTAGGGTTACAGTCCAAAAACTTGGTAAGCCCGAGCCAGTCATTCTTTTTGTCGCTTACTTAATTTCGAAAATTATGAGAGTACCAATTTCTGTGAGAATATCAATTGTTTATCTCGTTTATGCTACACACCCATAACGAATTTCAAGACGTTTGGACCCAAAATGAAGCAAAATCACGTTTTTTAACAAAGTAGACGATTAAACATACAAAGGAGAAATCTGAGACTCTATAAACTACAATATCCAAGCTCATTTTATAAAATCCAGAATTGAAACTCCATTCGTACAGGTATCCGTATTTGCTTAATGTGGATATCCTGAGTTACCACGAGCAGAAAAATTTCTCTATTCCTTTATTTAATAAGCATTTGGTCTGTTTAACCCAAATGAATTTATTAATCTCATTATTATCGATCGTCATTACCAGACAGACTGTCACTGTATTTTACCATAATGTAATCCATTTAATACTTCTTTGCCAGAGAGAAAATGAATAAAAATGAGACAAAATGTGATCAATATAGAAGACCACCATTAGATTTACAGTCGTGTCCGTTTGTACATACATGCAGTATCAACATCAACGTTATCAATTATGGCATTTCTTGCACACAATTTTCTTGCATTGACCATATTAATAATTGTACCAGCCATACGGAGCGATTCAAATCTGGTATTATCTAAATTTTTCTTATTTTGTAAAGTGTACATAAATTTAATCTTTATGATTAGGTGACAGTGACTGAATCAAAGCCCACAAACGGAACTGAAGACTCAATAAGTGAGCTTATCTTTCTGATTAATACTTAATCAGAAAATAAAATAATTCAATCGTTTCCACCAGGCCTGGAAGATAGGGTGGAAAATCTCTCATTTAACCTTCGCTTCATGGAGGAAGTGCTGATGAAATGGAAGACAAATTTCAAACTTATTGATGAGCGATTCTCCAACCTGGAGAAACAAGTAGCGGATCTGATTTCTGAGAAAAAGTCCACAACAACGACAACCACGACAAACTCCCCAAGACAAATTGCAGAGCCCTAATTATAGTCAAAGTGAAGTCTTACTATAATCATGGTAATTTAGAATTAGCAATACTGGCGCATTTTATTAAATCTGTATACTCAATAATTTAATTGGAAATCATGCATTTCCGAATATTCCTCATTCTCGTTATCATTGATGGATGTGTACAATTTATCACTGTGTAAAAGGCATCGTCAACTGGAAAAATATAGTTGTCCATTGTGAGTTTCACGAGAGCACTTTCCAACGTGTGACCATAACCAAGACGAACGGCATACTTGTCAGCTTGAGTTTCCGTATACCGTTGAAAAATGGCGAAAAGAAAGTCCAGAAACTGAAATGGAAATAAATTTAGTGTAGCCATTTACATATTATCAATTTTTCTCACTTGTGATTACACATACCTTTGAAGTGTATTGAACCACAAACAAATCAGCCGCAATGAGACCAGGAATGAGGTAACTGTTGTTGCCATATGTAGAAATTCCGATAACGTTGTAAAATACAGAGTATTGGATAAGCCACATGGTTAGCAGGTAAGAAAGCAGTGTTTTGAGCTGAAGATAAGTGACCCCCCAAAACCCATGAGATAAGTGATAGTGCCCCAATTCGTGTGCAATGACTGCTTCAACTTGCGGGTCTGATAACCCTTTTCCTTGTATCTGCAGATGAACAATTTACACACAAACTATTCACATTTTTACTTCTCAACATCCAGTTTGTTTAGGTAAAAAGGGTTGTGTACATGTAATGTTTCTGGATTTGAGGTGTCCTTAAATTCAATTAGTGACTCAAAAATAATGAGTCGTTGAAAATTCAAAAACTTGAGGTGGAAGGCGTTCGGATGATTCTTCGCTTTAGTCGAGTGCAACACAAAAATGCAATCCTTTGGAAAGTTGACCTTGTCTGCCAAACTGTCAATTCGTGTCTTTAACCCCCCTTCCGGAAGTGGCTGGACCTGCTTTGAATTCGCCAAGATTACAACGACGATCAGCGTGGGAAACAGCAACCAGTACGAGAAGCCCATTAAGGATAAAACTGTCCATGATTTGTCTTCAATCAATTTAGACAGTTTCTGATCAGGATAATTGATCAATTAATTAAATAACTTGGTTTAAATATCGAAATGCTAAAATTTTCAGTATTTCAATAATTACCTGCAACCCCCATGAAAATGCCGTCAAATAAACCGGCCACAAAATAACTTTCAGAATAGAAACTTTGATAAAGCTCTTCGTTAATTTTTTCCGACTGGCTCGAGAAAATCCAAAGTATTTTTCAATTTCAAATTCTTCCAGTTCTGGCAAATATAAGATAACTCTTTCCAGAATTGTGTAACACAGGGTAAAGAAAAAGATGCCAAGCCATGGCCAGGACGTTGACTTTTTAAGGGGTAGATACGGTTTAATTAGAGCAACTGTTCTTTCAGAATAATCCCATAAAACGCCGATTCCGTTGGTTAAGATCACACACTGGGAAATCAAGTTATAAAATAGTTTTGTATATGCACCTTATAAATACGTAAATAATTCTCACTGTCAAGATAACTCCTTCAACTATGGTTTTCTTATTTCGAAAAGTTAATGTTTGATAAGCGTAGAGACGAGCCAGACCGAAAGCTTCTGGATGATAACTAGTCCCTTGAAGCTCATCGGGGACATGGTGCTGTTGTTCCATTTTGTTTAGCTGTGAAATTATGATTAGCTTATGATTAATTTTTAACTTGAGAAAGTGATAATAAAATAACCCACATTTTTGTAATTTGACCACACAATGGCCCCGAGATGAATCCATATTACGGATAAAATGCCGTACGTGAAGATTTGTACCATCAGGTCATTCTCAGGAATGTGCATTATGATTGGTAATTTAAAAAGTACTACTGATTTAATAATAGCTATTTTCGAGTTGGGTTTCTACTCGTAATAATTCGGTAATGTTGATCAGAACTTAATGGAAGTTACTATGAGGAACAAATTCATACTACTTAATTACAAAATCCCAATTTTATTATCGATTTTTCAGGAGTATAAAATATTTAAAAGTAGTCAAACGTTTAGGCAGATAAAATATGGCGATTTTGCCTTTGAAAGACTGATTAGTTTTGTCAGGGTACATACATAATTATACATATACACGATTATACACACTATTTATAGTAGTGAATAAATCACATTCCGAACTGCTACTACATGGTCAATATAATTTTCGAAAGTTAAGCAAACCATAATACTTCGTAGACTTATTTAACTAAATAATGCTAATAATTACACGCGTCTAGTTCTTCTCAGATTATTCAGAATGGATCGCATTTCCTCAACTGCAGTATCCTCCTGTTTTTCTTGAGGAAGCTCGGTCGGCTAAAAAATTAAATTATGGACCCTTGTTAAAATTCTGTTAAAATACTTCCGTTAAGATGCTTGTACTCACCTTTCTTGACAACGTCTTATCCATTGGTCTCAATTTGATCCCCTTCTTGAGTTGGGAAATTACATCGTCAATCTGGGGCGAGCCAGATACTCCATTCGGCGGAGTATCACTTCCCGATCCACCATTGCTGTTGTTAGAATTACTTCCCCCTGTTCTCCTCAAAGTTCCCATCGCATTCTTGAGAGAATTGTTCAGTGAAGTTGAGGAGCCGTTCGTAATTCCGGAGGAGAGTGATGGGGGCAGAGGGGGTGGTGGTGGACCTCCCATGACAGGCATGGGGGGAGGGAGAGGAGGAGGAGGTGGTGGGGGTGTTCCCAAGAGACTACGCTCCGGAGAACCTTGATGGTTCGGGATGTCTTCCAACTTTTGTTCCGCGTCTTCCGCCCGTCTTCGCAAGGTTTTCACTTGGTCTTCGAAACTCCGGATTTTTGACGCTGTTTCAATTTCCATCGACTCCATTTGTGACTCTCGGTCTGCTAATTGATTCTACAAAAATAAATCAATAAATTACTTATTTGAAGTGAACTTTAGTTTCCTAAAGTCACATGCTAATAAATACGCATACCTGAATTTCTCCTAATTGAGCTTCAAACCGATTTCGTTGTTCTTCCATGGTCGTTTGCAAATCGCCAATTTGATTAAGCGCATCCATCAATCGATTGTCCATTGCGTCGTTCATGAACACCAAGCTCTGACGTTGTAGAATGTTTTTCTCATTCAAAATCTGTAATAATTAAATACAATTAAAATTATCATCAAACTAAAAGTTTTTACTGAAAATTTTGCGAAAAAACAAACCTTTTTCAACTCTGTTTCAGCCAAAATCAACTTTTCCTCGTTGATGGAATATTTCCCTTTGAGACTATCGTACTCGAAAGAGATGTCCTCCAGATTGCTGCTGATTTTGCGGTTTTCTTCATCCAACTGTTTTAGCTGCTCTTTCAGTTTGCTGTTGTCACTCTTGACAGAGTTGACCGAGTCGTTGATAAGCATGACGGATTCTTGCGTTTCGAACTCTGCAAGTTTTGCCTTTTCCAATTCACTGTCCAAGTCCACGATTTTGTTTTCCAGCTCTGGTAACAGTTTTAAAGTGCAAATGTAGTTTAAACGTTTATGCATGTATGAAAACATTGTGAATATTTCGAGAGAAAAAAGAAACCGTATTTGCAAAATCTTGTGAGAAACTTTTGGGATCGTGCGTGGTTAGGTTAGGACTACGCAACTACGAACTGTGGTTTGCATATATGTATGTATTTGCACAGTAATAATTTCACGACACCGAACTGTGTACACACTTCGGTGCTTATGCATATCCGCACCGGACACTTCCATCCGGATATGCATAATAAGAATGCAAACTAAAATGCGTGCCTAAATCTCATTAAAATTACGAAAAAACCGTAGAGAAATAGTCAGGCAGGTCGAGTAGTCTCTCGGAAGACAGAGTTGTTTCAAATACTTTAAAAGGATTTCAATCTTAGAGTATCTAATAATAATAGTTATTATTATTAGATACTCTAAGATTTCAATATTTTAAAATTCTATACACTATTTGGATACTATTAACTTAACTTGTTTTATGTACATAAATGTGTATATGCATGCATATGTGTATAAATACTAAATAGTTCAATAATCTGTAGGTGAGTTGGCATTAAAATAAATAAGTTTGTTGAAATAAAAGTTTTAAAGTATTCGGAAATATTTGAAAATACTTGGAAATATTTACTATAAATACATGCTTTATCAAGCGAGTATTTAATTACTAATCCTAAGTACTTTAACTTCGGTATTAAAAGTTTAAATAAGCAATATTGTTATACCAAAACTGGGTATTGAAATATTAGATTTAACTGCAAAAGTATTTACCATTAAATATTTACAACAACTCTTCTTCCGGATCCGTGAAGAGTTATCTGAACCCATGCAATAATTTAATTGCATATTACGCATAAAATACATACCTTGCACTCTGTTTCTCAAGTATAAGATTTCCTTATCATTTTCTGCACTATCAGTCTCAGACACGGCTTCGAGCAAGGTGGTTGGATCACTTATCTGCATCATCATAGCTGCACTTTGTCTCTTTAGGCGTCGATTCTCTTTATTATACTGAAAACAAGAGCATGCAATCACTTTAGTCAGATTAAATACAGTGATAAAGTACAGTGATTTCGATTTCTTTTTAACTTTATGAATGCATGGATTAATTACTACGTTTTCAATTGATTAATTACACCAACCTGATCAACCCTGGTAAGAGCGTCGGATTTTTCTCGATTTTCCGCTTCATATCGCTTCTTTAATTTGTAATAATCGTCATAAACGGCTTCCGATGCTGTGGACCAATTAAAATTATGAAAATCAACACCAGTGGGAATTTTAATTCGGTGTTTAGTTTTATTCGTAAAATAACGTGTCACCACGTGTATCATGCAATGGTTCATTTTTAATTAATAAAAATAACCTTTTCTCAAACTGTCCAACTGTGTAGTGGCCCCATCCAATCTTCTCGACAGTTTCTCGTTGTCTGCATAAACGTCATGAAATCTCCTGCGTAGCTCTTCATAATCACGGGTCGCTAAAAATAATATGTAAATTATTACACTGTTTTTAAATGGGGTCATATTTTCCTGTCGTCTTTATGATTCATTAATTATTTAATTGCAAACTAAATATATTTACCTTTTTGAGCCAAGTTGACCAAATGGTTTCGTTTTTTCTCACTTTCCTCATACTTCTCTTTCCATCCCATCGTTCCATAAAGTCTGCTCGAACTATTACTACTCGTTGGAGACGTTAGTGTGTAGGATGGCGATGACGACGAGAAACCAACACTAGTATTAAAATTCCTGGTGGGTGTGGTGGCAGGAGACGCGTTCCTGCTTCCGGGCGACTTTCTCATCACGACCCCGTTACTCAGAGTGGTCGATCCATTCGTGTGAGTCCCATTCGAAGTTGTCGAATTCGCTGCAAAATTAAGCTTTGGAATTGCAGATGATTGACTTCCTCCAGACAAAGTTCTGGTCGGACTTCGCCCAACTTTTAACTTTTCACCATTGTCATATTGTCCATTCTGATGGTGCTGTTGTGGTTGACTACCACCAGCACTTGAGGACAAATTGATGGACATGCTCGCCTTTTTCTGTGCCAGTATGGGCTTATTTGCTCTATTAACTGGTGGATTTGTGGGGGATTCACTCACACTGTTGTTAATATTACCACTAATTATTTGGTCAGTCTTTCCGTTCGAGTGGACACTAACATCGACCCCGATACCATAGAATGTATTCACTTTCCCATTAAGAACTGGATCAATTTTCCTTAAATCGCTTATTTTGTGGTGTTGATAATCGTGATGTTGGTGATGCTGGTGGTGGTTAATATTATTATGATTATTTGTATGTAATCGTGGAATATTGTTATTAGACGAGGAAGAGGAAGAAGTATTATTATTATTAAAAACTTTAATATTGCTGATTGTACTGGTGGTGGTCACTCTATTTGGGGGCGTGATGGGAGGAAGCGTTGGAAAGTGAGACGGTTTATTACTCTGCGATTTTATGGAATGCGAAGAATTGTTTATATTTGATTCAATGTTTCGATTAGTCACCACTGTTGTAGCGATGTTGGCATGTTTAATGACGGCGTTATTATTATTACTTGTCGGGCCGTTGATGCTGACTAAATTGGCAAAGTTATTATTCGCAGTGGTGATACTGGGACTGCTATTTCCACCCGTCGTCGTCGTCGTAGTGGGTGAAGTGTTCTGTTGAAATTGCAATATGCGACTTTTGACGCTCATTTTAATCACGGTATATTTAACCAATCAAATCAATGTAAAAGTTCAATTCAGTTCAATCCTCAATGTGCACTTGGTGGATGGTAAATGTGTATGTAGTACACACATTTGGTTATCTTGCAATTCTCATTAAACACATAGAAAGCATCCCACTCTGCGTAGTATGATGTCAGCAATGCATACAATTCGCGTATATTTATGCACGTCCGTCCTTTTTCTTCTCTATTCAAGGGGGTGAGTAATACAAAGGCTTATCATTTATGGCCGATGTACATATGCAAGTATGATTATGATGTATTGCATTATCAGCCAAATATGGAGTAATTCATTTAGCACTGATGTGAAAGGAGAGTTGATCTCATCCAGCCAGGCAGCAGGTTCTGTTATGTATCTATTTCCTTCCTTCGTTGTATTGTTGTTGTTGTTGTGATGGATCCCTTTCTTCTACGAATTGGGAAATGCATCAATTTTTTGCACCTAACGAAACGCGATCCTTCCGAGAGGAGGAGAGAATGTTAAAACTTTTCGTGTAATTGACAGCTCGATTTGCTACATGGGAGAGAGTGGCAGGAGAATTCCTTTAGAACATGTATGAGAGTACAAAAAATCAGCTTCGACTTGACAATTATTGTGCAACAAATGGCACAAAATAGCCTTCAAAGAGTTGAACCACAACACACTTATCACAATGCATAAAGTTTGTCAATGTCAGGCGGAAATGTGTGCGGCGTCCTGCAGACTGGCATTAAAGATCAAACCACGCGATGATGTCAAGTGCAATTAGTTCCAAAGGAGACGAGGCTTGACCGAAATCTAGATTAGAGAAAACAAATCAGTTAATAATAACTTGTTAAAAATCACTTGTTATTTATTGCGTGGTTTATATATTTCTTTGTATGGAGTTTCCACCAACTATTTAAGAGTGGCGTAATTGCGTATTAAAACTGACTAATAAATCAGTTCTAAAATTACCATCACTCGCAAAATAGCTTAGCTTATTATTGACTCGAGACTTTTGCACTGCATACACAATTCAATGTCAAATGCCCATAAATGCACTGCACAACGAGCCGAATATGGCTAGGCATAAGTCCGGTATGATTTTTCAAAGCCTATTGTTGACCCTACTTATGCACGTACGTTCTTATATCTTAATAATGCGATTCTAAAAGTTGGACTCGTAAGTAACAAGAAACTTTGAAATGATCTTGAGCTGTTCTGAATGCTTATTAACTTCATCCCTTCTCAAGCCAAATCTTTTGTGTAGAATCATCATCATGATGTGAATGAATCCTAATCTGCATCGACTACTACCTGGCTTAACTTAACTCTATGCAACACGATTATTCATCCAAAGTCATCATCTATCCACTTGATTAGCGAGAGAGAGGAAGCTTGTTCACTTTTAAGAGTTGAATTTTCTATCAACCACACAGTTCAGTGGCTGGATGGCAAAGTGTCTAATCTAATCAATTCATGGTTAAACTCCTAAGTGTAAAACCTATCTAAACTAAATCTCGAAGAAGGAAAGCATAAATTTTACGTAGTAATGTAATGTTGGTCATGGAAAAAAGATGCAAGATACACACAGAAATGAGGCAGGTTGAGATATTGAAAATCAAAAGTCGATCCATCTACTCAACTCATTCAGTCCTTCGTTCGTAGTGCAGTTTCTAAATCAAATCTGAATCAAACAAAGGAATGAAATTGATGATTGAAAGGGTTGAGTAGTTTTTGCTGAGTAATGCTTAATCTTACACCGTGATCCAAAACAATGCAACCGCCAATCAGTCAAGTCAAGTAGAAAGCTGGTCGATTAGGAAGGAGGACCAAGTAACACAATATTTTCCACAGAGAGAGACTTATAAATTAGAAGTTGGAACTAACTAATAACTGAGGAGACGCAGAAAAGGAAGAGGAATGAGAGAGGTACGTAAAGTTGAGATGAGGACATTTTATCAGAGATTTCTTCTCGTGCAAAACAGTTAGTTTGGCGTTATGGCATTTCCTTGGAATGACCAAGCCTAGGATAAAAAGATGATAAGGATAAAAAGATACTGCTGTCATTTCCATTTCCCTTCGTAACACATAATATTTATTTACCACCGACTGCACTTGTCTTGTCCACAACAACACAGGTATTTAGATATTTTTTTGGAGATTACAAAAAAAGACATTATTTAGAAACTGTTGTTGTTGCAATATTGACGACTTTTGTGCAACATGCAATTTGCCGTAAAACTGACTTGTTTTGGAGCTGAGGAGCATAAAAGGAGTACAGAGATTGATGGTTTTACAGTCTCGATATGGATTCGTGTTTTCAAAAAATATCATGAAAATTATTATGTATTTCTAATTTTTTTATTGTAACAATAGCCTTGTCATTCTGAGGGGTGACGAAGGTGAAACAATTGCTGAAAGTGCAATAACTTTTAACAGTCAATGTCACTGTTAATAATATGAAAACCGAATACCAAGCTGTCACCACCACGTTATCCATTCATCCATCCCGTCGATATGGATCGTTACCTCTTTGAATTTTTAATTAATGTAAAATTACCCTTTCAGCAAGAAGCTAAGGTGCAATATTATTACACATACCATAGAATTCCAAACCTTTGCATGAATTCAATTCAGTTTTAATTGCATTCTTCGCATTCATTTTCCATCCCCTTGATAAAACACCATCATAACAAACAAAACCATGTTGCAACTTTTTCCTGTGACCAAAAGTTCGTGCCTTGTTTTTATTCAACATCTTTATATGCAAATAAGCCAGGTTGTCTTCCAAAATCAAATAAATCTATCGGTTGTAACATTTACTCTTATCGTTCTACCTTTTACTTTAATACTACTGCTTCGTATTTATGTAAGTTTGAGGTTTTTGAACTTTTTATTTTATTTTATTGCACTGCCCACTCATCGCGTTATCATCTTCATCGACTCAATTTCGATTGAGTTTCATATATCAAGTTGCAAAATGCATCAAGAAACATTATGGAACCAGAGCGATGAGCGTGTAAACGAACGATATTGTGCTTTTGCAACAATTTACAATCTCTTCTGGCTGGATGGATGAACGAAGGGGAAAAAAGACGAATCAAATTTCAACCCGTTTAAAGATTTAACAAAAGAGCGAATGTTTATGAACATGGGATTAAAGAATGCCGGTCCGGCCTGTCCACTAAGCATGATGCAGAATACTTGACCGAAACGTAGTAAAAAAGGTGGTGTGCATGTACGCGTACGTATGTAAGCACAGGACAAACAACGCCGTTTCAAAAATATTTAATCAAGTTGGACAAGAAATAAATGAAACTATGAAATTGGCTTCACTTTTCTGACAAAAGCTAAAAGTCTCCTGTGGCGTCCTGGCACAAGTTATTATGCTGAAAAATGCACGAGTAGGTTTCAAATTTATATTTAAAATCTGTCAAGTCCAGCTATATCGCTAGACAAGAAGAAGACACATGCATTATCCTGTATTAGCCAAGCAGGCAGATCCGTATTTCTAAAATGTACAAGTAGAAAAGTAGTAAGGAAACGATGATGATGATGCATGATGTCTTATGATAAGGTGAAAAAACCATCGGTTAAAAATTGAGCTGTCAACATGCTGGTTTTGCTGATTTTATTTACTTGGTGTATACCTACTATACTAAATAAATACACATGTGGGTTCAATTAGTGGTGGTAAAAAAGGAGACGTTTACTCGTTCATTTTCATTCCGGTGAAATTAGTTTTGCTCTGAAAGAGTTTCAAATGTCGTGTGATTATTGGTGAACGAAATGCGGATCCAAGTTCAGAGAATTTTTACCCACAGTGAAAAGTGCTTTTAAAACCGTGTTTGTTTTTCAATTTAATTATGCATGCAGTTTAGTTATGAGCTTACAAAATTGCTACTATATAAAAACCGTTTCAATTTCAGTCAAACTCACCTCAATCTGTAGTATCCTTAAGAAACAAAGCACTTATTTTCACTCTTTGTTACACCACAAAACCAACCACCCTCCAGTTATTGACTGGCTTCGACGAATGTAAAAGTGGTTCACCGAAGATGAGAATTTAGGTTTCACACACACACACAAAAGTTATTCCTTGACTTTCCAACCTTCTCCAATAAACAACACTGTAAGTTAAGTTCAGAAACCGACAACAGCAACCAAACACACAGCACACACCTTTGTTCGTCTTCTATGATATGCCATTAAATTTTGGGATGTGCAAAAATGCAAAAGGTTGCATGAGTCACCGTAATTCTTGGACGCTGACAAATCTACCCTCCTTTATTCTTACCCTCTCCACTCCATTAGTCAACAAGAAGAAGTGGAAGTCGAAGTTTGCAAAGTGGTACAAACACGAAACCAAACTATGCAATCCATGTAAATATGTACGTATGTACCTACAGTTAATTTTGCTCCCTTCTCTCTCGTTATTTTCTTGGCTAAAACCAACAATCGCGTATAAAACACGGCGAATAATAATAATAATAAGATGTTTAACAACTTTAACGAGAATGGGTGAGTAGTAGCTTCTGAAGGATATTACATACACTCGAGGACGACGTAACTTTTGAAATGAGACTTGCACTAAAACCAAAGCCAAGCCTTTCCGCTGGGGTTGGTTGTTGTAAATGAAATGAAGCAGTAAAAGTCAGCCCAACCAAACTAACCAGACGTGCATGAGAACTAAACAAAACTAAATTTTGAAATCTCCAAGTCAAGTAACAGACGTTATACGAATGCCATACAGCAACCGAATACCATCATCCTCGTCATCATCATCACCCACCATGCAATCTCACCCTCTCGATTTTTTGTGTCCAGAAGAAGAGAGCAGATATACATGCATACATATGCATTAACAATATTTTAAAACCAGTACGTGCTCAAAGTGTGGGGATGTGAAATTAGCATAAATCCATTGTTTTAAAAATGTGTCGTCGCTCTTTTTACGCTTCAATTAGCAAAGTGTCCAATTGTATGCTGGAGAGAAAAAATAGACTAAAGTGATTCGTACATATATGGAAATGGTGATACGTATTTAATGTACTCTTTTATGCAATTAGGCAGCAAAGGAGTCATGGAATATATATTTTTTATTCGGCTGAAGTGAAGAATGTTGTTGCTGCTGCTGGATTAGGGTGGGATTAGTCATTCTTAATTTCTTCTCCATGTAGAGGAGATTATGCTCTTGAATCAACTTAAATATGTAAATGTCACTTTGTAAAACAAACATTTAACACGCCCCCACCCAGAGGATGATGCCAATCTAAAGTTGTCTAGAGTGACATGACACGACCAAAAGTCAGAAGTTATGGCGTCGCAAATGACATGTAGAATATATCATAACGTGTACATGGCATCCTTTAATAATGCAATAAATTAATAAAAAGTTGCAGTAATGAGACCAGTTATTGTTAGTTAGTGACTCATTTCATCCAAATGTATGTAGGAGGATCTGCTTGTTAAGGGTACGTCTCACTGTAAATAATAATAATGACTCAATAATCAGTAATTCAAAAGTTTGAAATGTCAATGCCCAGAAAGAAGCAACTGCAAGTATCACGCCGTTAAAAGACCTTTGATTCGAGGATTCGACTAACTTTCATAAAAGATGCTGCTCAACCTCACGCCGAACTACTGCCTCTAATTATTTACTACATTAATTACAACCTTCATATGAATTAAAAACAATTGTTGTGATAATGATGTGATGCATTGTGTGTTTTGATTTGTTGGTGGTGGCCAATTGTCAAAAAACCCATTCAATGTAATACTTACATCCAGTATTACATTCTTTTGCTAATATAATTCAATCGAAATACCTCCAACCGACCAATACCCACGATACAATTTATGGCTGAAATTCTTCCCGAGTAAGTTATCTGGTGAGGACACCCACAAAACGCACCTTTTTATTCTCATCATAATTCAAAGTTGAGTTATTAAGAGCGTCAGGTACTTTTTGTGATCGTTTTGTCTGTCTGTCGGTCAGTTAGCAAGATAGCTCTTGAACGCCTCAACATATTCAAATGTGGTCTACTACATTATGTCATTGATCGAGTTCGAAATGGGGTCACTGAGGTCACGGTCAAGGTGACCTTGGCGTGCTATCATTTTAAAGGAAATTTCACCGCCAATCAACACCATCAATATTTTTGACTTCCGAATAACTGATGTCTGCATAGGCGAGGTCAAAGGTCTAAAATCAAAATATGTGGTATAATTTCAAAAGAAATATCAATCTCTTTGACGCTAATTCTTTATATCCTCTTACAACGGTTTATTTCGCCAAAAAATGAATTAATGATGATGGCAATCCTCGCTATACTGAAAGTATGTAACTCTTTCTCAAGTTCGTGGCTAGAATCACAATTTTTTTTCACGGATATTCCGGTTTGGTTTTCATTTCATGCAATTCAATGTAATTTCATTCCATGTGGTTGGTAAAAAAGAGAATTAAATTAATTTATTATTATAGCCATCTCGTCGTCGTCGTCGTCATCGTCAAGTGGCACGGTCGGTAATGCACTGCACCGAACTGCATACATACAGACATACATACTCGTCTATGTTGTTGCTTAATGCAATCCGGTCATCGTCGTCGGGATGAATGTGTCTGTGAATTAATGAACAACCAGAAATTGCCCTCCAACAAAACAAAACTGGTATTTATTATTATTACACGAATGCCATGAAAAGTTGGAGTGAACATGAGCATGCAGTAGTAGGACAGTCACTGAAGCTTTGCTCTTGGTTGGTTGGAGGGGACGTTTTTAAATTCATTAGTTCATTCACCAACTACACAAACCAAACCACATTAATTTCATGCGACGTTATTATTAACAGAGTTTAGAGGAGGAATCCAAGTATTTAACTTGGTAACAAAGCAAAAACAAATTGGAATCCTCAAAACTCACGCAAATTGCAAAAATATTATGATCTTATTGAAACCCATTGTTTGTAAACGTCACGAAAAAGACGATAATTCGGTGTTGTCACACCTATTAAAGTGCTCAATTATGGAAGAACGTGATTTTTCATGGATGCAGTTGCACGCCAATGTCAGACCGAGTTACGCAACTTGTCGGGGAAAGAATTAAAGCTGTCACTCATTTTATTATTAATCGTAAGTAAACCATATTTCCCAATTCATTTACAGTTTATAAGGGAAGCATGCGTAAATATTTACAAAAATCTCCCCTTGTAAAAGTTTGAGTCGTGATGATGTTAACTTTCTGTAAATCAAATGAAACTTGTAATGTTTTCATTCCAGATTTTTACAGCCTCATCATCATCATACAGTTTTATTCCTTTATTTATTCATCAAACTCTTCCAAACATATTTATTCTGCTTGCCGACAATAGTTATAAAATGGTACTAAAGATAAAGATTTAGTTAAAAATATGTACATATAGGTACATAAAAAATATAAAGTATTTTATGATCTACAAAGCATCGTGTTCTGACATTACGCGAATTAACCAATCCGCATATCGACCCACCCTCGTGAAGAACGAGTACTGGTCTGGGTGGCATTTATTACTTTCGTCCCCGATGCCAACACTGACAATGCCTTGAAGGTACCATCGCGTTGTGCCGGAGTCTGAAGTCGTCTGGGGAAAGTACATTCCTCCTGGTCAGACAGATTATTAGCGGTGCTTATCGTTATGCTTATCTTACTAGAGATTTATGAATATATATTTTTTTACCTCCACTATCACCACTGCATACATTGACATATGTCGGCTCAAGGGACTTGTCCGTACCTATGTATCAATAATTATGCGGAGAAAGTTAATTTCATGAAATAGTTAGTAAGTTAAATCACTTATCTGTACCATTCTTAACACCAAAAGCGCAGTAAGTGGTCGATTTGATCTGAAGACTCCCAACACCCGCATTCCTTGTCCCGGAAGAACACTTTTTTTGGCTGACAACTTTCAATTCGGCTTTGTGAAGCTGATTTGATATTTTGCCCGTTTCCGTTTTACCCCATCCGACTACCTGCATATTAAAGTTTGCTTATTTATTTACGATGCATTAAGTACAAAATTCTTAGCTTACTGTTCCTATCGACCCGTCGCCCAACATCAACTCCTCTTGCGCCGAGTTTATCGACTGTGGAAAGCAAATTGGTCGAACGTGATACCCAATGCCCACTGCCTCCTTCAGTATCACAATCGCAATATCAGAGTCAAATCCGAACGGAGAGTAGGACGGATGAGTGATTATACTCGCCACTTCCTTCGTTTGAATGATATCGTCAACTTTCTCCAGGTCGAAACGGCCCACGTCAAACCTGAAGATGGACTCGTTCCGTTTGATGGAAGATTCCGCAAATGTGACGCAGTGAGCTGCCGTCAACACAGTTTTCTTCGATATTAACGTCCCCCCGCAAATGTATTCCCACGATGTGGACCCACCTGATTTTGTTTCCTGTTTTTGGAAGAGCCCCGCATGCCAGGGCCATTCACTTTTGAAGGTTGGAGTACCCGACGTAATGTAGGGGACAAAAACCTCATTCTTTCCACCACATTCGGGAGCGCAATTAAATCCTTCCGCATTGCCAGACCAAGTTCCGTCCTCTTTACACTTGCGATAAATGCTGACCAGGCTGGCCGTAGATTCGTAGTACTGCCTGCACGAATATTTTGCCTCTGCTCCAACTGGTTGAGGAATGTCGCACCCGTTTACGAAGACCTGTTCAGATTTGGTGGAGGTGGATTTAGTTTTTGAAACACATTCGAGAACGAGACCTTCCGATCTGGGTTTTAGTGGTGGGCAAGCGTCTGTTTTCTCTGGTGAAGTGAAAGTCGAGGAAGGAGTCACACTAGACGTGGTTGTAGTTCGAGGGGTCGACTTTATTGTGTCGTAGTCATCGTCATAGTCGTATTCTGCCTCGTCGACGGCAAGGTCAGGATCAAGTTGTGGCTGAGATGGTCGAATTTGTGAAGTTTTGCGAGTTGTTGTCGAGGGTCTTGGCGTCGTGGTAGTTGTTGTAAATCTTGATGCGGTGGTAGTCCTTTGAGTTGATATAGTACTGTCTGGAAATTCGTACCTTGTGGTGGTAGAACTTGGAATATTCCAACCGTACTCGAGATGCTCTGGTCGTGATGTCGTTGATGACCAATGATGATAACCAGGTGTTGTCGTCGTCGTTGTGGTTCGTGGCGTTGGGTGGGGTATAATTTTAATCGGTACTGAAGAATGCACACATTTCAGCTTGTGGTCAAAATCTCCAATCCAATAACCATCCTCACAAATCCACTGGGAATAATTTCCGTCCGTGTTGTAAAAGGGGGGTTTACACCGCAACACTGCAACCGAGCCGGAGGGAACTTTTGGGTGGGTGGTAATGCAACCCCGAGTTTCGGCAGGACTTCTGTGATGTATGAAGCAAGAAAAGATAAAGTTTTCAGAAAGCTGCATTTTTAGCATAGGACATTGTTTCTGGTCATTTCTTATGTGTGGGGTAGGAGCGACGTCGTCTTGTAATACGTCGGAATCCGGAGTGGTGGTGGTTCTAAATGTCGTCGTTATTTGGTGATTATTTAAAGGGATTCTTTGAAATTGGGTATATTTGTTGAACAATGGGAGGCAGTTTTGGGGGAATGAAGCTGACCATTCTCCACTCGAGGTACATGTTGATGGCTGCTTTATACGGATTTTTCCTTTGGTGCATGACATAAAAACTTTCCAGCCAAATGGAATCCTGAAGAAATTTTTGGAATTATAATTTAGAAATTGTAAATATATCGATGGTTTTATCAACTACACTTTTTTGCTACCCTTGCGAAGAATCCCAACATGATCTATGAGTTGGTGAGTCTTCATCATCACATTGTTCAATGACGAGTTCGGCGTCGTCATCTGTAAAACTTGGTCTGGGACAATGGATTATGGAAGAAATTGGTGCTTCAGTTGGTATGACTTGGCCATAGTGGTTTGGCGAATAAATTTGATTCGGCTGTTGATACCATCCTCCATTTCCGAAATTATTCGGATAAGCTGCATTATTCTGATTGTTCCATCCTATACCAGGATTTCTTCCGGGGTGGTGGTGATGATTTTGCCCCCAACCATGACCACCACCACCTCGATGATGACCTCCTTGATGACAGTTTGCTATAACTTAAAGTTTAGGTGAATGTATTTATTATATGCTGAATGAGTAATTATGAAAAAACGATTGGTATACCTACTAAAATCAGTTCAATTGGAATTATCCAGTAACTCATCGGGTAATATGTTCCACAAATTGTTTCGTATATTAAAAACCAAAAACCAAAGCTATGCACGCTGTTCAAAATTTATGTGCGTAGTCCAAAATTTTAAAAAATGCACAGGTTTCCATAAAACAAATCGGTAAAACCACCTGGTACACATAATAACGTTATAATCTAGTGTTCAGAAAAAAATGTTATATGTTTTCATATATATACCCATGTACCCGTAATATGTACGCAGGTACCTTTTAACTGGTAATCATCCAGTCTAATTATAAAAAGGTACATTAACCTAACTATTAGACTCAATGCCACATATATGTACGTTAATAATATGCATAACACTCTCTCAAAGTGGAACACACATTTAATGCTACTACAAAATACATGCATTTTTCCAATATTTTTTTTATTAAGAGTCGTATCAAGGTATTAAAAGATAATAACTATACATCGCAGTTGCATTGATAAGAAATACTTTCGTCTACATACATATAATTACTTGTAACTTAATAATCTCTCCAGTCAATTTAGCAGTATGACGGTAAAAAACTAACAATATTGACAACATATCTGTAGTTTCACCTCAAACCTAAAATGTACAACGGTGGTACACATAATTCATTTCTTGATCGAGAACACAGAAGATCTACAAAGATGAGTTGAGTTAATATTGAAAAAGATAATTAGTTGGAATTACCAATAATTAATAGTTTCACAATCTTTTTCATGAGTATGTTGAGTTCAATTTCTGGATTTTGGCCAAAGACATATTACAATCTGTTAAAGGAAGCTATAGTTGCTTACAAACTTTTGAACATTTTTGTGTCACACTTAATTTACTTGAAACGTAAATAGGAGTGGACACTCAAATTACAATTATAACAAATATATTATCACAATAATTTACTACATAAGTACTACTATATTAAATCACCAATCCCCACGTAGCTTACATAAGTTAGGATGTTTAAAAAATTTAATATAGACGGGATGACACTTTTATAATACCAAATAACTGTCGCCTGAGATCTTGTATATGTAAATGTTTTCACTGTTTTTGACACATTACGATTGTCACAAATAAATCGAGAAGGAACACGGAACCAATTTGCAATTTATAGTGCCAAAAACCATATTTTTCGCACGTTCCATTATACGGTACGATACACACCATCCAATTAAGAAGAAGACGAAGCTACAATAAGATGTACCTATTATTTTATAGATATGAATTTGGCCATCAAATATTCATGTCACTAAAATCGTCACAATATCAAAATATGTATAATCTACGAACTAACAAAGTTACAAGAGTTGTTGTTCAGCCTTTTAATGTTCATTGGATATTTTGCTGGTTGCGTTATTGCAAATTTCCTGGTCTTCAAGATCATTCCCACAGACGGAATATTCACGAAAGACATTTAGTCATGAGCTTATATAAACACGCACAGTATAAAAATGACGGTGGTCAAAGTTTGTTTATAATTTTAAAACAAAATTAATAAAAACTTAGTCAAAATAGCGTCTGAATTTCAAAGTCCACAAAAAAATTGTTCTGATCTAACCAAACATCTCCGAATGCAGGTAGCATTCATTCTACAAAAGAACCAAATATTGCATAAAAGTTGGATCATCCCAGTCACGACCAACACTGCGCTGCATGTGATTAGAATTTTTAAATATTTTTCTTGAGATTGCACCTGAAATTATGGAATAAATTGTCACATATTTTTAAAAATTAAGAAATTTTCCGATTGCAATTATAACCCACATACCTCCTCCACAATCCCTGTCGTCCCTCCCAGCAATTTATTAACTTGGTCCAATAATGGCATCGTTGTAGGAGCTGCTTTCAACCATTTGACAAGCGTTTCATGTGTTTTAGCCAGCAAAATTCCAGAAGCAGCGATTAATATTATGGCAGTCGTCTGGAAATCAGTAAAAAATTGTAGGTTAATAAATAATTCAACAAAGCGTGACAATTTATTATTCATAAACAAATGCACAAGTGCAGTGTCACCTAACGTAAATCCCTGGATAAAAGTATTCATGAATTCAATGACACATTCATTTTCAAAAATTATCAAGTGCATAAATGTGCATTTATGTATAAGGAAATAGGATATAAAAATAAATCATCTTGCACTCTCGTCGATGCGAAAAGGAAAAATTTCATTGTAAACATGCAAGCCCTTGACCTATTGAAATTCAAGTGCTTTATACTACGCCATACGTACACGCAGTTTCTGATGGTTTGGTACTCATCCATATCGTTTAATAAAAGTTACGTTACAATAAAAGACCAAGGAAGAACTGAATGAATTGCGTTTTCCGCTTAATAAAATTTAATGAATTTGCTTGGCACACATGAGCCATTGACTTAACAAGACTGTCTCGTGACGAGATTATAAGAGATGACTGACCAAAATTACACTGAATTTTATAAATGTCTGACTCGCTGTGTCACCACGCATTTAAGAAATCTGTCAAATATTGGCTTGGCTCATTAATATTCAAGATTTCTTCCATCTCCATATTTGCAATACTCTTAAAATCACAATGATTGCTCACCATCGACAAAAGTGCGATTACTTTCAGCCCGGTGGGGACTTTGGGGACATTTTTCTCGAACGTGCCACTCGACCTGGACAATTCCTCCCCACAATCGGTAATGATAAGCGAGCCGCTACAGCTCGTGGATGAGGTGAGCTTATCATGCTCGGCTGCCGCAAGATTAGCGTGACACTGCAAGTGAAGGTGAAGTGCTTCAGAGTCTACAGACTTTAAAATGCTTCGGTCAACTTGATCCATTTTTTAGCGTGTTAACTTTCTTCTTCCGTAAATACAAAATGAGATCACGACACTATCTCTTCACGCGATACATAAATTAAACCGACTAGATTCGATCCCCTCTCACTTCCACAAGTCACAATTACTCAATATGAATGACACGAGATAAATATGTTCCACGCAGCGTTTAATTTCCCGTTTTCCTATTTGTCAAACCATAACGTAACCGTTTGACACGTTAACCGTTCTCCCATTGATTGAACGAAAGAAAAACAAGCAAACCTTATCAATTAAACAATTCCCTTTAAACAATTTGCTAAACACAAATGAGGAAGTTATACTCCAAGTAAGTTTCTGTTACGGAGTGGATTGTTCAGAGTATGTAGTAGACATGAGCTGTGTAAAAGGAATGTTTCCCATGCATTTTGATCATCGTCGTATAGTCAGCAGCAGCAGCTTTACAAATATACACTTATTCTGTTGCTGTTGTAATAGGGATTTCAAGTAAAAAGATGACTTCACCCCTCTTCGTTCGCATTCACAATAACATAGCACATTGGTTTTAGTTGCGAGCATAACGTTAAAACCATTGATGCAATGCATAATAAGACGCGCAGAGAGAAGGTGGCTTGGCTTTGCTTGGTCACGTTATTGGCCACCCCTTTAAGAAGGTTGACTTGAATATGCATAACATCGTCATCCATGTCTGTTAAGAGTCTCAAGAATCGTACATACTTGGTTAAATGGCCAAGTGGTTTTTAGCACGCGTTGGATGGAAGTCTGTAAGTAATACGCTGAGCAGAAGAGGATTATGAGCGTATGTTTTTTGACCGATGGCAACGTTACGTCGAACGGTCTCTGAGAATAATGTTGTGACGATGATGCATATTATTTTATGTATTTGGTGACTAATACGTACGATGCATTGTATTGTTGAATATTGCCTATTGTTGGGAAGGAGTGGAAACACGTATGCAAAGTTGAAAGGAGGAAAGTCATGGTCATATGAAGCGTTCGGAGTCCAAGTTTTTTTATGCGGCCCGGTTATTACTGGTATCACGCGGTGATTATTAAGTACACGGTTACGAATTCGTCAGCCCCACATGCAATAAAATAAAGCAGACTAGTATAACTAAATACATATGTAGATATGTACATATAAGCACAACCGGAAACTTAACGAGATGAGTGGACCAGCATAAGGTGAGTGAGTAGTGATGCTACTGCTGGAGTCGTGAACTTTAACAAAAGAGTAGCCATGTAGTTAACAGAATTTGAACAAAGGGTAACAAAAGCCAAATGGAACTCGATTTTAGATCTATTCTCATTTTCAAATTCACAACTTTGCATAGTTATTAGGCAAAACCTTCAGTAAACCAAATACTTAAATGTTGAGTAACACATCCGATCAGCATAGCTTCTTGTGGTAATTATATACTCATTAAAAAGTCGTAAAAGTTTCATCTTGTGGTAAAGAATGAGTACAGATTATAATAAGAATGAAATGTTGGCACGTGATAATTGGCCCCATGAATGTATCTGCTTCTAACGGGTTTTAAAAGTATGATGAAATGAAGGTGAAACCTAAACTTCTTAACGAGCTGAGTTACTAGGATGGATAAAAATTTGGAATAATAAAGAAAGAATGTATGCCGTACTACTTATACGTAAACTACTTTGGTTCTATAATTCTTTCGTTTAAACAAACTCTCAAGTTTTTAAAGAATTAGCACATCTAATTTGAATTACTACGCTAACTACTGAATCTGAGATAAGAAATTACAACTCAACATGTCAAATTTTCCCCGTAGAAAAATAGCGTTAGCGAGCACACGTAAAAAGTGCGAAACAAATCCGTGCAAAACAAAGAGCTTTTCCGGGTTCAATCTGCTCCGCAAGAAATCGCAGGATCAATGGCGATGCTGCATCCATTCATGAATATGCAGTAGGATTGCGAGCCCTGTTATCCGGAGGAACTCGAGTCTATGGCAATTGATTGTGGAGAAAGTAGGTTGAGACAAGGCTCATACTTTCACTTTCTCTCCTCCTCTCTTGGAGAGAGCAAAGAGTCCGCAAGGGACCCGACTGACACGAAAGTAAATTGCGGTAATTATGTAACGGACATTGGCCCTCCCAAAAAAGCTAATCAACTCGGGTGCATAATTTAGTAGCAGTTCACTGGGAACAATTCACTATGATTTCTCCTTTTTCTGGGGAGAAAGCTGTCCAAAAAAGGTCCTTATTTTCCACGGGGTAGCTACCAGCTTGCCTAATCATGGTGATGATAAGCCCCTGTTCCGGGTGCGACACACCCACACTGGCCAGAATACTGGCTCTTTTCGAAGCGGTGGGTAAAATTATTAATCCCATAAACTCAATTATAGGTGAACAATTTTACTTTTTTTGACAGGTATCTGGAATCGCAACAATAATAAAATCGGCCTGGTGGTACTGGTTCTTTAGAATTCCGGTCAAGCAGAAAAGAAGGAATTCCATTCCAGAACCCATCATAACAAGACATCTCGACGACAGTGGAGAAAATCCAGAACCTGGAGGAGAAAGTTTGGGATTAGTGGATCAACTTCCGTTTGACGGTATTCCTCCAACAGTGTGTCAAATTCAACCAGATTTTGTCACAAACAACACTGCAGAGATAGATTCGATTGCAAGTAGTGCGAATGAGGAAGCAAATGCCGACAGTAAGTGAAATCTTAAATTTTCTTGTATAAAAATTAATGTGCATCTATTTTTCAGACGTTCTGTGGACAATTACCGGTCTAGTAATGGGAACATTGAACATTGTCCTGGCGCTTTTTCTCTTACTCGGCCTAGCAAATGTGAACTATGTATTTTTAGTTGGATGGTGCTTATCCTGCCCGATATTTTACCTCTTGGACTGCATCCTGTTCACCTTTCTCTTGAAGCACTGCACAAGCAAGGAACGGTTCGAGAGATGCAAATCTCACTACATTGCATCAACAATTTTCTCCTTCATTTTCAACTCGTATTTTCTATGGGTCGGCATTTCCGTCATTTATTGGTGCAATTGTCGAAGGGATCCGTTCGACTGCAAATTTCAGAGAGATTACTGTCACTCTTTTAACCTAAATTTTTCCGGTGGTGCGGGGGACCGTGGACTTGAAGATGGCGGCGGTGGTGGGGGCGAGTCCAGCTTTTATGACCTTACCGAAATTTATCATCCTTTTGGAACGGCGAGCTTGTAATTATTTTATATCTATCAACCAAGCAGAGAGAGAGATTATTACACGGGTGAAGGGCGAATGAAATGAAAGGGACATAATTTTTGACCTGACCTTATCCTCTACAATTTTTACTTTTTGTGATAGCATATCTATGAATAAATATGAAAGTATAAATTGCTTGAGCATGACAAACAAATACAGATGATTATTATGATTCTTATACAAATTAAACCTAAGTTTTATCACTCAAAAATCGTGAAAATTACACGTACATTTACTTTTACAACAAATGTTATAAAAATTGATTATAAAATAATAAATACAAAAATTTCAACTATTGAAAAACAAACGAAACGAAATGTGAGGTGAAAGCTCGTCATGAATATCTCAGTCGATCGATATGTACAATCACATATTACTAATGATTAATAATTTATGTAGTTTCTTATTCTAAACTGGTCGCTGCAAATTGACCCTTTTTCGAAGTACTTCCAGACAAGGAATAGAAATCTGTATAAATCAAACAAAATAAGTCTACGTTATATTTAGCAACATTATTATTACGCAGTATGAAAATATCTATTTCGAATTTTATATCGTACCGGAAAGTAATCCAATTTAACTATGGACAGATTTTTCATCTGGAGTAACCCGTAATACACGCTGATATCAGTGATTCTTGCGGTTGATGGCATTGTCAACGGTGCAGCCATAATGCTGAGGTATCGAAGTTCTGCGAAAACATGCACATTTATTAACTCTACAAATATATTTGCATATTTCGCAAAAATAGGTCTTTAAATGGCACTCATACCTTTTAAATTACGGATGGAGTCGACATTATATCGCCCAATCTCTGCCTGGACTTGTTCTTCGCTATACTTGACGAGGACGGAACAATCGCTAATCCCTGTGAAAAGTGTATCAAGGGAGACCGACGTTTGGAAATCGTACCCAAAACAAATGTCTAGCATTTGCAGGGTTTTAAGAGACTTGAAAATCGAAACTAGTGCTTCCGACGAGGTTACAACTACTTGCGTCAGTTTCCTCAAATTCGGAAAGCAGTTTCCCATCCGTTGAAAAATTGCAGGGGATCCGACTTGGTATGGAAATATGATATGCTGCAACGTAGTTGAGTAGCAATTTGGTGGAAATATATCGTCGAAACTGTCCCAAAGACAAATTTCTAATCTTTGCAGGGATGGGAATAATTTTGCATATTCCAAATACTTTGGTGCACGTCCAAGCGCAGATAAATACTCGAGACAGGGAAATACTGGAAATTGAACCTTCTGCGTGATAAATTGATTACCCAGCACTTTACAGTTAATCAGTCGAGGTCCACATTTTTCAAAAAATTCTTGTAAAGCCTCTGTAGATAGTTCGGATTGCTGAAAGTAAACGTCCAACCGTCGCAGGTTCAGCCTTCTTTTGTTAAGCTCTCTCAACTGGGAGTCATTTATGGTAATGTGCAACTTGAGATCTCGCACCCCGTCGGGCAGCTGGGTGGATAAAACTTCGCCAAACTTCGTAAGAGCGGTCAGACTCATTTGCGTATTTCGTACTGTACGAGACACACCGCGGAGGACTTTAAGGTCAAGGATTTCTAATTTCGGAGATATCCTGAATAATGTTTCCAAAAGGGACGCCATTTCAGTTTGCACGACTTCAAAGCAGTCGAGTCTCACGTGGAAGATGAGTTTTCGCAAACGACCCAGCACCAGGTCGGGAAATTCCTTTGGAAATTTGAGATTGCATGGGTTCACGATGTTAAGGTCGAGAACGGAAATTGACCCCCCACAGACGTGCAAGAGTTCAGTAAAGTATTCATCATCATACGAGTCCGAGCAAAATTTGAAGTTTTGGAATGGGATATTGGAACTTGTTTTCATCACTCGGATAAAAAGGCCAGAGACTTTTCCAATGAAATTCCGCTTAAAAACTATTCTACCTCGTTTTGCTTTGTAAACTCTGGTCGCAATTCTCGTCCAATCTTTGCAAACTAGACGGAATATTTTGCAATAGTGCCCCAACAAATCAGAGTCCATTGACAGAAGAATATTCTCCACCACCTAACAATAAAGGCAAATCAATTAATCATGCAATAATTGAGCAGTGGGTGCAAAAAAGTTGGTCAAAAAATAATATTTACATGGTCCATTAGAAGAGGATGTGGTTGGAATTTCATTTCAGCCGACATGGTCATGTTTGTAGATTTACAAATACAAAAGCTCTTTAAAACTTTTGATTTGATTTACTTGGTAATTACGTCTAAAAAGGTAAAAAATCAATCCTGTTCGAGCTCGTTGGTTTCCACTTCCAATGGAGAAGATAATGTTCCAACTCCAGTTTTTAAACTAAAATTGAAAATGCTAGTTAGAAACATTGTGTGTAAAATAATTGCAATTTTTAACGATAATTGAACTAATCAAAACCAAAACTACTCATATTATCTGACCAATCCGCGTGTGTGGCATGCAAAAAATACATAAAAATACCGGCATGCACCTGTGCTGTGCCGTATAATATGCGTTAAGCGTTATCACGACAGTTTATGTAACTCCAGTTTTTTTATCGGATTTCACGTTAAGGTCAAATCTAATAATAAGAAAGTCACATTCATGGGAAAATATATAATTTCCTGGCAGTGTAAAGGACGTCTCATCTGACTCGCATGACCTAACTACATATTTAAAATTACTGGTTGTGAAAGTAAATATATGTACACAAAATTATCCTTTGCAAAATTTGGGTATTTTAAAATTTTATATAAAAAGTAGAAAAAATGCAAAGAGGCAGACAGCATTATTTCTTTAGCAAGTGAGACTATGTAAAAGTGACCTCAGCAGTCATTTTTTGCTGGTATTTCTACGAACTTCCTTGCTTGAGCAACTTGCTAAAAAGATAAGAAAAATGACTCACTAGATTTAGAACTACTTACTATCAGACATTTGCTACTTCAATCCAGTTCTGAAAGTGAAAAACACACTCAATTTTCTCCAGTGTGCAGGAACAGATACGATCAAAATATGTACAACTCGAAATTTATGTGAGAAAATTCACAAGCCCACGAGTGAACATTGGGCATGTGCTACCCAAAATATTACACCAGTTTACCTACCGGTGTACCTAACTCATTAAAATCCAAAGTTGTTCTTATATTTTTTGTGTCACTTTACACACAAAATTTTTGCTGTGTTTACGTATTGTTTATACAAACATACAGAAAATTGTATCAAGGGCAATATTTTGGAAAAGCTATGCCAGGAGGATAAAAATATCAGTAATATGCGACTCATCCTTCCTCATTAAGAATTTGTTGCTGTTTTGTTAGGTCTGTTTTGACGAGTACGAATTCCAGTCGCAAAAAATTACACGTGTCGGAAATAGGGAGCTTTGTTTGCTTAAGACTTATGTACCTAACTGTGTTTTACATGTCAGGATTTTGCATGAAAACTCATCCTCAGATAGAACAACAAACTGGTAAAAATAAGTTTATTAGTAACAGAAATCCAACTTACTACTTAGGTATGCACTTTTTTGCACTCTAATGTTACTGACGTCTAATATAATAATCAGGATAATATTATAAGATTTTACAGTAAAATCTAGATTAAACTAGATTTAAAGTCCATTCAGAATAGCTGAATATTCTATTCCAATCCAATTAAATTCTATCATATTTGCAACCAACAATTAAAATCAATAGTTTCTGCATGATTTTGGCATAAGTACACTGGCATTGTAACTCTAATAAAGAATGGACTCTCGTTTTGTACCCACAATACAATGTCTTCCATCCCAAATAAATATAACCCTGTCTCCTTTCCTAAATAATAATACGCTATGATTGTGATACACAGCATCCGGAGGTTAAGTTGATTACATTGAATTAAATGCGTGTCAAACCTCTCACATCTCAAAACAGCCCTTGATCTCGTTCGTTCGTAGTGCACATAAACATTGCTAAGAGATCATGTTGTTGTTTTTCTAGTGAGAATGTACCACAAATTTTGCAAAGCGGAAATTTACTATCTATTTATGTAAGTACAATGTACAACATGATGAGACTCCGTTCCACTAAAAGCAACACGAGCACGACGTATTTATTTATTCCATGTCTCACTTTGGTTTCGATTCAGATTCGACAGATTCTCAAAATACGACGTAATTTTAAAACTGGCCACCTTTTAGAAATATAAATCTTACAAAAAAACATGAATACTTACGTATTAGCAGTGGACTATTGTACGCAAAAATTCTCTCTCTCTCCTTCAATAAAGCATGTACACACGACCCGATAAACTGCGAAGATCTGCGAATATTTTGACAACACGGAAGTCGATTCGCTGTGCAAATCTGTACTCAAATTTAAGCAACTGACTTTCCGATTAGGATGACACTTTCTATTTATCTTGTAAACCACTCACCCTGCAAAAAATGTGTATGTAGCATGTAAAATCAAACACCATGTTACATTTGCTTCTTCAATGTAACATGCGAAATTGTACGTAATATGCACTATATTTTATTATATGTGGACAGTCTAATAACTGCAAAGGCTAAAGCTAAACTGAGCCAAGTAACAGGCCTGCGACGGCAGATGAATAGAAAAGTGGACTAAAAGTCATAGGAAATTCCTCTGCCAGAATAGCCATCCATCCATTTGTACATACATATGTAAACGGAAAGAAGAAACAACATTATTATTTTACCAGTACAAAACAGACTCAGATCTCGTAAAGGAAAAGAACAAGTGCATTAAACTTAACTTGTTGCGTCGTATTATACTCTCGTGTATTTACAATTTGCTGTCTAATAATGATATTGATGAATGAATGCACATTTGCTTCTATACACATGCAGTTTTGCTAAATGGGCAGAGGTGCCCTATCCGAAGCATGAGATACAGGTTCATGTACTCTCATCTATTTTTCAATCAACTTAAGGCTATTAATGTTTTAATGTGTGGAAGTTGTGGTGTGGTGTAAAGATAAAACTATAAAACTGTTTATGTGTTTTTAGGAGGTAGAGAAATTGGAAAATTTAAGATTATTGTGGGAGAGAAATATAATAATGGGTTAATTTATATACAAACCCATTTCGAGATTTTATAATAGCTAGACACATAAAATCTATAGTAGGATGCTTGACCTTTATTAACAAAAACATACTAAACACTCTCAGACAATAGGAAGAATGGCAGTGCTAAAATAATGCGCAGCATCACGTGCGGAATAATATTTACGCGAGTCAGTCGTTTAATAGCGTCTCATGTTGCCTCCCGTTCTCATCAACTACTTAATTAATAATACAGTAATTAATATTAGTAAATCATGAATTATAGGTTTTTATAGAAAACTTGGAAAATGTGAGTTATATAATTGTCCGGTTTTTATCGCAGGGAATCGTGTTGTTGTCAAATTATTGTTTGCGAAGGAAGATGAGAAAAAAATCAGGTTTGTTGACTACAGGTAGGGTAACTTTTTGTATAGATTGATACATAATAGGGAAATATTGTTTAATAAACCGGTTTAAATTACTGCGAAGATAAAATAGGTTCAAAGTCTGGCCCGAGGAAGGTGACAAAACAATAAGAAACCGAGTCTTCAATAAGAATACATTGGGGGTGATTCCTTAATGTAATTCGCATAGCAAAATAGGTTACGACTGGCACGGGATTTTAGCGAAGATTTTGTCAAATACTTAGGATTTTTACAAAGCTTGACCCCTTTGTTTTTCTTCCTAAACTACTTAACGAATACAATTGTGAATGCTCTCATCGATTCATGCCAGAAATGTCAAATGTTAAGGGTTCGGTTCAAAATATTTGAGTGAAAGACAAATAACAGTAAGAGAAGTAATTTAATTATGTCAATAAAATTCAGGCTCAATTTATTCAGATATACCGATACCATAAATTATGATATGATATATGTCGCATAATAAATATAACATGATATATAATTCGGTCAAACGTGACATTTGAACAAGCTAAATACTGACTACTGTCATTATATGTAGCAGAGAGGTAAGAATAGTTTCGGAACTTTAGTGGAAAATACTGCAATGAATGAACATTTTCATAATAATGATTTAACACTTTGTGACTATTACTCACTCGAAGCACACTGGGATTATTGAATATGGAAGGATGGGAGCGATGGCTTCAATTTCTAGAGCGGTGGCCATACAGTCACCAGCTTCTGAGCATTCGCCCAGAGCTTCCAACACTTTCCCCAAGTTGTACCAAGTGTGGTGTTCGTACGGATCGAGTTTGAGGGCGTCTTGAAGAGTTTTCTCAGCAAGACGATGTGATCCAAAGTAATGTTGCATCAGGGCCAAACTTTGCAGAGCTCGAATATGAGTAGGACGAACAGCAATTGCGCTTTCGTAGGCAATTCTTGCTTCAGAATATTCTTTACAATATTCAGCAACCTGGCCACGCTAAGGAATTATACAATTGATTACATGTATGTTTAAAAATATATGCATAATTTTTTTCAATAATTCGAAAACTAACATAGTAAAGGACATCGGGATGGGTGTAAGAAATCTGAGAAGCTTCATCCAGCGATGACACTGCTTGATTGGGCTGGTCAAGTTTTAAATAAATATCAGTAATCATGAGCCAGATATTGATTTGAGCGGCCCATGCCAATTCACTTTGTGTAGTGGAATGCAGTACGGAATTCTGCAAAAGAGCAAAATTTTAATAACATGGATGATTTGTCTTAGCTACATAAAAGTGCAGTTCTTACGTGGATAGAAATTGACGAGGCAATTTCAGAAAGAGCAGCATCAGCTATGAAAATAATTATGCTTATTAGTTTTATCATGGAAAGTTAAACATGAAATATAGCAAATTATTTCCCGAAACATATAAAAAACGATTTAAACATTTGACATTTTGGAATAAATAATAAAAGTCTAACCTCTGAACCCTCCAGTCAATGTAGCCGTATTAGTGGAGGATCCGGTCATGGATGGTGCAGCTCTAAACGATGCTGCAGCTTAATCAAACAAAAAATTCATATAAATCTCGTCATCCCGACAATGTAAAAATCAGGTAAATGTAAGAAAAGATTTTGGACTCACAAACAGATTCTTTGTCGGTTGGTGACGGAAGCTGCAAGGTTCCCATTCCACCCCCTGGATATCTTGAGTCTGGGCTGTCACATCTCAATGGGAAGTTGCCGTCGTCAAACAATTTCTTCCAAATTACCAACATTTGCTTTAAAGTTCCAAGAGCAACCTGTAAATAAGTAAGTGTCCCATTTTATATATTTATATAGTTATGACTTTTAAACAGTATTATTTTCAATGGAATTTAGTTTGAGTAATAGAATGTCACCTCTGGTCCCAAAATCTTCTCTTCTAGAGCAGCTTTAAGTTGGAGAAATCCCAAATGTTCAGGATATTCGTCCAAAGTTTCCTCAACGATAGCTAATCCATCGGAATAACTCTTTTGCGCAGATAACAGGAGGACGACAAGTTGGAGAGTTGGAAGATGAAATGGAAATACTCGAAGTGCTCGGATCGCAACTGCAAACGCTTCATTCGTGCTCCCCTTCCACGCATTTATTCTCGCAAGCCAATGAAGCGTTAAATAGTCATGTGGATCTAGTTCTGATGCCCTATGGGTCAGCAATATCAAGAATTACATAATTAATCATACAATTTTATTATTAGAAAACAATGGTTTTCCTACTCATGCATGACTCCTAAGGAAGCATCCAATCTTTCACATCGCTGCTGGTGCATGAATTTTTCAAATGACTGGAGAAAGTATCCGATGCCTTCGTACAGTAAAACTCTGGATGCCAATTTCTGCTTCCAATCCTCTTCCTTCTTTTTCGCTTGATGAACAAAATCAAGACCAGATTTTACATTCAACCTCGTAAATTGTTCCTTCGCAGCCATGAGGAGTAAGCTAGTGCATTTTGGATTCAATTTATAAGCTTCCACAAGTGTTGCAATGCTTCTTCTCGTGATGTGTCCACTAGCATGGAACGACAATCCATACTGCTTCCATAGGTGGGGTTCTTCGAACGAGAATTTCAGCGCTTTATCCATCGACTCATTTACGAGCGAATATTGCCCCCATCGAGCTGCCGTTAATGCGAGCAGATTAAAAACTGATGCAGCGTTCAAATTTGCCAACTTTCTCGCTTTAGCAAACTCTGGAGCTTGATTGAGCACACCATCCCTCACAACCATCCCTTCAGCCAGTAGAAGCACCAGGAAAACTTCTTCCCACACATTCGCAGGGTCAAATATTTTAGCACCGACGTGATACTTGGGCCGTAGCGTGTCAACACTGATTGTTGGAAGAGAAGACGGATTCCATTTCAAGCGAAGTAATACTTCGACAAGGCGACGGCTAAGGATTAACCGAATCGGAGCGAATAACTGACTCTCTTGTGACCGAAGCATCCAATGTATTCTTTTTACGGCTTCTTCTGAACGGCCATCTTCCAAGAGTAGGGTGGGTCCTCTCCTGATTGCGTAATCGAGGAGGGAGGAAGCCCTCTTTTTTTCTAGAGTGGGATGGTTCGACAAGGGGTTTGGACTTGGACTTGTTGCCATCGGTGGTGGCGGCGCAGTGGAAGACGTCGGCGTACTAGTTTGTTGAGCAACTTTCTCCAATTGTTGAAAATGAGCAATCGCCAGGTCTGCCGATTTCAGATAGAGTCGAGTTGATTCCTTTTTCCTTTCCGCTTCACTCATCCCGTTGCAGCCTTTCCAGGACCGTCCAACTTTCTCGATACAATGGGCTTTCATTGCATTTGCTTCAGCCATCAACTGTAAATTTCGAACGGTTTGGGCAACAGCGTCAATCTGTTCAAACTTTGGAATAAAAATAATTATTTAGTGCGGACTCAGTAATTTACAACTAATTTGCTGGTATGTATACCTTTGACTTTTCTAATTCTTCTAAGGTTTCTTCGAATAGGGCGGACGCATAATTGATTTTTGCGAGAAGAATGTGTGCATCTGTTCGCAGTCCGGACTAGTATTCATTATGAAGCATAATTAGATACAACTACATAGTGAACTACATTTTTCAATATTAATTAAATTCTACCTGATCGCCGGTTTGACTGAGACAGAGGAGAATCGTTTTTTTAACATCGATTAGCGTTGATCTCGCCTTTGAAATATATTTTTCCGTTGGCTGATGTTCCTCCAACCATTGTTCGAGACGTGATTCACCGTACAAGAAATTCATCAAGGGTTCCGCATTCGTGGTTCCTTTCCCTTTGGTAGATTCCAGCAATTCAAGAACACGCTTCCAATCGCCCAACTCTCTCCTAATTTCGACCTCGTTATCACTCCTGGTGGGAAGGGTGTTACTCTTTGTTTGTCTTTGAGCCATTTCGGGTGGATACCGTTACCACAAGGAGTAATCGACCTGTGAAATTATTCAAGAATCATTCGGTTATAGTTTTTAACAAGCTCAGTCCAGCTTTGTTCAGCAAAATAAGTACAATCGTCAGTCCGCAATCGGCATAAAAATACATTATCGCTAGAGAGTCATGAGAGGGCTGCTCTATTTATACTACTTGATGATAACCGGAATTAAGAAATATTAAACAGATTTTCTCGAATCTCAGTTCTACCTATGTAAAATTTGTCGCCAAAATTCTGTAATATGCAATGAAACAAATACTTACCTACTTAATAAACCGTTCTTTGGACTTTGGAATCGTAAACCAATTCGCTCCTGACGGACACACCTGTTTTATTTATAATTTAATTTAAATGCCTGTCAATCAATCAAATCATGATAAAATAACACACTACTTACCTGAATCTTACATGTCATGTGGACATCTTGAAAATAGAAACTCAAACTTCCTAATTTATTATAAGGAAAATCGGGAAAAATAGAAAATGTATGAGCAGTAATTGCGAAATCTGGTTTTTGCACAATAATCCATCTGTCTGTGTTTACCATTACCGCACCCGTTTGAGTGTGGATCGAGGAGAAAAGAAAAAAATGTCAACACAATCCAATCTGCAGCAAAACACGATGCACACGAGGCTGAGGAGACTGAGAATTATTTTTATTGAATTCAAATTTAGTGAAATTAAATTGCAAATATAAAGCCGACGTCTACCCGAATTGTTTACGTGATCTGGATTGATGAGAGAACTGAGAGAAGAACACAACTCAATAAATTGTGGTAAGTGCGAATTGATATTACTGTTTTTGTTTTTACGAAAGGTTTCGTTAGTTAAATTAGTTATGTTGTTTTGCTTGTTTTTCTTGTAAGTTATTGATAATGAGACAATTTGTCTCGTACATTGGTTGGGAGTCCATGTCGCTCATGTCATGTCATCGCGTTGATTTTCAATCTATCCAATCCAATTTGTTAGCTGACATAAAAATCGTTGCGGTTTTTCTTTGCGGAAAATCTAGCACAGGTATATTTAATGTGCATTAACTTTATTTATTCCTGCAACAATAGTATCATCATTTCAGCTTACTGTGTTGTGTAATTTAAGAAGGAGCTACTAAACTGAAGGCGCACCCACGCATACCCTGGTTAAACTTGAACTTGAACCCACTCTGACCACTTTTGGAATTGCTTTGGCTTGACTTCACAATTTAATTTAACAACCAACCAGCCTAATCTTTCTCATTCATATTAAGGATGCTTAGGATTAGTAAAAAGATTAATCGTGTTTGCGTCTTGTCTCTGCGAAGAAGAAGGAGGATGACTTAGGTTTGTCGTGGAGTGGAGAGATTTATATTTATTTCACCTGGATTCTCATTCAGAGTTTGTAATTTTATGGTGATGAAAACGCCTAGTGTGTCAACACCTTTAAACACGGAAAGTTTACCTTTACACGAGACTCTTATTTACCAAGCTCGACCTTGATAAATTCTGATCATTACTGATGGGTAACTGAGTAAAATTTTTACGTACATCTTGTCCCGTTTTGGAATTTTATGTTAAAATCTCGTCTTCTTGCATAATTTTATTGCGTATTGAACAAATTGAGCAGAAATACAATTTGCTAATTTAATGTTTTTTCTTTCTTTCTTTCAGGCCACATTACTTCTTTCGTTTGAAGACATTGAAGCCTCATCTGCTGAAAAGGAAAAGCTGTGTGTGTGGGACGGGAGCGAGTGAGATGATTAGCAGAAGAAGAAGATGTTCCAACAAAGAAAAATTTACTTAATTGTTATTGCTACCCGATACTACTAATTAATTGTTATCATTACTTCCGTCAGTTAACATTAAGAAGTGTGAATTTTTAAACCGACAATGTCTTCCATGAAGAAAGAGGATAATGAGCATGAGAAAAAGTCCGAAGGATTCTGGGAGTCGGACGAATTTTTGTGTCAACGATTACAGGTAAGTAATTGTAAATAAGAGATACAATAACGATCCTTTGTAATTAATGAGGATTTTAATTGGTATTTTTGTATAGGAACAAGAAGTCTTCACAAGTAAAAAGGGTTCTTTGGCGATGGAACAACCATGTTTGAAACGAAGACGAAAAGTTTCCGGAACACATCATGATGCACCACTAGCACCACATCCCATGTTCATTGACCACGTAAGCACTATTTTATAAATATTTTGAATAATAAATACTCTGATTAATTTAAATTTCGAAATGTAACACGTATTCATCTCAATATTTCTTTTAATTTTAGGTGGTTGAGAAAGTGCTTGATTACTCTTCCGACATGATGACCTCCGTGAAACAGTTTCGTCTGGTGTGCAAAAAGTGGAATTATATCGCAACAAAAAAGTATCGCACCACGTATGGACGAATCTGCTTTGAAAATGATTTTAACAGAAAAACATCAAAGTTTATTCAAGTGATGCAAAACTGCTCGGACATGTTATTTGACAAGTTCAAGTTCAGTGGTGGTTTTGTTGTTTATAAACCCTACCAGGGTCATTACGGGTTTGATAAAATTTTCAACGAGCTGTTCCGAATATGTGTCCCGTGGATGAAGACATTGGAGTTTTCATCGCACAACCCATCAGACCTCAAGTTTCCCAAAAACATCAGAAGATATGACTTGTCCAACGTTTCAACTATATCGTTTCACATTTGCGTCTTTTACAATAATTTACAAGAAGAAATGGTTGATTACCTTGCAGGATTGCTGGATATTTCAACCAACTTGAAAACCTGCGATTTCCGTCTAGTCTCTGCCGATCCATCAATGCAAAGCGATGATCAGATAAAAATAATGCAAAAATTTGGAACTGTGATTGCTACGAAGATTTCAAAAACGTGCAAACATCTCAAATTAAACATGCTGATTAATGATAACGTCATTACCTTACTTGAAGGTAGAGAGTTGCAACTCGAGAGTTTGATTATTGATTTTCAAAAAATCGGAATGAGTACAAAAGTGATTGAAAGTTTTCTCAAAAGTCAAAGCAAGTCGTTGCAAAATTTGGAATTTATCGAAGCCCCATTCCAAGCAGGTATGGAATTACCAGAATTACGACACTTATCATTTCTCAAGGTCGAGGGGAAACCGAAAATTCCGTCCTTCAAGTTTGAGAGAGCACTTCCAAAACTAAAATCTGTTGAAATTCTTTTCTACTGGATCTACCAAGATGAAGACTGGTTAAAAAACGTTCTCGTTGACCAGGGACAATCCCAAAGTGTGGTGGATGTTGAATTTCTTTGTGAAATAAATGAAAAAGACTTGTTCATCCTTCATCGAATTACCAAATGTTTTCCAAAGTTAAAACGACTCAGCGTTGTTCTTAATACTCCGACAGCATTATCCATCCTGTTTTGTGAAATGACGTTTCTTGAAGATCTCGAAATCAGCTTCTGTAGAGAATTCTGGGGGTATAGAGGACCAGATAGGATGGGAAAGGTGGACGCTGCATTTTGTGGTCTTCCTGCAGATTTATGCATCCGACTGTTACGACAATGTGACTTCTCGTCTACAGAGATACCAGAAACGATGTGTCGTGAGCCGTCAATTAGAGATCTTACACGTAATTACAAGTTTTTGTTAATCTAGATTGTGTTTAAAACTATAAAGCAAACTTTACTAAATTTATTTCAGAATTGCAAAAACTAAAAATTCGAGGATATCGGGCAGATCAAATCCCTCTCACGGATGTCACTGTTCACTTTGGCCTACTAAAAATGAAAAAGTTGACTCATTTGATTTTGGACATATTTCCGGTATGCAAATATTAATGTATATATATATTTTTAAGTCGGGTAGAAAATATATAACGAATAATATTATTACAGATTTCAAAACAGTGTCTCATGATCCTTGGCCAACACGTCAAACTTCAACTCCTTCCAGGTCCCCCAACCCTTTCATAACCTAAACTTCCGAGGAAAAAATCGCAACCATTTTCTCCATGACGTTTCACCATTTCGACCAATCAGTCTGATTTACAATGCTTACAAGAATTGAATGAATACCTTTATCAAACAATAGTCAAATATAACAATAATAGTACCTTAATTTTTAAATGTTATGTATTAAACGTGATATACTGCTGTCAATCTCAACTACTCAACTATTACAACTACTACGCAAATTTGAAGTGATCTTGTCTGCATAAAATGAATGATAATAAAATAATCTACAGTTACTCAGCGTAATCCAACTTTTGTTGTAGCACTAAGTTCCTTTTACAATGATGGCCAAAATTCAGAAATGTATATAATTATACAATATCCCTTATGCAAATGTATTTTTATGAAGTTGAAATTGATCAATGAATAATATAATGAATGGGTGTCTGGAAAATAAATGCAAAAAACTACAATCATATAAAATAAATGAGATTGTAAAATTGAGATGGTATTGCATGCGTTATTTTATGAATGCCCAAGTTGTATCTCGCTGTCATAAAAAGCCACATTTTTGGATGATAAATTCGGAGAAATCTCGGAATTGGTGATGGATTCGATCGGAATGATGGTGGAGAAAGCAGAAGAAAAAGTACGACACGACAACTCGTTTCTTCTTGCTCCGTCTTGTAGTGAGCTCTTGCTGCTGCTGCTCATTCACTTCATCACAGCAGAAGAAGTCGGTCCTCGGTCGGTATATCTAACTTCGGTAAGTGATGAAATAATTAAGAATATTTATTTTTTAAATCAATTGAAATCTAGACCTACATAGTGTGATCAAATTTTTAGGAATAATTATCTTTAACTAATCAGGTAGAATGTTTTGATTGACTTTACGTTGATAGGTTTGTCATTTCATTTTCCATTGTAGACTACAATTAATTTCTTACTACTACAAATTGTGGTAGGAAGAAATTGAGAAAGTAGGTATTGTCACTGATATTGATTAAGTTAATTAAAGATACTAATTATTGCTGATTTTTGTTATTTATTCAGCCACCCCGTCACCCATTATCCCCCCATTCGTGAAAGAAATCTTGCGACGTTGGCGACGTCAAGTTAGCCCGTGACTTTCCATCACGTTCGAATCAAATCAACCGAGGTAGAAAGGGAAAGTTGTGGCGTAGGTCAAGAAGGGTATCGCGGTCCTCGCCTCGTCTTGTTCCTGCTCCCTTCTTCGGCATCTTGGTTGATTTGATTGGACAATATGTAAGATATGAAATCTTAAATCTTTATTTCGGTTTATTAGTCAATAATTTCTAATGCTTTTGTATTGCACATAATATAATACAGAATACAGCCAGTCCAGCTAGTCAAGTCGGAATCCCAAAATTGAAGAAGATTGGAGTTTTGTATTCTTTGTAAATATCAGTATATGACTTATTGTGTTGACGGGAATTTCTGACTACAATTTATTAATAATAAGGTAATAAGTTATTACTAATAACAAAGGATTAGTATTGGTGTATCGTCTAGTCTGTGCTAATGTCTATTTTACCATGTACTTCCAGATCTATTTCGTCATTTCTTTTCCCGACTAATTTATTTTTCTTAACTAAATGGACCACTTTTCCCTTGGAGGCACCACAAATCGGCATCAACAAATTGGAAACGGAAACTCATCAAAATTCAACTTTTCTTCTGGAGGACGGCAACAACACAATCCATTGGTCAACAATATTAACGGTGGTGGTGGTGGAAATAGCTCTCAACAACATTTGCAGTACAACTTCTCAACTCCAGTTTTCCCACATTCCTTAATTAGACGTGGAGTAAATCCGACGAGTTTTCTTAATCCAACTCCACCAAATCATTTCAATTTCCCGTTGCGATCTGACACAAACAGTAGTAGTTTGAGTGCTGGAAGGGGTGGTGCTTATTTAGGAATAGGAGCAGGAAGAAACAACAATGCCAACCATAATTTGAACAAGTCTCGACCCAATAACAACAACCTAAACAACGGAAATTCAAGCCAAGGATCATCATCAAATTCGTCATCAACAAGAACCCAGCTAGTGCAGGAACCTTCGCCCCAATATAGAATTTTCAAAAGGGGTGACAGCATTCCTGGAATTATGAGCCCGACAGGTGTAAATTCGACTGGAGGGGGAGAAGCTAATAACGACGGAGATAAAATGTCAGACCTACAATTGGGAAATAGTAGTGATGTCGCTGCTGATAAGTTAGAATTGACTGGACAAAATAATAAAGAGAACGACAACACTGGAGGACGCAAAGATATTACAGATCCCAACAGCACTGTAAGTAAAGCTTGTTGTACTATAGTTCATCAAGAGTAAAATACTTAAATAAGGTGTGTTTCTTTAATCAAGGGCTCTGCTACTCAACCCAATAAGACGCCTGTCTCTCAAGTCAGTGACATTGCTCGATTTCATAATTTGACTGTGGAATACAGACTAGTCGGAGAGAAAGGTAACTTAAATAATGAATTACACTAATTACAACATAATTACGTAATAATACTATTTGTTTAATTTCAGGACCCCCGCATAACCCCACGTTCACGGTTGCTCTTCACCTAGGCCAAACTGAAAACTATGTCGGCCAAGGAACCTCCATTAAGCGGGCACAGCATGCTGCGGCGATTGAAGCCCTTGAAAAAACTACGCTGCTACGGCCAACTTCTCGGTCACAACCCAAGAGACCGTTCGCTGGAAAGCGGCCAAATTGGGCTCTTCTACAACTCACTGCATTGGCTGAAGAATTAAAAGAACCAGTTTCCATTGCGCAAAGGCCAATAACTATTATGAATCCATTCCAACGTGGAGACTCTCCCTCCGTCGTTTCAGTTCACGTGGGAGAGAGGATATTTTCTGCGGAGGGGCCAAATTTTAACACTGCGAAAAACTTGGTAAGTCATAAATGTTAACAATAAATTAAAATTGGGGCTCCTTAGACACATAGCTCGCAATAAATTGGTCCCTGGTGGCTGGTTCCCGAGGGATCATCCAAAATAATGGTCCCTGGTCCCCAAGGGACCATCTAAAAAAAATGGTCCCTGGTTCCCTGCGAGCTATGCACTGCACATCTCAAAAAATTCGCTTGATTCGCTTGAGAGAGACAAAGTGAGACTGTGCGCGAATTTTAAAATTTACGACGCGATACTAACTTTACTCCGGAGCCTCACGTCCCCAGATTTTCGCTCGCTTAGAATTGCGAGCTCTGATTGGGTGTTCGAGTGACGGTGATGATGTGCCTTCGCTAACACGAGCGAAATTTCTAACCAAGCTAAGCAAGCGAAATTTTTGAGAACTGTCTGAGGAGGCCCATTAATTAACGATAGCAATTTTTGTTGTAAATTGTGTACCTTTACTATTACTAGGCATTGATGATCGCACTGAAAGCCATGATGAAAGTAAAACAGGAAACCAGAAAACTAGGAGCCGCCGGAGGTGAAGAGGCTGTCAACATGGAAAATAAAAGTCCCATATCTGTCGTACATGAATTGGCCATGAAACGCGACCTGGCTGTTAACTTTGAAGTAATCAACGAAGAAGGTCCACCCCATAGCAAGGTTTTCACCGTTATCTGTAGTCTGGGGGCTGAGGAGGAACACAAAACAGAAGGTCAAGGAGCAACTAAACAAGCCGCAAAAAAAGTAAGCTATTCCCATTATATCAATTATAAGAAAATACGTGGGTGCGAAAAACCTTGCAAACGCACGAACGCGTTCGCCGGGACGGACGGGGGGCAGGACCTTTTTTTTAGGGACCTTTTTCCATAAGGCCCATGTTAAAATTTCCGGGATTTTGTCCCCCCCGTTTGCCGGGATGAAACCGGAAATCGCACCCACGAGAAAATATTCAACTAGAAAACTGTATAATCAACTAACTTTACAATGTGTCGTTTTTAGGTGGCTAGCGAGCTCATGATTGAAAAACTATTGGAAATGCCAATTTACATAAAAGGTCCTGAATCTACTTCCTTAAAAGCGATACAGCGTGGGCTGTTCCGACAGAAGAGTCCGAGAAAGAAATCTAGTGTTCCAGTTGTTAAAGACCTGCAAAAAGCCGTTTCTGTATCTCCAATTTCCAGATTGATCCAAATTGCACACATTCGGAAGTACAAGGTAGAATTTTATTAAAAAAAATAATTACCGTAGCTATCATCTCATTACAATTAATTATAGGAACCAGAGTTTAACTTGATTCATGACTCGTCCACTGTGAATGCCCTTCCCGAGGATCCGATTGCGTTGAAATTAATGTCAGAAAGGGAACGAAGGTCTCTCAGAAAGAAGAAACCCTCGTTTACAATCGAAGTGATCGTTGGACCTTACTCTTCCCAAGGGACTGGTCCAAATAAAAAAGTACGGGAGAAAGCCTCTCTTATCAGATTATTAATTATAACTTAATTATTTCATAATTGTAATTTTTAGGCAGCAAAGAAAGCCGCGGCTGATGCGGTGCTTATTGGTTAGTTATTTTCATGCACTCATTACTCATACATAACTTCAAAATTGTTTGTAATTAATTTTTATATATTTTACTGATGCACAGATATGGGATATGGAGTAAATGAGAGCGAGGACAATGATGCAAGCGGTATTAGCAACGAGAGTAACAATGGTGCTCATGAAAAGAAGTCAGGCGGAAAAACTAGTGGAGAAATGTCGAAAAACGCAAAGTCAAAAGAAAATTCAAAATCTCTTTCCAATAGCGGAGTGTCGGCTCGTCAAATTGGAATTCCAGGGTAAATTGGTATTAATTGCTGATTGTCTTTCTCCTAATTAATTTATTAATCGTTATTTGACAGAATCCTGGTTCTTAGCAGTAGTGAATTGTTAACAAAGAAAGGTTTGTTTTCTTCTAATGTGATGTGCATCTACTTTAAAGTTTGAAGACGAAAAGTAATAATAATAAATGATTCAGATTCGCCAGATGGAAGTCCTACCAAGAGTTCTACAATGGCACAAGAAATGAAAAAGATGAACACTTTGGGTGCTTCTTCATCTGCATCATCTAGTTCGAATTCAACTTTTAGGGACGGGATACAGAAGTTGGCTTACTTAGCCAATTTACTGGATGTGTCAGTTTCGTATTCGGACTTTCCAAAGGTAATTCATCTACATGTGCACATAATATATAATGCAGTCTAAAATGGTTAATTATTTATTTGTTTAGAAAAACGAGTTTCTCAGTGTCGTCAGTATTGGGACAAATCCACCACAGGTAGCGTTTTTTTAGTAACTCCTGAAGTAGCAGTATTTTATTAACTCGATTTAATCTATAGGTCGCTCATGGCTGCGGAGCCACTTTGGAGGAATCGCAAAACATGGTAAGTTATACATATTGATCACATTTTTATTTTCATACATTTAATTCATGATGATATTCTATTCTAGGCTGCCATAAAAATATTGGAAGACTTGTCCAACATTGGACTTGATAACGTCAAACCAAGTGAAAATGGTTCATCGGCATAATAAGGACAATGACGAAACCAATTTCATATTCCAGTCTCACTATTTTATTTATCCTACTGTTTTCAAAACTCATTCGTCTCGATATTATTTGCTAATTAGTATCCTGTCTACGATTATCTCTAGTTAAGCTGAAGTCCTCTTCATTGTTATCATTACGAACCTTCAAGCCAAATTGGGCATGGTTTTAGAACATTATTTTTGTTCCTATTCCATTTTTAGTCAGTCAATATGAACCATTCAAATATAATGCAAGTGATTGCTGAATATTAAGAATTCACACGCTAATATTATGACTTCCATAAAGTGTTAGACAAAAATTAGACAAGCTGTAATAACTGGTAAATTGTGCATAAGTACACTGGTGAAAATGTTGAATGTTTATGAATTTCTATAATGGGAATGGACCGCAAAATAGTTAGTTACTGGATTTTTCTTAGTGAGGCAAATACCTAACAACGAAAAAAATTACTAAGTATGCATTTGACCCACCCCAAAAAAGTGACCATCTGCGATATCTCAGTCATTTCTCAACCGATTTTGATGAAATTTTGCACCGATTATTGTTACATAATATAGAAACGGGATCTGATCCGACTAAGCGATTACGTGATCTTGACCGGAATTATGGGCAAAAATGTAGCCTTAGAAACACATTTGTAATTATTGCTAGTTACTAGCAAACTTTATCAACAGTTTGATACCCACGAATTGTAGGGCAGTTTATCCCGAAAATTTTAAGTATAAATATATCAAAATCCGTTAAGAATTGGCTTAGTTATTCCAATTTGAAGTTCAGAAATTCCTGCTCGTGCTACGAATCATTGAGGGTATTCATTATTTCTTCGTATCCTTAGTATTCTTCGTATCGTAAAATAACTTACGACGCTTACGAGATTTTGTAAGCGTCGTAAGATTTTCTCATCGAAAATCACGTTACTACGCTTACGATTTTTACTAAACCTGACCCCTTGTTTTTTCTTCGTAAACTATTTTACGATACTACGGATACGAAGAAATAATGAATACCCTCATTGTCATTGACAACGACGCAAGACTAATAAATTGAAAACAAATTGCATTCAAAACTGTAAACAGCACAACTAATCGTTGCTTCTGTAACATGCTTGGTAAACTGCGTGAAATTGTTGTTGTTGGTTTTGCACCTCCAGATCAGGTCTTTTGGTGTTTAGTAATCTAGGCCGGACATTTTGACCAAAATGATATAAATCGGTTAAGAAATGACGGATTTATTCAATTTTAAACACCCAGCATTCAATAAAATTATTCCGGGCCAAACTACTGAAAAGGGGTAGTGCAATGCAGTCATCCAATGGAGAATCTAATCACCCAATTAAAAGTTATAAATAAACAAGGTCCCTAAAAAGGGGAAATCTTAGTGAGGGAGTGCAATCACAACTAATAAATAAAATTAGATTGGAGAATTTTTGCATCACCGCTCTCGGTACCATTTTTACTGGAAGCATTAATCGTTTAAATAGAACACTTGCTCCCTCAAAAGGTTCGATGATTTTGCATAGAGTAGCCAAATTAATATATCAAATTGAAATTTGTATATTTTTTTAAACAAATACGTAGCTCATAATTATTTAGCCATTATATCTTACATATCTACCTCAGTTAATTTAACCCACTTCTCGTTCACTACACAGTAAAAATGTATTCCTTCCTCAATTTATTCAATAAAACTAAGAATTCATGCGTATGCAAAGAAAAATTTATACTGCATCCAGTAAAAATGGTACCGAGAGCGGTGATGCAAAAATTCTCCAATCTAATTTTATTTATTAGTTGTGATTGCACTCCCTCACTAAGATTTCCCCTTTTTAGGGACCTTGTTTATATCAACACTTTCTCCAAATCAATTGCAAGTGAAATTCCTTATAATTTTCACTTTCAACTGATAATTCAACATTCTTATCTTGTATTTATGTATCATCTACCGACAAGAAATCTGCATATTTAGAATCCTTTACGAAATATTGCATTATTGTTACAATAACAATTTTTCCTCCAGGGGTCAGGTTGTTCTTTTTTTCTGACGATATGGATCCATTGATTTTGAAGATTAGTTGTAGTACTCAATGTTTATTAGTGAGCAAATGTAATACGTAATAATTAAATACTTTCATGTAAAATCACATTTTGGAGTAACCCCAATGTACGTAACCGTGAATCGATGATGGGATATTTCAAATTGTGATTATTCTACATATTGATGTTTTTCCTCTTGCATACATGCATTACATTTGAAAACTTCTCTGTTGTCCGTGTGGATAATAAATCAATGTCGTAAAATATTCGTTCGGGTCCTATAGTTAATTTATTGTGGGCGATTTTCAAATACTACTGATATCCCATGTCATTGATAACCACAAAGGGTTCATAGTCATTTCTTCCAATGTCGTTCAAATTTTTGTCACCGTAACACTTATCTAAAAAAGATGGATGTTGGAGTTACTTGACTTTCCGTTGCGCCTACATTTCCTTCCGTGGGAGGAAGTGGACTCATATTCTTAGCCCTTTCCTGTGGTGGTGGCGGAATTAGCGGAACAAGTGAAAGTAAACTTTTCTGAAGATTTCGACTTTTTTGCTCAGTCTTTTTGGCAGCAGCACTATAGATAAAACAGCATTACGTACATAAACTATTCTTCACTTTGATGCAACATTTGTCTATAAATACTTACTTCTCTCGACACTGGAAAATTAACGCAATGAGGCTAAAACAAGTCGCAATTGCTCCAACGGATATTGACATTTTGCAGAGAAAGTGATTGACATCGTCTATGATGGAACGTTGAATTAAAACAATGTTCTTACTCCCATTGTAGGACGCGGCGTCGAAGCCTACCAAAAATATTGAGTCACCAGAGGTAAAGCAATAGACTACCTCATCATTACTAAAGAATCTTACGGTATTGAATTTCGAATGTATAGTTTCCTCTACAGATCCCCTTTTTCCCCTGCGTGGACGAGGAATTGTGGTTGCACGACATATTGGAACCTTCGTAATATGCGTATGGAATTTTGAACGTGGAGAACGCTGCTGGACGCATCCATTGGATAAATCTTTCAGATCTGACACCTCCTTCTTTGATGAATTTATCCCAAAATGCTACTGACCATTCTGAAGGTAACCATAATTGTTATTAGATATGACCCTTTAGTTCAATGATATGTAAATATTTAGAATAGGCAACTATTAGTCTGTTTTTACTCATAGGTTTGCTAAATTGCTTTTGCAAGTCTGCTAGCTTGCACTTAGAAGATTTATTCAAGGGAGGAATGTACATGAGGTCTTTCATGCGTGCCTTTCCTGATGCGTGGGCTAGTTTCCAACCCATAAGTTTCTCGTCTGGTGCCCACATTTGTATGTCGTCGGAAAATAATGAGTTGGCGTACCTTCCACAGGGGTAGATGGGACGAGATTTGTTTAATCCTGAACAAGTAATAGTGCTTTTGTGCTGATTATTTATGTACATCTGCAGTGGATAATCTCTACTCACGGTTTGGTCTGCACATGCTGCTGGGAGTAATTGCATGACATTGTTTGTCAAAGATGTGCCCTTGTAATTGCTCATCATCCACGGATAGAATGTAATCTCGCTGGTTTTGATGAAATTTAACAAGTTCGTAATCCATGTACACAGTTCCCTAAAGGAACATTGTTTTAGTAATGATTACAACCATGATTTAAAGAAATTCATGAAGTTAAGAAATTCTCACAACAAAATCATTCCGAAGCTCATGAGATTTGCGACATGTGCATTTAAGTTCGGGATTTTCCTTTATTTTGTCTGCACAAGTCGTATTCGGATGTTCTGTAGAGTTGCAAAACGTGTATGGGATTGTGACCGTGGGAATCGGAGGGAAAACTAGAAGGATGGCTAATCCCATGGCGAGGAGGACAATCCCGATGGGAAGCAGATATTTTGGGAGGGAAAGAAGGTGGATATCTGCCAGCCACGCCGCGGTCCTCTCCTGCTTCCAACGTGACCCTATGTTTATACCATCCCCACAAATTATCATCATTCTATTCGGCAGGTTAAATTATGCCCCTGCCAATCTTTCTACACTTGTTATCCTAAAAGTATTACCCGTATATTTCGATTTGCACCTCGGAGGGGTTGAAAAATAAGACTCGTCTTGTCGTAAACTTTTGTCAGCAGTTTCGCTCACAACTGAAGTCAGTGAGTTTGCATCGGAAGCATTAAATTGATCGCCAAGGCCGAAACTTTCAGGTGGAGAAGAGTCAAGAAATTTCGAGGTTGTGGGGCCCGGAGGTGGTTCACTCTCGCGAAGAGAGCTACTCATAATTCTTGTGCGAAGGAATTATTTTTGAAATTTTGCTTCTGCAACTGGGATTCTTCATTTAGACATTATTACAAAAATACGTATATGTGAATTCATCTTGGACGGTGGGTTGCCTTCGGAGGCATCTCGACAAAACTTTTGAGAGGGTCATACCAAAGGGGAATTGTATTATCGGAACAAGATTACTTCACACTTTATCACTCATGAAGAAACCCAAGGGTTACCTAGATACTAATCGTGTTATCGTAATGATTTCATTCATTTAGCGCAATGTTGCTACTAGTAGACGTGCTAGACATGATCCATGATCGCTGTGTCACTGTCAACGCGTTGTATTTAGTGCACCACGGGATGCTTAATAAAATGTCATCACCAATACAAAACTTATATATTTTATAAATATGTTTGAACAAAGTAAAATTATGAAGTCATAAAACTCACAACTACAAAACTAATGCTCATTTATTTATTTAATGTCTATACATTTTTGTTACATATGTACTGCATATGAATGAATGAACACTGGCCAATTAGAAAAAAACTACTGTTCATATCATCATTTTTAAAAGGTATCTCATTTTCAAGCAGTGATCCTGACATCAGCGCAAGACCTGAACGTTTCCTGGTTCTATAAATGCAAATAATACATCCATAAGAATGCAATTCATAAACACACCAAATCATAAAACAAATGTTACAAATAATTCATATCTGATATTTTTCATATCTGATACATACCCCGCATCCAAGCTCTGTAATAAAAATAGATAGGATTAAGTAAAACAAATCAACTATTTGATAGAATAACACCAAAGAGTCGTATAAAAAATCATAAACTTCTTACCCCAGCTACCACTCTCGCAAGCCCCATATGAATTACCTGCAATAAATAAATTACATAATCAATAAATTACCTAACATCATTAATCTATTATGATATTGTAATTACCAGTGTGGTAATGGAATTGGAGAACACATTGGTCACAGATAAGGCCTTATAAAATATCAAGCAAGGTCAAAGTTTAGAATGTGAATGAGAAGTTTGATCAATGACATCAGTGTGCTATTGGATAGCACCACCCTGACATTTTAAGTATACAAATTTGCTAGAGTTATTTTAAAATAAAAAATTGCTTTCACCTTCGGGGAGCTTGGCTTGAAAGGTTTGAAGTCCTCTGTCGAAAGATGGAATTGGGTATCGAGTCCCTGAACCGTCAGCGAGTTGAAGAACTTGAAAATAAAATAAAAAGTTAGAATTACTTGAATATCGTCGAAATAATTTCAACGGCATAGGAGGTCATTTTCCTGAATATCATTGTATTTATCATTGTATTGTAAATTTGTAATTACCGTGCTCGTCCAGGCATGCCTGTGTCACTGGAACGAGGGGATTGTTATGCTTGCAGAGCCTGAACTCAAAGTATCCTTCATAGTAGAATGCATAAATGACATTAGTAACATTCTTCTACATAAAAAATCAGTGATAAGAACGTACCGAGATGAGATGCCGTCAAATCTACTTCGATATCGATAACCTTTAATCAAGATTCAACTTAAAGGAAATATAATAATTTTTCACAAAATTTAACTCGAGTGTGTACCTGTCCTGCCTTATATTCTGCAACAATGATGCCACGCCCAAATTCTCCACCCCCCTCGTGAGGTCGTGGTTGGGGAACGTTCCATGGATCTCCGCAGATGCCACATTTTCCTCCGTTCACTTCATATTGGACCTGATAAAAATGTTGTTGAAGTTGTGTAAAAATTGGCGCAGATAAATATGTCTATTTAACTTCGTAGTTATATAAATACCTGTGCACCACCACAGAACAATTGATTATCATCGTAGTTCTTGGGTGGGTTGAACTTGGCAAACTCCTGATAACGCCACAGAGTTGCACGACCTGGAGGCCTGTTGAGACGGGCGTGACCGTTTACGCTGACCGTCAAAGCGCCCAGAAGGCAAGCTGCTACAAGGAAAGTACGCATATTTTTTAGCCGAACGTCGTCCTAGTGTCAAAGCTAATGGACAATTGAAAAGACTCGATCTCATACCTACCTGATTTATATTAATGATGAGGTTCAATTCGATAACCGACGTTTTATGACTCTATTTGTCGGCAGATGCAGCAGTTAATTTATTTGCTTGAGCAATAGGTTCACTGTATAATCTTTAGAGTAAATACTACAGAAATCTGTAAATTACCCGTGCTTATCCAAAGTATACATTTTGCTTGCGTATTTTTGGTCATATAAAACTTGAAATCGAATCCCATACTAATCTTCGGTGCTACATGATTATGCCACATCAGGTCTGCGTCACTTACATAAAACAAAGTGTCCAACGGGCGTCAATAGTTTATGATGATGAAATCAATATATAATAAACTTAATTGCGAATGGAAAACAGCGTATGCATTTACGTATAATATAAAATAGGAAAAGACCAACATACGCACACAGATTTTTAAATGTTCCACAACAACTTATAAAATTTATTATTCAAAAACGTAGGAAAAGTTTCATCCAAACCCGAGATAACCTTTTATCACAGAACTGACATTTTTCTCTGTTAGGAAATTAAAGAACCCTGTCATGTCAAGGCGTAGTTCTTCAAAGGTGGAGAAAGCTCCTTTATTGTCGTCTTCCTCGAGTACCTGTTTCTCAATTAATGTTATCTTTTGCCAAGTGAGTTGACGAACTTGTGTCCAGAAGTCGTCACAATTTTCTACGGCTCCTTCTACACAGATGAACCCAGGTTTTCCTGGGAGCGAAAATCCTCTCAGATCCAACTTTGTGGCCGTATCGAGGATAAATTTCCGCTTCTTTTCGTTATAAATGTGATGCGAGTGGATCCAAAGTCGACACATTTTATTATCGTTTGCTTTAGCTCCTTGAGTATTCTGGTCATCTATTTAAAAGAAAATTGCACAACTTCTAAATGAACATTATGAACAACGCCTCTAAAGGTCTTCTCTGGGAAATATTGAATAATTTTACCGTTTAAATTAAGATTTCCAATTTCTTCTGCCATAATCTCTTCCCATTTGTCATTAACCCAATTAACTACACCTAGGACAGATTTGTCGTCTTCATCACTGCTTTCTCCAGGTTTCTTAAGCCACATTGAGAGATCATTGTTAAGGCGAGATTGAATTTTGTCACTCTGCTGCTGCGTATTAACCATACTTGCGGGGCCCAGAAGGAGTCCTTTATTAGTTAATTGACACGATGCAGACAATTTCTCCTTTCTTTCGTCCGGAAGTCGGAGAGAAAGTTGGAGAAAGTCGTTCGGTTTAAGCACCAAAGAAACAGAGCCGAAGATTGGGACCCCATTTTCTAGTTTGAGAGCTACTTCCACATCATCAAAGTGGTACTGGGACGGATCGTACATTGAAGTTAAGAGCTGCAGCTCGGATAACCAGTCGTGATCACACATTCTGCTTACCAATTTTAGTCAGGAAATATATTTTATAGTGTTTTTACGATTTTGTACTTTGCTTATGTTGCACTCCATTTCGATGTCACTTTCTCTTCGCGGTGTCGTTCATGTCGGTCTCTTTATGCATTTTGCATGCATGCACAAAGCCAATACATGCGTCATAAATGCCACATGCATGCATTGTGCGATATCTTGATAAGCATGTAGATATTGGCAATCTACGATATTGGACAAAGCAATAAATTTTCTTGTCTAATTACGTACAGAGTTATGTGCATGTAAATAGTCGCTTGGTCAGATTTGCTGGATTATGATGGCATTCATAATTTGTTATAGAGGGCAAAAAATGCATCAACAGTCGAGCAGTTGGTACAATATTCTCAAGGTTTCATATCTCTTTCAGTGAAATGATGATTGGTAAGTATTTTCAAGATGAGTTTCATATAATGTAAAACATAATAATAAAATTAACTCGTGTCATATAATTGATCAGTTCGTTAACGTAAAAGATGTTCTCTCGCCTCGAGGCAATTCCTCCATTTATGTCCATTCCTTATTAAACGACTTGATGATCCTAGATTGTTTTTGCATGTATCACATCGCAAACGATATAGTAAAACTTGGTATCTCTAGTGTTTTATAACGGCAAACGCTTCCTACACAATTAACGCTTCTTTTTTGCGCTCTTCTATGTATGTCTTGGCTTGTGTGGTGTCTTTGATTATGGATCTATTGATGCCTTCGCTATAATCATAAGTGTTTTTAATATTTTTGGTCATTCGTGAACTTGCTATTTACAAGTGCAGTTATACAAATTTGAGAGTATGCAATGGAGAGCTGTATCCATAATCCGTTTCTGAACCATTTGGTAAGTTGTGACACACGCACTTTTTTAATTTCATAAAACTTAATATTAAAATTTTTTCAGGTGATTCAAAACATTTTAAAATACGTTCACCACACATTCGAATTGAAACAATTGCGACTCTTATGTCATCAATGGAGAGATCTAGCCACACCCAAACTGGTCGAAAAATCCATGGTGGCTCTAAATTCTGGAAGAAAGATGCAACGTTATCTTGATATTTTTCACTCGACAAAACCAATTCATAAAAACTTTCACTTGAAAGTCCTCCAATCTTTGGAGTCTGAAACATCAGAGTCGTTCCTCCAATTCATCTTTGGAACTTTGCAAGCTGAAGAAGTCCATTTATCAAAATGTGTCATGCGACCAAAGGAAATGTTGAGGATTTTGAAACTTGGGGGTAAGCATTTGAAAACGCTGAGTTTCAATGAGGTTGTCATTGACAGGGATGATGACGAAAAGGCAGAAAATGTGGAGGACGAAATGGAAGCAGAAGAGTCGGGCTTAATGAGATTAGAGGTCACGACTTGCGACGAGGGTGAGACATTTCCTTGGACCCAGGTTTTCAAAATGACTCGAAAACTGCAGGTAAGCAAGAGATTTTTAAATTATTAACTCAGAGATGACAAATTTTATACAATTTTTCAGGTATTACATGCTCAACTTCAATGCTCCGCGCAAGTCACAGAATTACTGGAATCTTTACTGGAATTAGATCACAATAAACCTCATTTACAAGAACTCAGCGCATTCCTCGTTGATTTTGATACCGTTCAAATAAATTTATTAAACTGTTTACATTTAAACTTCAAAGTGTTGGACCTCAGTATCGATACTACAGTTAAGGAATCTTGCATCGAGGAATTTTTAGCTTCGCCGAACTTAAGAAACCTCGAGAATCTCAAGTTATTCCACGAAACTGACGACAATTTGAGTAAATTGGTCATACCAAAACTGAACTGTTTGAAATCCTTGGAGCTGATGGGGGACCCCATTTCTGTCTCGATTTTCTCGAATATTAGTAAAACATGTTCAAATCTACGTCATCTAAATCTGAGCCAAATCGTAAATCCTGAAGAAATTGAGAGATTAAAGTTTGTACACGGAGGGCTTGAAAGCATTTCGATCGAAGAGGGATTTCTACCTAAAAATTGCTTATCAAAGTTGGGAAAACTATTTCCAAAGATGAAAACAGTTTGTCTATTTCTTAACGATGAAAACATCTCAGCCTTATTTAAAGATTACCAAGAATTGGAAGAAATTATTGTACTCGGCACAGAACTAACTGATTTAGGCATCATTGGGGTCAGCCTGAAGGGCAGTAGTCGGATTGGGAATTGCAAAAGTGAGACTTTAATTAATAAGCACATATAGTATACAAAAGTATTATTCAAATTGAATCTCATTTCAGAACTCCGAAAGTTCAGCTTGTATCCTCAACCTCAAAATAGAATTACGGACATGACCATCTTGCACGGCCTTATCCACGTTCCAGAGCTTACTTTTGTCGAACTCCCGGAAACTGCTGTATGTCTCAATACGTTTCAATTTGTGAAACAAACATTACAATTTTTTTACTAACAGGTTACCAACGAAGGGTTAAGATCACTTCTCAAAGCCAAACCAAACATGGTTCGATTATCTGCAAAAATTGCAATAAATCCAAGAACTGGAGAGCACGCATTGAGGTCGGCAAAATATCAAGTGTTATGAGCACTATTGTCTGTCATTAACAATTTTAAGAACAAACAATGCACAATATAGTGCCATTACATTACTCAAATTCAATAAGTTATATAAAGCATAATTTATGCTTTGAATTATGTTTATGCTGCATAAACATAATTCAAAGCGATTCAATAAATTATTCAATTGTAAATAAATGTTTTTTGTCATATGTCAAAGTTAGTCAAAGCCGCGTATTGTCCTACTAAATATGACACCACAAATTACAAAATTCCGCGTGATTGTTGGTATTCTTGTTCAATTAGTACTTGTTTTGCCATTGCCGTCAACAAGTAAGTGACTTTCTCTTCTGCATAACTACGTATTATTTTATTTTATTTCATTTCACTTTCACTTTCACTTTCACTCGCATGCATTCATTAGAACGTGACCCTGTTGATGCAATTTTAAAGGCAAACAGTCCCGATAAGCTGAGGCTGATTTCGCCCCCTCCACACTCACGACAACACCATTCGCACTCTCGACACCCGGAGGAAGAAGGTACTGGAATAATTACAAAATGTTCATGAAATTGGATGTTGAATACGATTTTTATTGAGTTTCATTGAATAATTCAGAATTTCGTCATTCGAACCCGGACACACATCATGCTCAGAAATATAAAATTACATATTTGAAATTTGAGAAGCAATCGTAATAAAAATATTTTATATTCAGACATCTCTGCGGCATAATATGCTTGATTTATTTGAAAATTTAACGTATTAAAAATATTGATTTATGTAGATTAAATAGTAACGTGTAGCACAATGCGACAAAAACGTAATGGTGCATTTATTTGTGTACTTTCAACACCGAATTCACAATTCTCAAGTAAAATGTAATAAATAGAGTAAAAGGTGATTTATCCTATGGTTTTTAGTTGTTTACAGCTGCTGTTTGCTGTTTAAAATTTCAAAAATTTGAAATTGTTCTCCTTTGCTTTGAAAATTCCTGAATTTCGAATTTACTGCTCTGAGGTTTGTTACGTTTGTTTCGCGATTGCTTTATTACGATGTACGAGATTTTATTAACATTTGTTGATCTATTTTACATTTATTTTATTTGTTTTTTTTCAAATAGATTTTGGAATTTGAAGATTCAGAATCACACAGCGTGTTACAGACTGACAATTCACAAAGTTTTAAATATTTTTTATTAGTCTATCATCAAAATTGTAAGTTATTTATTAACTAATAGCAAGTATAATAAGTTAATGGATTAGTTACGTAGGATAACGAAAGTTGCGTTGGTTAGATTAAATATTTAAGCGTAATCTTATCTTGTGCAAATTACAGGGAATAATGGAAGTGACCAAGACCACGTGGGATCAGTCGGTACACGAGATTTTCGAAGATATTCGGAGCGCAGACTTTATTTCGATTGATACAAACGTTGAAGTCACCGGATTGATTATGACCGACGAGTCATTAAACTTGGAACAATTGGAAGGGTACTGGACTTGAGTATATTTTAAATGCTTATTCATTCTTGCTGAAAAAAAGAAAGAAAGTAATCCTATTATCTTTAGGGCCGATTGGTACAATGTTCTTCTATCCAAACAGAAGGCCCGGTCACCCTTGGAATTTGGTATCGCCATGTTGATTATACTTATAAATACGGCTTGGTTAAGGAAACTACAGGAGATATCATACATTAATCATCGTAATTCCTTTGTTACAGGTATCGCCATGTTTAAAGAAGATAAAACTATGTCAAACACGAAGAAGACCTTCCACGTCAAATGTTACAATATTCCCATCCTCATGGCGTACGTTGAAGAACACGATGCTCGACAAGATATTCGGGACAGAAAAGATTTTGAAGAACGCTTTGACATTGATTCGATTGGATTTGAATTCATGCAAAAAATTAATTTCGATTTGAACAAGTCGCTGTACGACGGGGTAATTATTTTTATCGCATAACTTAATTTCGTCCAGTGATAATTCTTGAATATATTTACTCCAACACAGGCTCCTTTTCTTAACAAAGTAATTCCAATTTATACCAATCAGCATGTATTAATTTGTGTATTTTATTAATGGCATATTTACTAATTATGTGTATATTTCTCTATTGTAAGGAGAGAAGCCTTGAAGCGAAGGATTACATGGAGAAAAATCCAGACTTTATGATTATTAATGGAAAACATGTGACGAATGGGGACCTGGACCAGTCATATTTTCCGAAATTGATTGAAAAATTGCAGCCTGAGGATATTGACGAGATTGTGGAAAGATTAAGAGGGGTCGGCAAATTTTTAGAAGTCACATCGGAAGCTAAAGTTCCCGTCATTGGACATAATTTGTTTGTCAAGCTGATTCTGTTGTATAAGGATTTTGTCGAGTTTCTTCCGAACACATATTCAGAGTTGATACCGAAATTGGAGACTCTTATACCGGAATTTTACGACACCAAGTTTATCTGTTGCGAAATCGGAGAGAACAAGAATGCATCAGGTGCTGACACGTGTAATGCTTGAAAATTAAATGCCTTATAAGTTTAAAGTAGAGGCATTATATGTAATTTTTCTTTCTTTGCAGACCATGAGCGATCAATCACCAGCAATGCTATCTTGTACCCCTTGTACCGTAATACGAGTTGGATTGGAGGATCTTCTATTGACTTTGCCTTACATGAAACGTCTACTCAAGTGTACGAGTCTGATTTAAATGAGTTATGCATGGAAAACTTGGAAGATGATTCTACATCATTCTGCTATGAGTGTGGATTTGATTCCTTTCTGGCCGGAATCATTTTCACCAAATTAGCCATTCTGACATTCCGAGAGTTTAAAGTGGAGGAATTTCCGAAATACGCAAAACGATGGAAGAACAAGCCATATATTCAGAAGGAAATACAGAATGTTCTATACGATCACGAAAAGCCAAAGAAAGGAGTAAGATCTGTTGCTGGCCCGTCATCATCATCCAGACCTGAACAACGCGTGAATAGTTGGACAAATGTTATCCATAAGAAGTAAATACTAATTTGCTGTGTTCGTATATTTATGCAGAAATTTATTTTGCAATAAATAAGTATTTCGATTCTATTGCTACAAAATCAACCCGTTCCACCAATTTGTTGCTGTTGAAATAGATTCATGGCAAAATAATTACGTCTGAACATCCTCTAAAAACTTCTTGAGGTCCACACCCTAATCCTTCTGTCCCATTTTGACACGTCCCCCATCGGTTGCCCGTCTCGTAATGCCATTGTAAAACACATGATGAGCAAACGACGCCTGTGGGAAGGGTTAGATTATAGGTGGCATAATGCGTTCCAGATTGTTGCCGAATGTAGTATCTTGTTCCAAGCCCCTTTGTTCGTTGAAGGAGGTGTTGGTCATAGCAAGCTTGGTCGAGATGAGAAACAGGGTCATTCTTAGCACAGAGACGGAACTCAAAATAACCGTAGTGCGTGGCTGTCAGCTCAACTTCTACGGGAATGATCTAAAATATATGCTATTAAAAAGAGCAAATTAAAAGCATAATTAAAATATGCATATTTACACACCTGTCCAGATTTATATCCTCGGACAATTATCCCAGCATAATAAATTCCTCCTTCTTCATTGTCCCTTGGTCGAGGTTGGTTGTAAGGGTCTCCACACACGCCACACTTGCCCCCGTTCACTTCATAATGCGTCTGCAAAAAAAATGTGGAAATCAGATCCGCACAACTATTTAATTATAGCAGTTCGCTTACAGTATAGTTTCCACAGTACAAGGCATTATCATCATAATTTACGGGTGGCTTTCTATCAGAAAATTCCGGAAATCTCCAGATAGAAGAGCGGTTTGGCGGTTCTAGCAGTCTGCCATGACCTCTGACCTGAACATAATTAGACGAAAGTTGTAAGGCTAAACCTACAATTATATAAAGTTTGGAAAACATTTTACAGATGGTAAATATGTACGTATTTCAGTATGCCAATAGTGTTGATTGATAACTCAAATAACACTGCATATTCCAAATGTTGATTCATTCGTTTATATACCTGCCGGAATCTAATACCGGAAATTGTCAAATTCCGGGATCTTGTATCCCGTGGATCATAGGCAGATTTTTGTACATTCTGAATAATACAATTTCCTGCGAACTATCATATTTGGGGATATGATAATTTATGTGTGTTAAAGTAAAGCCTTGTCTCGCGATTAATTCATTCAGAACAATTAATTAACCAATTAACCTTCACGTAACGTAACGTATGCACATAATTATCACTACGTTCATAATTCATAAATTATTTCACAGTTGACATCCTATCCAGTCAGTCATAAAAATAGTCTTCAGAGTAGTTTGTTTCTGCATATAATTTCGTACTGCTAAAATGAAAGTCGAAGAAGGGCGCAATCATGGAACAAGATGTAGATGACCATAGTTAAGTCCTGCTCCTATTGCATTTTCATTCTTACTTTCTCCAAAGCATCAAAGTTCCCACAAATAGTTAAATAAAAGTTGAATAAGTCAGCACAATACTTAAAATTACTCCTCAATAAGGTAATGCGCACGACAAACGAGATTTGTGGTCTTTAAAAATTGTCATTTTATTCATTTCCAATATAATCTACACAATCAATAATATTTCTGTTATACATAATGCACATATAAACATTTTTATGAACATGACATCTTCCATACATAATCCACACACAACATACATAAACAAATTCTAAATAAGTAATAATAAACATGGAATAAATACATGATTAAATGTGAATGTACACATGAATAAAACCACTTTTCTCCACATTTTATACCCAGTTATCTTTGATAACTCTTATTATAATTAAAATATTTTTTTCGATAACACATTACATGCACAATTATTTAGATGCATATAGTGCAATATCTCAAGTCTCTCTGCTCCAGAAAATGCTACTATGAAAAACAATGGTCCTGCTAATTTTTGTTTATTTCATAATTTATTGTTCTTTCAAACTCGACCCGTTAAAACCGAAATGAACTCTTCTCCTTCCTCTTCTGGACGCAATGATGTATGTACACAGATATGTATATAGAAATTATTTGTTAAAATACAGTAATTTCAGAACCTGATAAACTATTATGTACGCTATCAGAGTCATTGTTTGTTTAACATTTTCATTGTCAAATTGTAAAGCAGAGGAGTTTCACTCGTTGATGTATTTAGACTAATTATTTATTCAAATCTATCTGGTTATCACTAATGTAGTATTTACGCGTACTAGTGAAATCTTTAGTTTTTAATCAGCAAGGTACTTGATTATGGGATGATTTCAGGTATCAAGGTAAACTTCGATTTGAGCAAAGACATATTATTGTGTACTGATAAGTCCCTGTTTATGTGGTTGGATTAATCAAAGGGATAAGTTTAGCTGGATATGCACGGGTATGCAATTCACGACTACAGGAAATTACTCGATGACAATTTCTTTCAGCAACAGTCAAAGCAAAACCTTAATTACGTAATAATTTCAATAACGATTTTAAAAATCTCAATGGTATTAAATTCAATTATGTATGAATCCATTTTTCGACTTTAACGGTTAAATTAAAGGGATACGATAAATTACTTGTAATTATTACACGTAATTATAAATATAACAATACAATAAGTTAAATATTATGTACATGCGCAATCGCCCTCACTAAATAGTTTACAAATAATAATAGCGTAATATGTATAATAGTCATCAATCATTAGTCTAGTTACATATACTAATATCTAAATATAATTAAATAATCAAGTCACGAAATCGTAATTTCTTAGGTGTACCATAACTATTGATTACAATTAATAAGCGTACCCAGTTATAAAAGCCACAAAGTGGCATAACAGTCCATTTCCAACAGTACATTTAGACTTTCTCTCTTGAACCAACCTTCTTAGAAAAGCCTATTAAAAGCAAGTTGTAATACCTATGTGATGATAAGTTAAAGCTAATACCAGCGACACGAGGCGAAACACGACAGGCAGGAGGAGGTAATAATAATAGTACTCTTAATAGGACGAGAATATTATTAATTAATTATGTATGCGTAAAAATCGAGTGGGACTAGAACAGCACTAATCTCAAGTTGTCGTGATAATGGTCATGTGTCAAGTTTAGTTGAGTCACATAAATAACATCCACTACTAAACTTTCGAACGTGCCTATATCTCGATATTCTCGGTTCAGTACAAATTTGAAAAAATTAATACACTTTCGTAGATAAATTACAAAAATTCGTGTCCGTTAATTAGTCAAATATTTTTCAGGATAACTCCCAAAACCAAAAATTCTATCATTTTTTTTAGTATTTACGCAGTAGTAGTAGAATTATTTTAGTAGTTTTAAAACGGCTAAAAATATATTTGGATTGATTTGTGAATAAATCAAAACTTGTCTTTACATATCACTGTCGCCCAGTCATTCATCATACTGAATTCTTGCAAAATATGTATTAGACTGTAGTGGCGTTATTTGCGGTTTGACGAATCGGCGAATTTGTTACGAAGCCTAGATACCCCTTATGTCATTGCGAAATCATGGAACCATATCCAGAATCGTCAGCGGAGATGGATGAATTTAAAGACGAGGTTGTCGAAGTAGTTGAAGTATTAAGTACTGATGATACTGAAAACGGATTTGGTGACCGGACTGGCAGCATGACCCTTGCGGGTGGTACGCTAAGAAGTACGGGAGGTATTGCTCGCCCGTCAAAATAAGGGTGCAGCAGTGCGTCACGGGCATTTATTCTTTCGAGTGGTTTGAACGTAAACATTTTTTCCAGCAAGGAGATACCTTTTTCGTCAAGTTCAGGAAATACGACTTCAAGGTTTCGTGCCATTCTGGGAGAGAAATTGATGGGTAGAACTCTCGATTCGGCTGGCCATTGTTCATCTTTGGGTGTTCCGATAATGCTGTAAATAGAAAATTTCCAAGTTATAGAATAGTAACAATAAGTAGTGGGTAGGACATAAGAAAACAGGGTTATTCACCAGAAAATATTATACTAGTATCAACTACCACACCTTTTAACGAACATCAATTTTCAGAAAACCAATTACACGACGACACCTCACGAACCGAAACAAAGGGATTATTACGATGATGTCGAAGTAATACCCATCATAATTTAATTCACTTGTTATTAGGATTTTTTGCGAGAGGGGAGAGAAAATTGAGTAAGATGTTTCATATTTTATTGAATAAGACAAGACCTCAACTTACTCAAAGATTTTTTCTAATTGATCTCTCTCTGTCGCTCCTGGGAATAGGGGTCGTCTTTTGATCAATTCGGCAAAGATGCAGCCAACTGACCACATATCAATAGGAGTGGCATATGTACAGCCCAGCAGCACTTCTGGACTACGGTACCAGAGGGTTACCACCTGTTGATGAATAGACAAATGAATTACTACACAGTAACTACTAATCACATTCAATTAATTAAATATATTCGCGTCATTAACATTTTCTTCATCCGCAATTATCACAAATCGTCGAGTAATGTTCACAAGCATGCAAGTTTGAGTATGATTTAGTAAGTACATAAAACTAGTTTTATTCATAAAAAACTTACAACACTAGTCAGCCTCATGGTGAAATCGTAAACTTTTGCCAATCCAAAATCAGCAATCTTTACTTGACCAGTACGAGAAATGAGGAGGTTTTGTGGTTTCAAGTCGCGGTGGACTATTCGCTGACTATGAAGAAAATCCACCCCGCACAACAATTGAAACATTATGTCCTGCAAAAAAGAAGCACAATTGAGGCGATTAATCACCGATCTCACGAGCAAAAAATAGATGATATATAATGACAATCAACTATACATTATGCAGGCTTACTTTAACTTTGGCAGGCGACAAATCATCCGGTTTCGCTTCCCGAATATATTTTGCCAAATCCTTCTCAACGAATTCAAAAACCAGAAAGAGAGTAAGATTTTGTTCAGCGCCAACCCTTGGTCCTGGAAACAAAAGAAGGTGTAGGAAAATTTTTTTATTAATTGGATTTCAGAACTATTTGATTTTATTTTATGTTATCGACTTGATATTTGTTTCATTAAGCAAATCTATGTTTAACTAACCATGACAAACGTCAAGGAACCGGACTACATTGGGGTGTCTAAACCTGTCCAATTGTCGAACTAGGGAAATTTCTCGAAGAATGGAAACTGGAACACCATCCTCGTTAACGGGTATTCTCACTTTCTTTAGGGCAACATAGCGTGTGGGGTCGTTGATATCTTTAGCTTTGTAAACTGTTCCATACGCACCTGGAAGAAATTAAGCAAAATGACGATGTAACTCAAAACTCAATACAACAAATTATTATTAAAACACTGAAATCATTAGACCTTTCAGATGAACTTAATTAATGCATTTAACAAGTCTCACCATTGCCTATGACGGCTTCTTCCTTGTATAATTGAGCCCTGGAGGGAGCGCAGTTGAAGAGATCTGGAGCGAAAGCGGTTCTCATGGTGTGTTCCTGACGCCGCTGCTGCTGTGTCATAAGGAACGGAAGGAACAGAGTCCCACTTCCTCTTAACACCTTCCCACCCAGCGTGACTTCTTTCTCAACCTCGCCGCTGACCGTACTGGTACTCGAACTACTTTCCCCACCACCACTCCCACTCCCACCACTAGCCGCACCCTCACCCTCCACTATGACCCAGTAGCAACCACGACTAACACGCACAATAACTTCTCATTTTCGATCTTGACTTAATAACGGTCTTGAACCTGTTGACAAACAAAGGAAAAAAACAGCGTCAGAGTTGTTGCACAATTTTCAATGATAAGCCGACTTTGAAATGAATATCGTATATCGATGCATATGTATATATGTCCTCTGCGCAATCTAATCACTAACCACCACTACGAACGAACCGACTCTAATTATGCACTACAATGATTAGTACAATTATAATTTGTTGGGTTTTTGATAAGTTTTCAACTTTTGTAATTTATTAAACAGTAATTTTACGGATTATTTAACTCGCTTTTACTTGGAATAATATCTGACCAAATCCAACCACGAATATCAAAAGATAGATTACATTGAATTTCGGCCGAAATATTATAACATGGTTTATCAGTATTCCATCAGCATCACGAATGGAGTAAAATCGAGTTGGAAAACACCCTAAAATTCTGAAGATGCATTGATATTGAAATTGGTTGGATTTGATGATATGAAATTTTGATAATAAGCAGTGCCTTCATTGATTGATTTAATTATCTTTCACGCATATCTTTCATGAGCCAATGCAGTCATTCCTTCGTTCCCTTTGATATATGGACTACTTTGCCGCAGATATGCATAAATATCCGTAAGGGAACAGGAAGGGAAGCCATATACTTATTTCGTTGCGTTCTTTTATTACCGAAATATCAGCCAAATCTTAAACAGGCTGCATAGTAATCCAGATAAATATAAACTCTTTGAAATCCACGGCACACATTTGTACTTGTTATTATTACCATTACATATCGCCCACTGATGAACATTACGTGAGTGACTAGAAATGAAAACCGAGCTCCTTTAGAAGGTTGGACTCGTCGTGTGTGAAAAGGAAAAGATCTCGTCTCAAATCCAAATCTATCTAAAATCTCGGCTCCAGTTGTCCGTCTTAAAGGCGATCATGAGGATGATGATGATGTTCTCCGTGCTGAATCTATCCTAAATCCTACCCCAACAAAGTTACTTACACGCACTCCATGTACGTATCTAGAGCACTACGAATAAGCTCTCAATCTCAGAGTATACTCAAAATTCATTCAACTCTTTCTAAAATTCCAACCAGATTATATGATCCCACATCACATCATCTCTTCCTATATTACATTACGTAACTATTTCTATTTTTATGAGAGAGATGTTGGGAATAAACAAAAAACATTATACAATGAACTACTTGATCATATTGATAATATGGCTTCATGGCTTCACTCACTCTCTTAATAATCCTTATAAAATTTAGACTCAATTGTAACGAGAGGGCCGTTAGCTGAGGAGAGAGAAGAGATGGAAAAAGGAACAAACAGTGGAGAACAATCTAAATCTCTTTGTTACACCGTTCCCCATTCTTCAAAGGCATCTCATACATTTCTTCCACGTCTTCTTCTTCATCATTCAACATTACAACATTCCATTCCAATTTCCATCCCTCTCCCAGCGAAGAAGAAGAAGAAGGACCGCAAGCAATTGTAAAAGTTTGGTGGACAGAGAATGTACAATACATTCGTATGTATTTAGCTGAACTTCAACTTCCTCATCGTTCTCTAGCCCTCTCTGCTTGGTAAAACTTTAAAGCAACAGGTTGCTGCTGCGCCCTTTTAAAAGTGTAACAACACTAACAAAACTTATTGCTTTATTTTATTTTAGTTGAGGCAGCAGTGCGAGCAGGCAGAGTCAAGGCTCAAGTGCCGACGAAATTCATGGAAAATCACGGGGAACATAACTCTTAAAACTTGAACAGGAAATGGAATCAAAGTCATTGCTAGGTTTAAAACTCGATATTTCATGATTCTCATGATGATGGTGCCAGAGAATTTTCATAAATCTCGAGAATGCCATAATGTCATACAGAAAGAAAGAAAGAGAGGAGAGAGACAGACAGAAACAGGGCATGAAACGGTTCATTCACTGACGGGTTTATGTTACCGGAAATTGATGCAGTTTCCTTGCAAAAGTGGGACACGCTCCGTTTAAGTTGAGGCTCCTCCGAAGAAGACCCTTTAAGTACTACAACCACACACCAATAATCGTGTCATGAGAGTAAAGATGACGACGACGACGACTGCGACAACGCAAATCCATGCTCGGTGGTCCAAACGTATGGACTTATTCATTCATTCTCTCATTGATGGGTGGAATTTACTGTTTTCAACGTATATGTAGACACTTATGAATAGCTATTCAAATAAGTCAAGTTTGTTAACCCTTCGTCATTCCTTTATCGTCCTTATCATGAAGGTTTCTCGATTTGTGTGTGCGAATCATATGCTGTATTTTACCTTCATTCCTTTAACACCAAGGTGAGAATTTGAGAAATGTACCTACGACGACATGCGCTCATAATCTGGCATCATGATGTTCCTTTTTCCATAAAAAGTTGTTTGATCAACTTTTTCTCAATTGAATTCAAAAATGCTCAGGGTGCAGTACTAAAAGATTAGCTAGTACATGTACCTACATAGCTTCATAACGAGCGAAAGAAATTAACAGGGGCCAAAAAAATCAGAGGTGAAGACAAACGGGATGATTCTCAGGAATTTCTGTGCACAATAGTGTCTGCCTTTCTGTAAAGAATCATTGTCAAAAAACACCCCATGTCGTCGGTGAGGTGGTCTATCTCTAAGGTATCATTTTCGAAATTGAAATTGTTCCCACTTGTTAGGCAAGTAAAGTGTAAGAGAAACGAACGAAACACAATAAATGGGAACATTGAGGATTGGAATGCACATTCATAACAGAATTTCAGAGAAAGGCGTCAATTGGAAAGCTCCCTTGCTGAGATGCCTGCATACTTCGTCATCCATCAGCAGCCAGTCTTCTTGATTTTAGTTGAAGAATAATTTGCTAGGTTTTGACTTCTTCTCACGGTTTGGTTTAGAAGAAGGTACCGTAAAAAGTGAGTTTATTTCTCTCTGGGCTGTAAAGTTTATTGTTGAAGACGTCGTTGAACCAATTAGCTGATGAGCTAAGGCTTTTCTTGAATGGAGAAGAAGAGAGACTTGAGAGACGAGTAATGGAATTTTGTCAGGTAATGCACCATAAAACAAAGACCGTTTCATTTTGATCTCCTCCTTTTATATCCGTGGAAAGGATGGATGGTTGCATTTCGAGCAGATTTTTCATTGAGAAATTAACAAGGATTAGGTAATTCAGATTTTTAACATTCTACTTGATTTGCCTAAAAGAGAGATTTTCCTGATAGTTACATAATAATGCCAAGAATGAGACGGGTTTCCCTTCTTTGTTTGAGCTATTGGGGCATGATCACACAAACAATATGCTTCCAAGACGTCCCAGCAATAAGACCAGGCACTTTTATAACTAATATTATCCTATACTTTGTAATTTCTGTATTCTTATTAGTCATTTAATCTATGTAAATGTGCTATTTAAAAGATTTTAGCGGAAATTGGGCTTTAAATTTATCATTCGGAATGCAATACAAAGTTAGATATGTATGAGATGCAAAGTGATAAGATGAAAATTTGTGAATGGTGTGTCCATTCAAATTCAAGTAAATGAAAGAGATTTAAACGTCCCAGATTCATAATGGTCTTAAGTTATTTGATTGATACTGAAGAAAACAAAATGCAAAAGCAAGTACATTAATGAAAACGCACATTTTACGCAAACATGGTCGATCCCATACATGTGCACGGTCCAAGGGGAATAGGTATGCACTTTGTTCGGCAGTCGCAATTTCAAACAAATTCAGCACGAGTAGTCCAGCACTTTTACATACATTCACATAAACCGTAGATTGCAGATCACACAATATAAACTGTTGATTGATACTCTTTAGATACAAAATCTTGAGAGATTATAATTTGCAAGTGTATATCTTGGTAAACTTTTGTACATAAAATCAATATCATTTAGATATTTTAAGCGTATCGATTACTTTTTCTCATTTGAACACTGTTAAGAAAATCTTTGAACTTTCACTTCGGTGAGATGGAATACAAAACGAATACATTAATGATGGTAAAAAGGAGATATGTATTTATGTACTTCGTCGTATTACTTAATAAGCGTATTACGTTGTGTAACAATGAGAACTGATGAAAACTTTCTTTCTCCGAGTTGTTGCATAAGATTTTGATTTTGAACTACCTCGGTGACTCAGATCCTTTACAGATCTACTTACACGTACAGGTGGGTGATACGTTGTACTGGCATAAATATAAATAATTTCTTAATCACTGAGACAATAATCAATTTTTGAGGAGGGATATATACGTAATAAAAAAAACTTAAAACTTAGTAAAACTAAGTAAAACACACAAACTAAAGAAACCGACCACACGTACCGGAGTCCTGAAACAGACTGATGACTGAACCACTAAAGACCCCAAGACTCGACAACTTCACTAGAACTCAACCTCCCTTTGCCTGTGGCCGATGCGATATACATACGACCACATTTTCCAAAAGCTACCTGGCCTGCCTGCCTGGTCGGATAAAGAAGAAATGCAGGGATACCCTTCTTCTTCCTTTGTGCCATGCCATCCAACACGCTGAATGTATATTACGCTATTTTTCTCGCGTTCACCAGTTCAGATCGGCCTAGGTGAGAGCACAATGGGTCGTGTGAAACACTTCCACTTTAAATAAGGTATGTATGACCATGGCATGATGTTAAGTGTACGATGGGGGTGAAACCAAATGGGCTGATATGAGAGGAACATTACATTACAGATAAGCAGGCAGGAGCAGCAAAATCCATAATAATATCAAGTGCGAGAAATAAATAACTCTTCTCTGGTTCATGGAAATGCATCGTCGTCGCTCGTCCTGATGGTAAAACTTCTCTCGAGCAAAACAAAGCTGAGGCAGGGCAGAGTACCCTTAATAAAAATCAGCCTTTTTCTTTCCCTTCAGCAGCCGAGAGCTGTGTGTGTACTTACCAACCATCCGTTTACATTTCATTCCCAGACTTCAGTACACAAAGAAATTCCTCAACAGCCAACCCTTTGATGACGGTGGCATGTTTTGTTTGCAA